TCATATTGCTGATTTCTTTTTCCACAGTGACCAGGTCAGCGAACCGAGGACTCCTGTTGCTGTTTGCTTACCTAGACATGGAGCTCAAGCATGGAGCTGGAGAATGGCTATGTGTGGAAGGTGATCCACCTCCGGGATCGAACGTTCAAGACGGTTTCGTCTCCGTGTTGGTTCTATCCACTCTGTAACATGCACCTTGCATGTTGGAGAAGATGTTCGTCTCCGTGCAGGTTCTATCCACTCTGTAACCTCGCTGTGTACTTCACGGCTTTATTTCCATGTTGGTTCTATCCACTCTGTATCTTGAGCTCTGTACTAGTCTACTTGAAATTCATGTCAGTATACGAGCTTGTGTTCCTTAGCTATGGAACTTCTATTGCTCAATTATGCAGGGTTCATCCGTCTGGAAGAGCGATTAGCGCCGAGAGCAGCTTGGATCTTATCTCAATCTTATCTTATCCCTACGAAGTTCGACGTCAAGCTTCTTCCTCGCCGTCACGATGCCACCCCCTCGTCGCTGCCGTGACGCAACAAGCAGGCGACACGTATAAACCACGAGATAGCCATACCTACAAATGGTGCAAGGAAGGGGACAGTACTTCTGGTCGGAGGGCAGCAGCACGAGTTATGACGTAGAACGCAGGACGTGCGCGATTATTTCTGTGGGTTCGCGTATCTCGTCAAGTACAAGCATTGACGGAGCATTGGGACCAAGTTTCTAGGGCCGCCCAGGTGGCAACCTGTGCGCACGGCTGGTATCAACGGGTTCTAAAACTCATTCGTATCTGTCAAGAAGAACAGTTGGCGCACCTGCCAGGACCAGCTTGCAAGTAAGTCCCTACTCGGATGCATTTGGTGCCTTCGGAGCTCGGGTTTACCTGCAGATTACGCCGAAACAAAGTACGTCCAGCAGCATAAATAATGCACGACAGTTTTGAGACACTGTGCGTTACAATTAAGTACATTCGTCACTCCTCGGAGCACAGCATCGCTGTTTCCCTCTTGCGTTTAGCCCGAAACCCCACCGGGACCGTGAATGCCTGGGAGAACACCACGACACTGCATCGCAACGCACCCTAGCTTGCGGTTCATTTGTGCTGCTCGCAGGACGCTCTGGACGATGGTCTGCAGGGTGAAGGCACTCACCTCTAGCATGCTGTCCAGCCGCCCGGCGGATGAAGTAAACACTAATAGGTTCACCACATGTTCAAGCTGGCTGGGTCTGCCAACTGTGTGAATGAAATCCATGATACTTTACATAGACAAGGAACGACTTACGAGGATTATATCAGTGCGGATCGTCCGCGAGAAACAGGACGAAGAGCAAAAACAAGGCGGCACCAGTCGAAGACGCAACAGGTGTCACTGATTCTAGTCTTCCGTGGACCGTGTTGATATGTTCAAGGTGTCCAAGCTGTTCACAGACTGGAAAGAGCGCTGCTAATGTGCACAGACCTTGTCAGTCCCTTTTACCTCGAAGTTGTCAGTCGTCGCTTTTCTGAAGTCGAGCTCGTCACGGATCTCTGTGGTGTTGAATTTTGCATGCACTACCGCCAGCAGTTTTTGGCGTTGGCGAATGGTCAGATTTTCAGTGGAATCGGGCGTGGCTCGGTCGTCTGTGACATCATCGACGCTTTGGCAATTACTCGTCCTAACAAACGAGGTACGTGTTTCTTGCTCTTCAGCTGTGCTGAAGCGTTTCAGAATAGCCACTACCAGAAATCGCCCCATCCCCATCTCTACTGGATCCTGGAGGCAGTGCATTTTTATAACGGCGTGCTGCGGTTTCTCTCGTGCCAAAATTTTTTCTTGCTTTGCTTGGCGACTATTCTGCATCGGACGCATGGCGCGTTCCCTATTGTTTTGTATCTAAGATGATTGTCCTTCTGCTGAAACGTGACGCCAACATCTCGCCGCTTTCTTGCTGCCGAGGTTGCTGAGTGGCACAAGCGCCGGGCTTTCGAGCTATATAAGACCGTCCACCAGGTGCAAGCTTTCCCTCAGTTAAACCCACTCCTCCACACTTCCACTAGACATGAAGAAACGATCTCTGGTATCCCGAATCACCGCTTATGAGCTCTGGACCTCATTCAGACGAACTCATCCGCGAACCGCACGCGTTATCTTACGAATGGATGTGCGTTAACTCGACTGTCCGTCTCTTCACTATCTTAATGATTCCATTTTCTGCAGCGCTGACACCGGTGGCGTTGAGCACCACGTCAAGGCGAGGCCATTGTGAATGAACATTTCCAGGTGGCAAACGGGTGATTCCTGCACAACGGCCGGATGTTTCGCCTCGAGTGGCCGGAGGAGGTGGCCGACGCGCGAACCATGCTGATCGCAGGTGCCTCGACCCTATATGCTTCCCAAGGCTCCCGTGGGCCATGGTGGCGCGTCTAGGAGCGACAGGGGGCCGATGGATGTGGCCAGCCCACTAATGTGCGGCCTGAGCACCCCATCTTATCGTTTGGAGGTGCGAACGAGCAGATCATCATTGGGTCGTCCCTTTCCCATTTGGCGATCACTCCGAGGATCGGCTACACTCAGCGTTATGCCTATCCTTTACCCACCCAATCTCATACTGTCCTGTGTCCACTTCTGAGCAGGTCTTCACCACACCGGCCACCTCTATCTTGCCGTAGAAGCGCTGGAACTGAAGTCGAGGACTCGGAGGAGCGCAAGTATTACAAGCATCGCGCGACCCTCGAAAGTGAAGCCCACCGTCAGAAATATCCCGGTTACAAGTACCAACCTGGATCCCGAAAGGACAAGCGAGCGAAGTGCAATACGAGCCGTAAGACCAATCATAGTACGGTCGAGAGGATATCGATATTGCGCGCGGCAGCTGGCAATTTGTTGGGTTCGACGTTCGGCAATTCTTGAAGATCGACGTTGGTTGGTTCTGTCCACTCTGTATCTTCCTCTTGTACCTGGAGAAGATGTTTATCTCCGTATCGGTTCTATCCGCTCTGTAACGTGCATCTTGTACGTTGGAGAAGGTGTTTGTCTCGGTGTTGGTTCTATCCACTCTGTAACGGTCGCGTTATATGTTGGAGAAGATGTGTGTCCCGGTGTTGGTTCTATCCACTCTGTAACCCGCTGTGTACTTCACAGCTTTATTTCCATGTTGGTTCTATCCACTCTGTAATTTGAGCTCTGTACGAGTCTACTTTAAATTTCATGTCAGTAGACGAGCTTGTGTTTCTTAGCAATGGAACTTCGGTTGCTCAACTATATAACTACGTAAGTCCGTCTTCCATAATTCTGAGAAAGTCTGCGCCGACTCGGACTTCGACATGAACACGGTCCACGGAAGGCTATAGAATCAGTGACACTTGATGCATCCTTCGAATTCGGCTGGTGCCGCCCTTTTAGTATGACCAAGTTTGAGCCCCTCTGTGTCTTAAAGCTTGCTCTTCGTCCTGTTTATCGCCGAAGATCCATGGTTTTGTCCTATCTCACTGACGCACAGAATAACTTCTAAGCATCCATGATCAGACAATCACAAGGCTGAAGCAATCTTCGCCGGCGCAAGTGAGAGATTCTCGCCGGCCGTTCCTTCTACGCAAAGCACCACGAAACCTTTTTCATTCTCACAGTTGGCAGATCCCGCCAGCTTGAACATGCGGTGAACTTATCTACTTCATCCGCCGGGTGGTTGGGCAGCATGCTAGAGGTGAGTGCCTTCCCCGTGCACACTTTCTTCGAGAGCAGAGCAAAACCGAATCACAAGCGCGGGTGCGTGGCAGTGCTGTGGCGTTCCCCCAGTCATTCACGGTTCCCGAGAGGTTCCAGGCTAAACGCAAGAGGGAAACAGCAATGCTGTGCCCCGACGTATGTACGTCATTAGTTGCAACGCGCAGTGTCGTGTCGACACGAGTGCACTGTTTGATGTTACTGGTTCACCGCAAAAGCGGTCTGACGACACTTTTGGCTGTTTCTTGAGGTCGATGTGGTCTGCACGAAGGCACTAATGCGCCCGATTGGTGACTCGCGAAGCCGGTCCTGGCAGGGCGCCTGTGCGTTCTTGACAGATACGAATGAGTTTTAGACCCGGTTGCCAGCCGGCTGCGCACAGGTCACCGCCTGGGCATATCGGCCCAAGAAACTTGGTCCCAATGCTCCGTCCGTGCTTGTACTGGACGAGATACGAGAACCCACAGGAGTAACTGAGCTCGTCTGCAATGCGTTCCTCCAACTAGACTGTCACCTTACTTGCACCAACCTGTAGCCATGGCTATCTCCTGGTTTACACGTGTCGCCTGCTTGCTGCGTCACGGCAGCATACGTATGTCCACTCTTCGTATCTCGCCCGGTCCAATTATCCTCACGCCTCTCTTCGGATACATAGTCTATCTCGTACTGGCTCTCGCCTTCATCCAACGAGTTCTCGCATCGGTCAATTTTGACCAGTGCTTCGCCGCCATCCAGAGCAGATCCTACGGACAACTTGCATGAAATTATTTGAACCGATAATTTGTCTACGTTGCTCTGCATTTAGTTTCAGAGATCCGATGTCTTTGAGGTGAGTGGTTCTTCCGAATGGTTGTTATCGCGGTTCTGCGGCAGTGATGTAATGAATAGTTTTAACGTACGTTCGCAATGTATACGATGTGCTGCTCTTTTTCACGGCTGGTCGACCTTATTTTTATGTTTCGCAGCTAAATACCATCTCCAAGCGGGCGATTTAATTCCCGACTCGACAGCAGGTTGACACTATCTTATGTTTCGTCTGTAGTCCTCTGGGCACTGCGTGCGCTTGTGGTCGTGCTGCACTCGTGCAGCCCATTCATGTGAATCGAACTATCGATCGTTGTGCACCTTTGGATACCCGTGGATGCATTAGCCATTGACCTCTAGGGACTGAAGCTTCAAAATGGCATTGTTTCAAAGCGGATATATTTTGCAAGCTAGTATTAGGGTTACATCTACATCCACCCTTTTAATGGGTTATTATGCGACAACATTACCATAGAATGAGTGGGAACGCACTTAGTTCACGATTTTGTGTTGGAACCTACCAGCGGTCGACCTTCCAGATGCTGAGGATCTGCCCAAGTAGCCTGGGCAAGAACAAATGCATTCAAAGTTCTGCAATGGAATTCGGCACAAGACGTGACACTCACCAACATAGTAATTCTCTCTTCGCCATCATCACTGACAGTCCGCACGACGGAACCTGGGAGGACGCTCGGGCTGTTCACGAATTGCGCGACGCTCTCCAGCTTCGCGACATCCACGTTGTAGCGCTTCGCGAGCTTCTCGAGCTCTGCCTGTGTGGTTACGGATTTGCGCTCCTCGAGGAGCTCTTGCAGCGATGCTGCTAAAAGGCGGTTGTGGGTTGGGTGCGAGGACCGTGCCTCTGCTTCGGACTGCAGGCGAGTCTGTAGGACGTGCTGTGTGTTATCAGCACCCTGAAATAGCAAGAAAAAAACAGTTGGGCTTCAGTGAAAGAATGGATTGACTACCGAGCGACTCACAAGTCGGAACGTTTGCATGTGGTGGTCGACTTTGACCGGCCCCAGCCTGCTCAAGTTAGCGAGGAACTGCGGGTCCTTCGCATCCTGCTCAATATCTCCCGTTAAATTTGACATCAGCTATGCTGCATTCCCAGAAGTAACCTGGCTGAATACCTTCATTCCGTGTCTCGCTTGCCCGGGGTAGCGTTGGTTTCGCACTCTGAGGAGCCTCGCCCGGGCTTGGTGTTCGTGCGCCAGCCCATAACGGCTTTTTTGGCTTGGGAAATTGGCGTGTGGCTTTTGACGACGCCCCGCCCATCTGTTGGATAGTTTCGGTCAGGGTCGTGTGTACCACCGCATCTGCACGGTCAATTAAAGAGTCGCGGGAGCTTCATTTAGCGCCCATAGCCCGTCGCGTCAGGTGCTACTGCGTCCACGGCTTCGAGGCTTCGAGTTCGATCCACACTCAGCTGGAGACCTACGTTAGACTAGGTAGGTCGTCGTTCGAAGATGGCGCTCGGTATGTTGGACATTGCGCAAGCACAAGCATTATACGATGGTTTGTCGAGCTGTTTTTCCCTGCTCAACTAGTCTTATCTGGGCGCGGTAGTGGCCAGGAAGTGGTTCGCAATCGTACCGCCTCTCCAAGTGCCCATCACTTTCTTCATTGGCGCACCTTTCGGACGGTTCGCGCCAGAGAACGAGAGCATATTTCTCGTGGACGGTGAGTTTTGCAACACTCGACCCACTAGTGGCACTTTGACAGTCATCGCAGGCATCAAGGCATGGATTGCCATGGAGCTCGTTGCGCCCATCGCGTTCACCTACACATACCTGCAATCTCCGCTCTCCCCGACGCATAGTATTCCCCCGCTGACGCTGAGCACACCCGCGACACTCCTCGCCGCCTTCTTCCTGCTGCACTACCTGAACCGCTCTCTCGTCTCGCCGCTGCGCTCCCCCGCGCGCTCCAAGTCACACATCATCGTCCCCCTCTTCGCCATCGTTTTCAACGTTGTGAACGGCTGTCTCATGGGCACGTACCTCTCGTCGCCCGGCGCGCAGACTTTCCTCGCTGAAGCCTTTGCGCGCCCGCTCTTCTGGCTCGGCGTCGGCATGTGGGCCGCGGGATTAGCGGGCAACGTCCTGCATGACGAGGTGCTCCTCGATATTCGGCGGAAGGCCAAGGCGAAGGGTAAGGCCCGCGAGAGCATAGGGGACGGGAAGAACAAGCAGGAGTACTACGCCATTCCTCACGGGTACCTCTACAGCCTCATCTCGTACCCTAACTACTTCTGCGAGTGGTGCGAGTGGCTCGGATTCGCGCTCGCTGCAGCTCCGCTGCCGTCGTTTGCGTCGGGTACAGCGCTCATGGCGACGCTCAGCCCCCCGTATTTATTCTTCCTTTCAGAATTATCCGTCATGCTCCCGCGCGCCTACAGGGGCCACCAGTGGTATCGTAGCCGTTTTCCGGACTATCCGAAAGAGAGGAAGGCTGTCATTCCGTTCCTGTTCTGAGCATATGTGACTTTTGGCCTGTAATTCGGAGAAATATCCATGGACACTCAGTTACTTAGGCCCTGCAACCTGCGCAGGCATGCGTCGTTCTCTATAATGTAGCACCTCATAAGTAGAACAATGTGCATCGACGTGAGACAGGAGTTAATGCAGAGCATGAAGCCCGCGAATGGTATTGTAGTCCGTGCGTCTAACCCCACCTGACCCTAGCTACAGTATGTCGACGACAAAACTCTAGCATCCGCGCCCATAGACTACTTGTGTCCACCGTAGCGTACTTTCCGTCCAATATCGAAAGGGATATACTTGTACTTAATCATATGTCTGAAAACCAACATGAGTGCAGTGTACGCACGGCAAATACGTAACACGTACTGTATTTGTCTGCGCATGGTAAGTGCGAACAGGACGAAGAAGTAGATGAGCAGGATCGGCCAGTACACGGGTACGTCGAAGACCTGTGAGAGAGAGCAGAACAGCGCAATCACCGTCGCGCGCGTCGCAGACAACCTGAGTAACGACAGACCCACCAGCTGTCAGCCCCCCGAACGCGTCATAGAATACGAGACGTACCAGAACTGCCACTCTGGCAGGCGCCGCACGAACGGTCGGAACTCATCGTCCCGCTGAGACGGCAGGGTGGGCGTGTGCTCGCCGCCTTCCTCGATCTCGTCTGCCATGAGGTCATCCTCGAGAGAGGGGTCGAATTTGGGCTGCAGGAACGCAAGCAGAAGGTTCAGGAGGTATATCGCGTAGGCATCTGGATTGTGCAATTTGGAGTTAATAGTGTTGCTGTGGAGAGAACTGAGAGTACGCACAGCATACTGTGAACGGGTCGGCAGGGGTGATACATTGAGTGAGACAACGTCAATCCTTGCATAGCATGAAACTGACCAATATACCACTGTAACCCACGTAATACTTCCTCAGTTTCTCCACATCACAGTACACAAAAAACGACTCACCCCTTGTACCACAAAGATCCTCAATATAAACAGCAAGAGCAGCCCCGCAAAGCTGAGCCATCGGTAGAGCACGAAGGGCGTCACCCGGTCGAGGATTTGCTGGTACTGCCGTTGCACACGGCTGTACTGTAACGATAAAGATGCGGGGGCGCCTGGCTCTGACGAGGACATCATTTTGGGCGCGAGGGAGGGCGGCGATGCTGAGAGCCGTGAAGGTCGTGTCCGGTGTGCTGAACTGTCCAGTTGCAAAACTCAGGGACTTCTGCGGCGCGGCATTGGCCGAGCGGAGATCAAAAGATTAAGGCTACATAGATAAGACCGTCGCCCTCGATCGATCATTTCGAGGCGAATTAAACTTCGACGACATACACAAATGTAGAGGTCTGAGCGAGGATAGCACCCTGCCTCAGGTACAGGACGGTGGAACATGTCCGACAATAATGCTATACGAAAATTACAGAAAACAAAGGACAAAAGCAGAGACAAGACTTGGATCAATTTACGGAAAACGGAGAGCGAAGTGCACGAGTGTAGGAAGTGCCATGCCATGCTGCCAGACTCAGACAGCCGTCGCCATTGATGAGCAGTTGAGTTAAGAACGTGAGAACAACATAGCCGCCACAGACAAGAGTCTCAGATTCCATGATTTGGATACGACAAACGAGCTAGACAAACCAGCGAGCGAAAAGAGAACTGCCATAGTCAATGTCAAGACTGTCACAGCCAGAAGAGGAAGCCTCAGGTGTCACCGCGACAAGCCGGCCAGTCCAGTCGTCACCGTCAAGTGAAACATAGAGCCGGTGTTGCCAGTGTTCTTAACCAGAGGCCACAGAGCTCATATATGGAACGCAGAGTCGAACGCGATAGTCGAGTCGCCAGAACAAAACTCGAAAATTGCAGAAGTAGCGCCGCCCTGTCGGCAATCCACTTTGAGCAAGCGGATGTCAACAACCAACATCAATAGTATCCTCGGAAAGCCCATGGTAACAAGGCGAGCGTAAATTTCCTGCTCCCTGCTCATGCAGGAGGCTCTAATCAGGCAGAAAGAAAAGATGGCGGCATTGAATCAGACTTACCATCCTTTTCCGCCGCCCTCGAACAGCATTGCCGTTTCGAGGTTGGCAAACAATCGCAGCGGTCGAAATGTATTCTTGCTCCTACTGCGGCGGCAACTTCAAGAAGGAATCATGTAATGAGATGAGATGAAAAAGAAGTGATACTTGAAGTTCGGCGCGAGTTGGTTTCCCCCGCTGCCAGGAAGCAACGAGGTACTTATCCCGAGGACCACGTAAAGGTCCGCGCCCGGACAGTGCCTGCACCACAAGCGCTGCCCGCCCTCGGGAAAAAAACGACGCACCTGTGGATATAGCGGTCTTGTCGTGATTATACCTTTAATCAGTGTGAAAGCGGACGAGCGCAGCACATCACCCAACTCGAGACAAGAGAACTCTCACCAAGTAAAAAAGCGTAGTCGATTGACAACGGCGTTCATGCCAAATGCGTCTACGTTCAACTAACATGTCAAAGCAGCCACACACTCGCCGAACTAAAGTGGAGGGAGCCTCCCCACACAGTGGAAATGGATCATTTAATCGCTGCGACGTCGCATACTATGTCGGACTCGTGAATTCGTTCTGAGAGAAATCAAACGAAACAAATATGATATCATGCCACAACGCTCACCGACATATGACAGCCGCCAGAGAGACAAGCACAAATAGCAAACGAGGCACACTTTGCAGATTATTAACGGAAAAGCAGAGTAGCAATGAACCGTCGCCTAAGAGTCGCCACAGACCAGTTGCCGAGACTCGAGCGTCGGCGCTCAAGAGCCGTGTCGCCAGAGTAGATTTGACCCAGCGATTGTTGACTCACCTTTACACATAGCGTTGTCGCCAAAGTCGATACCAGCCGTCGTCAACTTACCTGCCCATAAACCAGAACCAGTACGCACAAGGGGCCGCAGTATCGTGTCGCCAGAGAAAGTGTACCCCAGACAAGATATACGAATACTCACCCGGCACCACCAGCACCTACGCTCACAGCGTCGCAGCTATACCAAAAGTTAGCCAGAATTAAGATAGCTCACCTTACATGGGGCCACATGGTATCCTCCGGCGAATCCGTCTCCTCTTGACGACAACCGCAAGGCGAGCGCAAACCGTCAACCAACGTCGAGCAACAAGCAGCCTGCCGACCAGACACGGGGAGCTCTACAGTGCGCGGAGGCAACGAGTGCCGTCATCAGACCGCACCGGGTCGTTCCGTCGGTCTCCTTCGAGGAAGGGCGCAGTGTGTATGCTCCTTACGCGACGTTGGCTGGCAGTTTACATTCACCATGCGGCAGGGACGGCGACGGCCATCCTCAGTCTGGGCGGACAACCATTGGTCAGTGAACGAGATAACACAAAGAAGAGCGCACCTTCATTTCGAGCCAGACATCCATGATCAAAAATAAATGTCTGGAAGGCCGGAGAATAGTCAGCCAAACAGTGATGCATAGAACTGGAAGCAAACCACGATTCGGCGCGAGTTGGTTTCCCCCGCCACCCGGAGGCAACGGGGTACTTATCCCGAGGACCACGTAAAGGTCCGCGCCCGGACAGCGCTGCATCGCAAGTGCTGCCCGTCCTCGGGACGCACCTGATATGATTGAGGGTATTTGAACGCGCTTATCTGGCGACCCTGCACAACATTATTAGTCAAAATGCAGACAAAACGAAATTGCTGCAAATCTCACCTTCTCTTGCATTGGGGACAACCGCACTGCAAGGCTAGCACAAACTGCAACCAACATCGACCGAAAAGCGACCTGCCGACCAGTCACAGAAAGCCATTGTGGTGCGCAGAGGGCAAAAAATGCCCGCATCATTGCGCACCGGCTCTCCATCGATCTCGCCCTTCAGAAGAGTTTACAGCGTCAAACCCCTCGCCGATGCCGACCGTCGACAGCTTGCACTAGACTGCAGTCAACAAAACCCACGAGAGCGATCACTGTCGACCAGTCACGGAAACCGTCGTGCAGCATCATCGCTGCACTCCAGTACATCGTCGGTCTCACCCTTGGAGAGGCTTTGCAGGATACACTCATCGCCGATTCTGAGCAACAGCTTGTGCTCGCCTGCAGTCGACATAGAACGAAAGGTGACCTGCCGACCAGCCACAGGGTGCAGAAGGCAGAAAAATGCCCAAATCATTGCACACTGGTCTGTGATGATCTCGCTCTTCTGAAGGGTTTACAGGGTCCATACGCTAGTCGCCGATGCTGAGGAACAGTTTGTGCTAGCCTTGCAGACGGGATGGCGATAATCCGAGCGAACCTACAAAGAGTTGTTAGTGCGAAAGAATTTGATTAAGCGCACGTCGGGCTATCGACGGCGGTCTTGGAATGGAACGGCAAAATATTAGTCCACGAACTATAGAGGAACAAACCAAAAGACACACCTTGGATTTCAGATTGCGTTCGAGGTTGGCGCGAGTTGGTTTCGCCCGTCGCACAAGGGCGACGGGGTACTCGTCCCGGGGACCACAAAGAGGTCCGCGCCAGCCCCCGGGGGGTTCGGTCCACGCGATTGTCGCCCAGCGTCACGAAGACAAAAGGAATGAAAAAAAGGAGCAGAGGAATGGGAAGTGGAAAAAGTAGAAGCTATGTTGCCCAGTCCCACAGAAGAGGGCCAGAGAAGAGTTTGTCGCCAGAGCGAGTGTTTCGCATGCGTCAGAGGAAAAGAATGAAGCTGAGACCCGCCCACTGCCCACCCGTCGCCAGAAAAAAAGAAAAGAAGCCCAGTGTTGGTATGGCCACATTGGTGGCCACCATCGCCGAGGCTGAAGTGAGTCCATTCAACGCCGGAGAAGTCGCGCCGTTGTGTTGCCCAATCTGGGGATACCGCTCGTCGACCAGGAGGGAGCCCAGTCCAACTTACTAGTGACATGTTGAAAAACACTGGAGTGACCTGCCACGTGGATGGGCGACCGTTGAGTACAGACAGTGGACAACGACGTCGGAGACGACTTGCCTTTGTTCTTGAATCCTCAGTCGGGGTCATGCAAGAGCTTGAGCAAGATAGCTTGAGGATGTGGAAGACGTTGAGGTCGACGTTGAGGTTGAGGATAGGTGATGGAAGACAGAGGGAAGGAGCGATGGGAGAAAGAGCGGTAAACACAAGATTATATACCTAGAAACCCAACCGTCCACGTGGAAGAGAGAAGGCAGAGGCGATGGGGGAAAGTGGGAGGAATGACTTGGTGTATTTATACGCTTCGAGGGCAAACCGCAGCATGAAATTTTCAAATCAAAGCGAAGATCTATGGCTGCCAGATGCATGAGTCAGAGTCCAATCTGAGCAACAAGCAAAGCAACGTACGCCACGAGGCAAGACACAATAGGATTTGAAGCCAAATCGGGTTTGGTTCCCATCAGATGGCAACGCTTGAGCCGTTTCCTTAATTTAGGGCACAACGGCACTTCCATATAAGGATGGATCCAGCGACTTCCCTTGTTGATGACGCTTTATGGCAGGCCGCGAGCTGACGGGGTTGCTGGTTCACCTCCAATGATATCTCTTGAGGGGAACACATACATCACCGAGAGACATCGGCAAGACAAGTGGGAAGTATGACGTACTCAGTCTCAGAGCTGATCGACAACGTTGGCGTTGAATATCTTCTCGCTGGAAATGGAAGTGGCCCGCGGAACTCCGAGGGGGTCTGTACCGGGGAATATTCGGCGAACGGGCTTGGTCTCAGCCACTGGATTCAACACATCCGCGTTTGGCAGGTGTGTTTGTTTGGCCTTGAAGTATTCCTAGTCATTTTGGCAATATTTGCCCGGGTAAGAGAGACGACGCGTAGGGACGATGCTTCACATGTGGCCAAAATCTACGCCAGACTCGCGCATTTCGTTCGTACATAGATTCGCAATAGAGGTGAGAAGTCGTAGTCGAGCACAAGATCAAGGTGTGACAAGTGAACGATACACCCAGTCGTAATCCAATGTCATCTACACAGGAGCGTGTGTGGTGGGGCCAGACTCAATGCAAGTTGACCTCTTCCTCTTCACAGATATACCACCCAACCGAGACCATCAGGCGTGCGCAACGTTAGTCACGTTCTTCACCGGAGTCTGGGTATCCGCATGAGCCAGATTCGACGTGCCGTTCACCATGGTAAAGTTCTTCGGGAGGGCAGAGACGTCAGGGATCACGGGCGGCGGGCGGTTGCTGTCGATGTCGATCAAGCCCACATTCTGATATGCCTGGATCGGGGTCGGCTGCACACTCAGAGAGGAAGTGGGGTCCGGTGGGGGCGGGAGGAGGGCGTCGGTGTCGAGCACAAATGTATGGCGCTTCCCGGGCTGGTTGTGCACGACTACTAGCCCGACGCGGGGGTGTGCGGGCTTGCCGTCCCTGCGCAAGTTCGTCACGGCGTTGTGCAACACGTTGGGCGAGGAAGTGCCTTCGGCATCAGAGCCGAACACCTCGCCGAGCACTGAGTGGGACACGGCAGAGGAGTTGGTGCGGGCTGCGCCCAACGTCTGCAGGCTCGACGAGACGGCCTTCGTGCCTGACGAGATGCCGGGGTTCTGAGGAGCGCTGCCCGAGCTGGGTGCGCTATCCCCCGACTCGGGCCCCCTCCGCGCAGCTTCCTCAGGCGTAACCATGCCTGTCAAGGAGCGTTTCGACAGTAGAGAGGGATCTTTCAAAGCAGAGACGGGGTTCTGCTGCGTCACGTTCGGACCGATGTCTTGGTTGGAGACGCGGATTTGGCGACGCCCGAGGACACCGGAAGCGCTATCTGCGTCCGGGGCGCTGTCAGCCACCTGTTTCTCCACCGTCGCAGGATGATCCACCATCTCCAATGGTTCGCGCTTCGACAACAGGGAGGGATCTTCGAGTGCAGAGACCGGGTTTTGCTGCGTCACGTTCGGACCAATGTCGTGGTTGGCAATACGAATTTGGCGGCGCTGCAGACTGTCGGAGCGGCGAGGGAAGGGGACGAGAGGCTTCATCGGACCAGGGTTCGGCACCTCGCTAGGACCTATAAGGCCCATGGTAGCTGTCATTATGCCAGTAATCGTGACAGGAGTGGACATGGTAAGAGGCACAGCAGCAATGGAGACGGCCAGAGCGAAAGAAAGGATGGTGATGATGCAGGGACGCATGGTGGCAAGATGTTCCAAGGATCTTGAAGCAGGGGAGAAATGACCGGGGAGAATAGTGATGTCGTCTGTAGACAAAGCGGGTACGCACGATAGTGCTAGGATGTGAGCGCGTTGCAATTGCTTGAGCGTAAGAACTTGAAGCAGAAAAGACGAACGGGGTGTGACGAGGTGATATGTCTACGAGGCTGACGCTGACAGCTTCGTCGATCACTTGCAGCAGACACGGTGCCGACCACTCCAAGCTGTATATGTGGTGCTTCTGAATCTGATTCATTGGAATGGACGAGCGTTACACGGTGGGCATTCACTCCCTCGTTTTGCTGCGAATCTGCGTGCAAGGATAGAATGCCCGGACTTCTTGCTCTGTTTAATTGAGGTGTTTACCAGAATATCAGCCAAAGACAGTACCACTCAAACATTGAGCTCCTGGACTTCCATCACGATGTACTTACACTCCAAGCACGCACAGAGACAACGCCTACCAGTCGCCATAAGACAAAGACTTGCAATGGCAAGCAAGCGCTCTCAGCTCCCAGAGCTGCAGTCATATGCAGAGCACGGGGGTACAAATGCCGCCGGCACGCCGCGCTCGGGTTTGTGTACAGCCCGTCCTCGCAGACCGTGAGGATTGGCACCCAAGTTTACTTCATTGGTAACAATTAGTATCGGAATCCGCAGCAAAAGTGGGCGCCCCGGGCACGGTTGGTGATTCGGAGAAGTCAATACTTGCAGAAAATGCTCTAGACGAGGCAGATATTGCAACGCATTAGCTCTTCCAAACCTCGATGCTAAGACGATCTTGCAGACCTGTCCGCTCGAGTCTGTATTAGTTCCGGACATTCAGTTAGTATGGGGTTGCACGCGAGATTAGATCGAGATAAACTTCCGACACGTGGAAGTTCCAAATCAGGGTAGTCTATTGTGGTGACCTGCCAGCCTTTCATTGTTCTCTGCACAGACGGCGACAAGCACACAATGAGTTCTCCGCTCCTAAAACACCTCGCAATGTATTTTTCTTTCCCTCTCTTCCGGGATACCTCTTCTCTCCTTCCGCGCCACGCACGTCGACGACCTCCTTAGAAGTTCGAGCACATTGCACTCCGTCGCCAGCCGACCTATTCGTTCACGATGTCTGCTCGCGGCTTGTCTCCACCTCCTCTTTACGACTCTCCTTCACATGCGACCACCACTCTCAAGCCCTACCTTGAACTTCCCCACCTGCTCTCTCTTACATGGCTCGCCTACCCCATCCTCTCCTTGCTCTTCGTCGTCTTCCGACTCCAGCTCTCCGTTGCGTCTGCACAGGGTTCCGTTGCGGGCGCAAAGCAGGATCTTCTCAGCAGCTGTAACGCCGCTCAGCACGCAGCCACCGCTGCGGCGAGCATGCCGCGTTATCTCGCAGTCGCCGTGAACCACCAGATCACCAATGCGGTCAACGACATGCTCGACGCTGCTCGTGATACCATGATCCTCGCTCTAACCATCATGGAGGCGATCATCAACTTTATCGTAGACACCTATCGCTCAACGTTCCTCTGCTTCTTGGAGTTGGTGGTGCGAGGTGGCCTGTCCATTCTCATCGGGTTTGTCCAAGAGGTGAGTTCGTCAGACCTTTTGCTGCAGTTGTGTCAGCGCTCTCTGGGCTAGTTTTCTACGCACGTGATATGCCAGTATACCCTTTGTTCGCGTCTGGCGTTGGGCATGCAATCGTGGATGCTCATCACACGGTAAATTGTCCTCGCGAGGTGCATTTGCAAAGAAGTCGCGTCCACCGGGAGACATAGTCTCGTGACCAGCCGTTCTGAGATTCGACCCTGGTTTAGATTCGGTGTGGAGGGTCGTCAGAACATCTGGTCATTTTTTATAGGCCGGGGTTGGGTTCGTCACACAATATGACCTCAGCCAAGATTCGAAACACGAGAACCGTCGCACGACACATTTGTTGGTCCCTGATACCTCAGATAGAGTTGATGATACACATACAGTCGCATTCATGAACAAATTCTGTCAGGAGAGGCCGAGGGATGTGTATACAAGAGGGACGGACGCTTTGTCGTGCGCCATGCGATGCCATTCGTGCCGCTCTTCTACTCAGTTCTTCCGAGTAGACGCTCCGAGAATGCATCTCGCAAGGAATGGGACTCTCGTCCACAGAATGGCAGAATGGCAGTGCAGCCCCGTCATTTGTTCGCGTCTAGTGTCAAACGATGTTGGTGCGTGCACGTGTGGACGCTGAATGCGTTCCAAACGCGCTCGTGAAGGCGCATCTGCCGCGACAGTGGAACTGACATGGGAGCTGTTGCCTCGCCATTTTCACATGTCAATCCGCAACAACTCTATGCTACGATGCTGACGATTTTGTTGCGCAGGCCAACAGCTTTCTTTCGTCCACTCTGGGCAGCATTCGGACATCCATCCAAAATGATGTCAGTTCTGCGAATTCGGCCATTGCGAGTGCGGTGAACGAGATCAACAAGATCAACCCTTTCGGTAACATATCAGTGCCGCAGTTCAGCATTCCGAGCTTGACTTCATTGGAGAACGTCACCCTTCCGAGCGACTTCGAGAGCGCGCTGATTTCTCTCAACAATTCGTTGCCAACGCTGTCGACCCTCAAGTCCGATCTTGATTCCATGTACGTTTTGTCGCCCCGCCACCGTTGTCGCCGACTAATACCGTTCGCAGTCTTGACACTCCGTTCGAGCTCGTAGTCAAGGAAATCAACGAGACCTTCGCAAATATGACGTTCACCGTGAATGCTCTACCCATTCCGCAGCAGAATACCCTCACCTTTTGCGACAACCTGGACACTTCGGTCGTCGACGATCTTGCTCGCGATATCGTCAAGGTGGCTAAGATTGGCACGGTCATCCTGCTTGTGCTCGCCGTGCTTCTGCTCGCTTCCAACTGCTTGCTGGAGTGGTACAAGTGGCGCCTCCTGAAGAAACACCTGCAGAGGACCCGCGACGCGTGGACGTCGGACCCCAGCGTCTATAACATCACAGTCGCGAAGACGTCTGTGCCCACGGTTGACATGAGCGATCATAACCTGATGGTTCTCCAGGCGGACGCGCTTCATCCGCACCTGATGAAGATCGCGAATATGCTTGCGAGATTGTTCCGCATGAGCCCGTCGCAATACATTCACCTTCGTTGGTTCTTCCACTATGTTTTCCACCCGCCGGCTCTCGCATGCTTCCTGATCGGATTTTTTGGCCTGCTTTCGGTGCAGATCCAGATCATCGCTATCAGACCTCTCGCAGACAAGTATTCGCAGCAGGCTGCCGCGTCAGTCTCAGGGTACACCGATCTCATCGCTACGTCGATCAACAGCAGCATGTACAACCAGTCGTCTGTCTATGCCGACCAGGTGAATGCGCAAGTGGATATTGTTCAGTCAACGGTGAACGACGGCCTCTTTGGCTGGGTCAATAGCACGACTACCACGCTCAACGACACGATTAATGCATTTTACAACGATCTCCAGGATGCAGTCTCCACGGTGTTCAACGGCACGATCCTCGAGAGCCCGGTCTCGGAGTTCATCAAGTGCTTCATCGGCGGGAAGGTCAGCGACATCGAAATCGCGCTCACGTTTTTGCACAACAACCTGAACATCAACATCCCACGCGTGAACGAGTCCGCGCTCGTGCTCTCTTCCGCGCAGGTGAACGAGATGACGGCGCCGATCGCGACGGCGGCCGTGGGCGGGGGTTCCAACAACAGCACGGGTATCCTCGGCACCCTGATTGCAGACTACATCGAGGGGCTGAAGAAGGAGCGGATCATGTTCTCGATCTTCATGGGCCTCTGGGGCATCGTCGTCCTCATGGCGCTCGCCATCATCTTCTGGCACGCGTATGGCAGGGACTGGCTGGAGGCGCACCGCAGGCGCAAGTGGCAGCGGAGGCAGCGAGCGGGAATCAACGGACTGGTGATTCCTTTCCGGAACACCAGCACTTCGACCCCTGTGCCCCCTTTGAAGGACGAGGATGGTGGAGAGATGGTGGAGGTTAACTTGCCCTCGTTCACGCCCATGCCTTCTCCCCATCCCCGCTCTGGTATCTTCGACGGTATTCGTACGTCGATGCGCCGCCACAGCGGCACCCCTTCGCAGGGCCATCTGCTGCAACCCCCTTCACACCCGCTGAGCATGCGCAAACCCCAATTCGAGAAGAGTTGGGACAGCTTCCTTGATCATAGCGCCGCTGCTGCTTCCGCACAGCGTCACAGCAGCAGCCCCAGTATCAGCCATCCGACGAAGCTGATGTCGCTAGGGAGCAGGGGCCGCGAGCGGTTCACGGGCGACGAGAAGCAGGCCGATGTTGAAGGGGGCGCATCGGACAAGCATACCACCTCGTGGTTTCCCCGGCTGTGGAACGTGATGCGGAAGAACGATCGAGCAGAGGAGCAAATGGATGAGACATCTTCGCCTCGCGCAAGGGCGCGCCCTCAACTTACCATTAGAGTGGACGCGCCGTCGACCGAGAGCGACGATCTGACTGTAGTAGACGGTGCTGACGTTGATGATACTCCTCGTTCTGCTTGGTCGGTGTCGCCAGTGCTCTCTCCTCCCAAGTTACCCTGGATGCACAAACAGACACCTGCGAGGAAGTCTGATCTCCCATCCTCACATACTTCCAAGCCTCTACGCACTGACGTTCCTGTGAGCGTGGACTCCGTCTATGGTCCGCCTGAACCGCAGTTTCCTGTCGCTGTTCCCTTGCACCATGGCTTCGAACCAGATCCATCGATGCCCCACATAAGAGTACTTGTGCCACCTTCGCTCCACCCCACGATTATCGCGCACTCCTCCCAGGCGGTGGACCCGTTCGTAACGCCCTTTGACGACGAGCACCAGGTGCCAGATGTCCAAGTTTCATCCGATCCCTTCTCCGTGAGAAGGAGCATCCCCACGAACCCTTTCATTGCTATGGCTCTATGAGTGGGTGATCTCTTCATTATCTTTGTATTGATGTACGCGCTATCTGTTATTGGGCACGCTCTCGCATATGTGCTGCTCATCATCACTCCTTGTAGGCTCTCGCCTCTGCATATTGTATTGTTATCTCTCGTCTCTGACACTGATTGGTCCACTGACGTTGTAGCACAACCACTGTCGTATGCGCGCACATATACATAGAGACCGCTATATAATCGAGTACAGTCGTGTATATTATCCGCGTTTGAAATCGTATGAAGGGATGTGATGTGTCTTGGATTGCAAGTCGGGCACTTCCAACTTATGCCCGTCAGAAGTCTACTACTAGTTCTGTACTCCGGTACGGCGTCTTTCACCATACTTCTTGCATAAATGTGTATAAACGACAGCAAGCACTGACTATGGATGCGGCGGCTCTCATGATTGATCGCAGCTACATAGTCTGATCAGAGCAATCATGGTAGCCGCCGCATTTGCATGATCGATGTCAATGCAAAACATACCAATACGGGGCTGGCTCAGGGCGGCAGCAGTCGTGCCACAGGTACACAGGCACATATCCGAGTACCAAGCCTACCTGAAGATGAGTATAAATGCCAGCTTCGTCCCGCGGCTGTAAGCTGCGACGTCGAACCTCTATAGTCGCGCACCCAAGCCCTCCCTTAGGCGGGGACCTGAAGCTGCCTACAAAGGTACGCTATTCTCCTAAATCCCCCTCCAACACTGACAACTCCATGAAGTTTGAAGAGGTTAGTCGTCAAGAACATGCGATGCTGGTTCGTTTTCAGCAGCTGAAACACTCTAGTAGCTCAGTGTCACAATATTGACACTCTCCAGAGATTTTCCCTAGTGACCGAGTCCTGTGGTGCGTCCGCCGTGATCCATACTTTCGGAATATCGTCCAATTATAGCATCTTCTTCGAGTAACGTTCACGGACACTCACAGACCAAGGGACCTGCGTGTGATGTGTCTAGTGCTTGCGGATATCATATATTCTCTCCAGATTTGTGTAGAAAGTCCGGGATGTGTTTGCTGATGTTAACTCTGAACCAGGAACACTTACGTTCAAAACATCTCGGCCACCCCCATGTCGTCCGTCATTCCTTCACCGGCGTTACCTCTGGAAGTTCTAGAGCATATCACCGATTGGATTGGCAAGTGGCCGACCCATGTCTACAATATGGAGCGGAATGAGTTTGTATGGAGTGAGAGCGAGATGCGACACTCCTGGCCTGCGCTCTGACATGTCACGCCTGGTACTTCAGAAGTCGTCTTAATCTCCTTCACAGTATCAGGTTTCCCTCTCGGGAGCGTTTGGCCAAATTCACGGCTTTCCTGGCTGCGAAGCCTCACTTCGGCGAATACGTCGCATCAATATACATCGAGAACGAACTTGGAAGCAATTCTCATAAAGCTGTGCCTCCCGTGGCACCCTTTCCGCTCATGCTAGCGCGCTACTTGCCCCAGCTAGGATTCCTGCAGTTCAAATTGTCAACATTTCCACTGGTCCACAACAGTTTTTATTTAGGCTTGTCGGAATTCACGTCTCTCGTGCACCTCAGTGTGAGAAGCATCAATTTTCGCTCTGTCGAAGACTTCGGTCGCCTCGCGTTTGGCTTCCCTAATCTTCAGATTCTCTCCTGCACCAACATTCAGTGGACGAAGAATAGATTCGATCCCCTCGTTATTCGTCGCCATGGTCCTCACACACACTTGACCGATCTCCACGTTATGGGGTTACCTGCGAGTATCGCGGATATATTCCGTGTCTTCGTCGATGCGACGGCAGGCGCCTCTCTCCGTGACATAAAGCTATACACTTCGGTTCCACTTCAGGATATGGAGACAATCGGATTGGGCAGATTGTGGCAAGCTGCAGGCGCATCTCTTCGTTTGGTGGAGTTCGGTGTCTTTGCCAACGTCAATCTTGACGCAGAAAAATTGAAGAACACAGTGGGTAAGTATTTTCCGCACACTGTGTGATGCATGCCCTGATCCGTTATTATAGAACAGCATCTCAGCCTTGCGCAGAATGTCAACCTCACCTCCCTCACGATGGGGCTTATGGTTGGCAATGACCCGGACTACTCCTGGTTACCCGTATTTCTCTCCCAGATCACATCTCGTGAATTTCACGAGATTATATTCAATGTGTGGATCCCGCCCCAATTTCACGGCGATCCAAACATAGAAGGAATAATCCAGAGAGTCCTCGATTTGATTCATTGCAATCTCATTGAGGAGACACTCTCCCTTACGAAGTTTGCCAAGTTGCAATCAGTCACGTTCAAGATCCCGAGAACAACTGAAGTCTGGAAGTGGGACGAAGCACTCTTGACTCGGTTGCCGAAGTTGCACACACGGAATATTCTGCATTGTAGTGTGCGTGTTATTGTTCGCTCCAAGTGGGAGCGATGTTATTGAATATCCCCTGATTATTATTTAGGCGTAGATGTCAAATAGAACCCCAGGGCTACAAGCATTGCGCTAGATGATGGCAAGCTCACACCGCACTGCAAATCTATCATGGTTTGATACCATAGGCGTGTACAGAGCTCAATTGTATACTTATGTTATCTGTTCTCTGTCTATCCTTGTGTCCGTTCGTGTTCGTTCGCGTAGGAGAAAGCTCTCCGGTTGTGACAAACCTCAGCTTCATCTGACTCCGCTTAACTATCGGTTGGTTGTTTATCGTGCCCAATTGAAGTCGAGCCTTCAAACGTTTTTTTTCTTTATTCCCGTAGTACTACTACTCTACTCACTGTATCACAGTACCACCGCGATTGTTAAGGCAGTGGTTACATCACCTGCTGACCATCAGACGCAGGTTTTGAAAGGAATTCCCTTGAGCACCGTACGTGGACGTATGCGAATTTGCAGAGTACAGGTACAGTGTAAATGAATGCCAGTGAATCGATCGTGAAAGATATGTATGCAGGCTATCATGCTGTGAGACTCGTCCTGTAGCATACTCTTGGGACGTTGTAGAACATCATGACTTGTGCACTGCAAACATGGAAGCCGCTAGAGCTGACGCCGGTATGCGGGAGCGCTCCATACTGCCCTCCAACATGTTCAAGGCCCGAGTACGTTCGCTCATGACTGAGCCTACCCCCATCCATCCCATCAAATCATCTATCGCGTTCGCAACCCCTTCAAGTTTTTCGAGCGATATAGCGCCCGAAGCACTGTCATCTTCGGACAGAGCCTGGCACTCCGCGCCGTTCAACTGGTTGAGCATTCCCATGTCGCGAGAGCGTCGTTGTACATCCTGTACGAATGGACGACGTATTGCATCATAGACCTTCAGAGCATCGTCGACAGTTGCCCGAGTGACAAAAGGATGTGTAAGAAGAGAAGCGAGTATGTATCCATCCTATGACACCATGAGATAGGGACTGCCGCGGGTGCATCTAGAACCCTGGACGTACCTCGAATGCCTGTCCAGCTCCAGATGCTTGGTGAGGAGTCATTGCATGCGCCTAGCATACATATCAGCGCTATACAGGAAAGATAAGAACAAGGTGCTCACGGCGTCCCCAAGTAGAGCCACCCGCCCGCCAACGAAGGTAGGCAAATCCATCACGACGTTGACCGCCCAGAGAGACACATTATCCATGCACTATGTCGAGAATCAGCGAGACCCTGCATGCTACGACCTCTCCCAAACTCACTCTGAGCAGGCTCTTTACCTCAGGTTCCCAGGAATTGAAATTTTCCAATATCTCCTGCTTCGTCGCAGGCACCACCCAACGACCGTCGTATGGTTTGCCTTCGAGTTCAGGTTGTGAAATGAACAACGCAACATTGATTATCCGGCCATGGGAAACGGGATAAAAAACCAGGTGCTGTAGAGCGGGGACCGATGCAGTTAGGGAGCATTCACAGCAGAGGGAAGAATCCAACCTTGTTTTTCCCAAAACACTTGGGTGGTAGCTGAATAAGTTATGGCTTTTCAAATATCAAGGAAACTTACCATGAAACGGCCAGTGGTTGCTCTATGACCAGGATGCTCGCGCAGCAGCACGTCTGTTGAAACGAGACCACGGTAAACGGAACTACCGCTGTACGTCGCGTTCACGTGAGACAGCGCTTCTGCCGCCATTGCATGATCTCCATTGCGCTCAGCTCTCTCTGCGAAGGAGCGATAGAGGGCCCCACGAACAGTTGAACGAACGCCGTCACAGCCAACGACGACGTCGCAGGTGGCGAGAGATCCGTCCTGAAAACTGAGGACAACTTCGCCTGAAGCCGAATTGGTATATGAGACGAGCTTTTTGGAAAAGTGGATGATGTAAGATGGGGGGAGATGCTTGCTTATTGCACGTTGAAGCTCTGCTCTATGAAAGTTCGCTATGCCATCTAGAGAACACTTATAGCCGCAATAGTGACATTACTGTAGAAGTAAAAGACGTACAGCCAGTGGTAGGATTGTGAAAATCGATACCGTTCTGCTGATCACATTTTCTGTACTGAAATTGCACTACACGTCATTTAGCTACGTCCATGGGATTGTGATTACTAACTCATACCAGTATCTTCCCGGTATCCTAAGATCCGTAGGTCTTCCGCGAGCCCAAGATCAAACAAGATTCTCCGTGGTCTGTCCCACACGCCTATACCAGCACCATACTCAGTGAGCTTGGCTGCGGACTCATAGATGTCAACGCTGACGTCCTTGCTGAATCTGTGTAGCGACAGTGCGAAAGCCAGCCCCCCCAGACCTGCACCGCTATTTGCGTTTCGAGATTAGTACGTCAAAACATCCAAGGGCCGCCAACTCACACTATAGCAACTCGGAGTCTCGCCTCACTCATGTTGGGATACGGTTCCGACACGAAAGACGGACGCACATACCCATGGTAAGTCACCTCTTTATAAGATTTCGCCCCACCAGGACACTCTTCTGGAACCAGCGGAAACCTGACGATAAGCCAGAAGGGAATGTCTATGAGTCAGACTGTCTCGAGAAATCCACGGCTCGAACAAAAGCGCGAATTGGGAATGCCTTATGCTTGATATAAACATATGCTTGGAGCTTCGGGATAGCAAATACCATCGTACGTCGAGGATGCATGCCCAGTATTGCCTGCCGATTCCCCGTACAAAAGGCGCCCATTCACACAAGGTCATAGTGAAGCTACACCAGAGGTCAACATGACCTAAAGTTGATCCGATACTCTTACTGTGAAACCGTCTGGACCTGTCGACTCCGGAGGCACGTCTGCACTGCGGGCCATGTTGATTCTGGATTCTCTGGATGTCGTCGCGAAATCTGGGAGGATAAAGGACCCGCAAATATTCGACGCAAGGAACAACTCGAAGTTTGAGTCCATCAATAAGGGCCTGTTCGGTAGACGAGTGATATCGATAACTCACTCGAATGTGCGATATTCGGCATATTCCGAAGGCTCTCCGAACATTCCCGGCTGTCACGCGCACTTTTTGGTTATTGTTCTCACGCATGATGAGGCCGACGCCGACGACGCTGACAGCGGCGAGGATGTCCAGGCCCATGCACAAGGTTTTCTGCACTCTCAGGATAGTGAGAATTATGTCATGCTAGATAGTTCTGTAAAATTTTCTATGCTTAGTGGCCAGAAATGGGGGTACTGGTCACTGTGTCGGTATTTGGTGTTACCCAATATGGCTCGCCGCCACGGCACTGAACAACGGGCGCAGCGTCGGGACATGGCGAGCGGCGCGCGCTGGATGGAGGATGGACCAATTGTACCGCTGGGTCACACCGGGTCACATGCATCAGCAAAAGTCAACTTTTGGTTACCTCCATTTAGCTCCCTTATCTCCTTAATTAAGGAGGTCTCCGTTCTTAATTGGGCAATTAATGCCGATAAGGGTGAATAATGGAGGAATAAGAAACGGGATCTCCTTATTTTTCCTTAATCAAGGGATAATTCTATTGAGAAACCCTCAGAAACCCGGAAACCCCAGAAACCCTTTTGGGTAGTTCAGAAATCCGGTTTCTGAACCAGGAGGATCGGTTCACCGCCGGATGACATTGACGTGGACGGAGAGCAGTCCGGAGCATTAGCGCTGGCAGACGCACCAAATACATTGAATGTCGACCTGAAATTTGCCCGCTTAAGCTTCAGCATGTGAGTTACTCTACTATGAAATTAACTACCAGCAACTCGTCAGCCTCCGTCTCTGAAGCAGCACAAGAATCAGTGCAATTCCGCCAATTATGGCCTGTCCGCGAACATCCGGCAAAGATGCTGGTGGGAAGACCCTCCATGCATCTTTGTGCTACGAGCAGGCTTTGACGGCAGCGCAGCAACTGAAGGATGTTGTGATAACTCCGGTGCTGACTGCGCGAGGGCAACCGTGCACCTGTCAACTGGGTTATCCATTGTGTCATACTGGTACCACAGGTGAATCAACTTGAACGAGGAGCGACCCATTACTGAAGAGCCTTCCTTTAGACTGATAGGCTGGCGACGAGGAGGAGTGCATTCTTTATTATTGGCAAGGACTTGACAGCTGCGGTGGCGGTGGCGGTGGACCAATTGGGGTAGCCCACGAGGCCAGCCGGCCGGCCTCCGAGACTTCCTCCGGAGAGGGAAACCCCTCAAATTTCCAAGTTGGGGGGTTTCTTCGAGTGGCCCCGGAAACCCGGGGTTTCTCGGGGTTTCCGGGTTTCTGAGGGTTTCTCAATAGAATTATCCTTAATCAAGGGTATAACACCAGTAAGCAAAAGTTGACTTTTGCTGATGTAGCCGCTGTTGCCGGAGCGATCCCGAGAATCGCGGACTCGAGCGAATTATCGATATCACTCGTCTACCGAACAGGCCCTAAGCCCGGTTCGAGCTCTGGTTGGCTGGAAATTTCGTGTCACATGTCACATATATATCGGTCACGAATCTAAAATTTGGTCAGACACTGGAGGGATCGTTGTGCAAAACGTCCGGGGCGCTCTACGGATGCGTGTAAAAGTACGATGCTTCGAGCATATGGTTCATGCGCTAGCCTTTGAAGATACGAGGATAGCAAACGCTATACGATGCCGAGTATAACTGAGCGTATCTTGACATCGATGGTTCACATGAGGCCTCTTGTCTGTCATTTTGGGAGATCACTTCAGCAAGTACTCACAAGAGACAAAGAAGAGCATGGTATAACTATATGCGAGCTATAGCGAGCTCGCGCTCATCGCACGTGTCCTAGAAGTATCCCAGGCTGTGCGAGATACACCCAGTAGAGGGTATAGCCAATAATTCTCGTCCTTGCTGCTTGGTGTATCATGACACAGATGATTCACAATGTATGGCACTCAGTCAGACTTGTTCCATGTATATCAGTAACATCCACGCACTGGTTTAGGGCTTTAAAGGCAGGTTACCTCAATACAGTACATCGGCTTGCAACTCGTTGATCCTGCTGGTTACTACCCTGCCATCCTTGATGACTGCAAAGAGATGATATTCTGGATAATCCAGCACAGTTATGTCATCGAGAGGATTGGCGTCCAAAATTATCATGTCAGCGTAGGCACCTGGAGCGACGCGCCCAATCTTCACGTCATCGAGCATCAATGCTATCAACGGGAAAATCCCTATCAATGATCACAATAGCCATATCTCGAATGCACTCACCGGCGTTAGTTGTTGCGTGCTTGAGAATTTTCGGTGATGATAGAACGGAGGACCGAACTGTGAACTGAGAGAAGGCTTCAATGTTGCTGTAAAGGACTCAGCGGCAGTGACTTCATTACCAACCTCCTCAGTCTGCAGAGCTTGCAAGGACGTCAAGAGGTCAGAACCGCTAGATAGAAATCTGTCAGAATCGCAGACAAAGGCCGGCGAATGAGTGGACGGACTAGCAAACAGTCACACCGGCTTCATCCGCGATTTTGAGTGCCTCCAAACCATGTTCCATAACTTGTTCATTCTTCGCCTTCGAGTCAGGAGGAAGAAAATCTTCATATGGCGGACGGGTCATGATTCTGTAGCATGAAAGGGTCGGGGTCAGAAATATACCCTTCTCGGCCATCCTGTATTTCACATTAATCATGGCCAGGAGACCGGGAAATAACACTTGCAGTTTGGCCGTCTCGGAGCTTATCAGATTTCCATGCTCGATACCTTTCACTCCATTCTTGATCGCATGAAGTACAGACGCATCAGTATATGCATGCGCTGTTGCTGGAAAGGTAAAGTGGATAAATTTTTGAACCCATTGATAGTTGTCGTCCTGACTTACTGTGTCTGCTACCCATGTGCCTACAGGTCGTGGTGATGGCTTGAATCTCTTCCGCAGTGAACTGTATAGTCTCGATAGCGTCCTACGAACACAAAATATTTGAGCTGCTACGGTTACCGCTGCCAACGCAGACTCACGGTTGGAGACGCTACGCCTCCTCCACACATAACCTTGATAAAATCAGCGCCTGCCTTCAATTCCTCACGGGTAGCTTTCAGGACTTCTGGTACACCATCACAAGTACGACCCAATGATTGAACATGCCCTCCACAACAGCCAGTGTTACGAGTCGCCGGCCCGAAATCAGAGTGCCCTCCTGACAAAGCAAGATATTAAGATATGGACGGGCTCGCGAGTTCCTGCAGTATCGCTTCGCACCAGTCTGAGAGAGCGCTTTACCGCATTGAATTAGTCTTGGTCCAAGGATTAATCCTTCAGAAACAGCGTCGGCTAGAACCTTGCTCGCACCGCCTACGAACAGCGACATCATCTTCTATCAATGGGCTCTACACAACCCTCGACATATCCTTGACATACCTGTGTCCCTGACAGTAGTGAAACCACGTAATAACATTTCTTTGAAGACCAATGTAAGCTGTTCAGAGACTGACGCAGATCGCGCGCGTTTCAGATACCTCGAAGTGCATATGTTGACCTTAAGTTGATCGCTTCTTCGGGCAACCGCGCCATCTCAGTCACTGTTTTAACTCCTGGCACTGCTGTGACATGGACATGACAGTCAATGAGACCTCTGGCAAAATTCAGATGCAGATAGGTGGGCAACGGAGTCAACTTATGAAACTTACGGGCATAGATATTTCCCCCCAAGATCAACGATGCTAGGAAATTGCTCATGATCATTGCCTGATATTGCATTGTACAGTTGACTGGAAATAATTGACACGATATGACCTTCCCGGATGTGCACGTCCTGTAGACCCTGCACGAGGGACGATCTCTCGGGGTCGACGACTTGAGCGTTGCGCAAAATTAAATCCGGTGGATACGGTTTAATCCATGGCTTGACTGCAAGCTTAGGCAGGCTGACAGAAGCAATAAGTATTTCACGTTCGACTACAAAATAGCGCACACCTACAGGCTGTCCCTCGTCTTCTCCGGTGAACCTGGATACACTTCGAGTTTATGTCCTTTCACATGCATACCGTCAACCTATGACAACTAGTAAAGTGTGCACTTAAGAGGACCTGGGAGTGAGATGCAGAAGAACTACTGCACGAGAAATTCGTCGAGGATCTGCACCAAATTCTTATCTACAGTATCCGCATCATGGGAAGTCAACTAGTCACCACTGGTAATCCCGAAAAAAAATTGTCGCAAAAACAAGCGCGTTGTCTGTACTGCTCGGCTGGCTACGAAATCCTCTACGACTTTGCGGAAAGTGTTGTTGAGCTCGCAGTCGACAGGGTATATAATGTTTTCGTCTTATGCGACTTGCCTAGTGAAGGGTTCCGGAAGCTTCCAGCCGGCCTGCCGCAATGCTTAGGTAATATTACCCTTTACAAAATTTGAGGAGAGCACTTCGCTTTCCCACCTTTCCTTCACCTCTTTCATCATGCTGGCTGCGCGTTGTCTCCGTTCCGTTGCTCGCACTGGCAACTATGCCGTGAGTGTGGCTTGGAACCGTCTGAAGTAGCACCGCTGATCTTTTTGCAGCGTATTCCGCGGTCGCTGATCGCGAGGAATATGAACTCGAAAGTCAATGGTATGCGTGGCATTCTTCTAGCCATTCGGAGCTTCTGAGCAGTTTGTAGGCCCCGTCATTGGCATTGACTTGGGAACAACGAATTCTTGCGTCTCCGTTATGGAGGGCAAGACGTCACGGGTGATTGAGAATTCGGAGGGTGCACGGACAACACCGTCCGTTGTCGCATTCACGAAGCATGGCGAGCGGTTGGTCGGTCTGCCAGCCAAACGCCAAGCTGTTGTCAACTCGCACAACACCGTGTTTGCTTTCAAGCGTTTGATTGGTCGTCAATTCAACGATGCTGAGGTCAAGGAGGATATGCAGCATTGGTGCGTGTGTTGCTGGTCGTCATTTTTTTCTGTCTGTGTTAATGACATATATCCAGGCCTTTCAAGGTGGTACCCAAGCCCGATGGACGCCCTGCCGTTGAGGTCGACAACGGCGGAAAAAAGCAGATCTTCGTGAGTAATATGGCAATGTTCTATTTTGTCGCGTCTCCTAACGTTTATGTAGTCCGCGGAGGAGCTGTCATCGATGGTCTTGGTGAAGATGCGGGAAACTGCCGAGCAGTACCTCAACAAGAAAGTAAAGTGAGTGCTCCTTCCTCAGCCACGTCATCACGTGAATTTCGATTGATCGTGCCTTAGCCATGCTGTGGTTACTGTTCCTGCATATTTCAACGATGCTCAGCGCCAAGCAACAAAAGATGCAGGACAAATTGCTGGCTTGGATGTACTTCGGGTGATCAACGAGCCGACAGCAGCTGCCCTTGCCTACGGTCTTGACCGTGTGGAGTCGGCCGTGATTGCTGTCTACGATCTTGGCGGTGGAACCTTCGATATCTCTATTCTTGAGATGCAGAAGGGAGTGTTCGAAGTCAAGTCGACCAACGGTGATACCCACCTTGGTGGTGAAGACTTCGACATCGTCCTCGTGAAGCATATCTTGGACGAATTCAAGAAGGAGAACGGCCAGGATCTGGGTCAGGATCCGATGGCGATCCAGCGCATCCGTGAAGCGGCCGAGAAGGCGAAGATAGAGCTTTCGTCGACTTCACAGACCGAGATCAACCTGCCGTTCATCACCGCCAACGCGTCAGGCCCCAAGCACATCAACCTCAAGATCCTGAGGTCGCAATTTGAGAGTCTCGTGGCACCACTTATCCAGCGCACCGTCGAGCCTTGCAAGAAGGCGTTGGCTGATGCCGGCGTGAAGGCGAACGAGGTGAATGAAGTCATCTTAGTCGGTGGTATGACTCGTATGCCTCGCGTGGTCGACACCGTCAAGTCCGTTTTCGGTCGTGAGCCCAGCAAGGGCGTGAACCCTGATGAGGCCGTCGCCATCGGTGCATCCATCCAGGGTGGAGTTTTGGCGGGGCATGTCACTGACATCCTGCTTCTCGATGTCACTCCTTTGTCCCTTGGTACGTCTTCATGATACGCCCGGTCGTGTCCCTTCTCATGTTATTCTTTTAGGTATCGAGACGCTCGGTGGCATTATGACCAAATTGATCCAGCGCAACACCACAATCCCGACGAAGAAGACGCAGACCTTCTCCACCGCCGCTGATGGCCAGACTGCCATTGAGGTCAAGATCCACCAGGGTGAGCGTGAGCTCGTCCGTGACAACAAGCTCCTTGGCAACTTCAACCTCGTTGGCATCCCCCCTGCGCCGAAGGGTGTCCCCCAGATTGATATCACCTTCGACATTGATGCTGGTATGTGCTTCACATTGTATGGTATGTTCAGGAGCTGACACTTTATTGTAGATGGTATCGTCCACGTCACTGCCAAGGACAAAGCGACGAACAAGGACCAGTCTATGACCATCGCGTCGTCATCTGGCTTGAGCGACAAGGACATTGAGCGCATGGTTTCTGATGCGGAGCAGTACGCTGAGACGGACAAGGCGCGCAAGAACGTTATCGAGGAGGCAAACAAGGCGGACTCTGTCTGCTCTGATACCGAGAAGGGTGAGCTTACATCCTTATTCGTATGAGCAAGCTTCCGTTAACCGTCATTGCAGCGATGAACGAGTTCAAGGACCAACTTGATGCCACGGAGAAGGAGAAGGTCGTCAAGCTCGTTGCTGAACTCCGTGAGATCGCTGTTAAGGGCCAGGCTGGCGATGCATCGGTTACTGCTGAAGCCATCAAGGAGAAGATTGGTGAGGCACAACAGGCATCACTTGGTCTCTTCCAGAAGGTGTGTACAATCAGTTATCGACATTCGCTACCGTAGCTTACACAGGGTCTATCAGGTGTACGAGAAGCGCAACCAGGACAATGCCAACTCTGAGCCGGCCGAGGAGAAGAAGGATGAGGAGAAGAAGGACTAAGCGCCTCTATCCTCTCCTCCTTCACGAACCCATGTACTATCGGCACATTCCCGCAACGAACCGACTGTCCCTGTTGAGATCACCTCGACTTCGTCACGGTTCTCGCCCAGTCCGGTTCCATAGCCCGGAGTACTCTCCCTTTAGCAGACTAGAGAAAAGTAATCACAGCGCAGCTATTTGCTTTACCTTATGATCACATCGCATACTATTTCACGTAGTAGTATTGAACGCTCAACCCCCTCTCAGCATCGCTCCTGCTATGTGTATTGTCTCCGCTCACGCTCCCCCGTAATCGTACGCAATGTATCACATTCGCATCTGGAGTATCAAGTGCGCATAGGACTTAAAGATTCTCGACGTCGACGTCCTCGAGAGTGGTCCGTAACGTCTCCGCCACACGTTAACATTTGGTCAAGAATTTACTTCATAGACTCCACGCAACTGCCTACAGATAGCAGTGGTATACGAAGCATCCAACGTCAGAGTTTTGATGTGATCCCGCCAGAATCCTCGGCCTCCCTGAGAGCGTCCCATGCAAACTTCCCAATGATAGGGAACATGTCCCCCATAAAGGATGCCCTCTCAGAACTTGCCTGCCGCAAGGCATAGCGAGCTGCGATGCCCTGCAAGATGACTGCCGTCTACGAGGAACGCGTCAGTACAGCACTCTGGTTGGAGAGAAGGGCGTACGCGGAAGAGCATCCAGCTGCGCGCGAAGCCCATCTCCTTGATGGGATAAGACTGCTGTGTGAGACGGCAGTATTCGCGCTCTAGTTCTTGCAGAGGCACAGGCATGTCGTTCGTATTCCTGAAGCCGACCATTGCCGCGCCCGTCGTGACCTTGCTTGAGTCCATCACCCACGGCTGCGTCAGGTTCGCCAGATCTGCGAGCTGTTGGAGCATCCCGTCAGCATCTTGACGAAGAGAAGACGAAGCGGGGGTCTAACCGGACTACCGAGGGTACACAGCTCCCAGTCGAGAATACCAATAACGCGATTCTCGGTCGGGTGGAACACCAGATTGTCGAGCTTGTAATCGCCGTGCACGATGCGGAGCCCGGTCTTGCGCTCGTCGGGCAGGTTCTTCTGGTACCATGCGACCATCTCGTCGAACCGCGGGATTGCGCCTACGGGCTTATCCGACTCGATGTCGACGGCCTGTGCTTGCGCGAGGGACACGCGGGTGAGAGACTTGATTTGACGGGGGAAGTATGGCGTCGATGGTCCGAATGCGGACAGCCCGAGTTCATTCGGGTGCAGGGAAGAGAGCGCGGCGAGGGCACGCACAGCAGCCAACCAACTGAGAAGTGGTAGTATTCAGACGTACTGAACTATGTCCGATGATAGGATGGGCACTCACCACTCACGCCTTGTTTCCTGGGATACGCCCGGCATCCTCATGTCAGTGAATATCCGCCCGTCCAAGAATTCCATAATGTAGAATGGGGTCCCGATGACGGTGGTATCTTCGCATAGTACAAAGGGCTCTGGTACGGGTACCTTGCGCTCGGGAGAAGTGGCCGGATTTATGTTGTGTTTGAACAGAGCTCGGAGCATAGTGTATTCCCTCTCAACCTGGTGAGCTGTCGATGAGAGCAGCTGTCCATCGGGCTTCTTGCGCAGCACGAATCGTCTTGACCTGTTCCACGGCAAGGCTATTCAGCATAATTAGAAGATACCACGGACAACGTCGCGCACCTCGCATCGGTCAGGAAGTACGTCGGGTTCGACTACGAATGCTTATTTATTTAATGACGCTCTCAAGCACAACATCACTCGAGAGTCGACAGACCTGTCCAAACTGCACTCCAAGTCAGAGGTTGGCGCCCTCCTCAGAGCCTGCAGCAACTCACCTTGAACTGCTTAACGTCCACCGGCGCGTGGATCGCCTCAACGTGCTGAGACAGGTATGCGTTCAGCCTGTCCACATCGATATTGGCGCGCACCGGACCATACTCGCCGCCAACCTTGGTCGAGGACATGGTAGTCACAACTGTAGGACAACGCGGGCTTTCAGCTTTCCGGTATCGCTACGTGGGACGGGTGAAGCACGAGTTACTTACATCCGGCACACCGGGGAATGTTGGACAATGGCCGAGGGAGGAACGGTGCAGGTGACTCTCATATCAAGAATGGTTTGAAACACTCGTTCCGTATCCCCAGCTGAGGCCGGTACAGTCCAATCATGGAGGTTGCGCCCCAACAGGAAGTATTTTCACGCGTAGTACTACTACTCGAGAGCGTACTCTTCGAATGATCATCGATCAGAGGTTATACTGTACAGCTCAAATTTACGAGGTAGCGTGGAAGAATCATGAGGCGAATTCAACTGGAAGTCCGCTGCAAGCCGCCACCTGATGTTTAAATCTCTGTTGTTATCGCAAGCACGACCACGACTTGAGCCGCACATGGGATTGTATCCCGACATGGACGCCATCTCGCCATATGATTCATAGGGCACAAATGAGACGTCTAGCCGACTCAGCCACGGTCAGTGCCGCAAGGTAGCGCGATGGCGAGATCCCCCAATATAGCTCAACTCTACCGGAAGGGAGTGAATCCTGCCAAGCCAGCTTGTCAGACTACGCGTCAGCGCTCAGTGCATCATGAGGGTAGCGAGGATTGGCGGTCGGTGCTTACCTTGGAATGCTCCCAAGTTTAGAAAAAAGAAACTGCACTAAAGTCACAAGTCAGCCATGAGCTTGACATCACGGTAAAGAAGAGCGGAAGATAAGTTCAGCAATAACTTAATAGAACCATCAAGGGAAATGCCAGGGCTTGACTTCTAGACTGTTCGATCGTGTGGCACTGAGCCTGGAATAACGCTCACAGCTGGTATCGCAAAATGTAGGGTATGACATGAATCTGCCTGGCAAGTCTCAACGCCGCAGAGGCGGAGTAGTGCAATCTTCGAGAGTCAACGTTCGGCAGGAAGGGGCTGAAATCGGGTGTAATACTGTTTTGTCTGCGCCTCCACCATTTCTTGTGTGGACTCAGGAAGGTCTTCAACGAACCGTCCTAAATTGAATGTCAGTACATTCTTCGACAACAACAAAAAAATGAACACACCAGGTGAACCGGCGAAGAGCGCCAATGCGGGAATTACAGTGTTTGGTGGAACAATCGTGTTGTCTGCAATCTTCGCGCAATCTTTAATGATAGTGAATTTGCCCTAGGCATACCGGTGTGTCTACAAGAAGGCCAACGAAGAAAGTGAATCTGTACACGTACTATTACACAGTTTTTCCCGATTTCTACGTGATTACCGATAGTTGCTGCTTCCACGATTGTGTTCGCACCAATGTGCACATAGTCACCAATCTTCATGGGATAATAGTTGAAATTACCGCGGTACGTCTTGTACGGCGGTCTGTGGGTAGGTGGGCAAAAATATTTTTTCTGTATAAATGATGACCTGTGTTTGTGGCTCAACGGACGCACCTCATAACGCAGCCCTCACCAATGAGACAGTACCGGCCGAGCGAGATGACTACTGCATGTCCGGGTCCCGTTCGCCGCAGATCGCCTCGAATTATCGCGCCGCTGGATATGATCGTTTTCCCGCCCAATATAATGTTCTGAGGACCAGCGATAGTTGCGCGTCGGGAGACTTTGTTACCAGTGTCCTATTGTGAATAAAAAAAGGTCAGTCTTACATGAAGCGAGATGAAGGGAACGTCCTCGTACAGTCTCAATGTATTCCGCCCTCGTGTAATAAATTGGCAAGTCCATGGCGGCCAGTAAACTCTAGCGCTTGAGATGATGGCTCGCCGGCAGCACAGCGGCGGGCGCCTGTCGGAGTGGTGGGCTTGTGCCACTCCACCATGTCGGCTTGTGCTCAGCTTCTCCATCGACAAACTACTTTCCCCTGCGCGGCGATTCTAGCTGCTCAATTCAGACGATGCACCTCACCCCGCCAGCTTCACGTTCAGAACAGCCTCCTTCGTCGATGGTTTCCGAGGAGAGTCGCAGTCGCGAACGCGCGTCTGAGCACTGCGACATCCAGCCCAACACCGGCATCTGACACCACCGTACATGGCGACCAGCGTGCTATCAAGTCTACGCTCGATGATGCGTCCAAGGATGCGACATACTATGGTCCCCTCACTGCGACATTCCGCCGGCTAAAGATGTTCTCCTTATCCTCCCTTGGCCTAACGCTTGCCGTAACTCCCCTCATGTTCATCATGGAAACCACCTCTGCCCTCCCTCTAACAGGCCGCTTTGTTCTGGCGGGTATTGCAGTCGCCACTAGCGGGGTGTCGACCGCGCTCATCTCCTGGTGCGGCAAGCCCTACGTGACTAAGCTGCGATGGCTCGAGCCGGAAGGCACGCCGAAGGAGAGCACCCGCGCGTTGGAGATGACTACGTTCACCTTACGGCTGCGCGAGCGCATCACACGCGTGTACGATACCGCGTTTTTGGTGCCTGCGAGTCGACCGTTCGCGACATGGGAGCTCGCAGAGATGTTCCAGTTGCCTAGGGCGGAGGCGGCTCGGGAGAAGAGCGCGGGCCTGCTACCTAGAGAGGAGACTATCGCAGAGACGACGAACAAGGATGGGAAGGTGATTGGGCGGTGGATCGTGAATTGGAGCGAGGATGGTATGGGCCGGTGTCGCGAGATCGGCAGGGTTGCGAGGTCAGAATCTGCTGTATGTAGGCGTGGTCAATACTCATTGCTTTTTGTCAGGTACTTCAACGTACACGAAGAGCTTTTGGACAGGCCCATTCGATGATGATTATTCCCCTCCCCCCCGGATAATATTTGGATATCTAGCGACTCCCGCCTCTGCTCTTATACTCTTGTACCAGTTCCACCTGGCTACTTTATCCCTGGTGGAATAATCGAGGTTCATCCAATTCTGTGTGGCCTTACCTTGTTGAGGTCGGTCTTTGTTGAGAGCCAGCAGGTGATTCATCCTCTCCCTGGGAGCGCCTTGTCTGTATGTTATTTGTGTCCTCGAGTGCTGGGCTAAATCGACCTTCGATTATAAGCCATCCAGCAAGTGAGCTACCTATCCTTTCATGACTAATCTGATTGCTAAACGTGGATTCACTCGCAGCTCCTTCTTCGTCGGTTCAACCAGTTTTCATTCAGCTGTAGCTGCGATAACTCCCTTCCATCGTTCGCGCTGTGCGCTGCTTGCGCAGAGCGATGCATTATTAGGTCTGGTATAAACGTCCCCGAAACGCCAGAGGGCATGGTGGGTTTCATCAGTCAGATTATTCGTAAATCTGCACAAGGGAAAGGACAGCGAATATTTGAGATTGATCGGTTTTATTACATCAGGGCACCCAGCAAGCTCCCAAGCTTTCGCCAGCCAATCTGCCGCTCCGGTCTAATCCTGCGACGTGTCCTGCCGGTGCGTTTCCAAACACGACACATGGCATCTCCGCGAGTCTTCTCAGTTCTCGATTAGTGTTCGAATCTGGTGCCTGCTGCTCAGCCGGATCCCCAAATACCTGGTTCTTACTCCAACCGAAACCTGCAGCGATGCGTACTGCGCGTTCATTTCGCTGCTTGCGCCGCGAAAGCATCTTGTACAGCCACGGCTTCTTGCCGTCTTTAAGTGTACCATCGAGATAGCATGTGCACAACGCCCACGACGTAATCCCGCGTTCACATGGGAGTAACCTATACTTCTCGCACAGAGGCTTGAGTTTGGCCATCTCCTACTGTGTCGACGCAATGAGAGGCGGCTGCGGTAATGTTCTGACTGACGGTGGGATGCAACGGAGGAGTTGTACCACAGATGTATTTTCACAGTGCACGGACAGAATGGAGGGCGAACCAACGTCTCTTGAGGTTGTCGAACCAGTCCAACATGTCAATGGTGTCAGGAAGCCCCTCGGGAATAGGTGTGACATCCGCATCTACACATGGAATGTCTTTGTTCCCTGATGAGCTGCCTTGAGAACGATGGTGAGAGGGTCCTCAAAGGGCATGATAAATATCCGTGAGGACGTGAGAGCCTCCATTGCGGTCAGCCGCCGTCAGAAGCGTCCGGTGAGAGCTCCTCCAGTACTCCGGATCACAACATGGAACGATGAGAATGACCTTGCACTTGCCACCCCGTACGATATCTTCGAGGTTCCCCACGTTGAAGACAAATTGCCCCTCTGGCGATAGCTGATATACCATACCCCACGGATGGCAGCCTACCAGCACGACCACCAGTATGTCCTCAGAGCACGACGCTCACACAGCTTTATCCAGTCTGTTAAGAAAAATCGGCCTGGATGAAGGCAGGGGATGACTTGGGAAGGACCACTTCAAAAACAGGCGACTTGGCCAGGACTCGGCTGACAGCACTATCATCGGTTAGAACAAGAGTGATCTGACTTACCGTTTTACTGGGATTTAGGGTGATAACGTAAATCCTGTCGATTAAACAACCTTAATGGGGAGGGGACAGCCCCACCAAGAGGCCTCTTGGCTGCACGGGAGTAATCCGTGCAAAGCAGCGAACTCGCCGGCCATCTCTGGTCGCTCTTCATATCCCCACTTGCAAGCGGCACTAAGACATGGCGATGCTTGTGCTTGCTGGACAGCCCACAGACCTGCAATTACGATGGTATTCAGTGATCTGTAGAAGGGTATGCTTGAGGAGTAGGGGCTGACCTCAGGCTGGTCATAGCCGCCGGAGAAGAACATAGACATTACGCTGGAAGGGCCGCGCGATAGAGATGATATGAGGGCGCGGAACATGGACACAAATAAGAGACACGAGAGAGTTCTGCTGTCACAGGTCACTGTCCGATAAATTGATACAGAAATGGAGCACGACTTCATTCATACACGTATCCTTACTCTAAGCGTAATTTCAGTCTAGAGAATTTCGTGAAAATTAGTGCAGAGTCTACGCATTAACCCGACCGCAATGTAAGAAATACTCGGTAGATCGTCCACGGATATATGTTACGCGTATAAATATGAAACGTGAGATCGTCTGACGAGCATTGTCAGTCAGGCTGAAGAACGGCACAAACAGAAGGCGGGCTCACCCAAAGATCATGCATGGACGACCGCCTCATAGGACGGCGGCGCCTCGCCGATCTCGCTCTCCTGCCCGGCGACGAGCCGCTCGAACTGTGTGCTGCGATCATAAATTGAGTCGGGTTCGAAGGCCGCGCCCGTGTGGCTGGGACTCATGCTCATGCTCAGGCTCTGTTCCGAAGTAGTGGTACTGGAGTGAGCAGAGAACCCCAAATCCGCGTGCGTAACAGGGCCAGGGGATAGTAGAGACGTGTAGCGCGAGCGGTCGCCATTGAGCTGCGTGGCGCTGCCCGGCAAGGAGGTCCAGTGCAGCGTCGTTCCGGGAGTTGGTTCCATTACCCGTGAGTATGGTGGTAACGACAGGTGTTCGGGATTGCACAGGTACTATGAGAAGCCCTGCGTTAGCACTCAGAGTGCGGTGGGAAATGGGGAGAGACCAACAGAAAGTATGTGTATGGGGGTTTGCACAACAATGTCAAACAATTTTCGCTTTCCCGTATGCGGGTCAAGAGCCTCATTGTCGCCCCGTTCTACTCGGAAAACAATCTTGAGCGTATGCGACACGGACATGTTGCTCCGCCGATTCTTGTTGGTGAAGTGCAGCGGGGTATGCTCCTTGAGCAAAGATATATCCTTGTGCAGCGTCCACGGCCCAGGACCCATTAGACTCGAGGCGAACTCACCCACGTCGGTGTCAGCGCCTACTACATCGACGAAGGGAGAATTTCGGAAGGCGTCAGGGTCATCTGGGTTCAAGGGTAATATGGGAGGCCCATCTTTTTGAGGGGACTTGTAGGAGAGGAGGGATACTCGTGCTAATGGATCTGACCGGACGACACGCTTAAAGTTCGTCCAATAATCGATTTTTTCTGAGATGCGGTGAAAAACTGGTTTGTTGAAGATAAAAATGAAGTACCTTCGATTAGAACGGATATGCGATGGATCTTCATTTTCGTCCATGGCATGAACGTGATCGTGACGGGCATGACGCCGCCTATTGCGAAGCAGCGCCCGGAGATCGAGATGAGGTACTGCATCTGCGTCTCCCATTGGCGCTCGACAATGATGCTCTCACTTTCTTCCGTATCATCCTCCCCAGGACACGCGACGACAGTGATCTCTTGCGTGGCAGAGAGTTTCGACGTGAACGTGCCAGGGCGGTGAGCGTACGCCTTGAGGTTCCACGATACCGTTCCGTAGTCACAATTAAGAGTGGGCGGGGACATCGCTGGGATGGCAAATGAGATGGGGTAAGTGTATACACCTATAATCCCCTAGCGGGTCAAATCGCGCCCTCACTCGAATGTAACAAGGGCGATACTCACCTTTCCGGAACTCTTTCCAGCCGTCCCCGATCTCCTCTGCACTCTCTCCATCATACCCACGGAGCCGCGCCTGCATCGGGCCAGCAGGTGCCCCATCCGGTCGCTCGAGCGTCCGTTCCACGGCTCTGCCCCGAGGTGGTGTAGCCTCCCTGAATTGCTCTATCATGGGAGAACGAGACCGTACATGATCTCTAACCGCATCTAACAGCACACTCGACACGTTCGCGAAGCTGAAGCGCTTGTGCTTCCTCCCACGCGCGTCTTCGCCGCTGCCCATCTCTGTACCTTCTGATGACCTCGAAGGTTCCCTGCGGGGCGCCAACCGCGACAGCGAGCGGGGTTGCAGCGTGCCGGTGCTGTTACCGACTTGAAACTCCCGATCCTCATCGAGGCTGGGGCGCCCCGAGTACAGGCCGTCCTGGGGAAAACTAAATGTAGTGGATTCTGGGACGAGCGACTGAGAACGACCCGAGAAGGTGCCTTATAATGGTAGAGTCAGTTGTTTTATATACCCGAGATTCACTGAGGACGAACTACGATGATCTGCGTCAGAATCGCCGTAAGTCATCCGAGAGCTATCTGGGCTCCGCGGGGGCGATTCTTCTAGCGTATGCATACGATATGAGATGGAATTCCTGGGGCTAAGCGAGTATTGTGGCGTGGCTTCCGGAGAGTATGCCGGGGACTGTGGTGAGGGAGGAAGTTGACCACTGTTCTCGCGATGTGAGACGAAGCCGCGTTGGAACGTTGTCTGGTCCACGCTAAGGTGCCGTCGGGTGGCTCTGTTGAAACCAGCCGATGGTGGGCCCCGGTCACGTCCCCTCTGCTCTTCCGGTGTTCGTGCAGCATCAAGCTGTTCGCTGGAGTGGTCGGAATGGTCCTCGTCTTCGTGATCCAGCGCGAGACCTGGGCCTACTGAGAGGGTACGGCGGCTGCTGAAGGGGGACGAACCAGCCCGAAAGAGAACGTAAGACTCTGAATAAATGTCGTGCTCCTCGGAGATATCTATGCGGCGTGCGCCGATGCCTATCAGCGTGTTAGGATAACAGAATCGACCGCAGGCCTGTGAACGACACACCTTCTGGCCAAGCAGTGCTGGTCTTCCCCATCAATTCGATCTCAATAGACGAAATCCGGGTTGGCTTGACGAGAGTGAGAGTGAGGAGGCCGCGGAGCATCCCCGGTGGCGCATCGGCCTGGATAGAACGTAGTCGGCCTGTTGCATCTCCAGCACGGAGGAAGACTACATTTTCAGCGAGGCGAATCTCGAGAGTGTTCTTGTGTGGTAGCTTTGCACTACTGGGCATTAGCATACGTCAAGGCCGGAGAGGAAGAGTGCGACAGAGCGCTCGAGGGTGTTTGTTAGCAGAATGAGCAGAACCGGGCCAACGCGGGCCTGAACAAATTTACAGAGCAAGGAGCCGGATCACGCTGTTAGGTATACAAATAGACTGCAATGAGTCAGATTTTTGAGAAAATGAACAATCAATAACTGCGAAGGCCACGAACGTTGCTCGCAGGCTCTGAGGAGAGGAGCGGGTGCACGACGGTAAGGAGGAGGAGAGGAGACGGACTGAGGCGAGGAGCTATGCCGACAGGAAATCCAGATCGGGCGACGCCGCAGATCCACGCATCCATGCAAGATCCGCCTCTCCCATACATTACATATTACGTCCCTGAACTCAACACATGCCACATAGCCAGGCAGAGGGAAAAATAACAGATAGTACCAGGTGCACACATCCGCGTATAACAACTAGATATCTCACAATAATGTAGTCTACACAACAGCACGAAGCAGAGCAGCAAGCACGTCTAGGACCTCGCCAAATTCAGTCGTCACTGTCATGTGAAGCGGAATCAGCTCTTCCGGAACGCAAAGGAACACAGCCAAGGCCAAGGCTCACTCTGCCGGTTCTCGTCTCAGGAACAAGTCTATTACGGCTGAAAATGCCGCAAACGCCACGCCACCACCGAGAACTGCCTTCGGTCCCGCATTTCGCGCGAGAACACCGCCAGCCAGAAAGCCTGCGGCTACAGGATTGACCATGTCGTTCTTCGCCCGATACTGCGTGAGGTCACGCTTGATTAGGATCTGCAGACTGACACGAGCTTGTACTCCACGTACCGATTCTAGTACGCATTCCAGCCCGGCAAACAGCGCACCGACTTTGCCAAAACCTTTCCCGCTGCGCCACATGCCCCGACCCATTTCCTTGAAAATTTCCGACGCCTTCTGCGTCGTGCTCAGACTTGCTCGAGCCATCGGGTCCTCGTACGCGAACGACGAGCTCATGAGAGAGAACACCGCTCCGATGGCGAAACCTATCCGATAGTGAAGGCTTCTAAAAGATGTCCCAAGCTGACATTCAACATATTGAAAGAGACGCACCTCCACCCCCCGCAATGATCGTCTTTGCTACGCACGACTCCATACCCATCGTCATGTAGTCCTGGTATTTTTTGGCTTGGAGGAACTGCTCGCGTTCTTCCTCTGTAATACCTGGAGGTAATGGCTCCTTGCCTGCCGGGTAGATCGGCGCGACCATGGGTATCGTGAGTGACATGGTGGGAGACGGAGACGAAGACTCGTCCAACAGATCAGTGACAGGTTACGCTGTACACGAAATAACCACAGGTCGGATTACGTAAGCTGGCGGTCACCAAAAGTAGTACTTGCCCGCCACCCGGCGCTAAAGTGAACTTGTCTCGGAATGTTACCACCGCTTCAGCCTCGACCGCGCCAGCATCCTCACCCGCATTCAGTGGGCCGCCATAACGATCCTGATGGTGCTATACGCCTCACTGACAACGATGCCGCCATTGCTCGTCTGTCTGCTGTGCAGAGGCACTACCTCGCCGACCCCTTCATCACTCACTTCGTCCCGCGCGCACACCTACAGCCTGTCCGGCCCCCGCTGATTAACATAGGAACTTATGTTCGGTCCGAGGCACTCGATGAGCTTGTCGACCGGTGGTTGGCGCTCGCGGAGCAGGAAGGCAAGCCCTGCCAGATCGTGAGCTTCGGGGCGGGAAGTGATACCCGCTTCTGGCGCATTACCGTGCGTGTGTCTCCTACTTGCCTCTGAGCACGTGTGACAGCGACCCTTAGCCAGGCGGGGAAGAGAAATAGCTGGCTGAACACCTACATTGAACTCGATTTCGCGGAGAACACGATCAAAAAGGCTATGGCGATCCGTAAGAGCAAGGATTTGAGTGCTATCCTGGGCAAACCTGAGGATGTTAAGCTAGGCAAGTTTGTTTGATATAAAAGGTCCGAGCATTGTTTGAATTATACACTCATGGTTAGCAAACGGCGGAACCAGCCTGCACTCCCCAAAGTACCATCTGCTCCCTATAGACCTCCGTTTGCCACCCAAGGAGGCGTTGGCACCCCTGCTCACCGCTCCTTCCCCTGTCTCTTCTACAACGCAGTCCATCCTCTCACCTTCTCTTCCGTGTCTCATGCTCTTCGAATGTGTGCTCGTATACATGTCCCCTGCAGCATCCAACGCACTCATTGAGTGGTTCGTTGATTACTTCTCTGACAATCCTGCGCAGGGCGGCAGCAGTGTCCTTGGCGGAATAGTATACGAAATGTTTGGCTTGGGCGACGCATTTGGTAAAGTGATGCTGAAGAATCTTCAGGCCAGCCGCTTCTATGTCTTCTTTGACACCGTCTTCCTCATTTGTTGTTCTAGGCACGCAACGTCTCTCTACCTGGGGTAGACCCGTACCCCACACTGTTGTCACTACCGGAGAGGTTCCTGCAGCACGGATATACCGCATCTCAGGCGCTGACGCTCCGAGAAATTCGGAGGGCGCATATCAGTCGCTCCGAGCTCGAGAGGTAGATGGTACAGGCTGGTACTCCTTACCTGTGCTGACATTGTTGTAGGATATCCCATCTCGAAATGCTCGACGAGATCGAGGAGCTGGAGCTAGTGCTCGAGCACTACGCCATTACCTGGGGACTCAAGCTACCCCCGGATGGGAGCGGCCTCAAGGCGAAATGGGAGACGTGGGGTTTGACGGCGAAAGAACAAGAAGAGTAAAGCAAACGTATGTATCCATATCACGTTGACTGCGTTAATCAGATTAAATGTCCCGTAACGTGGACGGGTCTTTGCAAGCGTCCCAGGCGGTAGCAGCAGACGGGTATAATTTTGCCTGATGCAACTGTCATTCCTATCAGTACGAAAGTTTGCTGTTTATGATGCCAAGATCCGTGTTGTAAGTGCTGTTTTACACCGTACAAATCTGCTGCTGCCAGTGTGGACAGGTTGATCCTCAGGCCTCAGGTCTAGCACGGGTCTCGATTTGAGAGAGGTCCTCTGCCTCTAACCTACGTCGTTCGGCGTGCCGCATCAGTGATGCGCTGAGGAGGAATTTTACGAGAAATTCACGTAACAGTGTCACTCTGAGCTACGACGTTTGCTCGCTTGAACGACCAGAACACTTCCGCCTTTCGGCTTCATCTTCAGCTGAGTAGTGACAAGCGTGGCTTCACGTAGGTCGGATAGATCACGGATGGCCCCGGACCGCCATGTCATGAAGCACGCCGTAATGCACAAGACCGTCAAATTTCTCGAGAAGACGTACCACGTTGTACCCCCCTCTGCTGTAAGCGATGAGGTCCCAACGCACTCACTGATCATGTCTCAGAAAATGTCTTTGGTTAGACTCGGATTGTGGCCTACCTCCGGTAAGCGACGCATTTAACTATTTTCGTTACGCTATTCAACTATATCAGGTGTCCACACGTGCCCACAACGACCGTTGGGAGGCGATAACGTGCTGTGTGCGGCACAGCCCGCTTCCAAGAGAGCTGTTTTACACGTCCCAGCGATGTCACCAGGGATAATCGCATTGGCTATCGCTGTGCGGCGGCAGGTTCTCAACCTTGGAATGTTGTACAGCTAAACTTGTCGGCTTGAATGTGGATCGGGAGGTAAGGTCATGCTCGTCGAAGTACTTACTGTTTGCAGCCATACTACTCCATTTTTAACACGGCTAGAGTTGATGCAGCGCTGCGCGGTGAGTGGCAGTAAATACATCTGCGCGTCAAATTCACGAGTAGGAGTGAAGCAGTGCCATCTTCGCAATAGGGACAAAAGGGGACCTAGCATCCCGACGTTTCGACCGTCTACATATGAAGGCGGTTGTGGGCTCCGCAGGGGCTGAAAATAGCCATCGAAGGGATGAGCCGGAAACTGTCGCAAAGCCTTTATTTCGAAGTCCCTCCAGTATCCGAACACAGCGATTTTGGTGACGACGTCCATCAGGTTTTTCTAGGGTGCCAAATTGGCCAAGCCGGTCTCGCGGGTATACAATTTGACCTTTGCTGTTTTCAACTCAGATCGACTACCTCTGAGCATCTCTGAGCATCTGGTTGATATCGGCGACACCTGCTCCTGGCGACAACAGACCGTTCTTACTTCATTTGTACAAGACTTCTAACCAAATCTTGATCTCGGATTTGACCGAACTGATCAGAAAACAACAGCTAGGCGGTTCCAGCCCTGCCGTTCAGGTCGGGTTGACTCGGTCCCGGGCCATTGGCAACTTTGAAGCGGTGAACAGTCCACTGTCCCCTGAAATGAGGCAACTGCACGGGCTTCGAGAGAGGAGAGGGCCTGTGTTGGCAACCAACTGGAAAGTCCTGGACGTTGCAGCCACCAAGGCAATCGAAACCTGGAAGCTTACACCGTCGATCTACTATTGCAGGGCCAGTTTTGTACGTACAAATCCGTGAAGGCCGCCGTCCGTAACCGCATAAACGGGCGAACCGAGGACGGGCGCTAATTCATATATTGGCATCAAATATATAGCCACCCTCTTGAGATTTTACCTCGAAGGCCCTTGCAGCGTCATTCGAACACCACCGTTCATTCCACGCTCCTTGTTCATACTATCTTAATTATGCTTAACTTGGGACAGATTCTGGACAAATTCTTTATACAAGTGTCGCTCCTTCTGTCTAAACCCCACTCGGTCCGACCCTCCATTGCTACTCTATCCAAGGAAGATCTTCTTCTTGAATTCAAGGGATCACGCGTGCTCATCCCAGACCTGTACGCTCTGCTCCCTGGGTGGCGGTTCAATGTCAACAAGCATTGCGATTCTGTCCGAAAGCAGCTGAACGAGTGGATGTTGAGGTGCGCGTCATGGCAGTCGAACGTCGTTTCCGAGCAGCATTGAGTTACCGTCTCGCATAGCTGGGTCGACGATGAGAAGAACCGCCGCCGTATGCAGGCGGCCGACTTTGCTCTGCTTGCGGGGTGCTTCTATCCCGATGCTGAGGAGGAAGAATATTTAATGATGGCTTACTATCACCTCTGGGTACGTTCTGTTCACAACGTTGTCGTATTCCCTGTACGTTCATGCGCTTTTGTTTCAGGTGTTCGTCTGGGACGATGGTACGAGTCTCATGAAGCACCATACGTATCTCAATCTCACAAGATCCTTTGCAAGAGCTTGATTGCGGCCCTCTCACACATGACTACGAGGGGGCGCAAATCTTTAGGAAAGAAACAGACGACTGCCTCCACTACACTCTCGGTCCGGAGCCATTCAAAGAACCTCGACCGCCTATAGGCCCTATCATGGCGCCGTTTTGTGAGGTTGCAGAGAAAGTGGTGGCAGGGAGCACACCAGGTGCGTCAGCTTCGCCGAGAGAATTGAATTGGAACAGCTGACACGCATCCATACATAGACGCACGCGCAGAAGTTCTACGCGAACTGGAAGGATATGTGGAGGGCGCGTGTGCGCTGCCAGGCGAGCGGCAAGGTGAGAAGGACCAGAAGGCCTTCCTAAGTATGGAGAAGTTCATGGCCCAGCGTGCGCGCAGTGGAGGTGCTGGCCCAAGCATTACTTTGCTATTGTATGTTTCGCTATCACTTCGTCTGTATGGAGTGATTTATAAGGTGCCCGGTCTGACAGGTACATCTATCACATCGATCTACCCACCTTAATCTTGGAGCATGATACTCTCCAGACCATCTTCCATCAAGCTTGCCTCATCGTCCATCTGTGTGCCTTCCCTTACGATGACAGTCTCTAGAAGAGGTCTGACCATATATTTGTTCCCAGAGTCAACGACATTGTCTCTTTCGTGAAAGAGATTGTGCGCGTCTTACGCACCTGCTGTTCCTGAGCACGTGCTAATCTGTATATGACACAGCGGGACGACCAACTCGACAACATTGTACCAGTTCTCGCAATCGAGCACAGCATTACGCTCCAGGAAGCCATCGAGCGTGCGTGCGACCTCGTGCGCGCAGCGCGGCACTCGCTCGAAATGGCGGAGACTCATCTACCAGTAACTGGGAGCACAGAGCTCGACGGCCAAATAGCGCGATACGTACAAGGATGCAAGGACGTTGCGGCCGGCAATTTGCACTGGAGGTATGTCCTTTCTTCGCAGTGGGAGCAGGGTCATCTACCTGAGCGGTGAATCCCCACTTTTCTCTGTAGTTACCAGAATGCCCGATACTTCGGGCAGAACCCACAGCGTGAGGGAAACAAGATATTCCTGCAAATATAGGTAATTATTCTAGATCTATCTGTGGCCCCGAATAATTATATGCAACTCTGTCAACCACCCGTGTGGCTGCGCCCACTTATTTCCTTCACTTGGTGCCTGGTCGGTATACTCTTGTAATCCCAGTCCTAACTTTGGTGCGGGACACCAACTGACTGCTTGCTCTACGCACAAAGACATCACTGCTCGTTCCCGCACATATCAAGTTCCTACTTCATTTCCATTGCGCAGGAGGTCTGTGATAATCTGTTGCGACCCGAGACATTTGGTGCTCTGGCAGACCATTTTGAAGTATGGTTGGACTCGAAGGTCGTTCCGCATACTCTATTCAGTGGAAATATATCTGTCAAGACAATAATACACAGGTCTGCAGTTTCGATGCGTACGGGAGCTAGGTGCCTGATGTTACAGATATTTATATTTGAAACGTACCTGTCCTTCGCTGCTAGCGCTCGCGCCTGTGGAAAGACAATGACTTGGCATCATACCACAACCGCCCGCACCTGTTTCCACCCAACTCGGGATGCGTTCTTCCATTCAGTTGGACCCAGCGCTATCCAAGGGGGAAAATGGGGATGTCCTATATGCCAACGATGATGGACGTGGATGCATCTTCGAGTTCGCAGCAGGTACTTAGCTGTCGAAGCCTGTGAGTTAAGAACTGGCATTCAACTCACACCCCCTCGGCCCCCCACCCCCCACTCCGCATCCCGTACCCCGGTAACGACTGACATCACGACCACTGCCCGTTATGTTAGAGAGTGCGTCCCATCTACACCAAGTTTCTGCAGATTAACTTGCCCTGATCTCGCTGAAGAAGCTACAGACGCTGTTCAGAATGCCAAAATCTATGCGAAACGACAAGCTGTCCTCGCCGTTGTGCATCTTTGGACCACCCGCCTCGCGCTCGTCAGCGGCATAGTGAGTACTCGCCCAGTCGATGTTCCGTCATCGATATCGCCAACGCATTCTCAGACGACATTCTTCGTTTCAATGGATTCTCTTCTCTTCTCCCTCTCCTCCGTCGTAACTCACGTCCAGGACGAAGAGTGGAGCGCCGTTGACAAGCTCACGACGGCCTGTTTCGCCGGCGCGCTCATTCTCCATATCTGCTCAGGTGAATAAACGCACCTTCAGATTACACCTAGGGAACACTGCTGAACGCCTTCGGTTCTCAGCGATCATCTCGTTCATGGGCTCGTTCGCGCTTGTGCGCCTCCAGCTCCTGGACGCCGACCAACAAGAGGTAGAAGCAGGAATACCGCCTGAGAAAGCGCTGCCTCTCGAATTTTCGGAGCTAGGGAGACTGTGGAAGGCGACATTCGACGACGTGTACAGCCGAGTAGCTTTCCACCGTCCGCTCGCCAGGCGCTGCTCTAACGAGTCGCTCCTCGACCCCGGTCCTCCCGTAGAGCTACTAGCGTGTTGCAGCGCACTCGCCGTGGTTATGACCGGGGTGGGCTTCATCCTGGCAGTGGTGGGCATCCTGACGTATGTGTGGACCGTCACGCCATTGAGCATAGGCATCTTCACGTCGGCGTGCTTTGGCGGGTGCATTCTTACATGCGGTGTTGTGTCGTTTAGATACGCAATGTGAGTGACGAAAAACAGTGGATGCTGCACTTTACTACTTCTAACACAACATTTGACTAGTCTCACGAGATGATGGCGACGCCAATGATTTCTTTCTTGCAGTCCGCCATAAGAATTGAGACGGGTAGCTGCGAGCCATGAGTAATGTTGTAACGTAGAACCAGCTGCAGCAGAGAATCAGAAGTACTGACGGATGGGGCAGTGCTCGGAAGGACCCCGGAACCGGTCAAGGTAGAACCGTGACTTTCGCGGCGACATACTCGAAACTTGAGTCGAAAGGCCGCCACCTGCGGCAGAACTTGCTCAGAGAGAGCGGGCAGAATTGCCACAAAACGAATATAGCGACAACAGATGGGCGGTTTCACTTTTGGGTCGGGACAGCTTGCTCTCCGAGCAAGACATGCAAAGGAAAGTTCTCAAATTGAAACAAAAGATCTAGGTCGACATATATATGTACATTCAAGTTATGGAGACGTAATGAGTCACTGCGGCGACGCGCGCTGGCCATGAGGTTATACGGACTACCTTTAGACGGACTGACAGCAGCTTCAACTTCGTGCCAGAGGGGGGAGGGCTTGTGACTTTGTATCCTTCCTACAACCTCCTCCGTCTGTGTGTTCTGTTTCCTCCGTGGCAGCGCCATGCTATATAGTATACGTAGTAGAAATCGTCCAGATTGTGGTTGTGCCCGCCGCGACGGCGGTGAAGAAAGCCATCGAAGTAGAAGCGGCTTAGGCTGGCAACTGTCGGACATCACTGACAGCTGAGCTACTACCGAGTGCGTTAAGAACCGCCCTCTCCATTCTGGCTTCCTAGCTCAATCTTTCCCTCGTTCCACTACCATCCCCCTCCTTCTCCCCGTAACGACCATTATTACGACCGCTGCACGCCATGCCGGCGAAAGCCACGCAGGAACCCAAGTCAAAGGACTATACAGCTACGGTGCGCGAGCGTACGCATCTCTTCAATTCGTTGCGAGTCAATCTTGTGCCAACTTTCATGCAACAGTTGATGCAACTAAATCCGGCGCACAAGATGACGCGATGAGGCAAGCCGTGCTCGCCGTCGTGCAGATCTGGCTCAACCGCCTTGCACTCGTCAGCGGCATAGTGAGTATCTAGCTATACGTCACGCTCGCGTGCCAACGCGCTTAAGCTTGCAGACAACCTTCTTTGCTTCCATCGACTCCCTTCTTTTCTCCCTTGCTTCCACTGCCACCCACATCGGTGACCCGGATACGAGTGGCTGGAACGCCATAGACAAGCTCACGACCGCCAGTTTCGCGGGCGCTCTCATTTTCCATGTCTGCTCAGGTGAATATATGCGCCTTGAGCCTCGTTTACGCGACATTGCTGACACCGCTCACGTGTCCAGCCATCGTCGCGTTCGCGGGATCCTTTGTGCTCGTGCGTCTCCAGCTGGTGGACGCGGATCAGCAGGAGCACGAGGCGGGCATCCCGGCGATATACGCAGAGCCGATGCGTGAGGTCTCGGACATGCGCGAGAATTCGCTGTCACTCGACAACACCTTGCGCCCCAGCGATACCTTCAACGCGGCGCACGCGGGCCAGCCGCAGTGGAGGGCGGCGTACAACGGGATCTACAGTCGGGTTGTAATCCGACGCCTGGTTGCCAAGCGTCCCAAGGGCCCCGTAGACAGCCTCCTCGACCCCGGCCCGCCCGTCGAGCTTCTCTCCCGCTGCAACGCGCTCGCCGTCGTCATGGCCGTGCTGGGCTTCATCCTCGCAGTGCTGGGCATCCTCGCGTACGCGTGGACCGCGACGCCTCTGAGCGTGAGCATCTTCTCGTCGGCGTGCCTCGGTGGATGTATCATCGCGACGTGCATTGCTATCTGGTAGAGAGGAAAAGAGTGAGTTGCAATGCTTTATGAATGCTGTATCTTGATACCCCTTGCTGTTTCACGATGCTACGACTCCCATCATGCTTGAACGAGTCTCATGGTCTGACGAATATTGCTGTATTTTGGGAGCGAGAGGATTTTGCACTTGTAGTCCACTGCGAATATACCTTTCTGGGAGATCCTCTCTGCATTTTTGGAGTGAAAATAGCAGTCGTCAGTTGTATTTGAAGGGAGACATGATTTCGCGAGTCCGTCACTCCGGCAGTTCGCCCAAAATGGGAAGTCGCGGTTCACTCGTGCACGTGCCCAGTTGATCCCGCAAGTTCAACTTGAACGCGTTCTGCCTTGGCTCCCGACCACCGGCACCTAGGAAGTCATCGAATGTACCCTCCGACCACTTTGCTCAATTGCTTTCGCTTTTACCTTGTGAAATAATGGCTCGGGAATCCGACTTGTGGGCACACCAGCCAGCGCAGACTTTCTTTTCGCGTTTGTTTCGCGCCCAACTCGGCCGGTTCGTCGAATGCTGTGGTGACGCGATATCGAGGTCCTCGGAACAGAATAGCTACAGTGCGTGGAATGGCATTCTCTTACTTAAGTGGAAGTGCTGAGAGTAAACCGAAGAATCTCCCTCGATCTGCAACTGTATTCGGATGAGGTGGCGATTCAGACATGATCCGTAAAGCTTTGCCGTAGCTGCGCTCGGTCTGACATGCTCCGGACGTCTACTACCGTACTGCAGATCCGATTTATTTTGCCATGGAAGAATGACATAATTGCGCTCGTGTGTCCGCTAATGGCTGTTGTTGGCTTAGCATGGGCTGCGCGGATTCATCTGCCTCGGACACAGTTCTATCCCCGGAAACCGCCTTCAGGAGATATAGCGCTCGGATCAAGGTTGTTTCAGTGACATTTGGGAAGTACTATTGTGAAGACCACAACGCGGTACGTGACTCCATGCCACACTATTCCATTTGTTTCAGTCCCTTTCTCTGATACTCTTCCTGTCGAGTCGTTTGATGACAAACACGTATCAATGTATTTTCGTGACGGGAGGCTGTGCGTCCTCTGGATGCGCGGTGCTCCTGAATGACTACGGCTCCTGCCCTGGCGGAGACGTTATCTTCTCTCTGACGCCCGTTCCATTTCTGCGCATCTATTGCGGTGGTCAAGAAGCACAAGTCACTGATGTATAGCTTTGCATTTAGGCAACAACGCATTTGCCACGTTGCATGGGGGGACGATCATGGCAGTATCACAGCGTTCCGCAGAACATCTACGGAGAGGCAAGTCGCCATGTCTCGTAGTGCTTTCATCTCCACATATTCGTATGCCACTGTGCGGAAGTTGATATGTACCCGCGAATTCGAGTTCGCGATGATATCGACAATGATCATCGATTTCAATACACTAGCCTCCAGCAGAAGCATAGCGCCGTTTTGGTAAATGCCTGCAGTAAAGTGCTTCTGTTGCCTCAAGGCAGCCATCCGATATCAGGCGTGACTGGTCTGATCGCGGAGCAACGTGCAACGAGGCCGACGCTACTATGCAGCGTGTCTCAATAATGGCAGATAGTACAAAGTCCGGCTACCCCGTCGTAGTGCCCTGACGCGTCCTCTCTGTTTCCACCTACGAGCCCTCGACCACGACACTGATTATCACCACGATGAACGCAGGAACTTCTGTGAGTAAATACCTTGCTTGGCGCACCATGTTGTTGAATGGCGAGTACGCAGATGATGGAGATTGATATGCATCTATCTCAATTATTTGGGGGCATGAAACTTGACAGCAGATGGAGCAAGACGGACGTTGTGAGTCACTTACCTTCACTCGACAGCAGACCAGCGCGCTCTGACATAGCCCTCGGACTCTGGAGAAAGGAAAGCGAAGAGCTTATCCCGGCATCGATGCCGCCAATAGCGGACACTCCAGACGCGCTCATGTACGACTCCTCCGACAGCGAGGACTCGAGCTACCAGGTACGGCCCGACCCATCACCCACTTCGCTTTATTGCGACCCGGATGCTCACCCGAAGCGCACAGCCAAGCCCGTCGGCATCCTCAAGCTCCACCGAGAGCGTCGACGCCGGCTGCGCGCTGCTGCAGGCCATCCGCGAGGAGGTGCGCATAGGACGGTACCCTACCACCGGCGGCGAATACCTGGAAGCCATATTCACGCACCGCGAGGTGTTCTCCGCGTACCCGCAGGGGCACCGGATGTGCTCGGTCGGGTTCAGCGACCTGGCGCAAGATCTGGAGCAGCGCAGTGGGCGGGCGGACCGAGATGCAGACCCTGAGGTGGTGGCGGCGTTCAGACATGAAGCTGCGTGGATCGCAGCGGTTGGGTGGTAGGTTTCGGAAGCCTTCGAGTTTGAGGATAAGCTACTACAGGGATGCTGTGACGATGCTGGATATCGTGACCGATACAGTTTGGACCGGGAGGATCTAATACTGTAAGCAGTTATAATTACAGGCAGGCGATGATGAGTCGCAGAACTGATCAGAAGAGGCACCCATATATTCACTTCGAGTCAAGTTGTGAACACGTGAAGCGTTGATCGTAACACTCATGTCCGAATCGGGATCTCTCTCTTAACGTCCACCTGCACAGGGATAATTTTACCCGCGTCTGCTGCTGTGATCTCCACTGAATAATATTGACCTTCTGCATGCGAGGACTGCTGTGCTCAGAAACTCTGCCTCCCTCATCGCTTAGTTCTGAGGCATGTCTTTTGCCCGTTTTCGCGAAGTACGCCTTCTGCTGTACATAATACGGCCGTACTCGTGCCCTTCCTAAAACTGCAACCTGAGTTCTCCTGCACTAGATTCAGGGTTTACTTGACAGCTATCTGTCACTCTACTTGTTCTGGCGCTGCTCTTCTATGATCCAGTAACTGGATTGGGCATCATGTGCTGACCTCTGGTGCCGTCTTGCTCGGTCACAGTTCAAGTTGTCTTGGCCTTTGGCCTTCCATGATTAGCGCCAGTGGTGTGGACCCACTGTTGGAAGAGCACCGCCCCAGCGCCTGCTTGCCAAGTTAGAGAACTGATCCGCCCGTACCGCTATTCAGTTGAGTCGAGCAGGCGCCAGCGTTCTCCTTATATCGGTCGGTGTTAGTTCCTCGACTACCAAACTTGCTCTCGTATGTGATGCCTCCTCGTAGCAATAATGGTGAGCATCCATCTAGAATCTAGAAATGGGAGGTCTGGATTCATTCCCACCTGTGCAGTGTTGCTTGGACCAGGGAGACGTGTCAAGACGGAACCTATCAGTGTAATGTATATCACTGAATCGCCTGACGCGATGAAGCATCCGTTTGAGTACCCGGGATATCCTGCGCAAACGCACGAATCTTCTGGCTCGCCTGTCACACCGCTACCTGGACGAAAGTGTATGTTGTTTCGCAGTGACCGAGTACGACACTACTCAGACTGTTCAATGATGTTTTCAGGGACGCAGGAAGATCAGGATGAACGCGATGCAGAGATGCGCAAGGAGGTCATGGGAGAGCTGGTTCAATCTTGGATGGACCGGCTACAGCTAATCAGCGTAATCGTAGGTTGCGTCCGTTCTCTATTGAATGTAAATTAATCAAATTTTTATTAGACCACGTTTTTCGCTGCCGTTGAAGGAGGGTTACTGGGTATCGCGACGCCGGAGCGCGGTATCAAAAGTCCTCCGATCGAAAGAGCTGCAACCACTGGTCTCTCTGGAGCTCTTGTGCTGCATCTCTTCGCAGGTACGTCGTGCAGTTTCCGCGGTGATTGTATTGTTGGCTGATCACTTACATACTCTACTGTGTCCATGGAAAGCCATCATCTCCTTTCTCGCCTCATTCTTCCTCATCCGCTACAAGGTCGAAGAGGCCAAGATTGAAGAGAAGAGGGTTGAAGAGGGCGTAAAGCCCACCTTCACCGGCATCTGGTCGTCGAACCCGCGCCTCGAGCAATTCGGCCCGTTCCAAATGGATAAGCCGCCCACGGTTCTGCTGGAACGCTGCCACTCCCTCTGCATCCTCTTCGCCGCAGTCGGGTTCGTACTTGCCATCGTGGGCGTTATCTGCTTTATGTGGGCGCGCATGATGGGCAGCCCGAGCATTTTCGCGACCGTTTGCGCGGGAGTCTGCTTTGCTGCGAGCTTTGTTATCATTTTCTTACCGTCTTCGACCACATTGCCGTCACCATGAACAGAGATGATCACGAACGTAACGCACTGATGATAACGACCTATCCTACTTCTCGTATATTAAGTAATGAACCGCCGCATCTTGCGATGAAATAACTACTGTCTTCTTACTGATGTCTTGGGCCGTGACGAAGGTCGAAACACAGCACTCACTCACAGGCTACTACTGTACATTTTCGACCAACCCGGCGGGTCACAGGTCACAAGGACAATGGCCTGCCGGATTTCGGACATGTGTCACATGTCACAACGAGCCGATCCCAAATGAATGGAAAAGAGGCATTTTTTCCCGGCCTGCGGCGCCAAAATCGCACGGTCCTTGTTCGCCACCGGCTATACAGCAGCTCCATCCGGCAGTAGCACGGTAGCTGCACTCGCTGTACGCCGGCGCCTCCGATGCCACTGCCCCGCCGCCTTGCCGCTATGTTACATCCTGTCCCGGTCACACCTGGTCCCGCCGGTTGGCCGGTTTAGGTCCTCGAGGTCACAGGTCACACCCTCCGCCGGGTTGGTCGAAAATGTAAGTATATCTGATATTGCTCGAACGCGGATGGTCGCCATTTGTCCGCCGAGCAACGACTCGTGAGGTGTTCCTGGGCACGAGGTGGAGAATACTGACGTTGGCTGAGTGCCAAGGTGGAATCCTCGAACCTTCACTGTTCAATAGACCACATCCTTCTGTCGTGACCGGTTGGTTCCGGTCAGTACAATCACGGCCTGAGTGTAAATGTGGAACGTTCATGATGCCCTCCAAAAGTTTAAACACTTGCTCTATTTTTGTCGCAGAGATCCAGGCTGAGACGGAGCATTGCAACAACATACGACTCTGTGACTTTCGTGAAATAGAGTGCAACGCTAGTCACTGATTTACATCAGAGTCATGTGCAATGGGACGTCTCCTCGATGGCTCCGCAACAAAACGGGTGGAGAGAAATGGCATCCTCCAACCCCCCGACTCCGACTCGGAGCCGGGCGCGGAAGTTAGAGCACACACGCGCGCTCGCACCATCCGCAATCCAGTGAGCCTAAGTGGAGGGCCACGAGGTTGTGCGACTGACCGACGCTGAATAGGCAGGTCGGGCGTGATGGTATCCGATCGGTAGTCAATGCATAAATTCAATCATTTAACGTGCTCACCACCGGCGCATGCCGATGTGGCGCCAGTCCGCGCGCTGCCCTGGCATGATGCACGCGGGCAAACCCACTAAATGTGCGATACTACGTCCGAATAGGATCCTACATTGATCGTACTGCAGAACGGCGAGGGTGAAATTCGGTTGCTAGAACGATAGAATAAGTCAGTACTGTGAAACAATGTAGTAGATGCTTTGAGAGCTCTGCCGGCCCTGTGAGGAGACCACTTCACATCATGAGTCAAGTACACAGTGGGAAGCTACCAGTACAGATCGCAACTAAGTGTGGCACCGGTACGTTCTGGAATGATTGATATCCATATGATAGGACATGATAGTCGCGTAAATACGACAACGGAGGGACAAGATGGCCGCCGGAGAAGTTTTAGAATATCGGAGTTATGCCAGGTGAGAAGGAGGGATACGGGCTCACAGAACCGGTGTTAGATCGGGTTATAACACTCTGGGGACGCTGAACGACACACTCAGGTGCCATGGGAGTACCTGTGAGGGCGGCCGTCCGATAAAACTGCACGAAACGGAAGACCATTGGTGAGAGGACGGTTTTGTAATTAGAACAATCACACACGGAGAGCGAACAATAGCCTTCCAGAGACTCCACTTGTTGGTATATTGGTTGTCAAGGGAAGAACGTTCTCGTAGTTATGCGAGTTATGAAGGAATCCGGGTACAGCCATGCAGGCAATTGATAACAGGTTGAGGAACTCACATGTCCAATTTCGAACAGCGAATCGCAATTTTGTTGCCAGTTGGACTCCCTCAGTGAATCAGAGAACCTGGTGTTAGTGTGGAGTAGGTGACGGGTAGTATTATCTGCTACGAGTCGGTTACCCGCGTCTAACACCCACCGTCCGAGTCCTCCTGATCCGAGTCGCGAGGCGATGTCACAGGTAGGCGGCGAGCAGCTTGAGAATTCGCCAAGCCCAAACACCAATCATAACACATTCGGACACAGATTAATGTCAGCGGCATACGTCTGGACATGTGCTTACGGTGGTAGTACAGCAGTCTAGCAATCGTCAAGACTTTCTCTTTTCGGCAGGGGGTGTTTCCCATCCGAGGACGGCTTAGATAAGGTTTTGATCCGTCGCTTGATGTCCGAGTCGATCCGCTAGCGTACTTACCATTCGCTTGCTACTAGTAGTATCCTTTCCTACAAGTCAAAGAATCGACAGTAAAAACCAATATTGTAGGGCCTCACATGGTGGGTTTACCCGCAGAATTGTTCTGGAAGACATGCATCTCACTCATCCAGTGTCGTATGGAACTTCCTAGGCGGCCATAGTCTTGTATGGGCATCCGCATTAACACCGCATGTCGCCAGTACCTGCCGAGTGGACACCGTGTGGGTTCTACAAGCCTGGTGCCAGCGCGTATGAGTGCTGAACGGAGTTTGACTATGTGCGCCCCAGTGCCTGCATTAATGGTATATTTCGGGCATTGTGCTTGCTCGGTTCTGCACGCTGCTGCCGATGCCAAGGGCTTCTAATCTGTCCTCCCGACATCTGCATCATATGTACGTCTTGGAGGCAGCGACATGTACGCAGCACGTGTGGAGATACGATGCCAAGAAATTCAAGCTGGCGTGAAAATCTCCTCTTTATCTCCCCATTCGGTCGAAGAAGCAAGACTATACTATTGGAGAAGCAGCATGAGCGTTCCGTAGTAGTCGCGGCGGCTCTCATCGGCAGTTCTTGGGTGGCGCTCTGATTGTGAGTTCTTTCTATATTCCCCATTTTCTGGCATGTGAGAATGGTCTCGCCTTGGCCGCCGGTGCATGTCTCTTAGTATTTAAGCAGAGCGGTTTTGCAACACCGTCTCTCCATCCCACCTTCTCCTCTGAGATCAAAACATACTCTTACACTCATACCTGTCTACCACCTTTGAAATGCCCGGACTAGACTACTTCATGGATTCAGAGCGGTCGCAGCCCACCGAGGTCCGAGAGGACACCACGATGGCTACAGCAGTCGAAGTTGCGCCAACGGCAGACTCGGACACCTCCTCGAACGAAGATGCCCCACACTCTCCGCATGTCTACTACAACCCCCGCTTCGACCCCAAGAACTTCCTCGAAGGTCCCTTGTCGTGGAACCCGGCTACTCGTCTCCGGCAAATGCTCGCTCGACCTGGAATTGTAGTACGTGTTTATTTCGTGCGCTTGTTATACGTACATCGTCTCACATTCATTTCATTTCAGATCGCTCCCGGTATCTGCGATGGCATCAGTGCTCGTTGCGCTCTCGAGGCTGGCTTCGAGTGCTTGTATCAGAGGTATGTCTGTATATGCGCTTCCATACAGTATGCTCATCACCCTCTCCAGTGGTGCTGCGACGACCGCATCACGCTTGGGCCAACCCGACCTCGCCATCGCCACTCTCAACGACTTTGTGCAGGTCAGATATTATCTTCCGCTAATGTTATTCCATTCTGACTGTCCTACAGAGCGCACAGATGGTCTGCAGCTTGGACCCCACCGTACCTGTCATTGCCGATGCTGACACCGGGTATGCTAGGCCTCACTCGACGGGAGACTCCCAACTGACGTTTTCTACCAGCTTCGGTGGCCCCGCTATGATTGCGCGTACTGTTAACCAGTATGCCCGTGCAGGTGTTGCCGGTCTCCACATTGAGGACCAAGTACAGACAAAGCGCTGCGGTCATTTGATGGGCAAGCAGGTAGTATCCAGGGAGGAATTCATCACGCGTATCCGTGCGGCAGTAATTGCTCGCGACTCTATCCCTGGAGGGTCCGACTTTGTGAGAATTTCCCTCTTTGCTTCGCGTACATAAAACTGACGACTGTCCGTTTAGGTAATTATCGGTCGCACCGACTCAGCACAGGTGCTTGGCATGGAGGAAGCAGTCACTAGACTGAAGCTTGCTGCGGATGCTGGTGCCGACGTGTGCTTCATCGAGGGCGTGCGTAACGCCGACCTTCTCAAGTCCACGGTCGATGCCCTGGCTCCCAAACCCGTAAGTACTTCCTTATTGGTTAACGCCGGCTACCTCGCAATTGACACAACCTTAAGGTGCTCGTCAACGTCATCTCCGGCGGTCTCACCCCTTCCTTCACATGCAAGGAAGCTGAAGAGATGGGTGCCAAGATCATCAGTGCGTCTTCTGCCGTGCCTGTTGATGTTCAATTACGAATCCTCTATTGCAGTCTTCTCCTTGGTCTCTTGCGTCGCGGCGGTGCATGGCATCCGGGCTGCCATGCAATCTCTCAAGAAGACGGGCACAGACTTCTCATCAGCAAGGGGCATGGACCCGAAGGCGTTCTTCGAGGTCATGGGTGAGTAACATTCGTTCTTGTATTGCAGTAGTGCTGACTTGACTGTCATTAGGCTTAAGCGATGTCATCCGCCTCGATGCTCAAGCTGGCGGTAACGCCTTCGAGATGGTGTAAATCCACCGCCACGACCGTACATATAGACGAACCCAGGCCTGCCTCTTGTCTCTTGGGTTTTATGTTGGGCCGAGTTTTGCATCATGTTTATAGACTTTGAATTAATATTATCAATGCGTCTTCGTTTCTACACGGTTCCTCGCTTTTGATGGGTAGCGTCAGAAGTGTTTGTACACGTGAAAATGCTAACTTAGCAGTCTGGTTGTGCGGACTCGAAGGCCCGGATGCTGACGCGCTGATGAGCCAACAAACTTTCTTGTCCCGCTCATTCCGCTCGTCATGCATCATGATGTTGACTGAGTCTTCCGCATCCCGCTCGCTAAGTCAAAGGCGTACCGCTGGCTAGCCCTTCCGTCTGTCATGCGCTTGCCTTTCTCTCCTACATTGTTTCTGTCTCGTTCGGGTCCCCGTCTCCGCCGGAGACACGGGCCGGCTAAGAAGATTAAGCACACCACCTACCCTGGAGGTATATCTACCAGCTGCGACTCTGTCTTAGACAGCGCACGCCACGACTTTTATATTGCGAGCTCGCCATGACACCCAGGCATATCTCGGGGCAAGAGGTCGCGGAGCACAACAGCCGCGAGAGCTGCTGGATCATCGTCCATGGTGAGTTGTTCGTGCTCCACAGATGTCCGAAGGTGCAGCGTCAATGGACACAGCCCCAATTCATGAGGATGGACGGGGGTCGTTGTCGTACATTTGGCCACCGCGAATATCAGACGTGCACGGGAGACTGACGACTCGTAGGCAGGGTTTACGACGTGACGGACTTCTTGGATGGTAGGTGTCTGTTTAACTCAGTAAAAATTTCGAGCTTCACTCTGACATGTTGTTTTCTGTAGAGCACCCAGGTAGGGCATAGCTTCGTATTTCTCCCTCCCCGCTAAGGTTTGACTACAGGCGGTAGCAAAATCATTCTTAAGTACGCCGGGAAGGACGCTACGTAAGTCCCCGCACAATTCTTGTCCAGTGACGTCTCGTACTTATCAATTTGTGATAGCGCGGAATACGATCCCATTCACCCTCCTGATGCTATCACGAAAAATCTGCCGCCAGAGAAGCAGTAAGCACAATCTCGCTAGGTGATCGCGAGTGTTCTCATATTCCTTTCCAGCCTGGGCAGCGTCGACCCGGACACGGTGCTCAGAGTTGAGGTTGAAATTACGGATGAGGAGAGGGATCGTCAGCTGCGCATGGCTCAACGACCGCCACTCTCCGAGATCCTCAACCTGCACGACTTTGAGGTAATACTCTCATTTATTATGTTTTTATCCACCGCTGAATCACTTGGTGCAGACGATCGGCAAGCTCGTCATGTCCGAGAAGGCGTGGGCTTACTACAGCTCCGCCGCTGACGATGAGATTACACACCGGGAGAACCATGCAGCGTATCACAGGTTTGTTAAAGCACCACTGAGTTGGCTGCGGGAATTCTGAGCGTTTCCGCTTGTAACTCAGAGTATGGTTCCGCCCTCGCATACTCCGCGACGTCACGCACGTGGACTGGTCAACGAAGATACTCGGACAACCAACGAGAATGCCGGTGTACATTGTACATGCAACTGTTCTGCAGCTCATTGTAATTGCTCAACACGACATTCTAGACTGCGACCGCATTGGGCAAATTGGGTCACAAAGATGGCGAGTTGAACTTGACGAGGGCCGCTGCGAAACACGGGGTTATCCAAATGGTCCGCGCTTTTACGCAGGATAGTCATAAGATAGACTAACGTTACTACAGATCCCAACTCTTGCTTCATGTTCGTTCGACGAGATCGTCGATACGGCACAACCCGGCCAAGTCCAGTTCCTGCAACTGTTCGTGACCTTACGATATCACTGGACTAACCGGGAATAGCTGATTGGATCACCTATTTGTGCAGGTACGTTAACAGGGACAGGGAGATTACGAGGAAGTTCGTGCAACACGCGGAGAAGCGCGGTGTCAAGGCGCTGTTTATCACTGTAGATGCTCCCCAGCTTGGGCGACGTGAAAAGGTACGTTGCCGTACTGTTGACACTTCTTTGTCTGATCAAATTGAATGCATACAGGACATGCGCATGAAGTTCGAGGCGGAGGACCCTGCTGAGGTGACTGATAACAAGCAGCAGGACCGTGTGGACCGTTCTCATGGCGCGGCACGCGCGATCAGCGTAAGTCCATCTCTGGTGTTTTTGTGTACGGGTCAGTCGAGAAGGTTTTTGGCAGTCTTTCATCGACACCAGTCTGGACTGGAAGGATATACCCTGGTTCCAGTCCATCACGAAGAGTAAGTGACGTCACAACAGTCGGCACATTGCCGTAGCGTTTATGATGGTGTTTTAGTGCCTCTTATCCTCAAGGGTGTACAGTGCTGGGAAGTGAGTGAATTTTGGTGCAGCATGTACGAGGCCAGTACTGATGTTGATTTTCATTAGGACGCGTTGGAAGCTTATGACAGAGGCCTCGCTGGTGTCGTGCTCTCAAACCACGGTGGCCGACAGCTCGACTTCGCGCGTTCCGGTATTGAGATTCTCGTCGAAGTGGTTCCGAAACTAGGGGAGAAGCGCGGCCTAAAGTTCCCCAATGAGAAATTCCAGCTCTTTGTCGATGGAGGTGTTCGACGCGCTACTGACGTCATCAAGGCTGTTGCCCTCGGTGCTACTGCAGGTGTGTGAGCTAGTAGAATATCTTGTCATCACTGACGCGTACGGGCTCAGTCGGTGTTGGGCGTCCGTTTTTGTACGCTTTCTCGTCGTACGGTGTAGAAGGTGTCGACAAGGCACTGCAGATACTCCATGTATGTTTTGTCTCTATGTCAATAGTGTCCATATTAATTTTCGATCACAGGATGAATTCGAGATGAACATGCGGTTGTTGGGTGCTCGTAACATCAAGGAAATTGTCCCCGCCATGGTGGAGGCATCGTCGATTCACTCGCATATCGTCTCCGTCCCGTCTGACCGTCTGTATGAGGCCAACTGTGAGTGTTGTTCTGCCGTACGCACGTCGGTGTACTGATGCGCTGTCGTAGACGAGAGCATCCAGTCAGCACGGTTGCGGGAGATCAAGCCGAGGATGTGATCGTCGTCTCTGGAATAGTTGCACCGATAAGCACGCTGTTCCGTTGGGACCGTTCTCCTTGGTGTATATTTACGACCAGTCTGTGACACGGTGTTTGTGTGTTTGTATCTCAGCGTTTAGTTGTCCTTGGCTTACTAGATATCCCGAGATTTGTATATATAGTCAACGCGGTGTCGAGCGACTTACCCCGAGAGATCTTGGCTGGATAAGTGATTGCTGGATATCGAATATACCGTAACACGGTGAATGGTGAATAGATTCGTTGCGGGGCGTTGTTGTGCATTTCCCCTACGATAGGAGTATAATATTAATATTCTAAGCGCTGCACACGTTATCTCCCGGAAGCCTGTTTGTGCGCAGGTGGATCTAGCAGGTGACGGTAGAGTCAGAATATTTACAGAGGATGTCACTGGCAGGACGGTGCCGAGGCGGGAGAGGGGGTGCCAGCGGAAGTGACTGGGGTCTTGCGGGGGTGCTGATTTTTTGTGGATTGAAGGGCGACAGTTGCCTTCGTCTTCCACCAGGACAGACACCCGCGGATTGCTGCCTCACCAGCATCCGATTCCAGTGCGGCTCTTTTCGACCACGCCCTCGCGACCATTCGTCCGCCTGCAGGCAGGTCATCTTTTACGACCGACCTTCACGCGACCACAACAAACCGTTACTTATCAGTCGAATCTCAAGCAATCGTAACAATTCGTGCGTTAATTTCTCATGCACGCCTTCCTGCGTGTTTAACACAGATTTCCTGTGGTGCAGAATGAGCAAATCCTCGACGGCTTCTGCACCAAAGATTCCGACCCAGCTACCGTCAAAGTCAGCTTGGTCAAGGGGCCCGCCCCAAACTACTGCTACTTCACGTTCGCAATCCCCCGCACCGAACGCATCCAGCCCTGCCCCCTCGGTGACAAATCCATCTCATTCCAGACGGCCAAGTACGCTAGGTCAAGGTGTTTCGTTCAAAGATGGTGTTGCTGGCGCACGAACTCCCACCAACACAGCAAAATCAGGTACGTGTGTAAAAAATCACGGAGCGGGTTATTACTCATGTGCGTGTGGGTGTTGCACGTTTCAGGCTCGTCGGTGACTTTCGGCTCCATTGATGATGCAGCCGCCCCAATCTCTTCCTCTCCCGCCGCCGTTCCCGCAATCAAGTCTGAAGGTGTGAAGACGTTTGGCTCGGTTCCCGCAGTATCCTCGCCGGTACCCAACGGGAAGCCATCCACTTCCTCTCCTTCCTCGTCTGCATCGTCTCGGCCTGCATCCTCTGGACATGCTCCCAAAACACTAGACAAAGTCGACGTTAAAAAGCTATTTCAGGGTAGCGGCGGCGGCGCCCCGCAATCGCCCGTCGACGTAACATCTCCTTCGCATCGCTCTTCCCCCCTTCCCCAGCCGTCACCACAGCCGTCGCATTCGCATATCCATCCGCACCCTCATCCCCCGCACCAATCACCCCCCTCGCAACTCGGTCATGGTTACACGCCCTTCGTACCCCGTCCCCCGCAAAATGGTGTACCATCTGCTGTCGGTGCTCCACGGTCACCTGTTTATCCCCGATCAATGCCCAATGGCAACGTGAATGGCCGCCCAAATGGTGCCCCCGGGATGCCAGGAACGCCTGTACCAATGGCTGCGGGTCTTCCTAGCGCCGGCCTGCCCAGTGCGGGGATGCCCAGTGCTGGTATGTCGAGCCCTCGAATGGGACCGCCTGGCCAGATGGCTCCGCCTCCGATGCAGGTATCTCAGTGGGGCTACTATGTACGTTTATTTCCGCATGTATATCATTTCCGCTGACCGTGTATCGTAGTATCCTTATCCTACCATGCCACCGGACTACATGCCGTACCCTCCGCAGTGGATTCCTCAACCTATGCCACCACAGCACCAACACCACCCGGTACAGGGTGGTCCCTCGCCTCATGGCGCCATGCCTATCTCACCCCGGAATCCCCCGCCCCCCCTTCACGGGCCAGGCACGCCGACACTTACGCCAGCAATTCCGACGACATCTCATGCACCACATGCGGGCGCGTCGCCATCGCCACACACACACACAACAAGTCTTAACAGCGTGTCATCGCCTCCGCCAACGCCCTCCACCGCTTCTCGCTCCGGCCCGACGCTGAACACGAATGCTAGCGCGTTCGTTCCGCGGAAAGGTAACGTTATCTCGCTCAAGACCCCGACTGGGATGGAGCTCGATTTCGAGAGCTTTAAGAAGCAGGGTGTCTTACCTTCGCCTACAGTTCCCACTTCACCTGCGAAGAAAGTGGTACGGATGGAGACACCCGAGGCGAAAGAGAAGCGGCTTGCGGAGGAGCGCGCACGGATGGAGGCGGATGAGAAGGCGAAGCGGGATAAGGAGGAGCAGGAGGAGAAACAGCGGGAAGAGGAGTTGCGCAAGAAGCTGGAGGTTGAGCGGCAGCGCAGGGAAGAAGAGGAGAAGGAGCTGGCGCGTAAGGAGGAGGAAGAGCGGGCGCGGAAAGAGGAGGAAGAGGAGAAGAAGCGAGCGAAAGAGGAGAGCGAGCGAGTCAAGAAAGAGGAGAACGAGCGTGCGAAGAAGAAGGAGGAGGACCGGATACGAAGGGAGGAAGAGGAGAAGGAACGGGCGAAGAAGGAAGAGGAGGAGCGGGCTGTGAGGGAGGCTGAAGAGAAGGCAAAGCAAGCGGAGGCAAGCGTCGAACAACCTTCAGCGGAGGCGGAGGATGGCGAAGTCGAGGAAAAGGAGGAGACAAAGGAGGAGACAAAGGAGTCCGAAGAGTTGGACGAAGCCACTCAAGAGGAAGCCAAGGACAAAGTGCTGAACAAAAACATTTTGCGCATTGACACCGCTGTGCCCAATCCTGAAATACCACGGAAGCGGCCTGGCCCTCTCGACCTCTCTTCCACACGAAGCCAGTCTATCCCTCAACCTCTTCCTTCAGCCCTGGCTACTGCACGCGTCATCGAAGACCTCGGCACCATTGCCTATCCTGAAGGCATCAAAAGCCCGAAGGTCGAGCTCAACGTCAACGCGAAGCACGGCAAATTCAGGTACATGAACGTTGCAATCATTTCTCACTGGATGATAACATGGTGTCGTTGTACAGATACGACCGAGAGTTCCTTATGCAGTTCATGGCAATCTGTAAGGAGAAACCAGACTCTTTGCCTCCCTTGAATACCATTGGTCTGGAATCAGTCGAGCAATCATTCCCCATGAGTCGCGGTGGCTCCGGCCGCCGATCCTCTTCCGCCAGCATGCCACCCCCACCTTCTACTAGCACTCGTCAAGCCAGCGTCGGTCTTGGCATCTCTGGGTTCAAGCCAGGTTCAGGTGGCTTCAACATGGGCCAGTTCTCCACGAAGATGACGAGTGACGAGCGCTTTGCCATGTCGAGTACGCGGTCCACCTCAATGTCTGGTACTTCGGGTATGCCCTTTGGTCGCCCATCACCGATGGTGCGTACTTCAAGTCAGGGTGGTCCAGGTGGCGTTCCGATGGGCAACAATCGGACACGGAGCAAGCGTGGCGACAAGCGCCCAGATGCGAACAAAATGGCTGGGTCGTCGAGCCATGGTTCGTCGTACGCATCATCTATGGCAATGCAGGCCGGCATGTCGCTTGAGCCTGTTGCTCCTCTAGAGGCTACGGCGGGTCGCTGGCAAGCTTCTAGTGTCAGCAAGAAGCCGCAGCAAGAGACCGATTCCGTGGACGTCGTTGACCGTAAGGTTCGCGGGCTACTCAATAAGCTCACCATGGAGCGCTTCGACTCAATCTCCGACCAAATCATCGCCTGGGCCAACAGGTCCGAGATGGAGAAGGATGGGCGCACGCTCATCCAGGTGATTCGCCTTGTCTTCGAGAAGGCCACTGACGAGGCGACGTGGTCCGAGATGTACGCCCGTTTGTGTCGCAAGATGATGGAGCAGATCAGCTCCAAGGTTCAGGACGAGGGCATCAAGACCAACGAGGGCAAGCCTATCGCTGGTGGACAGCTATTCCGGAAATACCTGCTCAATCGCTGTCAAGAGGACTTCGAGCGTGGTTGGGTCGCCAAGGAGACGACGGCTGCTGCTGCCGCGACCAAGGCTACCGAGGACCAGGCCGCCAAGGCAGCCGCGGAGAAGAACAACACTACGGACGACAGCGATCTCTATTCTGAGGAGTACTATGCTGCACAGAAGGCGAAGCGTCAGGGTCTTGGTCTCATCAAGTTCATCGGAGAGCTCTTCAAGCTGCAGATGCTGACGGAGCGCATCATGCACGAGTGCGTCAAGAAGCTGTTGGGTAACGTCGAGAACCCTGAGGAGGAAGAGATTGAGAGCTTGTGCAAGCTCTTGTCCACCGTCGGTCAGATCCTCGACACGGCGAAAGCCCGCCAGCATATGGACGTCTACTTCTCGCGTATGAAAGAGCTGTGCAAGAGCCCCAACGTCAATTCGCGTATGCAGTTCATGTTGCAGGTACGCTTGGTCGTTAATTCATGGCTAACCTGGTTGTAAACCTGGTTGTACCTGTTTGTACCTGTTTGCAGGATGTCATTGAGCTGCGGGAACGCAAGTGGATCCCACGGAACGCTGTCGCCGCTCCCAGTACCATTGCTGCCGTACACGAAGCTGTGAGTCTCTCGGTGATTGGGTCTTGCGTCCAGTCACTCAGTGTATCTATGTGTCTTTCAGGCTGCAAAGGAGAAGGCGCACGATAAGGATTACCAGCGTCTCAGCATGTCGAGAGGTGGTTCACGTCGTGGAGGCGAGCGCGGTGATCATACTTCAGTTGGTCCTGATGGTTGGGCCGTCGCTGGAGGAAACGTACCGCGACCTCCTCCCAAGGCCGGCGATCTTTCCAACTTTGGGAAGATCAGCAAGGCACAGCCTATGACTTTTGGCCCGAGCAGTGTCTTCACCAAAGAGAAGCCCAAGAGCCGGGAATCTACCATGTCTCGCGCAGGTTCCAGTAACATGTTTTCGATGCTCAGCGGTAACCCGGAGCTTGCGGCAGAGGTCGCAGCGACGTCGAAGTCGAGCAGGCCACCAAGCCGGAAACCTAGTGTCGATCTTGGAACGTCTGGAGTGCCGGAGGCTCCGATGCAGCGCAAGAGGCTCAACCTCCTGCCCCGTACGCTACCAAAACCCGACGAAGGCAGAGCAGACTCGACACCAGCGGCGTCGGAGGCTGGATCAGAGGACGAGGGAGCTGAGACGCATACGCCGTCAATGTCTGAGCAGGAAGCCAATGCCCGGATCAAAGAAGACTCGAAGGAGTTCTTCAGTGTCCGGGATTTGGGCGAAGCCGAGGTCTACTTCACCAAGCTCCCTTCAGAACACAGGTGGCGACTTGTCGACAAACTAGTGTCGTTAGCCATCGAGTCTAAGGAGTCGGATGCACAACTTGTCGCAGGCTTGTTCAGCCGCGCCGTGGCGAAGAACCTATGCTCGCCTAACTCCTTTGAAGAAGGCTTCATGCCGGCCGCTGAGATCCTGGATGACATTGCCATCGATGCGCCCAAGGCCTTCGACCTCATGACGGCGATGATGAAGGGTGCTCATCTCCATGAGGATGAAGAACGTCGGACACGGTTGGCGAGCAAATCGACGCAGAGCGATAAGTTACTGGCACTTCTCTCATAGACTATGTATCGTATAGTTTCTTGCTTCCGTCGCATTACTTTTCCTGCTACCCTGATCATCGTCGTCTGCTCGTCGTTCTCGCCACGTTCGCTCTTGATATTATTCGTGGTTGCCTTGCATCAGTGTGTATTCATACGTCGCACGATACTGCATGATAATATTCCCTAGTCTCTTGTGCAGATGTATCGTTTCGTTGTTGTAGTTGGAGTTGTAGATTTCTACATGGATTTGGGTCGAACACCGGCAAGATCTGATCGGCTGTCTTGGCATGCCTTGCGATCGGAGTGCGGACGCCTCCTAGCCGCCCGACCAGTGGTAAGATAGACCTCACTCATGCCCAACCACTCTAAGCGCCATGACATGGTTGTGACCCGACAGTTGCCCGAGAGTGATGCTATTGATTTGGGAGCAATAAGTCAAATTCTGATACCCGATATGGTAATGGATGGTGTGGTAAGGGCCACTTATCAGCCAAATATTTACCTGCTGGTTGTTGGCTCTGTTTGGTCGCCGTTCACTTTGGGTTGTTGCCAGCCTAATTTCTCTCCTACGAGGGCGAAATAAAAAAATGTGCTCCCTGGGAATATTCAAGAAGGTATTCATTAACAATCCCCAGGGAACACATTTCTGATAAAGGCTTTGTGGAAAGAGGAATTAGACGAGCAAGCACTTTCGCCCGCCATTTTGGTGTAAGCGTGACATTAGACGCCCGACGCGAGTGGTTGGATATGAGTGAGGCCTATCTTACTGTTCACCTTTCTGCCACGACAACTACGATTTTCCACATAGTGTTCGTAAGATATTGATCCCACAAATCGGACCGACAGTTGCTCAGTCATTTTCGTTCAGAATGTCAAAATAACACCAACTTACACGAATGGCCCCCTCGCCTTCAACGCACCATTCTCAAAGCCGAACACGGGCCATTCGTTCGTTCCTGGTCCATCACCTGAACTTTTATCGTGTGCACATACTTTTCTTGTGAGTATGACCCGTTGCATTACGCAGAGGTCATTCAAAATGCACCTCTTGGACGCCACCGCTACCCCTTGCAAATCATAGGTCTTTTCAAGGAATGTATGCTAAACATCTCACCATTATAGCACATTCACGCCCCTTATATTTTCCGGCATTCTCTATGCGTGCAATGGCGAAAATCCACTTACCTACATCGACAGTCTGTTTAACAGTGTCAGCGCGATGACCGTGTGTGGTATTTCCACGGTGGACTTAAGTGGGTTGACTGCGTTCCAGCAAGTCTTGCTGTTTATCCAGATGTGCTTGGGCAGTCCGGTGAGTTGACCTCACGGTTATCTTTGTGTTGCTTACTGGGGGTCGCGCAGGTTGCCGTTTCATGGGTGATGGTGTACACTCGAAGGTACAGGGTGTCCACTGTACACCCAACAAGTTACTGAAATTTTGTGCAGGAGTTTCTTCGCTAGAAAGTTCCGGCACATGATTGGCGTGGATCTAGCGCGAGGAATTGCTGCCGAAGTGCACGCACCAGTTCAAGTGACACTCGTCCCATGGTGGCGACGGGCATTGAATATGTTGCACCCCGGTGGGAGGAGGTCATACGGCCCTGACTTCAAAGGAAGTGATTCTCTAGATCGATGTTCCTCCCCTCACGTACGACCTGACATGATACGGCGGATGGATGACGCTCCAAGATTAATCAATCCCACCGGTTCCATCAGCGAAGGCCGGACACGTCCATTCGCTGGAGCTGATAAACCGAGGAGCAGCCATGAGACAGCAGATCACTTTCGGGCGGATTCTCCTCATGGCCCGCCGTCCTCAGATGTGCATTCGTCGAGACCAGTGGCCGATGACAGCAGAGCAACCCGGAGGGGTGATGGCACCTTGTAAGTCGCATCCGTTGCGAACATCTATCGCAGATGTTAATCATTGTTGCAGAGCTTGGCGTATGATCACTAACCCAGCAGCTTTATCTGAGTCGGTGGTATCTGATGTGCACAGTATGTGTTTCTCGACCTTACATTTGCAGTTCCGCAATGAATCTGAATATTGAAGGTTTACACACAATCTCTCCCATCAGTACGACATTCGCTACCCCGCCTCCCTCGGGAATGCCTCATACTCATGCAGTCGAGTTCTCTTCTGTCCCGCGCCCATCTCGTGATGCCCATGCCGCTGGCGGGAATTTGCCAGATCACACACCATTCAGTGTGGGGCCTGACCACATCGAAATATTGTCTCACGATGGGCGTAAGCACTAGCATTCACGTTCTGGACCTCGCTCACCGTTTCTGTAGGATCAATGCGCCGTCCAAGTTCGTCCTTGCTTCGCAGCACAGACGCACCACCGCCATACCCTTCATCTCGTCGCGCATTGCATCGAGATTTTGGTGGCTTCCCTATGCCTAATGTGATCTTTTCGAGGCTATTGAAGCGCTTCTTTCCCAAGTTCGAACGCAAGCTCACTCGCACCATGACCATACCTCGCACACGCACCATCGCCTCCCAGCATGGCACCGTATTGGCTGGCGTGAATGCGGTACCTTACATTACTTTCGAGGCGGTCGTAGGACGCAATTCGGCATTCAAGAACCTGACGCGAGAGCAAATGGACGAACTTGGCGGAGTCGAGTACCGTGGGCTCACTGCGTTGTTGTGGCTAGTTGCTGGGGTAAGTCCTCACTTGTGTCAAATCTTCGGCTGCTCTGAACCGTCTCTAGTATCATATACTGTTACAATTATTGGCGTTTGTTGTCATAGCGCCCTACATGTCCATTCCCCGATGGAGTAGTGACTTCAGGCCACCTATGCTTCATCGAGAGGTGTCACCTGTGTGGTAAGGAATCGTCTTTGGGCACCTGTTACATCAGCCCTTGATGCCGCCCTTCCAGGTTTTCGCTTTTCCAAGTAGTGTCGTCTTACACGAACACTGGGATGTCTCTGGAAGACACATCCATGGTCCCTTTTCAAACGGCATATCCTATGATTGTACTCATGATAATCCTCATCCTTGCGGGCAACACCGCATTCGTAAGTCTCTGCCACCTCTTTCAGGTTGATACTGACAAAACCTCATAGCCTGTCTTGTGAGTTGCCGGATTTATTATTGACATCACTTACTAAATGTTGATACCCGTGCCGGATGGTGATCTCACAGTTTACGGCTCATGATGTCAGTTAATTGTTATAGCTCGGTTGCTCTATACTGACGAGCATTAAGCTGGACTATTACCAAGGTCATCCCCAAGCATTCGCGTTTGAACGTGACCTTACACTTCTTGCTCGATCACCCTCGGCGATGTTTCATATACCTGTTTCCCTCCCATCAGACATGGTTTTTGCTCACAGTGCTACTGGTGCTCAAGTATGCCATCTTAATTTGTTAGCTATAGCGGTGCTCGCAGCTCACGTACGCTTGAATCAGTTGCACGGATTGGTTCTTCTTTCTTGTGTTGGACATCGGTAACTCTGCCATCAAGTCAATACCAGTTGGCGTACGCGTCATCATTGGATTACTTCAAGCCACCGCAGTCCGAGCCTCGGGCTTTGGTACCGTCCCGCTTTCAGTCCTTGCACCTGCTGTGAAGTACGTCTTTTCATCCATGCTTTTCAATGAACCAATGAACCCATTGCTGTAGGGTATTGTATGTGATCATGATGTACATCAGCGTATGTGAGTGCTAGTAAGTTTGCGGGTGTTTACTTCGCTTGCTGACTATTTATATCAGATCCGATCGCCATGAGGTATTTTCAATCTACTGCTAGCATTTGACATGATTTCATAATGCTTTTACAGTGTGCGTTCGACGAATGTCTATGAAGAGAGGTCCTTAGGGGTCTTCAAAGAGGATGACTCTATAGACGAAACTTTCAACCCCTCCGGAAATCGGGTGACAGTTTGGGGACGATATTTAGCGAGTCATATGCGAAAACAGCTTTCTTTCGGCAAGTTAGTCTTACACAACCAAATGTCTACTTCTTATCCCTTTTCCTCTTCCAACAGATATGTGGTGGCTAGCTTTGGCGTTGTTCCTCGTCTGCATCGTCGAAGTATGACATATGTTTGCGTATTCAGTAGTCAACACTGAAGCTACTTTTTTCCAGCGTGACAATCTCATCAATACAAACAACTTGGAGTGGTTCACCATCTTCAGTATCTGTGCGAGTTACCTGTGTTGTGACGAAATACAATATACTGACATACAGTCCTCGTAGTATTCGAACTAGTCTCTGCCTACGGAACCGTTGGCTTAAGTCTAGGCGTTCCATATGTCGGTGACATCCCAATGATTTCGTCGGATAGATTACTCACAATGTCTTGTCCAACTGTAGGCCAACTACTCGTTCTCCGGCGCATTTAGACCGTTGTCCAAGCTAATTCTATGCGCAGTCATGCTGCGTGGAAGACACAGGGGTTTGCCTGTGGCTATCGACCGTGCCGTCATGCTTCCGTCCGAGTTCCAAGAGTCATTGGACCAGGATTCTCCGATTCGAAGTCATGACACACCAAACGATAGTCGCGATACGTTTGATAGACCGGAGCCACAGACAGACAACCTCTATCTTCACGAGACCAACAGCACTCGACAACGACCTCACCCATTCTCTCGCAGACACTCGGATAGCTCAATACATGAAATGCGACTTTGGAATGGATAGATCTATATATTAGGATGGAAACATTGTGCCCCGCATTAAGTATAACATAGTCAAACGTGCTCAGACGCAATGGTGACCGACGTGTGACGGGCGTGTCAGTCATACGTGACACGACGTGTCTCAGTTAGTCACGGTCTTCAGAGTCTTCACTCCTCGAGCGCATGACGGAATATGCAGCAACATGAGCACCCAGGACCCATCTCTGCGCGTCAGAATAAACCAGATTGACTACACACTTGCACTGCCTGGAAGTCTCGACAACTCTACCTTGCCTCGAGTACCCATCATTAGGATCTACGGCGAGTCTTCGAAAGGCAGGAAGGCTTGTGTCCATGTACACCAAGTGTACCCTTACTTCTTCGTCGAATACCAGGGGAAGATGAATCCAGACAGTGGTAAGTGTCCGTGCTGTGCCCAACCGCAGGGGTTGCTCACCCATGCGCAGTGAACCGTTATATTGCCAGATTAACTCCCTCTCTGAACCATGCGATTGCTATATCCATGAAGCGTGATCCTCAATCTCCCAAGTCGCAATTCATTCGTGCTATCTTGCTTGTGAAAGGCGTGCATTTCTATGGCTTCCACGCATCATACTCTCCCTTCCTCAAGGTCCACATTGCCGACCCTGCGTTCGTAACCCGTGCCGTCACTATTATGCAGTCCGGCACTGTCATGAAGACACGTTTCCGCGTGTATGAGAGCCATCTCAGTTATCTCCTTCAATTCCTGTGTGACTTCGGTCTGTACGGTTGCGGGTGGATCGACCTTGGCGAAGTCTGGGAGCGTGGCCGCCAAGAGATACACGACGAACAAGACAATGAAACGGAATGTCAAGAAGCAATCAACTCGTTTGGGGTGTCACCGTACTTCCGTCAGTCTCGTATGTCCCTTGAGGTGGATGTCGCTGCCCACCAGATCCTGAACCGTCACCTGCTTACCGCACGGAATTTTCACCACAAGCTCACGATTCCTGCACCACCGTCACCCGAAGAACCCCTCGTCCTTAGCGTGCGTGAGCTATGGGAAGACGAGCGTCGACGGCGAGTCGTCCAAGGTCTGTCACCTTCTCCTGAAATACCGAAGGATCCTAGCGCAGATTCTCGGGGACACGGAGGCGAATGGGTAGCCGAAGCTAGGTGGTGGGAGGAGATCGCGAAACGAATTGAGAGTGAACGGGGAACGGAGAAGGTGCTGAGCAGCATGGGTTGGGAGAGATGGATCATGACAACTTTTGAGAGTGTGGAGGCACTCTGGGAGCGTCAGTGGAGAGCATGGAGACCTGGGCGAAGCGAGGAAGTCGCTGCTGTATGTGTGTCCGATCTCAGCAAGAATGAGGAAGAGGAAAACCCATACGATTCGTCTCGAGCGGAAGGTTCTTCGCAAGGCGCAGCGGATCAAGCCGACGTGGATGTGGATGAGACGTTTTTGTCAAGCCAAGCCATGAGTCAATTGGTGGAGAATGAGGAGGCTGAATGGGCGAAGATTGTTGGCGGAAATCAGGAGAACGAAGATGATATTAAGGATGAAGACGATGTTCTTGAGGATGGCCCACCTCCTGACGTTCAATCCGTTCAACAGTTTGATGAATCTGTAGCGCAGAGGTAATTTCCTCCAAATTGTGACCGGATATGACCATCTGATGATGCTATAGCTTATCTCCAGCAACGGAAAGACCTGACACCGCTACCACGATCTCACCATCGAAACGGTCCAATCCATTTCAGGCTGCCGGTGATGTGTGGAGGACACCAAAGAGGTACGTTTTCTAAGAGCTGTGCTGCAGCAGTCATACAATTACCCCACGACGGTAACTCTTGACCAATCACTAGGATGCGAATGACCACCACAATGTGCCCATCAACTCCGGAGACGGGGGCACCAAAACCGTCACATGCCGACGATCTGTTCTCTCCGCAAGTGATTGATGCCGCCACTAGGTATGTTCAAACGCTAGTGCTTTCACTCGACTCGATTTCATTGATTTTGCGCAATTCAAGGTCGCAACAGCCATGCCACAACTCGCGGGACCCCCATACCCTTGGGCGACATCCACTGCATGGTAATCGCTCTCAGGATGTTTCAACTGCTTTCATATGCATAGCCGAGGCTTTCTCTCGTCATGACACGAATGACGAATTAGCGGAAAAGGCGAGACAGCCTTCTCAACCACCGAACACAACGAGCGAAGACGAAACAAGACCATCAAAGAAAGTGCACCCGAGTTCTGTGATCGTCGAAAGTTCCTATAGCTCGGAGCCGTCCGGCTCAATGCAATCGTCATATGAGAAGCCTGTATCACAAGCACCAGACTTCGCCGTATTGACGTTGTCCGACTCTTGTAGCACGAACGGCAACAATTACGTGTACTCAAAGTCTCCCCCTACTACCCTGCAGCTGTTGGGCAGCCTTGATGACCACAACTTGCAGAGTAAGGTATACCGGGACCCTTACTACTCTTTGGTGAGCGATACTCCTGAACGACCGAGGGAATACGCTGGCTTGGTTTTCAATCTCAAGGGGGGAGATGGACTCACCATTCTTGAAGATTGGGTACCAGATCTTGATTCGCCTGCTTCGGAGGATGCAGTAGCTTCTCGCCAGACGACGAAGTTGGATCCTACTGGTGTTACAGGGTGGGAGTATACTGGTTTTCCCCCAAGTATAAAACAGGTTCGCCGATGGTTGCACGGTCAGGAGAATACTCAGGCAGTGGATACCCGAGTGAAGCAGCCCTCGCAGGTGCGTAATCGAGTTCTTGGTGGTAGTGAATATAAGTCTTAGTCCCTGTCAGATTGAAGGTCCTACTCAGATGAATCCTTTTGGACTGAAAGTAACTCCGGTAAAACCATCAGATTCTGTTACGAGAGAACGGCGAAATATGACGGTGCTTTCCTTGGAAGTTTTTGGTACGTGCTTGACCTTTCGTACAAATGATTATTGGTAATGTTAACCCGTCTTTCAGCGCCTTCTCAGGGACATCATCTTCCCGATCCAGGAGTTGACGAAGTTGTTGCTGTCTTCTACTCGTACCAGGACGCTGACACCGACACCAATGGCAATGAGGCTTTCAGCTGCCAGAGGGGTATCATCGCCGTGGAGCACAACCAACTCAACCCTCGTCGACTACGGGAATTCCCACTTGAGATTGCGTCGAATGAACTGGACCTGTTGAACAGGTTCGTGGACATCGTTGGTGAAATTGATCCTGATATAGTGGTTGGATGGGAGGTACAAGCTGCATCGTGGGGTTATTTGAGTGCTAGAGGTCAGAGCTATGGTCCGTACTGTTCGTGCAATAGCCCACACTCTATTGACAGTAGATTGCAGGCCTCGATATTGGAGAACAGATCTCTCGCGCTCCCGGCAGACCCATCGGAGGTGGCTCTAACCAATGGGGGATGAGAACTGCCTCGACGTTCAAAGTTATCGGACGACATGTGTTGAACTTGTGGCGGATTATTCGTGCAGAGCAAAGTTTTACCAGCTATACTTTTGAGAACGTGGTATTTAATCTCCTGAGGCGCCGGTGAGTAGCACGCTAGGTTGATGTTATCTATTACAATGTCTGCCTTAGTACCCCGCGATACTCGGCCAGAACCTTGACGGAGTGGTTCAATAGCGCGATCCCCAACCATACGGCCTCTGTTTTGCATTACTTTTCCGCTCGCACATCCATGGTTTTAGAGTTATTGGACGCGGCGGAAGTGGTCACAAAGACTGCGTATGTCTTTTATGATTCTGCCCTTCCAATATCATCTAACATCGTAGACAGAGAGTTTGCCCGTGTCTTCGGGGTCGATTTTTTCTCAGTCTTGAGCCGTGGATCCCAATTCAAGGTAGAATCATTTATGTTCCGCATTGCTAAGCCAGAGAGCTTTGTACTTTTATCTCCGAGTAAACAAGACGTAAGTAATCCCATCCCGGTGAATATCCCTTGTAAACACCTTCCACAGGTTGGCAAACAAAATGCCGCAGAATGCATGCCACTAATCATGGAACCACTCTCTGCGTTCTATAACAGCCCTCTCGTTGTATTAGATTTTCAGTCGCTGTATCCATCCATCATGATCGCCTACAATTATTGTTATTCTACTTGTCTCGGACGCGTTACGGACTTCAAAGGACAGTACAAGTTCGGTGTAACTGACCTGCGTCAGCCTGCAGGATTCTTAGATACTCTACACGACCATATTAACGGTACGTGTCTTCTCTGAAGTACAACTTGTCGCTCATCGGAGGCTTTTACTGCTCAATAGTCTCTCCTAATGGGATTATGTATGTTAAGCCCAGTGTCCGCAGAGGTCTTCTGGCAAGAATGTTAACGGAGATTCTGGACACAAGAGTCATGGTAAAACAAGCTATGAAGAGAGTGAAAGACGATAAGGTACCTTCTACTGAGTTTTGTCTTGCTAGTTTAAGCCATCGTTGACGTGACCACCAGGCGCTCAGAAGGGTGCTGGACGCCCGCCAGCTAGGGCTCAAATTCATCGCTAACGTCACCTATGGGTACACGAGCGCAACATATTCGGGGCGAATGCCAGCAGTTGAAATTGCTGATAGTATTGTCCAGAGCGGTCGCGAAACACTTGAAAAAGTAGCTGCTCCTGTTTACAATTATGCCATGCTCACACATTGGTATGCAGGCCATTCGTGTCATCGATTCCACGAAGAAGTGGGGTGCCAAAGTTGTATATGGCGACACAGACTCTGTCTTCATTTATCTTCGAGGAAAGACGAAAGAGCAAGCCTTCAGAATCGGGCACGAGATGGCGGACACAATCACCGCCATGAACCCTGTGCCTGTGAAGCTCAAATTCGAAAAGGTACGTGATGTTGCAATTGTCGCCTTGGTATACGTAAGTTACAGTGCAGGTAAACAGATTTACCTCCCATGTGTCCTGATGGCTAAGAAGCGTTATGTCGGGTTCAAGTTCGAGAATCCTGATGACAAGGAGCCTGTCTTCGATGCTAAGGGTATCGAGACTGTTCGCCGAGACGGCATTCCAGCGCAGCAGAAGATGACAGAAACGTGTCTAAAGTAAATGTCTCCTCACTCGTTCGAGCATAGCCATCCTCATTGGGAGATGGCAGGATCTTGTTTCGAACACAAGACCTCAGCCGCGTGAAGGAGTACTGCTGTAGATCCTGGTCGCGGATCTTGGAAAACAAAATTTCGATCCAGGACTTTATCTTCGCAAAAGAAGTCAGGATGGGTACCTACAGGTAATTGCTACTGAAATAACTCTTATCCATTGCGATGCTGAACTTCTGCTAGTGACAAAGTTCCTCCTCCTCCGGGAGCAACTGTTGCTGCGCGCCGGATGTTAGAAGATCCAAACGATGAGCCACAATATGGCGACCGCATACCGTACGTAATTATTCGCGGTGAGCCGAATTCAAGACTGGTAGACCGTGCAGTCGCACCGGAGGAATTGTTCGACAACAGGTATATACTTTCATCTCTGTTTATGGCTCTATTCAATTTAAGACTACCCAGTCAGAAGGCCCTCGACGCTGCTTACTACATTTCGCGTGTACTGATTCCTCCCTTGGAGCGTATATTCAACCTTGTCGGGGCAGATGTCCGGAGCTGGTACGATGATATGCCGAAGACACTGCGGGCAGATCAGCTCGATCCATTGTTGCTTTCGCCAAGGAAGGCCAAGCCGAATGTAGTCGCCTCGAATGCGATCAAAATCGACGGACACTTTCAGAGCTCGCAATGTCTACTATGCGGTGCGCCGACGCTGGAGGGTAAGTTCTATCGGTCGATGAGCTGAGCCAGGAATCACATTGTTCTTTTAGGTCTCTGTGAAGCTTGCATGTCGGATCCTCAGACAACTGTATGCGGTCTTGAGTCACGTATACGAGCCACAGAAGATCGTCTAAGGAACGTGCAAATGGTGTGCAGTTCCTGTACTGGCTCTGCGCCGGCAGAACCCATCAAGTGCGAATCGCTGGATTGTCCCTGGCTTTTCGAACGAAAGAAGGCGGAGAGTAAAGCTGACTGTCTGACGGCTGTCAGGGAACTGGCTGAGGAACTAGAGCGTGATTCATGCGATTGAGGTAAGTGTTACCTCCTACCGCACTAGAGCTTACAGCTTAGTGCCAAGACTAGATGCGTCCCCATGTCATACGCATTGGCAGTGAGTCTGTGGAGGCCCAAGCGCCAGTTGTCAATTCTTGTCAAGTCCAGTTTCAGTGGCTTCGTAGCAATTACTGGCAGAAGTTGATCTTTGTTTTAGTTTGGTGGATGTACACTTGTTGTGCAAATAACACCGTTCAGTAATTGCCGGAAGGAAGTATCAGGTATCATGAATGCAATGGCTGTTATGAGAGTCTAAGAAGCAATGTCATGAACTGCGCTGTAGTATTGGATTCAAAGTCCAGTAAGGTACAAACTCCACGGCGTGCGACGGTGAAGAACTGTAGTGGGAAAGGGGGGGTGCAGACTACAAGCACAGTTAGTGAGAGAGACAGCAGGTAAGCAAGCAGCGACGATGAAGACCACGTTACGAGTGCCAAGCAGTTCCTCAAACGAACTCTTGTGACATGCAAACACCGAGTGTGAACTCGAATGTCAGCTGCATCTGCCAAGGACGACAGTGCGAGACGCAACGCGTTCAATGCACGGCCTGCGCTTCCCTCGTCGGTTTCACATGCCACATCGGAAACTCTCCACCCACATGCTCACGGAATTTAGAGACATCCTCTAGGTCCTCTTCCCTGTATTTCGGCAAGTCAGCGACGCCGAGCACGGACGGCGGATCTAGGAAACCTAGGACGATAAAATGGTGAATTAGAGACGCACCGGATGAGTCCCCTCGCGATCTGTTGCTCTGTCACCTCCTGCAGGTAAGGGAGCAAAATGGGGTTGTACTTCTCGACAAGCTTGTACTGTATCCACCGGCGTAAATTCACAGCGGGCACGATGTCAGCGCTAAGTGTCAGCATCACGGCACATAGATATGCGTACGTCGAGAAGAGCCTTGTCAGATTCCGTATGCAATTTCGCCAACATAGCGGGAACGAGCGGGCTATCAGCGAGTGTCCCGATGCGCTTGAGCACGGGGTGCCTGGAAAGCCATGAGGGAGATGTATCTGCAGAGGAGGGTATGCAGGACGCACACTCCGAACATGATCCCGCCCGTGCGGCGTAGCTTGCGGAATGTCTGATGGTCTACGCGCAGGAAGAGGTCTTTGGGGTGGAGGGTGTCCGGCACCGGCACTGACGCGATGTTATCTGCAACGCACGCGTGAGGGATCTGCAGAAACGGGAAGTGTAGCTCCGAGTACACACGCCAGAATAAGCTGCGGTCATCTACGATCATCCAGCTCGAGCGCTCGAACGGCTTGTCGGGGGTGAATCGCACGAGCGTGCGCTCTACGCTCAGGAGGAGCTTTGAGTTGAAGTGGGGCACAGGATCGTGCAGGACGTGGACCGGCTGGTCCATCTTCTCCGAGAGTAGATAGTTGCCTGGGAACGAGGGGCTAATACATCAGTACCACCCACCACACCGTGGGGAGGACGCAGATGATGGTGGCATACCGGGGAACGCGAGCAGACCACCGACAAGGTAGATACGCCCGTCTGGGCGTTCGCGCGCCATGAGAAAGTCGTCCTGTACCAATCTTTTTGATGTCAGAGTTGCACCGCTGGCGCTGTATTTCTTCTCATCTCACCTAGAGACGACGCGGAGGGCTTCTACCCCGCGCAGAGCACTGACATCGGGGAACCGCTCGTTCGTCACTTTGTTCCAGATCCCGAGACCCGAGGGGATACGCTCAAAAAGTGTTGGGAATCGTTTCGGGAGATAGTCGACAACAAGTTCCAGCAGCTCGCCGCACGCATCGTCGTTCTCCGGGAGCGAGTCAAGCGCTACCTTGCCTACAAGGCAGGTGAGTCGCTTGTACTGACTTCAGACCTGATCATGCATACCTTGTTCTTCGACGATCCGCGCCTTTTCCCCTAAGTACCACTCATACTCGTTGTCGATCTCAATCCAGTGGTTGATATGCATAGGTTGGTGCGACATTGTCTTCCGTGCGATACGCTTGAGCTCACCAACCGCGCAGTAGCAGTATTTCATGCAACATACCTGGAAGTATGGGTAGCGCATCGTCTTGTTCGCATAGATATAATCTCGTGTGGACGCCGTTGCCAGATCAAAGTCCACTAAAGGATCAGGATCGGGGAGCACCTCGCAGGCCAGTATTGGCACGGACTTGACATATTCCTTGCCATCCTGCTGTAGAACGCTGGTAGATTGCTGAGACGTTAGCTATGGATCTGATGACCCAAAGACCTGCGCGTTACCGTTGAGGCGCTTGCGACGCGGTGGAGTCACTGCCTTGCGGGCCTTTCCGCGAACGGAGATAGTAGAACGCATATACCGCCGCTATAACTCCCAGAGCGAATAGGTCCTGCAATGCGGGCGTGAAAGTCATGTTATAATACGCTACCCGTGCTGATGATGTGGGGAAGCGTTGGGTATGGCAGTGCAGCTATCCTAGACATCTCTGCTCCCAGGCTTCCTCCACCAGTCTAGAAAGGTCCCCTCCAGGAGGTTGCCTTCGGATAAGCTATCAGCTGCCCTGCAGAATATTCTTCATCACAGGCGACACGGTTGGTACCTCAAGGTTGCTGATCAAGTTGTATGGTAACGCGACAAGTGAGCGAGCTCCCGGTATTCATGCGTATGTCCAAGCTTCCGACGGAGGTATTCGTACCAGCCATAATTCGACACGTCCTATTCCCACCCAAGTCATGCAGGCCGTGATCAAGCTTGACAATTGCTGTCAGATCTATGAAACAATTTGACGGATGTTATGATGAAGTTAGTCTCCCGTAGGTAGACTACAATATAATCCTTGTTGAGGGGAGGACGGATTATAAAGGTCTGCTTGATTACGCGCACCCTGAGCCCGTAGTACACGATTTCGCCAGGAAGATGCCGAGCCCGGAAAGCATTTTACTCGTTCGTCGCCCACGTTCGATTTGACTACCACGAAAAATTTGCGAGATGCACATAGAAAGTGCTCTGAGCAGGTTCAAGAGGATATTCACCGCGAAAGACCCACCCCAGCTCAATAACGAGAGCGCCACAGCTGAGTGACCGCTAATGGAATGCGTCAGGACAACGTCAGGACGCGTCGAAATGAACGGCAACTTGAATTCCCGAAAGCACGGACTACGGTGTGACCCCCGCCAATTCAAGCAGACTAGGATGAAGTCCCGAAGCGGTCGACCGTGATGATAATAGGTCCCATCGAACGGCCATAGCAAAAGACCGGAGAACGGCCTGTCACATTGTCTGGCAGTCTCGGAGAATAAGGAGCTGCGTGGGGGACAAGCCTATCAAGAGAACCGCGTTCTTACGGCAGGCCCTGTCTGCGCATGGCAAACGTGCAAAAGATTCGCGCACACGGCTGTCATGTAGCTTGAGACATAGGTTTGGGCGCCACCTGCTGGTACTTCGTGTGGTTTGTCCAGAGCCACGAAAGATGGTCGTCGTACTTGAACTAGAGACCGACTTCGTCTACAGCGCGCTCTGCGACTCGACCGAGGGTTTGGCCTAGCTATGTCGGGCGCTAAGTACAATTCTCCGGATGATATCGAGTGGCAGACAATGTCATGGCAGTGACATGACAAGAGGAGTTGCTCCCTGGAGATGGAAAGACAAGAGACATGGCACAACGCAGACTCGCAGTTGCTTCAAGAGTGCTTTATTCTGACCGTCCTCCCCACCTCAGCAAGGTCAATATTGGTTTGCCTTCGGGAGACTATTCAAGAGAGTAACAATCTGAAATCTATTGTCCCGCCGGCTTTTCGGAGTTACAAAAATAACGTTTCTCCGGATGGCAGGCCGACTCAGCGCTACTGCATCCTCTCCTGCATTGTTCTTTGATACCATCCCTTGACCGACGACCACGACGACCCCGACGACATTCACTCATTCCTTTACATTCTCCTGTGGACCGGGTTTCTCTCTTGACTGACTCTTCCACCCTGGAGAACCACAAACAGCTCAAATGTCGAACATCACCAACCTCATTGACGAAGACGCTTCGCAGCGGACGCTGGCGCCCGCCGCTGTCGGCTCCCAGGTGCTGCTGATGAGCGTCATCTCAGTGCGTGTCGTCGTTCGGGCGTCCATGTGCGGGATGTGAATTGTGAATTGATTGTATAGGTCGTGGCTATCTTTCTCTTCAATGTCTTGCGACCTAGAAACAAGGTATGTTTGTCGGAGTAGTTGAGCGGTGGCTCCTAACATTCATCCAGGTAGTCTATGAACCCAAAGTCAAATACCACGTGGGGGACAAGAAACCTCCACGAATATCCGACTCTCTATTAGGATGGATATCTCCTTTGCTACATACCAAAGAGCCCGAACTAATCGACAAGATTGGGCTTGACGCTGCTCTCTTTCTCCGCTTTCTCCGCATGATGCGCTGGATATTCACATCCATTGCTTTCCTAACCTGCACAGTGCTCATCCCCGTTGACGTCGTCTACAATCTCAAGAACGTCCCGAGCAAGTCACGCGACATTCTATCGATGATGACTATCCGTGATGTCAAGGGAACATTACTATTCGCACATGTCGCGGTGACATATGTTATCTCGTTCCTGGTGATGGGCTTTGTGTGGTACAATTGGCGCGCGGTGGTGCGCCTCCGCCGGGAGTGGTTCCGCTCGCCGGAATATATCCAGTCCTTTTACGCGCGCACGCTCATGGTCACCGACGTCTCCAAGAAGCTCAAGTCCGACGAAGGTCTTCGTGCCATCTTCCAGTCCGTGCAGGTTCCGTACCCCACCACGTCCGTGCATATTGGCCGGAAAGTTGGCAAGTTACCGGATCTCATCGAGTATCACAACGACACCGTCAAGGAACTCGAAGGTGTGCTAGTGCAATATCTGAAGGATGGGAAGATTGGGAAGCAGAGACCTACGATCAGAGTAGGGGGGTTCTTGTGCTTTGGAGGGGAGAAGAAGGATGCCATAGACTACTACACGTAGGTCGTCCTTTCCTTCGCGTGCTAAGATTTCACTCCCTCCTCACCTACCTTTGTGTCATTTCGACAGCGATAAGTTGCAGCGTTCGGAAACGGCGGTGGAGCAGTACCGCGCTCAAATCGACCTCCGTCAGCCTGAGAACTACGGTTTCGCGTCGATGGCTGCTGTTCCGTATGCGCATATCGTAGCGAACATGCTCAGGAGCAAGCACCCCAAAGGCAGTACTATCACACTTGCACCTAACCCGAAGGACATCGTGAGCGAAGCTCTCGCAGGCGTTGTTTGCATCCTGACCAGAGCCACTCTTAGGTCTGGTCAAACCTGAGTAAGAGCAAAGCAGAGATTGCGCGAAACAAGACCATAGGTTGGGCCTTCCTAGTTATTGTCTGTTTCTTCAACACGCTCCCGCTGTTCGTCATCTCTATTCTTGCCAACTTGGCATCGGTACGCCTTCGTCTGTGTCAGTCCTCCGCCAGGTCTCGTTAACTGACGGCATTATCCTCTCAGCTCACGACCTATGTGCCTTTCCTTAACTCCTGGTCTGTCGCTTCGCCTGGCACGTTCACGTTCATTTCCGGTGTCTTGCCCCCGGCAGTGTCAGCAATCTTTAGTTATGCTCTTCCGCTCATCATGCGGTGGCTCTCCAAGTATCAAGGCGCGCCCACACACTCTCGGCTCGATCGCGCGGTGTCCGCTCGTTACTTCGCGTTCTTGGTTATCTCGCAGTTGATCATTTTCACGTTGATCGGGGTCATCTTCAGTGAGTAGTGTCAGATAGCTCGGAATCGTTATTAACTAGGTGTTTATGATCTACAGACTCTGTGCGGGCGATTGTGCAGCAGATCGGCGAGCATCAGAACATCAAGGCTATTATCGAGAACCTACATAGTACAGTGTTCTCTTCATGGCAGCAGCACCTATAGTTTTGACTTCTTGTCACCTCAGCCCTGCCTAGTCTCATCAATCAGACGTACATCGATCAGGCATCGTATTGGTTGACCTACTTCCCGTACGTCATGACGCCTGCTGTAATGCTATCCTGCTCATGAACTTATTGCCATACGTCAGGCTTCGTGGTTTCCTTGTGCTCTTTGACCTGGCGCAGATCATCAACCTGGTGGTTGTCTCTGTCAAGACACAGTGGGTACTTTTACTCTACGTCATTCGCGTTACTCTAACCTTTACGATCCCTCTAGTCTGTTTGGGCGCACACCGCGTGACCATCGCGAGTGGACCAAGCCACCAGAGTTCCAGTATTACATCTATTAGTAAGCAAGTATTGTAGCCTGTTCCTTCTGTGTCCTAACAGCTGTTGTCCACGGCAGCGCTAACCTGGTACGGACGCTAACCGTCTATCCAGCTCCGCATGCAATGACTGAACCTTGAATCGTGCAGCTATTCATGGCCACTGTCGGGCTGTTCTTTGCGCCTCTCGCGCCTCTTGTAGCGGCGGCCGCTTTTGTGGTGTTTTGGACCAGTTCGTGGGTGTACAAATATCAATTGATGTTTGTCTTTGTCTCGAGAGTAGAGACAGGTGGGGTAAGTTGCTTCGTCATTTCAAGTCGACGCCACTCCTACTGATGATGCATCATTTCATCAGCGTATGTGGAATGTTGTCATCAATCGCCTGCTTGTTGGGGTCATCCTAATGCAAGTACTCATGCTACTCAGTAAGTCTCAGGTTCTTTGCGATCAGTTGTTATCTCATTCGCTGAACGCACTCTGTTCCCAGCGATCGGTCTGCAGTACGGGTTCAAGTCGTTCATCTGGGTGTCCACCGTACCGCCCATCCTGTTCGTCTTCATCTTCAAGGTCTACCTGAACCGCGCGTTCCTGCCGGCGTTCCAGTACTACATTCCGACCGACGAGGAGCTCACGCAGGCGCACGTGCACTCGAAGCGCGCGGACAACGTCGGGAACAAGCTTGAAAAACGGTTTGGCCACCCGGCACTACACGCGGAGCTATTTACACCGATGGTACATGCGAACATGACAAACTTGCTCAGCGAGGTGTATACAGGCAAGATCGGCAACGTGAAGACAAAGCTGGACGAGATTGGCGGTACCCGCGTCGAGGCGAGCGTCGTGCAGGGCATCAAGATCGCTGGTATCGACGAGGTAGGCCACCTCGTCCAACATTTCTGTAGCGTTATTGATCTGGGTGGTGTTTCAGCGCGATTTGGAGTATGATCCTGCACTGTATGGCCGCGACCGGGGAGAACTCGATTGGGACGAGCGTTCGATGTCGTCGACGACCCTCCTCAATTCTGATGTCGCCTCCTTGGAGCCGGCCAAGTCGCAATTCTACGCGAACAGCGGGCGCGCGTCGCCGGCCCCTTCGAAGATGGCGGGATACGACCGCTATCTTGCGCAGGTGCCCCATCACGAGATCGAGATGACTCGGATGGACGCTGACCAACAGCCTCTACTTACCGCTCCGGTAAGTGGCCAATGTGCAGAATCTTTTAAGTGCAGCGGATACTAAGCCAGCTTGTACCAGCAGACTCTTGGATACTATGAGCCTGGCGCGATGGCCAGCAGGAGCACGATGAGTTTGACGCCATCTCAGTATGGTTCTCCACTATCCGTTGGCGATGGGCACGAGGTTCCGCCAATGCCCATGGCGCCGCCGTACTTCGAGAGCCAGGCGCACACGTATGACGCGTACCGTCAAGGATCACCGCAAGAAGCGTACCGTCAGTCACCACCGCAGGAAGGGTACCGCCAACCATCAGGAGATGTGTACCGTCAAGCGCTACCGCACGACGCGTACCGTCAAGCTTCGCTAGATGCGTACCGCCAAGCACCACTGCATAGACCGAGCCCGTCGCGACAGGAGACATGGCGGTGATGCGGCCGTGTGGCGCGACGGAGGATATCGATGTGTACGCCCAGCCTGCTGAAAATTGTAACACTCATTGCTTAGGCCACCCTGCGTGCGCGCAGGAGGCTCTGGTCGATCTTTATTTGTCGTCTGCTTTCGTGTATATGCTGGGTTGTACGCTGGTCTGCTGCTTCGGCTTTGTGTCTCTTCCCTCTGTCTGTCTCTGTCGGCGATATGATATCGTTTGCATGATGCTGGGCTATTAGCGAAGATGACGGACTTGGCATACTTATTGATATCATTGTAGTAATTTGGACAGTAGACGGGACAATTATGGACGCACTTCTGACTTTCTGGAGCCAGAATCCAGGAGGCGGTTCTGTCTATTGCAAGGACTGTGGGGCACATTCGGGCGTCTATAGTGCCACAATGCTATTACGTAACCTGGCAGTTTCGCATATGGAAGGCACTCTCAGCCACCCCGACCGACTTCAAGAGCAGACCCCCTAGAATCTACCGACCATTCCTCCTGCATACGAACGAGAAACAGTTGGTTATATCCTCTGCCGAGTCCACTGGCGCGGGGCTCGGCGAATACCTTCTAGCATAAGGTTTCAGAGAGGTTCGGACCCCTCATGGGTCACCGATGGGTACTTTGTGTCTTAAGCTACTTGATATCCTGTGTGTTCGCACAGAATGTCTCCAGTGGGACTGATTATGGGTACGTTTATCTTCTGCAGGTGATGCTTACGAAGCTGAAGTATCGTAGGTTCTCCAATGACCCAATTCTTCAGTTCCGACCTGCCTTTGCTCGGTCTCTCCCCGTGCAGATCCTACTCGTCGGGATCGTCCTCACACTCTCCTCCGTACTGCTCCTCCACCTAATCTTTACCGCCCAATACCACTGGCCACTCGCGCCAGTCAACTTTGCACTCCAGCTGTCGGCGGTATCCATCCTCCTCATCTCCTCAATTGTAACTTTGCAAGTCGTCTTATCCACCGCGACGGAGCAGAGCCGTGTTTGGCCGTACATGCTCAATTATGTCGCGGTGGATTTACCTCCTACGGGGACGACTGACTGGCCAATATCGCAGGTAGCCGGATGGTTATTGATGAATGCGACAACGTCTGTACTGATTCAGGTACGTTGAATCTATTACTTCTCGCATTCAGGCAGCAGGAATGATGTCGCAATGCTCAGATCACACACATCCAATTCCTCACCCTGCTTTTCCCCTCGACGCTCGAACGTCGACTCATCTTTTGCCTGCTCGGCCCGCTCGCTTGTCTATCTGCAGTGATGCAAATGTTGCGGATCCACGAGGGCTCGAAGTTGGAAGGCCTCGCCTCAGCGGTGCAGAACGTCTGCAATGCAACTCTCTCGCTGCTCTTCACAGGGTCTCTCTTTGTCTGGGGCTTCCTCGTGAACCGCAAGCAGGCCTGGCGCACGGACGGCGGGACCGCCGCGTTCGGCGCGGGTGCGCTGACGCTGGCACCCATGTCGACCGCGATCTCGTTCCTCTACGTGCCGAGCAAGGACCAGTACACGTGGATGCCGCCGCTGATGTGGTCCGTCATCCTCTGGCAGAGCTTCCTCGGCTGGTGGTGGTGGGTCGGCGCAGGCATGGGCGTCGGCGAGATCGACGAACGCCTACAGCGCGAGGAGAAGCGCCGTCGGAAGCGCAAGATGCGCCTGGCACGCCGGCAGGTCCGTCGCGAGCGTGCAGAGACGCTCTGGAAGGGCGTCACGGGCGCATTCGGTTTCAGCCGCCAGCCGGGGGCGGGAGAGCAGGGCGAGGAGGGTGAGGAGGCGTTCGACCTCGCGCGGCGAAGAACCCGCGGCCGGCGGCGCAGCTCCGCAGAGAGCGATCGCTCTGCAGTATCGGCGGGCTCAGACGCGTCGAAGCAGCCGTCCAGTGCCTCAACACTCACGAATGCGTCATCAAGCAGCGGGATGTTTGCGCAGCTCTGGAATCACCCGGCGGGGCGGTACATGTACGGGTGGTTCCTGCACGTGCGGCACGCGCACCTTACCGCCGCGCGGGAGCAAGCGGTCGAGCAAGTGGAGAGAATCAACCAGGTGTACGGGAAGGAGGGCGGGGAGAACTCGACGAACTGTCGGAGCGCTGTTGGTTGGGGTCTAGGGAGCTTCGGGACCAAACGGAGTGTGCAGAGGCAGACGGGCCAGGTGAACTTGGACGGAAATTACGAGATGGAGCCAGTCAAGAAACCGAGAGTTGGCCGCGGGAAGGAGAACCCCGAGGACGACGTGCAGCGTGTGCATGTAGAAGAGGGGCGCTTACCAGATACGCAACAGGCGCGGATGCACCGGCCAACGTCGATGTGGTGGTGGGGCCCTTTACAGCGATGGCGGCTGCAAGACGCCACTGTGTATTGACCTTTCTTGACTTTCGTCGTATGTTAGTACTCTGTTTTGAAGCATTGTATTATTACATGGATTTCCTCTTGGTATCCTGCGTCTAGGACATATCGTAAGGTGTGGTATGAGGTAGTATCTGTGTGAAACAAGAGGTGTGAAGTCCGATGATCTCAGGGCTCATGATGACAAAATATGATCTGCAGGAGAAAATGTACCGTGAGCATTATTAGATGCAGGTAAAGAACATTGAACTCACGGCAAAATCAACTGGTCACGTCGCGCTTCTGCATTGGTCGAAGACATCGCCATACAACCGTCGTGTCTGACGCCACGCCCGCCCCCACTCCTCGACCTCTTCCACGAACGCCCCGCCGCGCGCTCGCTTCTTCGACTCCACGTTCTTGTCGAGCTTTTCCAACTCGACCTCCGCGTAGTCGCCCGTGAGGAATGGCTTGACGAGCGTGTAGTGCACGATGCGCACCTCCGCCGCCATGAGGTCCCGCCACATCTCCGGCTGTCGCTTCTTGATCGCGAGGTTCGCATTGTACGCGTATGGGAGGCGCAGCGCCTGCATGCCGAAATAATGGTTCAGGAACGACTGCTCCGCGTCCTCGGCGGGGTACGCCGCGGTCGCGATCTTGGGGAGCATGTCCTCGAATACGGCCGAGTCCGGGCGGAGGAAGAGCACGCCCGCGTTGAAGGAGCTCGCGAACGCGCGGGAGTCGAGGAACACGTCGGGCACCGCGGCGAACGCGTACGGGAGGGAGAAGAGCTCGTCAAAGTTGCGGCGCACGAGCGTGTCCGCATCGAGGTATACGAGAGCGCGCACGCCGATCGTGTCGAGAGTCCAGAGCCGCAGCTTCGAGTACTGGTCGAGGAAGTGCCGGTGCACGCCTGCGTGCGGCGGTGGGATGCGCGCAACGGCATGCGGGCGGAAGCCGCTGGCGGTCGCTACGCAGAGAGCTCGCGGTGAGACGCGCTCCGGCAGGTAGAGCAGGATGCGCGCGGCCGTGCTGTTCGCAGCATTTAGCGTGTGCCCGAGTGTCGCGACTGCGGTCGCAAACGCATCAGTGTAGAGACCCGTCACAACTGCATATTCGTTGGAGTTCTCAAACGTGAGGGGCTCAACAACTTTTTCATCCACTATGGGGTGTTGATTTCTATCGAGCAGATGGGTGAGTAAAAAGTACATATAGGTAGCCAAATACTGAGATACGTTCGTGGATTGGTGTACCAATCATCAATTCTTACAGATAATTTAGAACGATAGTAAATTCCGCGCCAGCTTGCGCTCAAGAATCTGTACAGCTGCAAACGTGCCACGGCGCACTGATTAACTTGCAAGTATCTGAACAATACCGACGACGCTGACGACGAAAGAACTATCGGTCTGAAATGAGCTGACCACAACAGTGCGGGGCTTATTGCTCTCCAACAATTGTACCGTCCTCGTTGGGTATCAGCGAAAGTAACGCCACCCATCCAGTCAGCCCGCACTGAAGGGTACCATGCCAAACCGCGTTCTGCTCTTACAAGCTCGAACTATAATCCAAGGCTTGACCTCAACAGTGTTCTCAACAACGATGAAATTTCAGGCACATTTCATCGTTGTCGAAGAGAGGCACTCTATAGTTGTCTTTAGAATTATAGTTGACGCTCAGCACTTTGAACAAGTACGGAGATATTCAACGGAAGTCAACGTTGTCCATCGGTACCGCAAACTGGCCTCGTCTAGTCGTGGATGGTGCACAACCAAATATTTCAGCAAGGGGTACAAGACCTGCGGGAGACTTCATTCAAACCCTAAATTAGGGCTTGCCGCAGGACGGACAAATTATTGTCCGTCCAGTATATCCGCTGCTAAACACGCGTACCGACCCCGAGAGACACTCACAGAGGCTGATAATTATCCAGAGCACTCGGCCACGGCCAGAAGAACTGCCAGGCAAAAAAGAGGTTGAAGAGCACCGAGAGTATCACAAAGGCGGTCGTGGGCGTGCACGGCCGCTTGTTCAAGTTCCTGCGTGGATGGCCGGGCGAGTCTGACCAGAGGGGCATGTAGTCCTTGTATCGCGAGACGAGGAATGAGAACATGGCGTCGACGTGACAGTCGTAGCAGACGACGAGCACGCGCAGAAAAGGAGGATGATGGCGCTCGAGCGCTTCGCGCGCTGCGACCATTCAAGGCGTCTGCGCTACACGATCGTGCTGCGCCGTTCCTCGGCGGCTGCAATGGTTTTTCGACCTCCGACATATTGGTTCGCGGTAACTTAGATCAACATTAGTTAATCGCCACCTTCCCGGGCCGACATTGGCGGCCACCGGCCGGTGAATTCCGTGCGATGAGATTAGCTGCCTTCGGGAGACTAGCTTCCTATGCTACTTGCAACTACTGATGCATGCTATAAAATACATCCATGCAACGTTTAAAAATGCGACGAAAACACCACCGCCCACATACAGAAGGTGACATGAAACCCGTTGTACACGAGAGCTGCTAGTTGACTTCTGCGGTGCAACGCTGATTGAGCACCCAGCAACAGACAGGCGCAGCAGCGCGATCAGACAGGACACTCACGCGGTGAATGATCGTATCACGACATGCGCCAGACGAGGTTATGCTGCCGCACTCGTGGTGACCGCAGCAGCAGGATGCGCCCGCGAGCACTGCGCGAACGCCTCCGAGTACGTATGCCGCGTCTCCCGCCACGCCCCAAGCCAGATACCCAGCTCCTCCTCAAACAGCCCGCCCTGGTCGCGCATCCGCCCCTGCACGTGTTCCTCCATGTGCCGCATGTCTATCACCGTGTGCCCGTCCTCCTCCGTGACGAGGAACGGCTTGATCACCGTGAAGTGCACGATCCGCGCCTCGCGCGCGAGCAGCGCCGTCCAGAGCGCGGGCTGCCGTATCTTGATTGCGAGGTTCGCGTTGTACGCGTACGGCAGCCGCACCGCCTCCGCCGCATAGTAGTGGTTGAGGAACGCCTGCTCGGCCTCGTTCATCGGGTACGTCGCGGTCGCGATCTCGTCCAGCATCGCGTGGAACACGGTCGTCGACGGGCGGAGGAAGAGCACCCCCGCGTTGAACGAGACAACGAACCCACGCTCATCGTAGTACACGTCCGGCACCGCCGCGAAGCTGTACGGCAGCCCGAACAGCTCGTCGAAGTTCCGCAGCACGAGCGTGTCCGCGTCCAGGTACACCACGCTCGCGTACCCGCCCGCCCCGTCGAGGGTCCACAGGTTCAGCTTCGAGTACTGGTCCAGGAAGCGCGGGTGCACGCCCTTGCCGTTGTTCGGTGGCGGGATGCGCGAGATCGGGCGTGGCATGAACCCGCTCGCGGTCGCGACGCAGAGCGCATGCGGGGAGACGCGGTCGGGGAGGTACAGCAACAGGCGTGCAGCGGTACTGTTGACCTTGTTGAGGGAGTGCCCGAGGGTCGCGATGGCGGTCGCATAGGCGTCGGTGTAGAGCGTGGTGACGATGGCGTGTTCGTTTGGGTTTGTTTGCGGTAAGAGGTTGAGTGCGTCCGTGCTGACTATCGGCTGTGTGTTTCTGCAAAAAATTGTAAGTTAGGGGCAGAAGAAACATGTGCATATAGGCATGATAATGCTAGTCGGCTCGAAACGCATACCGAGTACATGTGTGAAACAAAACAGTTTCCCGCAGCGACGAAAGAACCCCTTCGTGACGCGTATACGAAGGGCAGTGACTCCGAGACACCTCGCCACTGCCGTCATAGTGAGAGCGTGCGTCGACGCGATGCACTTACGCCCACCTCACGGTGGTACCTGTATGCACCGGGTCCATGCCTTGGAAGGTCCGAGCAGGGATATGGGCGGGCAAAGGGAATGCAGGCGTACCGATGACATCCCCCATAGCAATACTCAAAACAGACCGTCGCAGAGGAGTACTCACAGGTTCTGATAATTATCGAGGGGTTCCGGCGATCTCCCACGCAGCTTCACACCGAGGACGATATTGAGGACGGCCGAGGCGACAAGGGCGGCGAAAAGGAGGAGGATGTATATCCGCCTGCCGGTCTTGGCGGCACCAGGGTGGTCTGAGGGGAAAAGGGGAGTGTAGTCCTTGTAGGAGCGGAAGAAGGAGAACATGGTGGGGCGGTAGGTAGGTAGGTAGGAGAGAGGGTAGTAAACGCGGCAAGGAGATCGGGCACGGTGGTCGGGGACGCCCGTGTCGACGCTGGGCGTGCACTGAGGCGTGTACGCGTGCGTGAAACTCACAAGGGGGGAAATGCAGGTCAATATAGGAGTATTCGATTGCGGAACATTGGTGGGCAGTTTCGTATATATGCACGGGGCGGAAGGACGTGCGCAGCAGCAGCCGGCCGCTCACCGAGCGTCGAGTGGCTTGTGTACCGAAACGTTTCCAGAGGCGCCCTCCATCAAGCATCAACGTTCAACGACTATCAGCTCTCCCTCATTCCGTTTTTCTCCTATCTTACTCTTCGTAGTCGCAAACGTCCACTACATAGAGGACACCGCGACGCAGATGCAGCTTGGGTCCAACGCTCACGCAAGTATGATGACGCTTACCACATCCTCCGGTTGTGATTTCGCCGAAAGTGCCGCTGGGCTGCCTGCAGAACCGCCCTGCCTCTGAGTACAGATACGCTAAAATACTGCGTGTACTTGTAGACTTCCAATATTAATGTAGACTTGCAATGTGTCTCACTCCGGCGAAGCAGAGTGGTTAGCTGGCGCGCATTCAATCGATCACTGTCGACCGAGTGTTTCAAAATGCTGGGCCCGTCCAGCACCAAGTGCATGGCAGGGCACACACTGGACACACTCATCATAATCAAAGATCTGGTACGACAGGCATACGCGACGACTGGCAGGAATACAGCCTCACAGCGTTCAGCTGGACGTAGAAACTTTGAAGAGAGACTTACATACAAAAGCCTCTGCGTCCGGAAAGATCCAGAGTAGACATGTATCGCCTTACAGCTTGTTTGCGGAAATGTGTGCTGCAGCACATCCCCGTACATAAGGCGGTCCGCGGCTTCACTGGGCAAAAATGTATGAGCAGAAACAACTGGAGGTGCAAAGAGATCCAGTAGGAGGAGGAAGAGCCGCAGACCCGAGGGAGGCTTGGAGCAAGTATCAAGACAAAGTTCAGAGATCCAAGTCAAGGCAGGACAGAGCTCGGACAGCTCCATGAGCAACACTCTCGATGTGCACTTAAAGGGTGCCCACTGATTGCGCCATCAAGATGGTAATCAACAGCTTTGTTGAAGGAGAACGGCCAGCAGTTCAGTGGGATGCAGGTACATGAGCAGGGATAGCGCCGTGCACGCAGGTGAACGGGGATGCAAGAAGTGCAGTAGACTGTCCGTTATCTTCTTTACGTGCCCATTCACCTGTTGACAAACTGGCACGAGAGACCAACTCTGAGTTCTAGTTACACATGCAAGCTTTGTCAATAAAGTTGCATGGGCGACAAATGGTGACATTGTGAGGCTGACAAAACTTACGTTCACTCACCGATACAATTCCTGGACGGTTTCAAGAGAGGACAACAGCATGTATGTACGGGACTTTGAGACTTCTTTTTTTTGTTTTGGAGGAAGCTTAACGGCACATGCGCGCAACTGTACTCGGACAGCCCGCGCAGGCCTGCTTAGCGGCGGGGGTTTCACCCCACGACCCTCCAAGGAGGAAAAATGCCATTGCACACGCCCGCCAACAGGCGGGCAGACTGGGGCTCAGGTCGCGTTCATTACATCGGGCGGAGGCCACGGATCCTCCGGCGAGCCCCCACTAAAACCTCGTGCTGATCTATCCAGTCGTATGGTAGCTCATTTTCGTGTAGTAGTGTATTTCCCCAGGTTGCTATAATTAAATTCCGGTTTAGAGCACGACGCCCAAGGCTCGGGCCTGTGGATGCTTGGTCGAGGTGGAGCCTGGAGTTGATTGTGTGTCGCCATCGTGCTTCAATCTCTTGCGGTGAGTGCGAGAAAGACGGGTCATCCTTATGGGAGATGCGCCGTTCACAGCGGAGTTTCCAGATGAGGTATGCCAACTCAGACACTACGATACGGAAGAGGCGGGAGACTCCGTGATGTATTTTGCCACAGCGTGAGGTGAAGGCAGCTAGACCACATCCCAGGATAGTGCCTAGAGAGGGGGGGGCACGTGTGGTGTTTATGAAACCAGAGTGATTTAGCCAGAGTCCAGATCAGGCTTTGGGCTGTGCATTGCGTCAGTATATGATGAAGGGATTCTTCCGCTCCGCATGAAGGGCAGGAACCACGGTCGGTCATGGTGGGGATGTGGGTCCAATAGTGTCCACGAGACTTTGAGACTTCGATATGGCGTGGACATTGGTCGCGAGATGCCTTCTAATTAGTGAATGATTACGAGCAGAAGCAGTTCGTAAATAGCTTGGACCACTCCGATGGATTTGGTCACCGCCACTGACCAGACGATTAACGCAGGTCATTGTCCCGTAGATACAGAGCTGAGAGTCCGTTGAACCGTGTTGTTGCAAGACGCAGAATGTAGTTTGGATATCGACGCACGTTTCGTCCCAACCGCATGTCGGCACCTCTTCGGAAATCAGGCGCCTCGCATCCCTGCTTATTAGGCGTTCCTAGGCAGAATCCCTCCGCATTAAATGCTAGAATTGAAGCAGGTGTTTTCAGTTGCGCCACTCAGGAAGCGATTCGCCTGCAAAGCGTCGGGTCTAGATGCATGGAAGACGAAGACGGTGGGTTATCTCCCGAATCCCGATATTCAACCTTGTTCGAAGATTCCTTGCCAGCGTACAAGCTTGATTCCTGCGGCATAGTCGCCTTCCAGTAAGTACTTGGGCACGCGGCTCGGACTCGCCTTACTTCACCACCTCCGAAATGCGGAGCACGAAGGAATCGCCGGGTGCGACAGCGAGTTGGCAGCTTCTCAGGTGTTCGGCCATGTCTTTTAACCTCTTCTGACGCTTGTACTCTCAGACGTAAAGCGTTACGTGGCGTCCGTCTTTGAGAACCTGAGCCATGAGCTACAGGTCTACCGGTGCGATATCGAGTGGAGTTCACTTGGGGCCTGAACAGAAAGTGCTGGAAACGCCTTGCTGGAGTCTGGACGTGAACGGCGTGAAAATTCTGGTCCTCGAGGCGGATTTGAAAGAAAGGTACAAATTTAAATACGTGCTGATTTGACGCTGTCCGAGTCGGGATGTGTTTCGGTTCCATACATAACCTTGATGGGCGTTACGACGGAGAAGTGATCCTCATGTGACACTAGACTATCTTGTTAGAACACCCTATGTAGTGAGGCAGAGTACGTGTTGGGTGCGGAAGGCCTTGAAATCGTATGGCCCGACGAGAAAGATGCAGGCACAAAATAGGCGGTCCCGAGTGGCGCAAGCGTGGGAAATGCCGAGCGACGGGAACCGCCGGACGGTGCCGCGGGAGCATGTCTCTTTCCTGATCGGGACCGGAGATTATCCCGCCAATGGGAGCCCACATAGATCATGTGATGCGCGTTCGACATGTTGTTTACGCTCCTCATGAACTCGCTGCTTCCTCTCCCTGAGCTTCCGCTCTTTTGCCCCCCCATCTTCCACCCCCCACTGCAGACCCCCACCCTCCAGTCTGTTACCTACGATGCACTCCTTCTCCGTGTTTCTTTCTGCTGTAAGCTTCATTTTATTTTATTTCGCGTTTGCGTGAACTTGCAACTCATAAAGTTTTCGTCTATCGTGCTTTTTTCCTTCGTGTTGCGCGTCCTTTCCGTGATACAGCTGACTGCGGTCATCGGTGCATCCGCGACGCAATATGTTATTACCGTTGGCGGCAACACCACCACGAACTCCAGTCTGGTTTTCCAACCGCAGGAAGTGCACGCCGCGCTCGGCGATAGCGTCGTCTTCAACTGTGCGTTCGTCCTTTCTACCTCCGATGACATATTCGCTCACCCCAGCCTCCACTTGCCATGACTGCAGTCACGCTCGGTAACCACTCCGCGACGCAGTCCACCTTCGCAGCGCCCTGCGTGCTCGCGTTCGAGACGAACAGCAGCATCAACGGCTTCAACTCGGAGTTCCGCGACGCAGGCAACGGTACTGCCATCACCATCCTCAACGTCACCATCGACGAGACGAACGTGAACACACCTCTGTGGTTCTTCGACTACAACACGTGCGCCAAGGGCGGTGTTGGCGTTATCAACGCCAACGACTCCTCCACTCAGACTCTCCTGGGCTTCGAGGTGCGCAGCCTCGTTCATGTTTGATCATTTTGGACTGATCGTTTGCGGGTCACAGCGTAATGCGATCCGCCTGAATGGCACGAACAGCTCGAGCACCTCAAGCGCGTACCCGAGCTCGACTGCCCCTTCGTCAACGTCCGCGTCCTCCTCGTCCTCGACTGCGACAAGCTCTTCAGCTGCGGATCGCAATGTCGTGATCGGCGGGCTGTCTGCGATTCCTCTCGCCTTTGCGGCTCTTCTCCTCAACTTCTAGTGCTCCTCCATGTGAGGCACGGGCTGTCTGACTCAGTATATACCCCGTTTGACGATTTACGAAAATGCTGCTCCGGTCGTGGAGCCGAGGGGAGGGCACGGGGTTGTAGAGGATGATGTGATGATCTCACACCGTCGCGTCTTCTTGGGGAAAATGTAGATGCTCAGACACCAGCCCGTGACTGGTTCGCTACGCGCCTGGTTTCCTCTGACTGGTTGATCTGCGCTTTCCGGCTTCACTATTGGTTTCTGCTCGCCGCGTTTTCCACCATATCCGTAGACTATCGTATACCATCTGCATTGCTCATTGTCGACTATTCTCCCTTCCACTCACGTCTAACCTGGTTCGCAACGACGTTTACTTGTGCTCTTGCGTTTGCTCTGCTACTTTGTGTCCGTGTTCCACTCATACCCCCTGCTATACCCTCGTCTTCTTGCCACTCCCATATGTATCGGGTACTTATGACGACATTGATAGACACACGGTGTTTGTTGTGTTCTTTTGTGCGAGTTTCTGTGTCGTAGACTGCATATTTATCCGAGTTTCTTGTCATCTTGTCGATGTTCTGCTATTTTGCTGGCGTGCAGTTGACCGTTGACGACGGGAAGTGCCAACGTCGATCGAGTACACCGAATCTCGAGATCGCAAAGATCGACAAGCCTCCGAGGACCGTGACTCGGGCTCTGGCCGCCACTGCCCTCGAGGCGGTCTACTCCGGTTGGCTATGGACCGTAATCTCTCCCGGCAATCTCATAGGCGTTGAGATCTTGAAGTATCGCTACACTCGTAGGTTCTCCCGTTTACAGTTTCAAACATTTCGAGCGTTACGGTTGACGCTGACTGGCGCGGGCAGCACTGGGAGGTCCATCTGAACTACCAGGTAGAGTGCACAAGTGTAGGTGATGGTCCTGTCAATACCGGACGACTTGCGTTCGCGGTGGACTGTCCGTGACGTCGTCGTTATCGCCCTGGTCACCGTGTTCTACGGGGTGTTGTATGTGCGCACCCGCACGCGTTCTGCTACCGGCGTGGGCGCATATATCGCCAGGGTGCCCGAGGGCGATTGTTCCGAGGGACCCGCCATAGAAGAGAAGCCACTAGGGAATGATACTAGGCGTGTGCGGGCCCCAAACCCGTTATACGGGCCCAAAGCGATGAGGCCACAGGGAGGTCGCCTCCCCGAGCCGGACCCACTCTCCGACTTCGACCCATCCCACGCGTCGCTGAGGGACTACGTCTACGCGAATCGCACTCTGCGCTATCCGTACTTTCAGGTGCGTCTGCTTCACTATGATTATAATGGGGAGCGTCTTTATCAGCGGATCGGTTTTCATGCTGGATTGTGCAACGCGCACAGACGATGGCGCACCAGCCGATGCACGTCAACGATTGGATAGAAATCGACAGCGATTACGCGTGGTACCTCGACGAGAAGGCGCAAGTCATCGCGGAGCACGGTGTGTCTTTATGCACAGTCAAATGATTACTTCTCTGACTGAGCGGCACCGGAGCCCCCTCCCAGGCACGAAGGTACTCGATTCGCTCCCAGAGAACGACGATGCGTGCGCGGAACTCCTCGCGACGCTCGTCGAGCACCTCCCGCAGCGCTTCCCCACCCTATTCTCGCGCCTCCCGCCGCCCGGCTGCGGCATCTGGAACAGGGTAACAGACGAGCGCTTCTCCGCTACAGACGGCCTGCGCGGGGTCGACGCACTGCGTGTCGTTTCCAGGTAATTCGCACGCGAGGCATCTCCCCTAGGGATTCACTAGATAGTTTGACAGGCTGGTGCAGGACGACTTCCTCATGGCGCGTGAGCGCCCCGATGGGCAGGTCTACCTCGTCGGCGGCCTGCTCGCGTTCCCCGGTGCGTTTTACTCACACCTGGCTGAACCTAGCAAATGACGTCCCGTCTGCCGCAGGCTCGTACCTCCTCTCGGAGCACATCGGCAAGCCCCTGCACGCCCTGCACGCCGCGGTCCCGCATTTCGCAGAGAAGATCCTCCGCAGCGTCGCGCGCACGCTCGTGCGCTTCCCCCCCGATCGTCCATTCGAGCGCTCGAGTTGGATGGTCGTGGACGACCGAAACTTGTTCTGGCGTGCATCTTCTTCGTCCAATTTTTCGCTCTAGCGCTTACTGACGGGACTCGCTGCAGATAATATCGCGTCTAATCCGCTGCGCGAGACGCAGCGCCCGGAGGACCTGTTCTTGCGGATCGACCATCAGACGTTCCGGAAGCTCCCTCGTACTGGTGGCATCGTATTCGGCATGTGAGTACAGTTGTTCATGCGTTGTGTGGATGGGGGGTCGCCCCAGCGGTGTCTAGCGAGAGCCTGGGGGCCACTTAAATGTTATCATATTCATGGTCTTCCAGGCCCAGAAGCGTCTCACTGGCTCATGTAACGCCAAATGCCTGATCGCCGGCGCGGTGCGTCGAGCTACCGCCCAAATATTTATACCCTGCACGTACTCGATCGACAAGGTCCTGACCCGTGCTATGCCCTGCAGCCACCCAGTGTTGAAACGGATGGGCGACCTCGCGGACACCCCGCTCGTGCCTGCGCTACTCGCGAAGATGCACACCGAGTCGGACGAGGCGTTGCTGAAGGTCGGCACCCCCTGCTCTTCGTCATCCGCTCAAAATCTGATTTTTGAGCACTTCTGCTGCGCTTGGCGGTCGTGTGGTCGGCCCGCAGTACAAGGGCGCGCCAAAATATTCTGCGCTGCTGTTGCCCTACCTGGAGCAATGTACGAGGAGCCAGATTGCTCGCGGTCTTGTTCTGTGCGTCTCTTGTTGCAGTCCTGTGGCTGGAAGGTTCATGCGACGCATTCTAGAGATGAAGATTTGGAGGACGTTGCAACTTTTCGGGAGCTGGCAGGGCGCGTACATACGGAGTCAACATGATTTCTATACATTTTATCCATTCAATCCAATGTCCGAGCGGACGGACAGCGCGACATTTTGTGTGAGTTTGGCTAGGCTGGTAGAAGACCGGCGAGTCATTGTTCACAACAGCACATGTCGAATGTATATGCTTGAGATCGCTAACGGCGTAATTTCCTTGACTTGGAACGTGTACATTCTCCTTCGGGATAATGTTACTAACACGCTCTCTGTGCGATAAACCGCAAATCAACCGTATGCTTGTCGGGATTTTGGACCCGGAGTCTAGATCACCCGACTGCTCCGGAGACCTTCATCTTGTTGGCATACGTCCTGGCCTTGTTTTTTGTCTGAGTGGCTCTGAGACTTGGAGTTGCCTCGGACCCGTCTCTTCTGTCAGCTGGCGAACCATCTATCGGCACTGGGTAAGATCATTTAAGTTACTTACTAACATGCCGATTTTTGTCGCATGTTACGCTGAGACCCAGTGACGGCGCTGTGGCAGCTATGGACATTGGTCAGTGTCGACCCAGCTGGTACATGACATGTGCGCTACACTCTGGATTGCGGTTCTGGTATTATCTTCTCAAGGGCCAAAGTGGATTGCACATCATTGAGATTTCATGTCATTGATCTGACTGGTGTGAATGCGAACTTTCACCGCATATGCCGTACTTATGGAGGTAGGCGCTATGCAATGTGCATACGGAAAATCCGGCTGGAACATCGCTCATCATGAACGCCATGCTGCGGATCCTGAAGCCATATACCGGTCACCGTTCCCACGTGATGATGGTCTTCTATCATAGAACCGACGAGAGGTAGACGTTCGAGCACGGCTCGCATCCGTCTTTTCCGCCTGAGCTTGCTATGAAATAGCTGTGGTCGTCTGATAGACTTTACTGATAGCGTCCGCGCTTCTGTCTTTGTCAGTGTACAAAGGGACCTGAAAATCGGCAACGCGTGATTCCGCCAATCCCTCAAGAATTCTGCATTTGGCTTTGGGTTCGCACAGCAGCTTGCAAAGACGCAGTTGAATGAGGTGATACTTCTGTTCGATGCTCTGATCGTACCCTCCAAAGTCCAGATGGAGCAAAGTGTGATCCCTGGCCATGAGGTGGGCGTTCATTCCTTTTTCACTTTCGCCGTTTGCAAACCTGCGCTGGACGCTTAGGTTTCGTATAAATGCGCATTTCATTTTTCAGGTGACCCTAGCTCGTGTGGTCCATCGACTCGAGCGATCCAGCGGCCATGTTGTCCAACAAGAACGCCTTCGCGAAAGCCGCCATCGCTCTTGTGTGTGCCACCGCCGTCCTCGCGGCTCCGCAAGCTGCTTCTGTGAGTCCTTCGCACTGCCCGGGCGGTGCATCCATGCTTAATTTGATGACCTTCTGTGCAGCCAACGGTGAATCCACTGTGTCCGGCGAGCTACACTGAAACCCTGTCATACACTGGGTTGATCGAGGCGCCTGGTACAACATACCCCTACACCACCACGGTAACAATCACTGGTGTGGAATATCCTATTGCCACTACCACCGAAACGGGTATCTATACCTTCTCGGGCGTTATAAACTCAGGCACGCCAGGCGAAACACCTGTCACCACGGTGTACACTGCCTCGTACACCGAAATTTACACGTATACCAACTTTTTCGACGATCCACCGTACCCCACAGATTGCTTCCAATGGTGAATTTATGCACTGCTCGATTTTGGTACTTTACTAAGCCCCTGCTTGAACAGATTGTCGTCAAACGAAATTAGCCCTGGCGTGGATATGGCATGAGTGTATGTTGGTGTGGATGCCGTTTTTCTTCTCAAGTACCATCAGAAGATAACCTGTGCGGCGCGTGATAGTGGAATTACTGTTAACAAGAAGTGCGGCACTTTCTGTAGGATGTAGGAGTATCCGCGAAATCCAGTGAATCAGTCTATAATTCCGAGCGTCTCAGTCAACGAAATTTCCAAGGCAATGTCAGACTACAACTTGGGTAACCCTGAAGTCAAGAAACGTGCTGAGTCCAAGCTACATACAAGGATGAACACAACACCTGCCATTTTCGGACAAGCTCCTATCTTTGCGGACTCAGCCACATCGTGCTCAACGATCCTCCCAAGTCCAACCAGCGGTCAGTCTGCGATGTGAGGAACATGCCGATTAACTAGAATGTCGAACCTTGACTCGTTCGTGTGCTCGTCAAAGCCAGTCCCGAAAAGTCTCGCCACCTCGCAAGAGATCAGGGATCGCGGCTCTACCTTTGTGGCTAACGTCTTCGCTGCCAATTCACCCCAAGAAGCCCGTGCAGCCGTAGCGTACCTCAGAAACGTCATCCACGGCCAGCATCGTGCATCGCACGAGGTAGCTGCATGGCGGTGCATGGTGCTGAAGGCGGGCAAGAGTGGACTGGGAGGACCGAATGATTTCGAGCTTCAAACCGGCTGCGAAGACGACGGGGAGAAATACGCAGACGGCAGGGTCCTGAAAGTGATGCAGGAGGAAAGTGTGATTGACGCGGTCGTCGTCGTGAGTAGATGGTGAGTGTGTCGACCCATATTTTGTCCACACGCACAATTGACGGAATGAAGATAGGTATGGAGGCATCATGCTCGGGCCTGCTCGATTCGCACATTTTGAGTCTTGTGCGAGGGAGGTCTGCCGGACCTTCCGGCTGCAGGATGATGTCGAGACATGCATCGCGACGCTCTCCTCCCTGGATGACATACTTGGATCCCTCCGTGACGAACTCGCGAAGCTCTTGTCAAGCGATACACCGACCACTGAAAGCAGTACCACCAATGATCGCCCGATACCAAAGAACCCCCCAGACTACACTGCACTGCGAGAGACTTTGGATATCAAGAAAGCCAAGCGATTGGTGACGGCAAGAGAGAATGCTATCAAAAGCGTGAAGGCTGCGCTGAGAAAAGCGAAGGAGAAGCACAACTAGGTAGATCGTCATCATTCTGTGCACAGTGTAGCACTTCCATTGATATAGCTGAAGGGCCCATCTCATCTCACTATGCTCGTTATGAATCATGCCGGATGCAAGCGCACTTGAACCACGAGGTAATTCTTAGTATCAACCCTATGCTCATTAATCTCTCCGATACGAATGATATTACCCGAATTAATACGATACTAACATGCAGGAAATAAATATGACACCAGTCCCTGAGAATAGAGAGTAGTTCGTATCATGATATCCCCAAAATCTCAGTCTGCGTTGTCTCCAGTAGCCCAACGATGAACAAGATCGTGCAATCCTAGGTCACGTTCAATCTTGATGCAGAGTTCATTCAATAGCTGCAATAGAAATTTTACATGGCAATCGGACACTCACCTGCTGCCTCAACTCCACATCTTCTTGTCCGACAGACGACCCGAATACCGCGTCCATATCTTCCAAAGACACATTTGCTGTCTCGGGCACCATATACGTCGACCACAAGTAACCCAGAAAGCAGGCGGTCGCGAAAATCATAAATGTTCCACTATTTCCACGCCGTTTGTTTAGTATCAATGTCGATCGGGGAGAGAACGGTATAAAAACAATACGTACGAAGCGGAAGCATCCATGAGACTTGGAGTAAGCAGGCCCACCAAAACTGGAACGGACGTAGATGAGAAATGGAGATAGATCAACTGCGACAGAGGGACGCACAGTTGTTGAACCAGTTGGAAGCGGTCGATAGTGAGACGCCCTTGCTCCGTATAGATAGAGGAAACACCTCGCTTGGCAGGACCCAGCCAATGGGCCCGTAACTGATGCCATAGGCAGCGGTGAAAACATACACGCATCTATAATCCATTCGAGAGGATTGAGGAGATGTATTCATGGACAGAAAGCGACACGCACCCTACAGAAATCCATGCGGCAACGGCATGAGAAGCCCAATCGCCTTCATGTAGCCAAACCTGATCTAGATTGTCAGATCGATCCTTGCATGACCGACGGTTATGAAATCTCACCAAAATCGCGATGAAGAAATGAGAGACCGCCATCACTGTACTTCCCCCTGTTTATATGTCAATCGTGGCTACTGCGTCCTCGCTTTGACGTATTTACCTCGTAGAAGGGGCTTTCGGCCTGTAAGTCAAAAATATTGTCGGAATAACGAAGGAGAATTGGCTAAATCGTGCATACCCGTCTTATCCAGTAACACAATGGCGGGAAGAACAGCCAGAAATTGCACAATGCCTATCCCTCCTGAAACTATAAGCGTGACCTCGTCTCCTTGCAGGCCCAGAGACCGCACAAGGGTGGGACCATAGTACAGGAGGGCATTAATTCCACTCCATTCTTTCGCCGCAGTTAGTTAATGCAGGACGTGGACAACGGGTCACCACGCGCTTACGCTGGAAGAACATCATCAATACTCCAATGGAAGTGCGATTGATGTACTTGTGACTGAAGAGTCGTGCCCATGCATTGGCTTCAGTGCGAATGGCGCCGGATTTTGGGGCGCTACCTATCGTCTGCTCTATCAAAGTAGCCTCGGCTTGCATCTCCAAAAGCTCTATCTGGAATGATGCGAACATCAGACTGTAGTCGTCACGCTGAGGTTCAGGACCTACCTGCAGCAAGATATCTGTATCGCTTTCAGCAGAGCTACGGAGACGCATCTTGGCAAGGGAGCGAAGTGCTTCCTCTATTCGTCCTTGGGAAACCAACAATCTCGGAGATGGCGGTAGGAATAGACAGCCGAACGCCAACAGCACGCCGGGTATCAACTGGATGCCCAAGGGCGTTCGCCATGACATGGCACTCGGAACTGCATTCAGTGAAAAGTGAGCGCGCAACATGTAGTCAAGAATGACAGCTTGAAAAGGGATGACAAATGAAAAGCGCACTGTTGCGAGCAAAGAACCCCACCCAGAAGCCAAGCACGGCCCCTAAGACTATTGCAAACTGCTCGATGGCCATAAGCGACCCTCGCAGTTCAGGTGGGCTGATCTCAGCCATGTAAAGAGGGGAAATCATGCTGATGAGGGATAATGAAGAAGATTAGCTCTGAATGTCTTCCAAGTCGGAATCTAATGCAAATATCCACCTGAGTGCACCAACACCAAGACCTCCAATAGCACGACCAAGTATCAAATGGTTTAATGTTTGAGCACCGAACTGAAAGGCAGATCCGATGCAAAACACGACTAGGACCTATCGCTCTTGCATTCAGGATCTTCATGTAGGACAAGAAGGTTTGCCTACCACAGGCTACTAGGACAGACTGTCGTCGTGAATACCGATCTGCGAAGACACCAGATATCAAGGCGCCGACCAGCGACCCCAGCTCAAGCACAGCCGCTAAGTGAGGAGGGTCGATCAAGCTCAGACTCCAAACAGCAGAAGAAGTGCACAGGACACTCACTCATGACGCCTTTCTCCCATGCGCCCACCGGCCACCTTGCAGTGAATTCCTTCATGACCAACACGTTCGCAATCACACCTTGATCGTAGCCGAACAGCAGCCCCCCCATGGAGGCAAATACGGCACAGCCGAGGGCGTAATAATTGTGGAACAGCCCAGGGATACCCTTGGGACCGTAAGCATAGGTGTAGGAGTGTCCGTCAGGGTCCAAGATAAGTGTTCCCCCGCGCAGGGTTGTGCCTGCTGGTAGAAGTGGATGCGAACAGGATGTGCCTTCAGGATTGTCCGTATCTTCCGGGTCGGGTGTTATAGAACGACGATCAACATCCTGCAACATATTCACTGTTTCACATGTGAACGGTGTCAGCACCATGGCATAACATTGGTTAAACAACTTACCTTTCCTTCAGAGGTCCTACAACTGCGCCCCCACAACCGGAACTTGTAAGTTAAATTAAAGTTCCTTTGAAGACGACTGGCTTTAGTGTACGCGTGAAACTATGAAGGTTGCTAAATAATTCTGCCGGGTCGATCGGCAAGAACAGCGTGGGCTAGCGTGGGCTGCGTGGCATAGTCGTGGCATGCAAACGCCGACGAGTCACGTATCTCAGATGAAAGGATCAAACATTCGGAAGTCGTCAGATAGTTAACCCGCTAGTACGGTGAAGTACAGTACATAAACATACATGGAGTACGTAGTACATTGCCAGTGTCTTTGCTTTTCCACTCGTACTCGTTCGCAGTCATTATACTAGGTAATCGTACGCAACTAAGAGGCCTGTAATGGCCAGCGAGTAATCTCGAATTCAGCTATGTAACTCTACAACGTGATGAGGCCAGTACCGACGTGAAAGATAAGGAATTGGCAGTAACAGGATGATGGAGGAGAACGCAAGCCAAAACCAATGTGATGGGGACGAATGACTACAGCTACGTAAGGACCCACATGATGAACAAGAGACAGAGAGACAGCACAACACTGCAACACGACGTTATGTATAACAGACACGACAAGCCACTAAGCATACTGGTTACCTCTATACGCCGTAACGCTGCGCTAACCTCTCCTGGATTGCTGGAGGGAATGTGCTCACTTGGGCCGTCCACCCAGGAGGATCATGCACCTTGAATCCCGTCAGTAGCTGCTGGAACATGACGTTCAACTCCGGTGACGGATTGTTCCATCGCACGATAGCATTGCAGAACCACAATAGACTCTGGGCACAGACATCGATCAAAATATGATCTGACATAAGTAGATTTAGAACTGACCTTCGTGATCCCCGCAGGATTTGACTGCACGAGCGTGCACAGCCCTCGGAACGCGGAATCCTTCTCCTCATTGTCTCGGATCTCGTACAGTGCCTGGCACCAGGCCTGCGCAAATTCTGGAAGGAGTGGTGCGACCAGAGTGGGATGCATCAGGCCAATACGACCTATTGAGACTGCAGCATTCTCATGCAGGCTGCGTGGTGCCCTCGGATGCAAGAGGATGGGAATCAGTCGAGAAAGCAATGGATGAACCCATTGCTGGAATTCAGGGTCGTCTGGCAGTAAATGTCACGTCGGGAACGAATGGCGGAGTAAACCTTCGCTCACCTCGGCCGTAACGCAGGGCAATCTCTCCAACTGACCATGCCGCGTTGTTGCACGCACTAATGAATTCAACCTTCGGCTCAGGATCCAACTGGATGATGAGTTCCCGCATGATTACTTGCAAGTGGGGTCGCAAAATCGGGAAGCAATTCATCGCCATGTCGCCAACTAGTGCATACGCTGACTGCCGTACTGGAGCTTGTGGATGCTGGAGGCAGACAGATAGCAGCGCGAAAAGATTAGGCTCGGTACGCGAGATTGATGGTTCAAGAGCCATCCCGAGGCCCTGGGTCAAGCCAGATAGGAGATCGAGCGCCACAACAAGGAACGATCTCTCTGGTTCGTCCATCTCAGGGTTTTGCTGATACGCCTGATACTGTAACAGTTGTGAGTGGACGATACCGTAGCAACGATCGAATATAGGGCCTGCATATGGGAGGAACGCAGGACCCATCGCTATCGTCACTGAAGCAAGGCACTGTACGATGATTATACAGTTATTTTCTCTGTAACGAAGTTCAAAAATAAAGGCACAAACCTCCAACAATGGTACCAAATCGTCGTCATCATTCCTTAGCTTGGACCACCTCTTCGTGAGAGACGGCATTAGGATATCCACATACGCCGGGTTCTGCAGGGCCGAGCCAACAGCGTCAGCGAGTGTACCGACGGCATCGTACAGGATCAATATGTTCTTGTGTTGATATTTCTCGAATGCAAATACCAAGTTGCGGAGTACCGGCTCAAGGAACGGCGCAAGCTCGATCCCTGCATCTTCCTCCAGAGTAGCGAAGGCGCTGCAGCCGGCTTCTTGCACGCGTTTGTTGTTGTCGAGCACCATACGAAGAAGCTGGCACGCAGAAGTATTAGGCGCAGCTCCGGATCGCGGGAAATGTGGCCATTCATACTCACCCCTTCCAACGTCGGTACAAAGAACTGGTTTCTGTGGTCATCTGAGACCGGCTGGGTACACCAACTTGCGTAGCGGCCCAGCGTCCAGCACGTGATCGAGCGCACGAGAGGCTGAAAGATAATGTGAGGACAGGAGTATGAACAAGACTGGAGACTTCGTACTTTTGGGTCATTAAGCATATTGATCAGATAAGGAACAAGGGTAGGTAGATGAGGCTCCACGGCATCGATACAACCTGCATGGCACATTCAGTAATTCTTTAGTGGCTCATTCACTCATTCAGCAGAATCGTACAACCTTCGGCCATCGCTCCCAACGCCAGGATTCCACTTTCTCGCTCCAACCAATCCGAGCTCCACAGCTTCGTTTTGAGTGCATCCAGCAGCACGTTCAGTAATTCCGCACCAAATCGCACGGCAAGCACGTCCAAAGCCGCAGCGGCGCACTTCCGCAAGTTCCATTCTGTCGACATCTCGTCTGCGAATTCGTCGTCCGAGTCGAACCCGTCATCGTCGTCGTCTTCGTCCAGTTCTTCCCCATAAGCGCCAATACGTGGTTTCGCAGACGCGTCTGCACCGTTGGCTTCTTCACGCTCAAGACCGTGTGCCTTACCTCCGTAATGCCGCGGTTTGATATCAGTATCCTTATCCGGGACAGCAGAATCCTCCGCGTCACCCTCGAGCCACAAGAGATCATCTTCGCCATATATCATGCAATCAAGAAGGACTGGGGCCACCTTAGGCAGTAGTGGGTATAGCTGATGAGCGAGCTCAGGGTCTTCAGCGAACGTCAGCCAGAACTCGCAAGCCTCCAGTGCGACATTCTCGTTTTTGTCCTTGGTCGAATACAGCATGTACTCTGCTACATTCTGCATTTCGGGCATCAGCTTCTCTGGCCGAGACGCGAGCAGTAGAACTAGGGCTTGACACACGTGCCGGCGCACGGCAGGATCTTCGTCGGAGGCACGCTTGAATAGGCAAGCAATGAAGGCGTCGATGTGCGCAAAGAGTGATTGACAGTTGATTGGGATGAAATACGAGAGACACGCGATGGCGTGCGAGCGCATTTTTGACGATGGGTGTTCCGTGAGCAGCAGGAATTTGGGAATCATGTACTCAAGTGGCCAGGTGCCATTCATCTCGACATCTAGCTTCCGCGGGAAGTCTTCACAAGCCTTCTCGAGCACGTTGAACGCAGCCTACATCACATGGAAACCGGTGTCAGTACAAGCAAATACTTCGAAGATGAACAGAAAGAAGATGGTACGGATATAACGCCTTCTTGCCACAACTAGGAAGCTACATCGGTACTGCGTGATGAGCATCGGAAAGGCCACATGCCGCCGCTGCCCCGCGCGCTGCCCATTCCCCTCGCCGACCTGCTCGCCACTAGACCCGCACAACGATTTGGTAATGAAGAGACTTACCTCTTGTTGCTCCAGATCCCCTGTATCCAGGTAGTGAACCAGCTGGGAGAGACAGTCCGGCCAGTTCTTTGGCTCAAGGATTCCTAGAAAGGCGACGATGTCCTGTCCAGCAGCATTCCGAATCATGGAATTCTGATCGTTGAAAGCCTGAAGTATAGAGGTTTTAACGAAAGCAGTAACCTCTGGTGGAGAGCGTATGATGAGTCGGGCATTGTTCTTGAGGAGGTATCCTGCAATGGTACGAATACGGTCCTCTTCCTGGGGCAAGCATGCGAGAATGTAAGCAAGATAGGCAATATAGTCTGGTGCACGCGTGAAGTTGTTCAATTTCTGGATATTAATGTGTTAATATCATCTGGAATGAAACGCGGGGTCAGTGGTGGACGCACATGAGTAACTGTACGCTGGATCTGAGTGTTTTGAGTGTCGGTTGAATCGTGGATTGTCTGGAGTATTTCCTGCAGACCTGCGTGCTGCGGCGTCCAGGAAGTCATGGCTGTGGCGAAAGACGCGTTCGGAGCGCAAGGCTGGTCGAGAAACGCGTGCAGGAGATTCAATCACAACTCCCCGTCTACTTTGTTTGCTCCCTGTCTGCTTACATAACCAATGTTGTCTTTCCTTCCCTCTTTTGGTATGTTCTCGGCGCCACCATATCGATCCGATCGCTCCATCCAATGCTTTTGTCGTCGACAACAACAACGAGAAACAATTGCCGACCACTACTGACATAGGGTCATCGTGTGATGACTCGCTTTGCCATAAATCCAAGGTGTGTCGGAAGTTTTCCATGACTTGTTTTGGTTCGGTGAAGATCAGCGGTGCGGAAATGAGATCGAAGACAAATAGTACTGATGTACATACAATATGGTTGCACGAATCTATGGAAAGGGTAGTTGTACTTCTACTTAAGTTCTAGTTATCAGAGCTGGCGACAATTCATGCATGACTTCCTGGACGGGTAACATCATGAGACCTCGTGGGTCGCAGGCAGGCCTTCAGACAAGGGCGTCGCTACACCAGACGCAGGCTGTGACATTGGAGACGGAGATGGTACATCCCCAAGAGGACCGCGGAGGTAACTGCGAAGGAAATTGCGCCAGTTGGCCTTTGACGGGACAAAATGACCTCCAGAATTCGAGTCATGAGCAACTGTATCCTAGGAAGTCAAACGGTCTCACTTACCCCCATCGTGGTATTCGACGCGCTTGTTCGTGGACAGCTCCAGCAGGTGCTTCGATCGCTCCTCGGTGACGACTATGTCAGTTTTCCCGAGTATATGAAGAGTCGGCGTAGCATAGGACGACTGGAAAATGCTGTCGCACAAGGGACCCGTGGGGCGGAAACCCGCCACAGACACACAATATTGACTGAAATAAGGAATGAGACCTCCAGATGATGGCAAAGTCAAGGTGAGACGCTCACAATGGGGGATGAGGGGCTTGTCCGTTGACCAGGAAAGGAGGATACACATCAGGTCTCTCGAGCTGGAAGCCGTGAGTTGGTAACATTAAATAGAAAGAAGTAAAAACCATACCAAGGCAGCGAGGAGTGCAGCCATGGCGGCTCCCTGGCTGATGGGAAATGAATGCGGCATTAGCGAGGAGTTTGGGTAGGCATGAATCGGCAGCGGACCTAAATCCAAAAACTCCCTGCAAAAATTATAAGGGTACAGCAAAGGCGGCAAATGTGTAAGTGAGAGAAATTACTCCGGTGACAAATAAAGCTTGTAGCGAGCACTGAATCCGAAACTTACATCATAATGATCTTTTTGCAGCACATCTCGGAGAAGGGTAAGAGAGTCTTCTAGCCCAAACGTCTGCCGTGATCCAGGTTCGGCTCTCCACCATCCTCGAGGAGCTAATGCGGGATCCTGGGTTGATGCTTCGGATGCCCCCGATTCCTCGACTGACGTAGAGAAGGCCTTAGCGATGTCAACAGGGGACAGCACAAGGGGGCCATCGATAAATACTGCAATGAATATTATAGCATGAGAACAAACGAACTGCCACTATAATTGTTCTGACCGAAATCTATGTCTTTGCCACAAGTCTTACGAACAGCTCCCATCTGTAGATAGACTTAAGTCTGACGCTTCATCACGAATGGAGAGAACATACCCTCTTGCCAAATATTGTGGCGCTCTGAGCGTACCTTGAAAGTCAGGAAGATTTTTAATTGGCGTTTTCCTTCAATAATAGTGTGACGTGGACTCGCCCGTGAAGCATAAGCACACGCCGGGGGGCGTTCGTAGTCATGACTGATTACCTAGCAAAATGATTAAAGATCAGTCTTCGAAGAACAGGCTGAGACAAAGTAGTAAGAGACAGAGTCCTACTCAAGTGAAGCTCTTCCACATCCTTCACCTGAATTCCTGAGAAATGCGCGCATGGGGTATTCATAGTGGGAGATAGATTCATTGAGTAGGGCTATGACTGTTGCATTTCTTGGCTGAAATGATACCTACTTCGGATATTAGATGAAAGAGAGTCACTGACGATTGTGTCTCAATGAAAGTCGGAGGTGTTCTGAATGACTCTGACTCGGCGTACCCGGCCCTTCGCTGTAGATCACATGATTAGACGCGTCGGTCACTCGAGTCACTCAAGTTACACTCAAGTCACAACTTGAAGGCGGCGCGCACTGGCCGCGAAGATCTTCTACGCATATTAATATATCTTCACGTCCTCGAGGCCTCACCAACAACGTGTTCCTTGTGATTTGTGGACATTACTGGCACTTGGTTTTACGACGCTATCAGAATCTCAGCTGAACGCCGCCTTGGACAGCGCGACGACCGTGTAGAAGCGCACATCGTGAAGACTAACGGCGGAGAAGAGACGTCAGAGACCGTTCATATCCCGTGGCTAGTAGTAGCTCTTCCATGTACACGCTTCTGATCTCTTGCACGCAGGCGTGGTACGCAAGCAACTGGGGGTGTCTTTTGTGGGTGAGACGAGGGATGCAATGCATCATTTGCTCTCTCCAGCAGCAACTTTTGATCGGCAGTACTAACTGTCATGCTGGCAGCATGATGTTGTCCCCCACTGAAGACGAAGGAATGTTCGTCCTGATGCTCGGAGGTCAAGTTGACCATGCAAAGTGTCTCGCAGACCACGAAGGATTGATTAAAATCCTGCGCGCCAAGACAGGTAGGGATGAGCTTGTTCTGGATAGAGTCAAGTGGTTAGCGGAATATAGGTTTGTAAATCCTTACACGGCTGACCTCCGGTTTCGAAGCTGATTTTTGGGCAGACCGAACATCCGAATGGTGAATAAATTTGGCGATGGACGGGTCTTTGTGGCGGGCGGTATGTGAATGCTGCCTTCAAGTGGAATCCCTCTCACGTGAAGTCTCAGATGCTGTTCATGTTCACAGCCCATTTGGCGGACAGGTTAGTTTATCATTTTATTAACATCATCCGGCCCCATGTCGAGTATTGTATCACAGGGTGTAAACTCCGTGTGCAGGATGCAGTACGTATGTTATCTCATTGCATATTACCGTCCTGATGTGGATATCCGACAGTTCAATCTGGGCTGGAAACTCGCTGTCGTCCATAAAGGCCTCGCCTCCCCCACGCTCCTCTTGACCTATACCGAGGAGCGCCTCCCGGTCGTCGCCGAGATGCTCAGGCAGACGACAGGACTGCTCAACGGGACCATGGTTTGCAAAGAACGGGAGCGCAAATGATACATCCGCCTGGCACCGGGGCAGCGAGCTGGGCGTCAACTACCGCTGGAGCGTAGTCGACGAGCGGGAGTCATACAACGCCGGCGACCATTAGCAGCCCTTGGACGCGTACGGCTCGGGTGGGAGCAACCCTGCTGTTCATCCGGGCGATCGCGTCGCCGATGCGCCTGGTTTGGTAGTTCGGGGTCTCTCCCCAACGATGGTGAAAGATCAGCTTCACTCTTCCGCGTCTTTAGCCCGACCGAGCACACCGTGCTGGTCTTCACCAGCAATGCAAGCAGACCGGCCCCGTTCCTCGAGGAACTGAAGGCCTACCCGCCGGACACCACGCGTTCGGTGGTGATCTTCCCTCAGGATGTTTCCGTGGTTGGTGCCGATATGGTCCTGGTTGATCGTGAGGGATATGCCCACGAAGGCTATGCCGTCTCAGGGGGAAAACCTATGGGCGTGATCGTCAGGCCGGATCATACCATTGGCGGCGTAATGTTCGGAGTCGAGGGCATGACACGGTATTTGCGAGGCATCTTTGCATCAGTATGAAGCGGCGCACACATACATCGACGTCACTGAGCACTGTATCTTGTTCGTTGAAGATCACGTAGAAGAACAATAGGAGGAGCGAATAAGTATATGTGCATAGGAACAAATTCCATCCAATGAATCAATGTACCAGCTCTAGCTGGTAAGAGGGTATACGACGGTGCGAGATTATTACTAAATCTATGTAATGCAGCGTACTAGTTCTACAATGCAAAGCATGCAACGGATGCAACGAAACGGCAAGTCGCGAGATTAGAGTCGACCACAAAAGACGCGTGCTGCGCGTGCTCTCAGAATTCAGAGTAGTAGTTACCATGCCAAGATCTACCAAATCCAGGATACGCGAATACAGCTCGTGATGCGTGTCATGAAGTCACTCATGCGTGCTCGCTATGCCGGCTCGGTAGGCTCCTGTGAAGGTGCGTACTGTATCGCGACCCGCGGAATCTCCAGAGTCTTATCTTCCGAGTGATACTCTGTCGACAATCGGTTATCCACTGTTGGGATGGACGTATGTTCCGGTCGACGTCGGAAGATCCACAGTTGTGCAAACGCAAGAACAGGCCTGAACAATTGATCAGACGCGATGTGAGAGCGAGGGAAGCTGAAAGCCGTCTGCTAGACTCACGTAAGACCGAGAGATACAGCGAGAAGGATGATAGTAACGGTAGTCGGTCGCCAGCCCACGTATGTGAGATACTAGGAAGTAAGATGAGGAAACACCATAGACGAGACGAGAAAGGGCATACCTCGAAATGAGCATGGTTGCGATCGAACAGGAAACGCAAGCCCCAACTCATGCCGGATTGTTTCTCAACGACGAGGTCAATCCCCAGCGCCGTCAGGAATGTGCCGACGGACGAGGACGATAGCGCCTGAAAATTCAAATATGAGCACGGAAGTGTTCCTTCATACCCGAGAATGTAAACCCACAACTGATGCTCTCCGTTTCCAAACGAAAATGAGGAGACCAATGATGCCAAATCCGGTGATGATCAGCCAGTCTGCATAGTGCTCGGGTGCAAGCAACCCGTCACGGAAGAGACATATGCGCACGCCAAATGCAAAGCCTCCCAGGATCGACAGGAATCCGATGCCTGCGACTCGGCCAAATTCGTGCATGCCGAAGGAGAAGGCAACGAGAAAGCCGCCGACAGGTGCGAGAGTAATGACGAGATCCGGTAAGGCGCTGGCCGTCTCCGTATTGATGAAGGCAACCCAAACTATTGGACGGCTCTGTTGAGCGCGTCTGTTGTCAAAGGTAACAAGCACGTACTGCAGACAGTGAGAAGGACACCGAGGCCAGTGCCGGAGGTGAACCTCAACAATCTGAGTCCGACTAAGGCTAAGGGTACGCCAACAGCGAACGAATAGACAATCCAAATGATGGCTGGGGCGGAGAAATCATGGCCGCTACCGTCTGAGGGAGAACCTTGCGCAATGATACTTCCCGAGTTGGGGTCAATGACGGAGGTGGTGCCGTTCGCATGGCTGATATATGGCCCTCGTTTTGACAGAGACTGCCCGGAAGTCTCCACAGAATAAAGGTCCACGGGCGACGCGGAAGCGTCACCGACGACTGTGAGAAACAGCCACGCCAGAATATGGAGGAGGCGGGCTGGGGTGGCCATCTAGGATGGCCGCGAGCAGGGGGGCTGTCGCAACGCAAGTGACAAACAGCTTGAAAGCCAAGAAGGCGTGAGGTTTGGGGCAAGCAGCGAAGAAAGGAGAGGACGAGCTGACGCAGCTCAACGGAGGAGAGCACAGAACGAATTACCGGAATTTGGGCGAACAGATGCAACTTCCACTTCAGGATGACATCAGATTTCTCGGAACAGAAAAAGGTGTGAGCCCGCCGAATGGCGGTGGGTCGCGTAGCGTAACCACGCTGACGGCCGACGCGTACTTCGACCCACGTGACCGGGTTTCGCGTGCACACTGCAGACGCGTCTCCCACATGCGCCACCGTGTTACAGCCATGACACACGCACGGTAAGTCCATGAGGATCTGACAGTGTACCTCTGACTCCAAAATGTATCAGATCCAGCGATTCTGCGCAGAAATTTTCTGCTTTGCTGCAGTATCTTGGCGGTCCAAACTGCTCGCCTGAAGAGGTTACATGGGCTACGGATCTTCCTGCAGGCAGTGCATTTCTAGGGTGGCTCGCAGACCAGTTACCGGAACAATTGAGTGCAAGTGGTCTTGAGATTCAAGTTCGCTCCGCGCTAGAGCCCATTGCATTGAGTCATGAAGAAGCCACGGAGTATGTACCCATATTGCATACGTCTCATACGGACTCGCCTACAGCGAGTTGCAGCGCTAGAGCTTCTATGAAGCTAGGGATTGACAATACAGAAGACACCACTGATATCTCACGCAAGCTGGCCAACTATGACGTCCCATCAGCGTTGCAGTAGGTGTTGATTTAACAGCAACACCCTGAGTTGACCCTCAAAATTTAGTTCCCAAGCGAGATTCATGGAAGAAGAGGCTAAAATCCTCAAGGAAGAAACGAAGATGCTAAAGCATCGCGTAAGAGGAGCGAAGTTAGGTTCCTGCTTGTTCCTTTTCCACCTCCGCTCACGATCAACAAAGGATTGTATCCAAGCAGATATCACAGACGATTCAGATGCTGCGCGCCTCAGTGAAGTCTGCAGATGCGGATATTCAACAGCGGCAAGAACAGCTTGGTGAAATATCGCTCGAGGTTGTCGTCTTCACGAAGGACCATCCATCAGCCGTCAACTGACAGTTACTCTCCAGATTGACGTATCGATCGAAAAGTCGACGAAGCTGGCAAATCAATTATTGGACGGGTTCCATCCGACACGTAAGATGTCATTCTTTCTATGCCCAACGATCGCCGCTCACATCGAGCGCTACATCAGCGCCAAAGTCGAAAGATGTGAAAGATAGTATTTCCGAGCACAGGACAAAGCTGGCCTCGCTTTCTAATCTTCGCTCAGAAATCGTGGATTCTGCAGAACGACAGCTACTTATCATTGAAGATGCTAGCCGGACACTGCCCAATCCCTCTGAAGTAGAGTGTGAGGCTGCGCGCTTGTGCGATGCTTTCGCCCGGTTATCCCAACAAACCAACGAAACACGAAAACAGAGTGTAAACGCTTTGCAAGCTGCGTCATATTGCACGGAGCTGGGTATGATGTGCGAGGAGCTGGAAGCGCCCAATGGCGACAGTCCTGCACGGACCTTGGAGAATATTGTAGGCCAGGCTGAACTTCCCAACGCAGAGGACTTGCAGGACCGCCTCGACCCGTTTGACGTGAACATTGCAGGCGAGATCAGCCGGGCGTGGAAGCTAGACCAAGCAGCCTTACTTGCTTCGCGCGAGGGAGTATTAGACTATGTATGTTGGTCTCTATCATACGATAAAATCACCGCTGAGACTCTGATGGATGGTCATCGCTAGGTACACGATAGCTTCGTCGACCATCTTCTTCCCCCTCTGCATAATCTACACGATGAGCTCACGGCGAGCAGCACGTTTGCCAGTAGTGCAGATGCATTCATCAATGCCTTTATCGAAGAGCTCGAGGATTGTGCAGACGACGTCGCCGCTGCTCGGGCATCATCCTCCACTGCATTAGACAAGATAGCAGACGAAGATGCCCGCAACCTTCTAGAAGGCGAGCTAGTAGACCTACTCAAGCAGACGCAAAGTAAATCCGCTGAACCGAGCAATATATGACTGTGCTGACGAATTTACCGACAGAAACGCGGGCACCAGACAATGGCTTACTCGTCCTCCTGGACCGTGCAGACCTCGCGAAGGAATTGCACGCTGTTTCCGAGCGCCTGCAGGGCGCTGATCTCGCGGAAGACCAGTGGATTGTTCGCCTGCCAGGAAAGCTATCTGAGTTGTAAGTCACGTTCGCCTTCCGAAGTTCTGCTCTTGAACTGTCCTTGGACAGAAGAACTGGTCCCGCATCCCGACTGTCCTCCCATATCTACGCCAACTCTCCCGTCAATACCTCTCCTCCCTTCTCTGCCGCGCGAGGGCAGCGCATCTTGGACGCAGACACGAAGAAGAAAGTCGATCAGTTGAGCCAGGCGGTGATCAGACTGCAGAAGGCACGCCTCTGCTGTCATTGTTTGAAATGACAGTCACTGACCGGAGAATTGCTACAGGAATCCGAATTGAACAGTCAGGACGAGCGGAAGATGGACACATTCATTGAGAGATGGTCACGAGCTTAACCTTACCTTGTTGTGTATTTGCCCTGCAGCTTAAACAGAAAAGTGTAGGAGATGAAAGTAATGAAGACATCTTAATTCTAGTGAAGTTAAGTACAGAGTACAGTACAATAAATCTGGTCGGATACAGGCGTAGATGTTACCCAACATGAGACTGAGTAGATAGAACCACAGATCCGGACAGTACATCGTACTACAGAAATCGAGACAGCAAGCATTACATCGGAGTACAAAATAATATGCAACGAGAGATGGTAATTCGTGATACATGCACAATAGTCGGAGCGCCTGAGAGCCTTTTCTCTGGCGAAAGATGTCGACACCCAATGGTAAGTGTGGAAAAAGCAACACACTCTTGCCGACCATGGCACCGCAAAGACGCGTGCCAACAAGTCTAATATGAAGAATAAATGATGCCGTTGATATCATCCCAGACCAGGTCATGATGGCATTGTGGTTGCAAGAGTTAACCCGACTTTACGTGGAGTTTCGATGGTCTGGGCTACGCCGGAAAGGACGATCTGTACATCGCGCACACAGGACATCGCATCAGCTTGAGTCGGGCAAAGAAGAGAAGGGCTAACCTGAGTTACCTTCGTCGAGACTACGGGTTCTAACCCTCCCTCTAATACTGCGCTCACTGCTTCCTTCCCTGTGCTCTTGCCCCCTCATACCTGCCCTCCTCGTATCCGTAGTCACATATCCCTCGTGTCCGCCATTTCTATTCTCACCTCCGTCATCAGGGGCTTTCTCGCCTTCGTCAGGGGCTTGCATTGAGTCACGAGGGCCTTCGGAATGCAATTCCGACGGTGGTGCTCTCGACGGACCAGTTTCATACAGTACGTTATTCATCTGATTCGATGACAACACCGTAGTTCAATATACAGCGAATACAATTAAAGATGAGGACTCACATCATAGTGGGTCGATCCATGGGTGACATTTGAAGGAGTTGCGGCAGAACGCGATCCGTTGCTGGTTTTAGCATTAGGGTAAGGCGTGGAATATATCACATATCCGTCCCCGTCTCCACCCTCTCCCTGCCCATTCTCTGACGGAGGGTGATCCTGAACGATCTGTCTTGATGCAGTGTGACCGACATGAGTGCTCCCACCGACTTGTGCTTTCCGTTCGATGGCCCGCATAGAACCATCAATGCTACTTGGAAGACGTGGTTTCGAGGACGAAGAGGCTGATGCCTCTCGTTGGAGGCGAACATCTTCCGCCCAATTGCAATTGCCACGGGAATTGCCTGTTTTCTGAAAAGCGGGTGGCTCCGCTGGTGGGAATGCCGAAGTCGATGCTCCTGGATCAACGCGAGCATCCGTGTGAGGATCGAGCGTCTGTGTGCGATTGCCACCCGGACCGCGAGACTTCTCGTGTGGATGCGTCAGGTCGGCAGAACTTGAAGATTGCGCTAAAGACACAGAGGCAGGTGCACTTGGACCAGCCTGAGATTCAACAGCTTGTCGCTGCCGTTGATAACTGCCTCTCGCGCCACGGTTTTCCCTAGCTCTACGTATAGGGTTCCTGGGAGTTCCAGAACACGTTGCTGTGGAGGCAAAGACCGGTGTTCTTGCACCAGCGCGTTCTTCCAGGGGGGTTGATTCCTCCGATAAGCCATCGCGGTCATAGTTCCGAGGTGCCCGACGGGAGTCTTGGAGACCTCCAGAGGGTACATTGACCGGCACTCTTGTACCAGTGCTCGCTTTCAAGGGAATCGCATGAGTGGATCCCGATATCCTAGCACGGTAACGGCCGCCAGGTGCCCAGTCGGAGGCCTCGAGACCTTCAGAGGGCAGTTCTTGGGGTATGATTTGAGTCGATTCGGGTATGATTTGAGTCGATTCGGGTATGATTTGAGTCGATTTGGGTATGATTTGAGTCGACTCGGGTATAATTTGAGTCGATTCGGGTATAATTTGAGTCGATTCGGGTATAACATGAGTCGATTTGGGTATAACGTGAGTCGTCGATTCGGGTATATCATCGAGACCGAAATTCGGTGCGGTGGTGTCCCCGCCAATCGCAGAAGGGTCGGTATCGACCGCTTCGGTGAGGATCGGTGCAGGAGTTTCATCAATCATCGCAGAGGACGAGGTGTCACTGGTGAGAGGAGTTGTCCCGTGTATGTGACCCGGGTTGGTATTAACCACTTCGGTGGCTATCGGTGCAGTAGTCTCCTCAGTCTCCTCAGCCGTCGTAGAGGGCATTAGTATGTGTCTGACGAGAGTAAGAATTCCTCGAAGTACTTCGCCTGGAGTATTGATTGCTTGGATGGGTATCGGTGCAGCAGTGTCCCCAGTTATTACAGTAGACAAGCTGTCACTAAGGAGGGTAAGAATGTTCTGAGTTAAGTCTTCATTGTTGCACCCAGGCGGTAAGCTCCTGCCAATGGCCTGAAGAAGTTTGTTATAGATATCCTCCATACCGCCGGGATAAAAGAAACACTCTGATTCTTCGTCATTGCAAGCTGTCTGGGTCGATTCATCCACATGCTCAGAGACGGAATGAATACCTTCAAGATTAGGGGTCATAAAACCGTCTTGATGATCAGGTATTGGGACATTGTCAGGGTAAGGGGATGTGGATATGACTTGACTCTGAGGGAGGATGTGATCGGTTCCTCCGTTCACGGGCTCCTCATCCAGTTCAGTAGCAGTGCAGAGCGGGAGGTCATGGGGTTTAAGAATGATGCAGCCGGTATGGTAGACGTCGAGTGGTGATATGACCACCGACAGATCGCAAGCAGTAACTGGGGCCTCAAGTTCAAGGCGAGGACCGGGGAATCCGAATAACTCGGAGCCAAAGTTGCTAGGCATGGATGACACGGACGCGTTGGTGAAATCATGAGACACAACCTTGAGGCGCAGAAAATCAACCTGCGATCAGAGACAATTTCCGGTGAAAAATATCTCACACGCACGATTGGGAAAGAGCTGCTTTCAGTATGTGGCGCACGGTCTATCTTGAAGATAGAGAGTTTCGCTAACTGTACGATCATGAAAAGGGCAGCTGCAACTAATAGAGATGCAACAAGAAATGTGGCGCCAATTTCTGCCCAGGGGAAGCGACGATAGATATCGAATATGGTGACATGACGGCCGCCAGTTAGAAGCGGCACTTGGAGGGGAGCCTTGGAAGTAGAAATGGGGGAGTAGAGAGGGACTATATCAGTCAAGGGCCTCACAATAAGATCGGTGGTCATAGATAGATGATCCGCTCGTCCATCGTGCATAGGCGACGATGAAAGGGAGTGTGGCGATACAAGCGCGGATAGAGGCGTAAAGCTACTGTGAAAAGTAAACGTCAGAGACGAAACGACAAAATTTTCTGAATACGTGCATCAAACCAGCGGCAAGCTTGATGGAGGACAAGACCGGACGGTATAGCTGCTCTCTCATGTTTGCTCGTAGAGTTGCGAACAGAGGAGTGCTGAAAGAGCCATACAGGGCTAATGTAGCGGCAAGTAAGAGCGGAACGATGAGCATTGTTCATTCGACAGTGTATCAGTGGTAGTAAAAGAGAAAACATGTTGTGGCGCTGCCTCGCCGCTTATATACCCTGTATGGACAACAAAGAAAACAATGTTGCAACCGCGCACTTGGAGACGCGTCGCGTTGCATCACGTGATGCACTCAGTGGCCAACACTTCCGAGCCACGTACGGCAAGTGACGTCGTTCGTGCACTCCGATGCGTGGGCTTTTTTTTAGTAACAATAAACACAGCCAGCAAAGACACAAAGAGTCCCGCCCCCGATTCAAATCAACTGTATACTATCCTGTGATCAGATGCCCGTCGCACATGGGCTGGAATATGGCTCTCATCGCGACATTGCCGCATTAGCCTTCGCTTATCTCCACAAAGAATCTCTGGATATCTACAATCGTTTGCACTCTATCGAGGAGGACGTTGCATTTGTTACAAGTGTTTGCTCCTCATACCCTCATCTCCCTGTTCTACGTAGGCATGATTTCTCTAAACCAGTCGTAGTACTCATGCACGTCTTCATTTCAGCGAATCTGCGATGCGGCGCGTGGTATGTGGATCCATCAACGGTGAGTTGTTCGTACGTACCTCTTCTAGTCAAGCGGCGATGTAAAGTGTCAAAGGCAAGAAGAGAACCGGCTTACTTCAAGTCTACTGACGGGCATTATGGAAATTGGAGCTTCAACTTGAGACGACCCAACTTGCACCTGTTGCAGGTCGCACTGTCAGAAGGAGGGTGAGTCGACCGCATGTGGGATGATGTCACTTTTCCCGCTTAGCAAACGATTTAGTTTGATAATTGTCGACTCTACAAGATCCGGGAAACGGATTCCCGATGCCCTGTCCAAGACTGTGCCGATCTGGTGTACTGTCGTCAACCGTGCTATACGCAGTCTTAATCCCATGACTCAGAAGCGCCAATGGGATACGGCGCTGTGTTGTCCACCCGGGGTTGTCAGCTCGCAGGAAATGGCACAGATTGAGGAGCGGATCGATGGATGGGTCGATTCACTTCTTGTAAGTCGATGCCCCTGTAGCTCAAGTATTCTACCCTCGTATAGTGAGTTGATCATACTATCTCGTGACGATAGGCCTCTTCATACGTCCTACCCGACCTGGCATTTCCCCTGAAGCCGCTATGGATCACGCCATCTACTACAGTTCTTCCTCAAGTAACTTCGGCTGCTCTGCGGAATTATCTACCCGTCATATGCGTTTCTGCGTCTAGGTCTATGAGTGAGGGTTTGGAAAGGCGAAGGAATGGGTTTGCATACGTTCCAGGTTCAGGTGATGATCATGAACTCTGGGGAGTGGTGAGTTTTTTCTCTGCGTTCCCTGACGTTATTTGCTGACCACCAACAGGGGTTGACCCCCCAATTGTTCTGGCAGCATAAAACTGTCATTCTCAAAGCAATACGTTCGGACCTTCCTACCTTGGTTGGTTCTCTGGTAAAAGAGTCTCCAAGCCGGTCGCGCAACGACTGTTGGACCCTTCTGCCGACACCCATTTTTCAGGTCGGCGGATCCATATTGGTTGGTGCCATCTCTGATTTACCGCTGGCTTTACCTTCACATTTACCCGAGTCGGGTGCCGATATCGCGTTCGTCTTGATTAGTGGGAATTCAACCTCAGAGCCCCTGGATGATCCAGGGTTCGATGCTCCCGGTACTGTTCTCCAGTTACGCCTTTCAGAGGGGAAGAAGGAGCAACTTCACTTCCTTCGGAATGTTCTCCCGAAAGCGAGCACCTTCATTGGATTTCAGTTGGCCCGCAAAGCTCAAGTGTGCATTTGTTGCGACAGTGGTAAAGATGCCAGCGCCGGAATCGCATTAGCTGCTCTACAATTATTTTTCGATGATGCAGGAAATTTTACCGCGACGGCACAACAGCAAGCTGCGCTCAGTACGTGAATTCTAACTGTTTTTGCCAGTAGGTATCAACGTGCACTACACAGGGGCTTCTGCTTGTAAACAGTCAGTTCGTACACGCCTGCAGTGGATTATCTCCAGCAGACCCCAGGTCAATCCATCCAGGGTGACCCTCAAAAGAGTGAACGAATTCATCCTGTCTTCACCGGACTTCCGACGCCAACGGTAACGCGATGTCAACGCGATGCCACCGGCAGGTGATCATCCCGGTGTGACCTTCACTGCACTCGTACTGTAGATGTTCAATGTGAATGACCCTTCTATCCCTGGGTTGTATGTGGATGGAACGGCAAGATACGTCCCAGGCTGGAGCTTCATCTGCGGAGTAACGACTCCAGAGACTGCGTCTGAGTATGGTCCCGATGTAGCAACAAGTACGCTCATCGGCAACTGCTCCGTTGAGCGGAAGAGGGTGATATTCGCGGAAGTGGTCGAAGAAAGTTTGTCCAGTTGAAGACGGATCCTGCAGGCCGCAGCATGTAGTGTCAAGTATTAGACAGGAAATGAACCCTTACTTGAGTTGGCTCGATGTCTCCAGCTTGATCTCATACTTGGGATTTGACGAGTACTGATTGAAGCTCGGACTACCTGCTGCTGTTTCGACAGTCCTACGGGTGGTTGAACAAGCTGTCTAACTCAGCGAGGAAAAGATACACTGACCACGCGCCATGGATAACTTTGTTGAACATCCCAGCACCCTCTTGCGGAATTGGAGTGAGCTCTATACGGTGAGAGCTTTCGACTTTCAATGAAAATTTTCCCAGCTGCTGCGGCTCGAATGTAGACACGATCAGAGTATAATCACCCACTACATCGATCGTGTCAGAGGCCGATGTAAAGAACAATGAATACGAGCATACCAGGCAAATCGCTAGTTCCCTGTGCGTAGCCGTAACTGTATGGGCCAGAAGAAAGTGCGACATCGTTGCGTCCAAACCTGGAGATCGGTGAGCAATATTCAAGGAATGAGTGGATCTTGCACATCTCACTCGGTCACTCGATCTCCCTGAGACCAAACGAGAGTGGCATTCATGGGTAGCTTCCGGCATGCTTGGAGGACCACCGATATCCGCGCCTTAGAACTCCCAATAGGGCCAACGGACGACTCTTCGGTGGAGTGTATTCGCAGATGGTACTGAGGATTGGTGAGGAACGTCTGATAGCTGTAATTTCCTCCAGCGCACTTGGTCGTGAATGCACCATCGATCTAGTACCAAGGTCAGGCAGGAAGTCAGAATAAACGCACGCTTCCTCACCTGCTTGCTATACGGTGCGTTCGAGGAGTCTTCGATCCATGACAGAGCAACATTAGAGTACGCGGTAACGGTGAAGCCAACGTCCTCAAAGTCGCCATCATATGAGGCAACAAGGGAGAGTATGGTGGTCGAAGTACTAAGTTGCGTTTTCACCTGCAGATCGTTGTCACGTCCGGTTATGTGGTAGAAATAGACAGTTGCACTCACGAGAACGTGCATTCCAGTGGAATATTCGCCCTTGACATCTTCAATTAGTATACGCGTTGCAAAACACTAACGATGTACCTGAAGTTTCGATATACTGGGATTCTCTAGAGCGGGAGTTGTCTCGTTTCCGCTGGTGACGAGTAGAGCTATGTACTCCGACTTTCGACTGATGTCCGTAACATGGCGGCTGAGCAAGATCCAGACATCGCGGCTACCTTGTATGCTACGACCTTGCTGCGTACGCAATCGCAATGGAAAATGTGCGACTTCCAACAGTAATGTGTGAATGGACATGAATGCGCGATACTAAATAAAAAGCATACCCCTATGTGCGTACCCTGGAATGTTCGATTTCCACATACTGTCGCTTTGTCAACGTCGAAGAATACATGATCTACGGCATGGACTGACCCATGGAAGAATAACTGATGACGAAATATCCCAGGATCCCAACTGAGGTAAATACCGTCGAAGATATCATGTATCGCATCCCATGAGATGTTCAAGGTTCCTGGGAGTACGATCAATCAATAGCCCTTTACGAATAATTCAGCATACTGACGTGGCTGATCGTGTTGGGTGTGCGATTCTGAGACTCTGTTGTCCGATTTCTCCGGGTCGTTTATAGTCCGTTGAGACTGAACCCACGAGTCGAGAACAGTCAGCGTTCGATCACCGTCTGAGTCTTGCATGTCTGCAACGTGCTCGCCTATAAGTTATCTGTGTTGCATCTGGGAGGTACAATGCATACCGATAACTGCGTAACAATGAGCCGGTAACAAGGTGAACGATGACCATTTCGGAACAACAAGTCTTGTCCCTGTGCCTACAGTGAAAATACAGTGTCCTGCAGGATTGCATAGGATGGATCAACAAAGTTCGTGGTTAGAAGGAGGCCTATTACCTCGAGCAAATCCAGCTAGTACGCGGGACCATGTTTTTTCTCGTTGATGGAACGGGCTATTACATTGAACATGGATGAGTAACAGCCATATGTGGACGTTGAATTGCAGCACCTTCTCAAGTCTACATGATCTGGTATCCAGCCCGCTAATGCGCTTTTTTGGCGGGTAAACCGGCGAAAATCAACGTGAGAATGAAACACTTACTGCAAGTCGAAGCTTGAATTTCTAGAGTGTATATATTTGGCGTCACTAATCATATGTATACAGGAGAAAAGAATGCGTTACGCACGACCCAGGGAAGTCATATCCACCCATTAATTTCATGTACTGCGACAGACAGCTGTTAGTACTCTAGATAACGTAAGTTTAAACAGGACTCACGGCCTTCTCCACGAGTAGTGGCCATAATTGGAGCTTATCGCCCGTCGACATACACATGAGAGTGCCGTCTGGATACATTGGCAATTGATCATCTACTTCTGAATGAACAGGAAGACGATTTATAAAGAGTAGGAGGATTCGAAGTTCGAACTCACTAATCTAATTGCAAATCGCAAACCCGAGCGACTATGGTCAGTGGAACACCGTGGATGGCATCAAAACGAACTGACACGTCGAAGGGCGCCATTGAAGTACACTCGGAGCCAATAATACCCTGCATCTGAGTGACGTGGTACGCCTTCAGGTGCTTGTGGATAGAAGCTTGACAATCCTATCTGTTAAGGAAAGCCTTATTTATACGACAGTCATGATACGTGTGCAACCACAAAGCCTGCCTTCGAATTGAACCGCCGATGATGGTTGATACAAATTGCAATGGAGCCACAGACAGAGCAGTCAGATATGATGTGTTGAATGATGTCTTGCGGAAGAAGGAGCAACGAGGAAGAATAAACGTTTGTCCCAGCTCCTATTCGTCTCCATGATGCAGAATGCTGCTGCTGGTCAGGAGAGAAATTGGGCTGCCTGGTATGAAAGATGTTCGATTGGACAGAACAGATAGATTATGACAGAACACACGATAAGTCGTCCGGGCAATCTTCATCCCAAAGCGGCAGACGAATATTGTTGACGGTGGAGGATTTCTTGAGAACGTGTATTTGTTCCTCTGGATGCCGTCACACATTCGCAGGTGAGATTGTGAGCAAGAAGGGCAAAGGAAATGGCTTTGCTACATACGGTCGGAAAAATGGTTCTTGATGACGGGAGTGAGATCTTGCCGGATGAGCTTGATCTTCTCTGCACGTTCCAAGGCTTTGGCAGCCTCATTTCTGGAGGTCGTGCGCAAGCTGGAGTCAGCTGCGTACTGGCTGATGTATAGAAAGCCTTCGGCGGCCTTGATGTAAAGACGGAAAGCTCGATCGAGATCTTTTTCGAGTTCGGCCTTGGCGGCTTTGGCATACGTTCCCTGCGCCAAGAAAACTTGGTGAGGATCATGTTATCTGATAATGTGAATGTGCTTACCTCGGCGTCCTGGAGAGCCATTCCACTTCGCTTGGAGCTCATTCCTGATACCACTAAACGTGCTTGAACCCGGGATAGTGCCTACATGACTTGGAGTGTGTGTCTGCCAGGAGGCCTCGGAGGCGGTCGCATCACAGATCGGTCTTGCCATATTTGTAAATCGGTATCGACGTGCAAGACACGTGGCTGCTCCTCGCAGTCGACGACGACTGTCGCGTCCGCGACCGTCTCGCCAGCATCGATATATGTATGGTCAACAACGGAGGCCACTATTTCTGACAGCGCGCTTTCTATCCAACAAAAATGACTTCTGTCGGCGTTTTGTTCGATCGGCAACTATTGTTCCCCCAGAATGGTATTACAGACAACGATGGCTGCGTTTACTCGACATATAGTCCTTCACCGTATTCGTTTTTCGTCTACCTTGTTCTAATCTTGCCACTCGATATACCTCTAGGATGGCGCCTCCCAACTCCAGACTCTCTTGGGAGCCTTCTTCTGTCCACAAGGAGCCTTTGTCGATATCCATTCCTTCTCCAGATCACTCTGTGCCTGCAGAGACCTCTCACTTCTCTCCAGAGTCACATCCATCTTCTCCCTCTAGGACGCAGTCGAGCTGGACATTCGCTGCAAAATCTTCTGCAAAGGACGTGGAAGCCGGCAGCATGCACACGCACCGATCTGTTGCACCCTCTTTCCGAGACCGTTTTACCAGGCTGTTCTTTGATGTACGCACTCTTGGTCGGGAACGAGAACCGGACCTACCTATCCAGCAACCTCAGTTGTCCGAATGGCCTCCCCTACACATAGAGAAACGCCAGTGCTGCCAGCACTGTCGGTGTCATGACCCCAAGAAGAAACGAAAACACATTGTTTTCCGCTGGGTACTCCTAATTATAGTGATCTATCTTTTAATCAACGCGATTGTCTTGGATGCGCGCACGCTGCATCCGTCAACTTCGTCGTCACCGTCGCCAGCGTCGACGTCGACATCCACGACGTTGTCGACAAGCGCGCAGCAATGCCTCTCACAGTACATCATCAATGCGCCAAGCACACCCTCTCTTTATCCATGCTCCACGTGCTTTCCAATTTTTCAGAGTGTACCATCGAACTTCTCGGACGGGAATCCAGGGGATGCCGAGCAGATTCAGAATGCTTTACAGTTCTGTAGTCTTCGCAGCATATTCGACACCACGGACAGTGCAGGACAGAGTCTTTTGGCGAATGGTAGCTGGGTACAGAATGTACAGTTCTGTGCATGGACTGGTGTTTCATGCGATGGTTCTGGACGAGTGTCATCATTGTAAGTTTCTCTCCAGTGCGTGTGGTGTTCGGGTACTTATTTTTATATATAGGCAGTTGACGTTCCCCTCTGTCCCAGCAGCTCTTCCTAGTGAAATTGGGGGGTTAACGGGCCTGCAAAGCTTGCAAATCACCGGTGACACAACCACTCCAGGTAAGTTCGCTCCCCACATGTTTACTTCATGTATCTCAACCCAAATCGTCTTGATAGCTGGTTCTCTTCCCTCGTCATTCACGTCCCTAACTGCACTGTCGACCCTCAACTTTGAGTCGACCGCCATATCTGCACTCCCTGACAACCTGTTTTCGTCCTTGAAGAAGGTCACAACGATTACCCTGGTTCGCAACCGCAATATGGGCAGTGTCTTGCCCTCGAGTGTGACCGGGCTATCTTTGCAGAATTTGTGGGTTGATTGTCCTTTCACCCAGCTTTGTACCTTACATTCATGGTGGTTCGTCTATAGGGTGGTGAACCAGCAGTCCCTGACGAATCCTCTCTCGTCACTCTTTTCAAGCTCCTTCATCCGGTCTTCCATCCAACTAATGTGGGTGTTCGGTTGCGAATGTGGTAACTGTGTGAAACCTGACAACTTCGTTTCTTCAGTGACCTTTCTTCGACTTCTCTCTCGGGATCGATTCCCTCTTCTATTTCTTCCCTCTCTTCACTTGTTGAGCTCCATCTGGACAATAACAACCTCACCAACCCTATTCCCGCCACTTTCCCGCCGAAGCTGCAGTTGTTGACCTTGTCTAACAACACTGGCCTCACCGGGTCTGTCACTGGGTCCTTCTGCTCTCTTACTGCTTTGCAGGAGTGCAGCATGACTGGCACCGGGCTCACTCCTAAGGGTGGATGTAGTGTATGCCAATTCTCTTGACACTTTCTCGGACAGCATTAGCGATGATGAACATTACTGGACGTTTTGAATGTATCTAGACTGATACTGTAGCTATAATTCACTGTATTGTACTCGTACAGCTCGTTGTTGTAGACTAGTCTTACTGTACCGTACTATGTACTGACCACCGCGCGAACGCTTCGACTGCGGGATTCGTACGGATAAGCCCAAATACAGGTTATTTGTGATAATGGTCCAATAATTCGTTAACGCAGCGACGAAGCAGCGACCGCCGAGTATTTCAACGCAACACCGATGACTGACTTCCTTGCGCGAGAGAGCGAGCTGTTGGGCGAGGAGTTCACTGGAACACCGACGGGTGGCTCCTACGCTACTGCCGGGGGGGAGATTGACTTCGACCGCGCCGCCTCCGCCTTCCCCGACATCTCGTTAGACGGTTCGGGCGACATCCCAGCTGCCTCCGCTCCTCCTCCTGCCAAAACCTCCACCTTCTTGTTCGACGACTTCGCGAGTCCGCCCCGGGAGCGGGCGACGGAGGTAAAGGTGACGGGAGACGAGGAAATCGAGAAGTTCGAGAGTGAGTTCCCGGACATTGAAGTTCCTCAGGTGAAGTCGCACCGAGCCCCGTACGTGCCGACGTGTATGGCTAACTGTCGCCTGTGTAATCAACAGTCGTTTCCACCTCCGAGAACTTTGCCTGCATTCGGTCCTCCAACGACCTTTGCACCACAACCTCAACAGTCTGCTTTCTCCTCAACGCCTATCCTGAGCCATGCCGTGGACGAAGAAGAGCCGCAAGTTATCAAGTGCGCAATCCATATGTTGCCCATTGTGTACGGCATATCTGACTCCGCCGCGCAGGGACTGGCGAGAGAAACAGGCTGCCGAGATTAAAGCCCGCGACGAAGCCTCGAAGGTGAAGCGCGAAGAGACCGTCGAAAAGGCGAACCGTGCTATTGACCAGTTCTACGAGGAATACGCTGCCAAGAAGGAGAGGAACATCAGGGAGAACAAGTGCGTCATCTCCCTCTCTCCTCCTACCGCTTGCTTTGATGTAACCACTCACTACCAGGGAACACGAGGAGGAGTTTCGTGCCGTGCTCTCCGACTCGTTGTCAAATGGCACGACATGGCAACGCATCTGTGATTTCATAGAATTGCAGAACTCGCAGAGCAAGACAATTGCCAGGGCGGGCACTGGCACCACGGATCTATCGCGGTTCAAGGAGGTGCTCCTGCGACTCAAAAGAGAGGGCGACGCAGCACCTGGTGCAGCCGGTTATTAGATAGGGAAATAGGTATTATTTCAAGGGTTCACAATCCTTCACTACGTTACAGCTTCACATTGTGCTGTAGTGTTCCCGATTATTATTTGATGACTTTCCGGACTACATTCTAGGGGACAGCTAAACACAAGAATCTATCTGCTGTGACCTGTACACATCTGGGTCCTCAAACACTTATCCTATACAGCCAAGCATCAATACGACTGTGATCGTCCGCGTACATACCCAGACAGCGAGCTTCCAGAAGACGGCCTCTCGTGCGAGGAAGTCCTGTCGTGCCTTAGGAATAACGGCGGGGGAGGAGATGGCGTCGGCGAAGGCATGCCAGTCCTCGAGTTCGTGGTCTTCTGCTCTTGCGCTCGTCGCTGTTTCGCGATGACCGCGTCTACCGCCCGTTTTAGAGGACCCCCGTCCCTCAGCTGACTCTCGATGACCATGTTCTCCATCTCTGATGTGAGCCGGTTCACGACTCCCTCTGCAGGCTCGGTGCACGGTGGAACGTAGGCAAAAGTCGCATCCGTAGGTGGTGTGTTGGTCCGTGGACCGTGGACAGAGTGAAGGTCCACCTGGATTTGTGACGATACTAGAGAGGAAGAGTACAGCCTTGTCAGTGCTGTTAACGAGTGTAATCAGAGCTGCTGCGTTACCATCGCGGTCGATGAGCCGTGCCAGTAGATTGATTCTGTCAATTTCCCCGTTGATCCGCTTGGCATCGGCATAGTCTTGCTGAGGAGACGGGAATAGCACTGGAGCGACTCTGGACAATGCGACCGATAGGAAAAGGAAAAGTGAGTGCAGAAAGCGTATGTGCTGATATGCAACGCGCTGAGGCCAGATGAAGGCAAATAACGTCGTACACAAGCTTGATACGGATGCGGAGAAAATGGACGAAGACAGAGAAGAATCCACTGGGCGGGATGGCGACGAGTTCAGGATGAAGGTGAGCTCGTATGCGAACACTATCGCAAACAATAGATATCGCCACTAACGCTAGATTCAGGCGTCCATCGAATGTGAGGTAGATCCTAGATACTCACAAAAGCTACATGACTTGGCTTGCCAATGACAGACCATAGTAGAAGGGCGCAAGCAGCTACTATGTAGAACCCGGAAGACTGCATGAGTCCGTGACGGATATATTCTCGGAGAGTTGAACATTGGGTCCACTTGAGTGCATCAGGACCAAACCTACACCGAACATTTAGACAAATAACTACGCGCAAGTTTAAAGCCCACCTATCGTACGCAAATCGTGTTACTGGATTCTTCAAGGCGTCGAACGCGTCGCGCACCTCGATGAACGCAGATTCGCCTTGTGGACCCACCCGATCGGGATGGTTCTTTCGAGCAAATTGCCTGAACGCTGACTTAAGGGTATTCTCGTCTGCAACAGGTTCCACTCCCAGTGTTTCGTAGTAGTTGGGGGCCATGGACACGGCAGCATCACGAAAATTGTAACACAAATAGCTGAAGACAGTAAACGCGTAGACATAACGATAATGCTGCCACCATAATGGAGTGTTGGGGGGAGGAGGGATTCGACGTAAAACGCGCTGATAGAAATGGCGATGCACGATAGGCAGCAGATGCTGGGTGGCATAGTCAGGAAGGTAAGACCACCCGAAGAAAGACAGGATGAAGGATAGCATGACCAAGGAATTAGGGTATAGGTGATTCTGTGTAAAGACGAATAATAGTGTCAGTATCACTCATATGAATAGCTTCAAGAGGATATGAATGGTTGCTCAGGAAGGGATTACACCCAGAAACATGTGATCTCATTTCTCCAGCAACGACGTCTCCTCTCACGCATGTGCATCAGAACCTGCCACTTCTACGCACAGAACCACACGCCATGAGCATGGAGCTCTAGCTCAGACGCTTTGAGCTATGCCTGCCACATGAGATGGCTATATGCCGTTCATGAAAGAACCACATCTAGAGACCGCCTGTAACAGAAATTTTTTTGTCTGCACAGGCTTGGCTTCTTGAACGCAGGTAGACTGCCTCGGATGAGCGAGGAGTGTAACCCATTGTAGACTCGACCTTTGCTCGCAGGCCTTCGGCCTTCCAGTCATGCGAGCCTATGTAAGAGTCAGCAGAATAATGTTGGTCCGGCCTTAAGGCGTGCTACGATAGTCTCTTGAGATAGCACGTCGGGTTTCGAACACTTCGGGGGCTCTGGTGCAGGAGAGAAGACGCGCCTGGTCGCTGGAGTCGACCCTTTTACTAGAACATCCTCGCGATATCAAAATGATACAGGAAGAAATACTTGCCAAATATTTCCACAACCTCCAGCCTCTCCACGGTGTCTTCTGCCGTTTTGACGATAAGTATGAGATCGAAGTGGAAGTTGAAGTTGTGGCGTACGGTACGCGCCGCAGCCACAAAAGAGACGCTTATGTAATGGGATTTACCCCGTCGCTGAAGTTACACGTCGTGTTCTGAGTTGCGCCGAACGCTGAACCACTGCCCTCCGTTTCACGTCCATCCAGCACTCTCGAGGTCATGAATCTCTTCAGGCTGTTCGGTACGATTCACTGGACTCGGATTTGTTTCTCTGCTCACTGATTCACGCAGGGGACATGTCCCACTTAGCGTCCATCTTCATTCTGCTGCAGAAGATTCAGACGTCACGGTCATGTCGAGGTAGGAACGATTGTCACTTTGCTGTGGCTATGGAGAGCTGTCGGCTGACTTGTACGGTGCACTCTGCAGGAATTTCGTTCAAGACGCAGGTTCTCTACGTTGTTGTATTCGTCTCTCGCTACCTTGACCTGTTCTACGAATGGGTGTCCGTGTATAACTTTTTCATGAAGGTCTTCTTCATCGCGAGCAGTTGTTATGTGCTGTACCTCATGAAAGTGAAGTTCCGGTGAGTAGTTAGCTTTAGTGCATCTCCACGCGCTGAACGTACGTCATTGACAGACCAACAAACGACCCGTCAATTGACACGTTCCGAGTCGAGTACCTCGTGGGGCCGTGTGTAATCCTTGCCTTGATTTTCCACTACCACTTCACCATCCCCGAAGTCCTATGGTCCTTCTCCATCTTCCTCGAGTCCGTGGCAATCCTTCCGCAATTATTTATGCTGCAGCGTACTGGCGAGGCGGAAACGATCACGACACATTATTTGGCCGCGCTGGGCGCGTATAGAGCACTATACATACCTAATTGGATCTATAGGTGTGTGCGACTGACTACTTTCCTCCGTCGTTAGCTCCGCCTCATTGGATAGTCCAGATACTTCACGGAAGATTTGGTCGACCCGATTGCTGTCACGGCAGGCCTTGTACAGACCGGTCTCTACCTCGACTTCTTCTATGTCTACGTCACCAAGTAAGTGCTTACCGTCTGCACATGTTGCATACACTCACTGCTCTATCACTTCTTTCTCTGGAACGTTGCAGAGTACTGCAAGGACAGAAGTTCGAGTTACCTGCATGAATACTATTCAAAAATTACAGTATTTGGATTTCATCTCACTCCAGAGAGTATAAGAACGACTAGTTACTCGGACATTACCCTGCATGCGCGAGGTTGAGCATATAAGTACGTTCCGAAAGATACGCGTGAGAAATTCGAGAGACCTGTAGCTATGTATCTGCGCGATCGAAATGCGAGATCTTGTTCCTTGCTTCATTGTGCTGCTGTCAGTTGGTCAAGCCTCTGGCAAGCCTCGGTAGTCTGTAAATTCAGCGACTGGTGGCTTTCGATACATCTATCTTTATTCTCGTCTCTCTTTTGTTTCGGTCGGCCGTCACTCACCACAATGATGCTGCTGAAGTCCATGCTGTTCGGGCTGGGGTTACTCCCCTTCGGAGTTCTCGCGCTGGATCCAAAGCTGGGTAACCGGACGGTTGATCGCGTGAGTGCTATAGCTCTCTCAAAAGCGGTCATTGGTATCTGGTTACGCGGGCGAGGGCATAAAGAGACAGCTATGTCGGAGGAGTAGATGGGTACGTTGTTGGGCCTCCATGCACCAAGCTTCTGCTGGACAAGCAGAATACGTGTGGAAGGATATGGAAGGATGTGAATCACACCAGCAGAGCTAGTGGTGGCATAGATGATCTCTGGACGAATGCTCAGGACTTGCTGTGTTCTCCACCGACATGCTCTAACATTTCCTTGTCAGACCATCGCTCTCCGAACGCACTCGATCTACGCACCATACATCGATCAGGACCTACAGAATCGGTTCGTCTACTGACAACTTCACGACTGGGGCTTGTGAACAATTGCATAATCTTGTCAGGTGGTGGGACTTTGGTGCAGATGCATACATTGTATGTCTCATTTGGTCGAGCTGCTGAGATTTGGATCAGCCATGACCGTGTCTACTCTACGATATCCAGAACACAAACAAGCACATTCGGTTGACTCGGGAGCGGCCATCACAAATGGTACATAAGCACCTCGAATAATCAATCCGTGGCGCTAACGTTTACTCAGGGTTGGTTATGGTCCCGTGTACCACTGACTGCGGCCAACTTCGTTGTCGAAGTGGAGTTCAAAGTGTGTGCCCCATGCTAGCCAGAACTGTTCTATACCCATCGCGAGAATTATCTCGTGCTAAATATTCATCTCTTAGATTTCCGGTGAAACGAGTCATCTCTTTGGTGATGGTCTAGCGGTTTGGTTCACAACAGCCCGTGCACAACCGGGGCCAGTATTCGGCAGCATTGGTTTGTTTTGTCTGTTTTTCTGTCTCATCTGGTTGGATTGACATATCGCACATCGAAGATGAATTCGACGGTCTAGGTGTCTTCCTCGACACGTGAGTTCTCACTATGTTTCGCGACAAAGGACGTATGTTCAATAATTTCATGCAGATATGCGAACTCGAGACATTCGTACTCGTTCCCCCGGTTGAACGCTATGCTTGGTGACGGAAAAACTACATATGATCAGGAGCGTGATGGAGAGAGGACAAGTATCGGTGCTTGCTCGGTAGGCTACTGACGATTGACGATTGACGTGTTAATTTGGCCATTGCTCATGGTTTACAGGCAAATTACCGCCGCACAAATGTCGCTACCAAATTAAAGATCACTTACATTAAAGACACCTACTTGAATGTAAGTAGCGGCGTGAATGGTTTAGGATGGTTACTGATTTCAGCCATTGCCACATGAATTCGACTAATAGGTCAAAGTGCAATACAAAGCATGTCAGTGCTCAGCCACCTAGTCCTCATTCGTTGCAGCATACTGATTCATACTGAACGGAATAGGGGACGATTGGACTGATTGCTTCACTGTCCATGACATTTCGCTTCCCAGCGCGCCTTACCTCGGCTTCTCCGCTATGACAGGCGACGTGTTCGATAGCCACGAGTACGCACCTCGCCTTTCCCAGATCCGAGGCACTCGATGCTGAGCACGTTTTCTATAGCATTGTCAGTGTAACAACATACTCCGCGATACTCTCAAGTCCCGATGCTCAACGCGACAAGCTCGCGGGGACGCGATCGGCTATTCTGCGGATATCCAAGGCCCCGTCATGGATATGGACCATCCTCAAGGTGGTGCTGTTCTTATTAGTCGTTGCTGGTGTTTTGTACGCGTACAAGACGTGGGTGCTATCGCAGGCGTCGGGAAGGCCGTTTGGTGCCACCCTCATAGGCAAGGGTGCAACAGGATTCGGTAGATTGTATGCCGATGGCAAGAGATTCTGATAACATACGGGGTGCTGTATATACCTATTGTCGTGACTTATTGCGGTCTTTCTGGAATCTACCAGTCCTACATGACTGGTAAGACCAACACTCCGTTGACTCAAGAAAGCAGCCGGACTTCCATTCAACGCCTCTTACATGCGTTGGCATTTGGTTGGTATTGCATTTTGGTTACACGCAGAATTAAGGCATCGTTATGTCAGTCGAGTATCGTACCGGTATCGAGGAGCAGAGCGAATCCATCTGTGTATCATACGCAAGGAGTTATGGCAACAAGAACGATGCCTGTCAGCTATGAACACACGGAACAGTAGAAGAGGACAAAGTATGAAGTGCAAAATGGAAGGAAGCAGGGGGCGAAGAACAAGTTGATAAAGAAGGAACAACCAATAGCCCAAGGACCGCGGATATATATTGGACAGTGATTTGTCCCAACTCACCATCCACCATCCACGCTTCCTCCGATCGATCTTCCACTACGGGTTAGGACGTCGGAAGAACAAGGAAACGGTGACAGGCAGGAAACATGCGGATCCGGTACCATATTCCTCTCCATCCACTCGTTAAGTTTTTCAAGGAGTAGCATCGCGGCTGGCTTCGATCCGGAGAAAGGAGAGAAGAGAGCGGAGGACCATATGGCGTTTACATACACAAAGGCAAGGAAGGACACGGGTATCCGGAAAGCAGGTCGTACAGCCCGGGGGACGTCGAGCGAGCAGAGTCGGAAGTTTTGAGTAGCTAATTTATCGGCGAAGTGATGCCTTCGGTCGCCGTCGCCTCTCCCGCAGGAGATACGCTGATTTCAATGGGCTCCTCCTTGATGTCGCTTCCGTCAAGTATCGTACCGTCTATCTTCTCCCCTTCGGTCTCTGCCTTCGCATCGCTGATGGGCCCAGCGGATGCCAGGCCATTGCCACTGGCAGAGCGACGAGTACCCGAACCACCCTGTGGGCCTGATCGAGGCGGATTCGCACATCGGTCCTTGCCATGCGCGATGCGCAGATTGGCGTAGTCGGGCTTGTTCTTCACGCCATCAATGGCCTTGATAGCGTTCGAAATGTTTGTGAAATTCACAAACGCGCAGTTCCTGACACCAAGGTTAGCGAAGGAAATACCCAGAAGGACGACGAAATACTCGCTTCTCCTTGAGGAAATTGACGAGTTCGATGTCACCATACTCGCCAAAATCCCTCTTCAATTTATCCTCATTGAACGTGTCGAAATCCTCGATGTTGCCGACATAGACATTCCTCGTGGCACCTGAATGAACTGCAAGAGCCAGGGCGGGTGGTAGGGGCCCGGAGTTCTTTCCCCAACCAATCTTGAGACGTCTGTTGTTGAGTGTCAGGCCCTGGTATGATGCGACTTGGAAGAAAGTCAGAGCAGCCGCCGGATCGATAAAAGTCACAAACTGTAGGTAGTAAGAAAATTGTGAGCGGATATGAACAACGCCAGAACAAATACCGTAGTACTGACAGCGATGTGCTTATCCTGCATATACCTCAAGCTCTGCAAAACACCGCCACGAATAGCATTACACAAGTCTTCTGTCGTCGTCTCGGGATGTATGTTACCCAGATAGACAGTACGGTTCAAGCCCTGGCTACCTGTCATGCCCTGAAGCGCATCCGGCGAGAAAGCCATGTACGGCGAGAGCGGAGACGCGAACGGGTTCGGCTGGGCCGCCTGCAGAGGTGTCAGTGTTGCAGCCGCAGACTGCGCCACGAGTGACTGCGCTGCGGCAGCCTGGGCAGCCTGAGCTGCAGCTTGCTGTGACTTGGGGATGTAAGCGCAACGGTCCTTGCCATAGTTCACGCGTTTGCCCGCCCAGGCCGGCTCCGTTGGTAGAGTGTTGACCACCTATTTATGTCGGCGTAAACGACGTGTGTGACCATAATCAGAAGGTGTGTAACATACCTTCGTGGCAACAGAGATGCTCAGGAAGTGTACGAAGCCAATGTTTTTGTCGCGAACGATCTTGACTTGATCGATCAACCCGAAACGGCTGAGGTCGTCCCTCAGCAGCTCCTCCGTGACGCTCTCATCTAAACCACCCAGATAGACGTTCCGGCTTGCATTGCTCTGCTGAATCGCGAGAGCAACCTGACTTGGGACAGCGGACGGCTTACCCCAGCCAATCTTGAGCTCTTGTCCGTGCAGAGAGACCTTCTTGATAAGAGCATCCGCGTGGAAAGCTGCTGCCGTGGCGCCATCCAAGAAGGACAAGAAGACACAAGACTTCTCAGGAAGTACTCGGATGGACTCGAGAGGCCCAAAGTGCACCAAGTTCAAAAGTTCATCCACGGACGCCGTGGCGGGAAGGTTCCCAACATAGACCGTCCTCCCTGTCGCATTGTTCTGACCAGCAAGCGCTGCAGATAATGTAGCTGGCGAATATGGGCCAGGAGCTTGTAGCTGGGGTATAGTGAGGGATGGCACGCGCTGTTGACCCATATTCTAATGCGTACGTTAGAAATTTATGTGTTTGAGTTTATCATTTCTCCAGAAGACGAATGCACTCACCTGGGCAAAGTTCGCCATCTGGGCGTTGTACGCCGGATATGCTGTAAGGAGGTTCATCGCAGGGATACCCACACCCATCATATTGAAAGGGAACGCGCCGTATTGTGCGTTAGGGTTTCCGCTTGCAGAGGGCGGTTGCTGCTGCTGAGGTGTGTACGGCCCAGCGGTGTTGGGGCTCATCTGCGGCTGCATGCCGTTGGGAGCCGTGGCAGTGTTGATGGTCAACGACGGAGTGGAATATAGCGGGTTCGCATTGAAACCGCCAGGCGGGGAGTTACTGGCATAGCCTGCCTGGTTAATGTTTGCCTGCGGGCCATATCCATAGTTAGCAAACGCATCGCGCGCAGCCGCATTGGGGTTCGAAAGTCCGTTAGGACCGAACGAAGTGGGTGACCAACGGGCCTTTTTCGCGTCAGGACCACCAACAGCATCCATAGTCCTCTGGGTGAAATGCACCGCGTCAATACACGCATGAATTATTGGGAGACGACGCACCTTCATCATGTCGAGTTCAAGACCAGCGTAGGTTGGATATTGGGCGTAAGCTGTTTGCGAGTCGTCCATGGTGCGATGAGGGGATATGGAGAAAATGGATGGGGGAGTAGGTAACGGAGAAGAAAAAGATAGAAGACAAGTTAGAGAGTGTGGGGGTGCGCGAAAGCGGGCGGAAACTCTAGCAAAAGAGTGTGTTGGTTTTTAAAAAATGACACGCACAAAAAAGAGGGCAGTGGGGTGCGATATATATGATTATTTAAAGGAAAGCTCTTGAATTCACGGCTGCCCAACCACGAAGGAAGAAGAGTCAGGGACAACGGGCAGGCGACAGCGGAAACGAGAACTGAAGAACGATAAACAAGGAGCGATGCCTGGCGCTCGATACCACCGCCGCTCACTACACCACCTTCCTTTCCCACACACCAGCGCACGGACCACTCGTCAAATGATATAATTCCATATGACATTACCGAAGAAATATCCGCTAGTCCATCTACAGCCTCGACACTGGTATGTTACTCGCCTCGGGCACCTCGCCCAAACGCCTGCTGAGACGGGCCTCCACCCACTCGATGCACTCGTCCACAAATTTCTCCTTCACTCCATCAGGCTCGTTTGCAAGTTCGTGGTATCCGTCCTGTGATCGTGTCCGATCGTCACATTTCGCACGCCTTCCATAGAACCACGAGAAGCATACCGAATACAACGAGATCTTCTTGTCTTCCGCATCAAGCTTGCCGTAGAATTCTTCCACTGCTTTGCACGACGCAATCTGTACGAGCATCCCTCTTACCAAGTCAAGGTACAACACGTGGAACCTCGCTCACCTTGTCATCGGTCCCATGCAGGATAAGGAGCTGATAGGACGTGTGTTATAAGGTTTACGCGCACTGGGATGAATCACCACACACCGGAATTTGCTTCGGCCAGCGCTTATAATCATTCCACAGCAATTGCTCGCCCTAATCACAGGTCACAGAGTTGTGTTGAGAACAATTATCCAATAATTCTCACCAAGTTGAGCATATCTGCCAGCCCGCGCAAGGTGCCCCTCTGCTTCAAAAGGGGGTCGTTCGCCGCGGCCTCATTAACGACGGGGTCATGTGATAAGTGCTAGACTCGATGTGAGTACAGCATAGCAGCATGGATGCAGACACAGATGGCGTAAATGGCATACAGATTAATGCTCTTGGAACACTTACCTCGGGTAGTACCTCCGCAGGGAACGGCATATGCGGTAAGACCATAGCGGCTTTTTCCCCTACCCATCGAAGCAACCTTGAGACTGGAGTAGTCTGCTCGAGGAAAGGACTCGACGCGATGATCCCAGAAAGCATCTGAACAGTCTCTGGAGATGGCGGAGCCTTCACGCGGGTGGCGAAGGCTAGAGAAAGCGCTCCGCCCTACAGGCTCTTTCTTAGAAGAGCAGCATGCACAGGACGACACCACTCACCATGGAATGACCCATCAAAAACAGAGGAGAGTCCGGATATTGACCCTTCAGGTACTGCACCCACCACTGGACATCGCTCAACTGGTCTCTGAGACACGTCTTTCCGTATGCACTTCCCTTACTGCGATGCTCCAGATCAACCGCCGTCTGGCCGAACCCGCGCTGGTCGTATGTAAAGAGGGTATAACCTCTCGCAGCCCAGATGCGATGAACATGGGCATATCGAGCAGTGTACTCTGCAAAACCGTGGACGAAAAGGATAACTCCCCGAGGGGCGCTGGAGTCAGCGGCGGGGTAAGTCCTTGTGTAGAACTGGTGTCCGTCGAAGCCCGGCAACCAGGCTTCTGTAACGACTGGGGTGTCAGACATTTGCACAGATGTCAACTGTATATGCCTTTGGACAAAGCCTGGATGTAACCGTGTGGAATCTGAGGACAGGCCTTTGCTAGGGGGATTTTAGTGTGCGGTGTTGGTAGGGTGTTGATGAGGTGAACGGAAAAGTCCATTCGTACTCCGCTCCAAAATAGAATGCTACGGCCGTTCGATATTACTAGTACTTGTACGCGTGTATGATGGTGGCACCGACCCCAGCGGGTGGGCGCTGGCGGGTGTGATGCGCTCGCTACCGCTCTGGCGTTTCACATCGGATAGCAACCGAGGCTAGTGGGGCGTGACACGGACTTGTTATTCCAACTAGTTAGCGCCCCGTCCGCAGGCCGGGCACGAAAATTGGCTCTCAACCTTGAACCGGCGTGACACCAGATCTGAGCCAGCAAAGACGGGGTTGTGACCTGCTCTGAGACAGTCTCACTGAGACTGCTCTGAGGGAACGCAACGGACCCGTTGTGACGCGCGTGTACTGCATCAGCAAAAATCAACTTTTTGGTTACCTCCATTTAGCTTCCTTATCTCCTTAAGGAGGTCTCCGTTATTATTTGGGCAATTAAAGCCAATAAGGGTGAATAATGGTAAGCAAAAGTTGACTTTTGCTGTAGGTCCGGAGCAAGCCTCCGTGCCGGCGCGCCGGCAACGAAGGTGTGCGGAGCACTAAAATGCACGTGGAGAAGGCGGCTTGTTCCGAACCTAGTACTTACGCGCTCCCCTTCATTCACGCTAAGAACTTGCTAAGGACGTGTCATAGCACGCTCAGGCTGGCGAGCAGATATCTTGTGCTGAAATGAACTTGTCCTTATACGCCGTCACCGCCTTTCTCATCATTGACACGGATGGCCATCGCGTGTTGGCGAAGTACTACCATCCCAGAAGCCATCCCCAAGGAGAGTCCAAGAAACTCACAACGTTGAAGGAGCAGCGTGCGTTTGAGAAGGGTCTATGGCAGAAGACAAAGAAAGCCGGAGGTTCGTCCGATGCAGCTCGTTCAGAGTGATATCCGCACATATCTCAGTTGATGTTGTTCGCGCTTAACACGGTGTCATGAAACCGCAGGCGACATCATTCTATTCGATTCACATCTGGCGGTTTACAAGCACTCGCTAGACCTTATATTCTATCTCATTGGTGACCCAACCGAGAATGAATTGATGCTGCACTCTGCGCTTGTTGCTTTCTCTGACGCAGTCCACTTACTTCTGCGGAACCAAGTGGAGAAGCGCGCGGTGCTAGAAAATCTGGACTTGGTATTACTGTGTCTAGACGAGACTATCGACGACGGGTACGTCTCTGTCATCGTCCGCCCAACGACGTACTCCAATATTGCTGTTCTAGGATCATCGTTGAGACGGACTCGACCACTATCGCGTCACGAGTCAGTCGGCCAAGGGCAGACACGACGGAGATTGTCATCAACGAGCAGACGCTGCTGAGCGCGTACCAGACAGTGAAGGAAAAAGTGCAGCACCGGATAGGACAGTTGTAATGAGTATTTATTATTCTTGTATGTCTTCTTCCGGATCTCTTTAAGATGCTCATCCTTATTCCTTCACCAGCGATAGATCATTGTAACACCATACTTGAGAACATATCAAAGGCGTATGCCTTCTCATTACCTTCAGCAGGACTTCACGGGTTTACCAACTGACATGACTGTATCACGCGAAGTTGCTCAGGGTCTGCTATTTTGGTGGGGTTGGAAGTTGTTTGCTGCGTGCTTCTGACAATGGTGGGAGTAACGAATGTTCCGCGTACCTGCGCCATGTGATCATTACCGTGACTGACTGTCGGACGTTCCTGCATGATAGCCCACGCCCATGTGTTCCCCAGTGTAGTTGCGCACGTTCATTGTGGTCCACACGCACTCTTTCTCCTCACGTTCTTCCATCAATTGGAAGACGATGCGTCCAATCAATTTTCTGTCAGGGGATTTCGCATATATAACGCTGCCATCATGAAGAGACTCCTCCGACGTGCCAGGCGAATGCAGTTCGCGTTCAGGTTCTTTGCCGCGCTCACGGCGGTCGCGACATGTGTGCTCGCACATGATCATCACGATGAGCACCAGCATTCGAAGCGTCTCTATCCTCAGGTACCCCTCACTCCTCCCTACCGGCCCCTGGTTTGGGGGGATTTGTGCGTTTACAATCCTCTGTGTGCATAACTCACCTCTGATACTCAGCGCAGGAACGTCATCCACAGCACGGATACTCATGGATGGCTCCTTGGGCACCAGCATACGTCTTTTCCAGAGCCTAGTTTCAGGTTCGAGTGTGCGTCCAAGTTAGAAAATGACACTCATGAGCGCACAGTGGTGATCTGGGTGATTTCGCGTCGTTCGTCGCGCATATGAAGGAGGTTGCTATCGTGGGTAGTCATTACTTGCTACCATGATTTAGTACTGACGAGTAGTTATCGCGCAGGAGAAAGATGTTGACCTCCTCATCGTGGATAGCGGAGATTTGCACGATGGTAATGGAACAACCCAGTGCGCTCTTCATTGGCCTGGGTTTAACACCAGGAAATGTAGGTACGGGATTGTCAGATGGTTACCCTCCTGGTGGAGTGGACGGGCAAGAAGTAGGATTTCGTTACCTTCAACGATCCCGGCTACTCAGAAGTAGTCACAATTTCATACCTCTAGACCAACAAGTTCATGTTGCAGGTGCCATACGACCTCATGTGTATCGGAAAGTACGTGCAAGGTCGTCGTCTCCGCTGCAGTTGATACTGATATTTTTATTAGCCACGAGCTGTATATTTATGCTGACACATATGACATGTACACCAACTTCGTTCCGTACATGAACGGGCGGTACCTGTCTTCGAATGTTAACATTACTGTATTTGACGAGAGTAACAATCCTGTCAGCGTTCCCGTTGGGGGTAAGTGCATTCACTTATGGCGTCCGGTTTTGTCGACACTACACTATTTCTTTTACAGAACGGTATGTCAAATTCAAGACCAGGAAGTCAGCGCTCCCACTACGCGTACCGTGTCCCATCGAAATTGACATCCAATTTTAGGGGCCGTTCTGTTACCTCCATCGGTGTTCTCTATGACTTTACTGGAAACGACGTCAACACGACTGTGCAGACAGTCGCCAATATGGTCAAGGAATCATGGGTGAGTCTGGTGCGGATGATATATGCCGAGTTCTCATATGACGATTAAATGCAGTTTGAGGAAGCTATCGAGGAGGAGCCTGACGTCTTTGTTCTGATTGGGTACGTGATATGTAGTTCATGGGTGTACTTGCCGCTTACGGTACACTCTCTATGCAGACACATGCCCGTCAGCCTTGATAATTGTGAGGCTCCCTGCAGCTTGCATTCGAAGTATGCATGATGTGAACTTTCTATTCGACAGGGCCGGTCGTATTCAATGCCGTGAGGGCTGTACATCCCACGACGCCTATCATGATATTCGGTGGTGAGTATGTTGTAGTGCGTTCAAGTCATCATCAAACTGTCGAACTAACCTTCCCCGGACGATCAGGGCACACTCATATCCGGGATTGCCGTAAGTCGACGCAGCTAGGGAATCCACTCTTTGAGTACTGATTTTGTGCTCTATTAGAGCAGTACGATGGGCGGACTATGGCACTTGAAAGTGGTCGGTACATGGAGACTATCGGTGCGTAATACCTACTACCCCGGGCCTCGAATGTTCCTGATGTGAGACTGAAGTCCGTGATTTGTAGGCTGGATGAGTAAGGGGTTCACTTCTCTGCTATATGACAGAAGTCTGAAGCAGCGACACAGGTGTTCGATCCCTTGATGTTCCCGGTAACCAAAATTTAACCTTCAGCCGACGTTACCTCGACAACAACCGTGTAACCTATGAGGTGGGTATGTAGAAATCGTTACCCATGCCCTAACTGTTACGCCGTTTAACAGTATCACAGCACTCACAACAACTACACGTTTGACACTTTGTCCGGCAAGGAAATCACTCAGGGCTTGGAGCAGCTCGCGATCAACTACGACCTCAGCTACTTGTACGGATATGCCCCCCAGGATTACACATTATCTCGGTGAGTTATGAATTTCTTCTGGTGTGTTGTACCTTTTTATCCTCTTCTACAGCAATCCTTACCCCTCCAACGGCTCTGTGCTGACCCTCTACGTTGCTGAGGTACAGACACCTGAACCGTCGGTGACTCTATTATAATAATCCCCTTTCTTGACAATACAGGCGTTGCCCTACTCACTTTCGATCAATAACTCGCGTAACATGACGCCGAACATTATCCATTGCAACGGCGGTGAACTGCGCTTCGACATCTACGGCGGCGCCTTCACGAAGAATGATCAGCTCACCTCAGCCCCCTTCACGGATTCTTTCTTATACATTCCTGACGTCCCCTTCAGCGTCGCCAACCAGGTGCTCCCCGCATTGAACGGGGATGGCGCTAGCGAGAAACGTTCGACAGAGTCACTGGACCGTGAGATGGAACGATATGCTCGTGGAGATGTTAGCTTGCGATTCGATTCTTGGCTGCGGGAGATGGATAGGAAAACTGGTGCCCAGAAGAGGTCGTCAGTGCCTGAGAACTTGACACTGGGATATGTCACTGAGGATGTACGTGGGGATGCCGTTCTGCGTCTGGCGATCGCTGACATGCAGATGCGCAGGGGTGCCCGGGCGCTGGTGATGACACGCTTCATGCAGCGATGGTGGGGATTCCAGACTGTACGGTGTCTCACTTCTAACTCTTTCGACATTGTAGCCCTACTACGATTCCCCCAACTACATCGCGTCCTACCCGCCCAATGTCACTGCAGACACTCCAGTCGATCTGGTTTTCGTGAACTTCATCGAGTCGGATTTGCTGGTAATCCTCAACCGTGTACAGAGCGACAAGAACTACACCGCAGCTGATGTTTCATTATACTCCCCTCTTTTGGCGAACGCCATCCTCGGATTGTACGCTGAAGAGTATTGGAAGTAGGGTCTGATTCCGGTCGGATATGTTACGCGATAGTGAATTGGACCAGTGCGTTGTTCTGTCATTCGCGATGTACACCTGAGTCTCTATCATCAGAGGACGGCATTGAATAGAACTTACGTACAATGAATAACTTCCTGGTTAGGTTCCACTTCGTAGAGACGGCAGCAAAGGCGCGGAAATCGATAGAGGCAGAGATGCGCGTCCAGTGCTCTACGTCGACCGCGAAGGGAGCTTCCTCGTAAACCCTGCCTTCCTTTATTCGAAGGTGATATCTCCGACGGTCGACGAGACGTACTTCCCTGGGTTGTAGTTCATGATCATGTCATTGGAGTAATAGTGTTACTGGGACTTAGACCATGCCGGTATTACTTATGTACCTACCTACCTACCTACCTAGTTCTTGCTTAGCCCGATCAATACTGCGCGTGTCTCGAATGTCGAATTGTATGATGATTCCTACTGGTAACCTTGACAGACTGCAGATTATATTATTTCCGTAAGTTATGTATGGAGTGAGACACCAGCAATTTCCTTGTCAGGCAGCTGCAGTTGTTTACCGTACTCGATCCGTCCACATGTCGGTCGACGTAAACCAGCTGCTCAGTTCAGATCGCCTTCTCGCATACCTGTTCCCTCTAATACTATTTTTTGTCTGTTTTCAGCTCGGAGGGAATCCTTTACGGCGACTACGAGACTTGCGGAGAGAGACCTATCGCATTCTCTACGGTTCGACTGCGGCTAGGACCGGGCATTTTCCTCTAGTTAGGGCGCTGCTCTCTTACGAACATTATGTGGGGCTCTCGCGACAGGAGATCTCAACTATGCGTTCTTCGTATGAAAGACTTCGATGGGCGCACAAGCAGATAGGCTACGAGCTTGGTTACACCAAGAAGCTAGAGCAGTTGGAGCATGCGGTACTTATAAACGCGAAGATCACTGAGGCCATCGCTAAGCTTGGGCGCAATGATTATCGAGAACCGCTACGAGGTTCATACCTCAGCTCTGGAGACACCTACGGTGACGTGGGCAGAGTAGGGGAGTCTCTGAAACATTTTGTCAGAGACTGGAGTGAGGAGGGCAAGCAGGAGCGCACCACAATATTTGATCCGATACTCGATCTCCTCAAGGAGGTAGATGCTGAGTTGAGGCCGACGAAGAGAGTCCTTGTGCCAGGCTCTGGACTCGGTAGACTTGCATGGGAGATATCTCAACTTGGTGCGTTCCGGATTATCTTCATGTTTGAGCGGCTAGCTTCACCTGTGTTGTTCTGAAGGTGTTGACAGGTTATTCAACAACAGCGAATGAACTGTCTTTCTTTATGAATCTGGCATTTCGTTTCCTACTCTCCGGCGAGACGACGGAGAGCCCAAACCAGCATGTCGTGCAGCCGTATGCCAGCTGGTTTTCCCATCAACGCACGAACGATGCCCTATTTCGTGCTGTGCGTTTTCCGGACGTCGTTCCTCGCAAGTCTGACGCATTGCAATTTGCTGAGTGCGACTTCCTCTCCCTCCATCCACCTCCGTCACCATCCTCCGGGCAACCGGTGGGGTACGATTATGTCGTGACCCTCTTTTTCATTGACACCTCTCTGAATATAATCGAGACAATCGAACACATTCACGAGCTACTTAAGCCGGGTGGCATCTGGATTAACCTAGGACCTCTCCTTTGGACCAATGGAGGTCAAGCTGCGGTGGAGCTTGGTCTGGATGAGGTTTTGCGCTTGATCCAGATGGTTGGCTTCAGTATGGGAGAGGACTGCCACAATTCAGGTGTAAGTACGGTAAGGCGAAGAACAGTTGAATGCGAGTATACGGCGGACAAGCAGGCCACGATGAAATGGCTGTACGAGGCAGAATTTTGGGTTGCGGTGAAGATGGAGAGGTAATCGTGAGCTAGGAGGTAGGTTCTCATGAATTCATCTTTGCATGCCTGAGTTAATTGTTGGCATTCAACCCAGGGTCTGCAGATGGGGTGGGACGTCTGCGTCGTGAGCCTGGGTCGGCAACGTCGAAGCAGATAGTTGTTCTGCATATAATGCCATTCATCAGACTGTGTCCTCAGACCACACATAAGTGTACTAGCAAGAGCCACACGGACATTGTTGTGTGTCCTGGGGTAAGAAAGCGAGATCGATATCATAGCCGGGTCGTTCGACATCTGGTCTTCGACAAACGGTCAGTCCTGAACGCGCTATATATGCAAAGCGACACCCTCCTGTACCTCTTAACTATAATCACGAATCCAAGCTTTCATCGCAGCCACTTGGTCAAGAGTTGCAACAGTGGCAGCACCTATCGTAGTCAGGCACATTATGATGTGAGTTCAGTTTCTCACCGCAGATGATCTCTGCCCACATTTGAACTCAGAAAGGAATTTTTAATACTCAGATAAGCGGAATACTAATAAGTCCGTAAAGTATCAGCTTAAACGGGTCGTGTGGTAATGCCCGCGTGCACGGCGCAAGCAAGCACAGCGTAGCATTCAACACACGTTCAGAGCTGTTCCACTATGTCTGCTCGACGACAAGCGTCGACCACGTCGCTCTCGAAGTATGCAAGGGCCAGTTCTCCCGACCTTTCCAATCGTTCTCTTGACTTCTGCAATGCCTTCTGGGGTATTGCCGATGGTGGTGTCGATGTCCTCTTCGCTCGTATGCGGGGTGCTGCGAGGACCATGGATGAGCTCAGAAATTTTTGGAAAGAGAGGTATGAAGCTACGTGTCATGCGTATCGTACATAAATTCATGTTATTGCAGAGCCATTATTGAAGATCAATATGCGAAGCGGATGGCGAGTCTAGCGAAGACCACGTTGGGCAGAGACGAAATCGGGTACGTGGTGAAAGCGGATCACTGCGCATGACATACTCAGTTGGCCCAGAGAGTTACGGTCTTCTCTGGACACGTTACGTCAGGAAACTGAGAAACAAGCCGGTTTCCATCTCTCGCTCGCCCAGCAGATCAGAACGGACTTGGAGGGACAGGCTACTGCATTCCTTAACAAGCAGCAGCACCACAAAAAGACATTCCAAACCGCAATGGAGAAAGAGTTCAAAACAAAGCAGACGCAAGAGGCGTATGTAAACAAGGCTCGGGAGAAATACGAGGCCGATTGTGTACGAATTAATTCGTACACAGCTCAGAGCACACTCATGCAAGGCAAGGATCTTGATAGGATACACACGAAACTGGAGCGCGCGCAGCAGACAGTGCAGGCAAACGAGCGCGATTTCGCAAACTTTGCTCGCGCGCTACAGGACACGGTGCAGAGGTGGGAATTGGATTGGAAGACGTTCTGCGATAGCTGCCAGGATCTAGAGGAAGAGCGTATGGAGTTCATAAAGGACAATATGTGGGCGTATGCGAATGCAATATCAACCATCTGTGTCAGTGATGACGAGGTACGCAAATTCCTTGAATTCCCTGGCTCGAGAATTGTAAACTCGAGAATCTAATCATCACTTCCCTCTTCTTTTAGTCATGCGAGAAGTTGCGGATCTCACTTGAACAACTTGAGCCAGAAAGAGACATGGAAAACTTTGTTCGTGATTACGGGACAGGCAGCGCGATACCGGACCCTCCCGCTTTCGTCAATTATGCAAACCCTGACGCTATTCCCTCTCAACGGCCGGTCACGCGACCCGCGAATTTCAGCCGTGTATCGAACCGTGCAAGGACACAGGCTTCACCCCCTCCCCCACCAGAAGAAGAATTCGAACCGACCACGAACATCGGTGGCGTAGGTATGGGGGGAGGCCGCAAGGTGGAGGCAGAAGCCGACCTTGGATTGAGTCGGTCTATGTCACGGAGTCGTACTAGTGCACGGGCGGCTCAGGAGCAGCCACAGATGAACGGACAACCTTCCTCGCCTTCCATTACCTCTCGCTCACAACAGCCTTCTGCAATGGGAACGCGTCCCGCCGACCCGCAGGCCGACCCGATCGATCCAACTCATAAGACGATGCTCAAGGTAGGAGACAATGCCTACGAGGTCGACCTTTCCCGCGATCCACAGGCGAGGCCTGGTCCTCCGACGCTGAACGGAACTGGTTCCGTGGTCAATACTGTGAAAGTGGGGCAGGATGGCGACCCGCTTGCCCAACAGATGGCCAATCTGAGGAATGCAGCTTCTGCTGGAGGGGGGAGCGTGAGACGCAGTGGGCAATGGAATTCTCAAGCCCAGCAAGCCCCCGTTCCTGCGTCTCCTGTAAAGCGGGATCCATCGGCAAAGTTGTCTCCTCCACCTGGTGGATCTGGCGGTGGTGGTCCCCCAAATCGGGACTACCGTAATTCAGCCGAAATTATTGTTGGGGCGTATCCGTTACAACTCTCTAATTCCCGACCTGCGTCGCCTAACCCGCCCACTGCATCCTTCATTGCTCCTCCCTCACAAAACAATGCTGGTCCGTCGGCGAATATGCCCGTTCAAGAAGTCCTTGCTAATTATGGACAGTCGTTCCCTGGGGAGCGTAAATCCGTTAGCAGACCAACGAGCAGAGCTGGTAGCATCGCTGGAAGTATTCAAAATCAACATCCACATGAACGCCCGCTCAGCGTTGAAGGCCACGCAGGCATAGGTGCGCAGGGACGCAGTACGAGCCCACAGCCGTTTGTTCCTCCACCTCACAGCGCTAGCCCTGCTCCCCCTGCCGTAGCAGCCAGTAACCTTTCCCACCGGAATAGCTACAGGGTACCACCACCTACTGTCAACGGCAATGCGCAGGGACACGGGGGACCGGGAAGCATTCGCCAGGGATCCATATCTGTTCCCCAGCCTACTGCACAGCAACAGCGACCAACGAGCCCGAACAGTGTTGGCATCGTCCTCGACCAGAACGGCCGCGTAGCGATGGATGAAATGGCTGACGTGTATGCGCAGCAGCAAAATTCATATCGCGGTCCCCAAGTGCAGACCCACCAGCAATCCATACAGCGGCGGCCGAGCTACAGTCAGGGTCCGAACGTCGTTCCCCCTCATATGATGCCACCTCATACCCAGCCACCTACGCAGTATGCGCCATCTGCCCCGGCCCCTGTATATGGCATGCAGTACGGAATACCACCACAGCAGGCTGTGCCTCCGTCAGCCGCGTACGCACCACCTGCCACGCATTACATTCCTCAGCAACAATCCCACCCTCCGCCACAGCCACAGCAGCAACCAGTTTATCAGCCCCAGCCGCACGAGTATGCCCGCCAGAGCGGGGTTGTACAGAGCTTGCAAAGAGGAGCTTCGATGAATGGATACTACCCACAGCAGGGTAGTTTGGTTCAGCCCCAACAGCCACAACAACAGCAGGTCTACCGCGCGCCGAGCCCAATGAGACAAGCGTCCCCTCCGACAAGACAGTATACGGAAGATGGTCGGGGTGTGTTGTTTTACGGTTAGTGCCATCGTAATTGTTAGTGACGAATAATTGCTGATCTGTATCTTCGATCTACGGCCCTTACGGCCTGCAGTGAAAGCCCTGTATGACTACCAGGCTACGATTGATGAGGAATTTGACTTTCAGGCTGGGGACATTATCGCCGTTACTGCGACACCCGAAGACGGATGGTGGAGCGGGGAACTGTTAGACGAGGCTCGAAGACAACCCGGCCGACATGTCTTCCCGAGCAACTTTGTATGTCTCTTCTGAGCAGGGGACGTTGGTTTGGCGAGCTGCGTATCTGAACTCTCTGTGAGAGTAAATTGCTCTCCTTGCTATGTTGGTTTTACCAGGACAGTTGTAATGGTAGCGGCCTGAGTGGGATGGATACCGGTTCACTTTGGTACGGATCTATTTATTCGCTAGCTCGTGTTCGTCTTCCTTTCCTTATGTTCTCCATACTCATATCGTGTCTTGGCATACTTATATCCTGTGTAAATCATGCTGAAACTAGTACGTGCACCGCGGTTGTGTGTTGTCTCTCGTAGGTCGCCCAGCGGAAATAGATAGCAGACACGCGGGAGACACGTTGCTGAGATCTTAGATACCAATCTTATTGCCATGCAGGGCGTTGATTTGTTGCCCTTCATTTCGCAAATGGTGAAGGCGGGCTGCAGCACCCTCATGCGTTGCAACTTATTTAAAAGTCACGCAGAAAGAGTACACAATCGTTGAGAGGATAAGCCGAAGCAGTTCGCGCTGAACATGATCAATCAATCTTGCGCAGGAGTCTAGTCCCGAATTCGACTAGTACCAAGTAGGGCACGGGAGGTCAGTATATTTAGTCTCTTCCTTCCTCCCTTCCTCCCGCGTACGGCTTGTGCATTCCCTGCTCACACTTTCTCAGTCGACGATCCGCTACGATTTCTTATACAACGGATCTTAACCATGCGCATTCTGGATGTATATGAGCACCCTTCCTTCGAGGCCTCTCGGAGAGACTACTGGGCTCTGTACGCCCTCGTCGCTATTGTCATGGTGCTTGCATCCTCCATTGCTGCACTCCGGTTCAAAGGCAGTAGTCTGTGGCAGTTTGATGCGTACGTTCGTATTCTGCAACTTAGTCGTGTGAGACTTGCGTACTGACATTCTGTCCGTTTGTCGTCTGATGCAGCTTTGCGCGCATCCGATAATAGGCAGCTGGCTGGGATGCACGGAGGAGGTGCGTGACACACATTGAGGTGTCGGTGGTATGTGGTGCCGCACATATTGTCCGGATTTTCACTAATGAACAAAAACGCGGCAGGCGCCAGATCGTCTTCTTCTGTGTCGGACAGATCGACCGACAATACAAGAAGCCGATCCGCAAATCCTCACATCTCCCTGTCGCTCTCTCCACATGCTGTGTAATACCTGCGCCGTCGCGATGTACACATTCTCGACAGCCACGTTCACTTTGCTTTGATTATCTCTAGTTGTCGTGTACTGTATAGCAGTATTACCCCACCTCTTCACTGGAGGATACGTACGGAACTGTATGACATGTATCATTTTGTATTTGTACCTGACTTTTGGATGCAGTACGGGGAAGCCGATACACTTCGCATCCTGCATGAATCAGCTGGGAGATTAGACATGCATAAACCCGTCGAGTGCTTGCGCTACCTTCAAGTCTAGAGGAACGCCGGAAGCAAGAAACGTGCATCATGCAAGTTGTAACTAGTGACACTGTGGCACAGCTGTCGTGAGGTTCCTACCTACAATTGAGTTTGCACAAGTTCAAGAGAAAGGGGTGTCGATGTGCCTTGTACTACCTAGCAGCCAAGTACTGCGAGGCGAGTAAACCACGCTCAAAAATCTTCCAGGCGATACACATCGTAAGCGACCTCCTCGTACGGATGCACCTGCATCAATGTGACGTCAACTGGGATCAGCCAGTCGCGAGTGCGGCTATACACACCTTTTTCAGCTCTTCTACGACACGAGTGACCTGTACAGAATCTCTACTCTCTTGCTTAGGACCTGCAGGGGAATCGGGGAGCACGAGAACTTCAACACGGTTCTCCTCAACGTACTCCTGTGTACCAACGGAGCCTATGGCAGGATTTGCACCTGCTAAGGGGGTGAATTGGCCTGCCGAGATCAGTGATCAGCAATTGGCACACGAGGGCAAACAGGTTACCGACCGGTGCCCCTGCTCACAAATGCACATCCACCATACAGTCCGATCCGCCCGACATGCCGCGGGAATTTGGCAAACAAGTGCTGCAAAACGCCTTGCGTGGAAGGGACAGGACAAAAGAAAACTAGCTTAAACCGCTGCATGCGATGAGAAGGTTAAAAAGTTGTGATTAAACCGCACGCCCAAAGGCGCGGAGGCTGCGAAACGATTTAACATACTCCGTACGGGAGGAGAGGACGTATGCGACAATGCGAGTGGCATAAGCTCAATCAAGTACACCCGTGGTTACCAGGTGCTACCAGGGTTCGAACCTGGGTTCCGGGAAATTTCTTCACGGTCAAAATCCCGAGTGATAACCACTACACTATAGCACCGACAACGCCCAAATCTTCTTGCTAGCCCATTTACATAAGGAAGACAGGACAACGACAAAGTTTGACGAAGAATTGCACCCTTACGAGCCGGGTAAGCCTTGCCAAGACGAAGGGAATAAATGCCTTCGCAGGTCCTGGTGAATGACGCAAAAAAGAAGAGCTGCACGCGATAAGTGCAGGGACGGAAATACTGTAGCCATTAAGAGGGGGCAACTTGAGTCAGGTCTTGAAGTGGAAGTGTAGTCAGGCCCAAAGTTCAAACAGGCATGTCTGGACTTTTGCCAACAATGGGAACATGTATCTTCAACCTCTGTGTCACAAATCTTGTAGCAAGTGCCGCATCAAATATCTGCGAAGTACTGTAGTATAGAGAATGGCGACACCTTCGAACCTATCTGCAAGCCATCCTCAGTGCTTTCCACAATGGAGACTGCTGGCTTTTGGCCACCGTTCGGCAAGATGAGGTGCTCTGCAATGGAGAATCGGAGACTAACAGCGGGAGGGTGCAGAGCTCACAACGGCAACCTGAATGCCTGGAGGCTGCGACGAGGGGTTTTCCTCTGCACCAGAGTCCACCGTCTAGAATAACTGGAGACGCCACGAGCCCAGAGCCTCTGTTCGTCTCGGTCGTGCAAGCTTCAAGTACAGGCATTCAGTTTCTATTCGCCGCACCTCTCTATGCATATATCAGGACAGATAGGCCACCTCTGGCTGACCGCGGAAGAGCCCTGCTGAACGGTCGACACTGACTGGGTCCCATGTTGGTAACAAACCTACCTCCGAGGAGGAGAGGGTTCAATATTCAATGATCGATCGATCGAGGATGCACCAAATGTTACTGTCAGCGCCACAACGGTCCCGAGTCTGGGTCCCGACTCGCGAGTCGCGACGACGGAGCCGGAAAGAAACATAAGTTGCAGATTACAGTACCAATATTGCCTGCAGATCAAGAGGCGAAGTAAGGTACGGAACGTTTGCGAGAGAAAGAACCTTTCAATGATAGATTGCAGCACGCTTGCGCTGACTGATGATGGCGCAGTGCTCCTGAGGAGGCGCGAAGCAAAAGCGTCCCAACACCCAGGAAGCAGCCGCGGGCTGACATGAGCGTCAGGGATACACATACGATGCTCCAGCGAGTGCAACTGCTTCACGAACCTAGACGCGAAGCCTGACATCAATGCATCACCAGTCATTTGAATAACGGCCTGAGCCGGTAGATATGTAGTTCCCCTCCTCGACCAAGGTAGCTTGCCCTGATGAAAACATTGAAGGTGAAATTGAAAACAAAAACAAAAAAGTAAGCACATACGCAAAACGACCTCAAGCGTGCGCAACCCACGTAAGTACTTCACTCACAAAATTAGAAGGCGATTCATGGCACCACAGTTACCGTGAAAGAATGTATTATAATACAAGGACGATCGTGTACAACACCGCAATGACGACTACGACAACGAAATGCGAAAGGCGATGTATATATTATCGGAGCACAAGTATTAGGAGGGATATATTTTCGGTGGCAAGTCACCAAAGAACGGAGGCGGACGCACGACAATATTATTACTTCGGTTTGGGGAAAGGAGGAGGGGTCATGAACGGACAATCATTAGCGAAGTCGTGAACGACCATAAACTCCAACACAATAATTATTTTTCATTAAACCGTCTCCGCGGCAACGCCCGCCTCAGCCGCTTTCGACGAAGTCGGCTCCCGACCGAAGCCGACGTACTTGTTGGACTGGAGGCCGAAGGTCTTGTAGTCAACATCCCGCAGCCCCCACAAGAAGAGGAAGAGGAAGCAGGGGCCTTCGAGTAGGTCGAGAATGCCGTACCACACCATCTCCGATGTCGGAGAGATGACGTTCGCACCCTCCGAGCACGCCCAACAGATTGGGTACGTGATGAGCATGAACGAGAAGTATCCGGCGACGAGGTAGTAGCGATTGCGGAGCGTACTACCAGCAGCGAAGGAACTGCGGGGCGCGTAGAACAGGAGGACATACCTAGACGGTGAGTACATGTCAGACTTTGGAAGAATATGGATTAAAGTGAGCGTGCACGTACCACAAGTAGAACAGGGCAGCTACACCGAACGTGAAATAACCCCACTTGTACGTGCTCAGGACCAAGGAACCAACCAGGCCGCCGACGATAAAGATCAGGCTGACGAAAATTGTCGTAAAGATATCGGAAGCCGACACGCCCGTAACGAGCAGGAGCTCGAGGAGCAGCAGCGGGAGGTTTATGACCCACTGGATGTACCGCACATACTAAAGCCGACGGCGGCATTAGGCCTTGTTCGAAAAGAAACGGCTATAAGAGGCATACCCAGATCTGACGCGTGGGTTCGCCACCGTGCTTACGGAACTCGACCGGGGCGGGAGCATAGCCGAGGTCGGAAGCCATGGAGAAGTAGGCAATGCTGGACACGGCGAGGACTATAACGGCTATTTGATGGAAGAACCGAGAACCCCTTGGCTTCTGTTGGGGGTGTTAGATGACTAGGCGCGAGAAGAAAGAGAAGGTATCGCGCACGGTGAACGAGACGACGAGGACGATCAACAGAGACAGCGCAAACACAGAGAAGGCGGCCCACAGCCAGTCCGAACCATGGACGCTGATGTGCAAGGTGCCGCCTGGGGGGTTATCGTGCAATGCGTCGTTACCCATTTGTCGCGGAGGAAGTTGGGTGAGTGTTAAAGGGAAAAGATCTCAATGCGTCGAAACGATGCGAGGCAGTGTACTGACCAAGACTGCATTTTATAGAGGTGCTGGGTGCGGTATGCTCCGACGGAGAAGGCGATGGTATGACGAGCGAAGGCCATGGGACGATGTTGGAACGGAGTGGAACGAGGATGAAACGGGGTGTGAGAGGTGTGAGCTCGGCGCATGCAGCCGGGAGCGGTCTCGAGACTTGCGAAATGAAAGTCGAACAATTTCGAGAGCAGTCTTTCCTCGAGCGAGAACGATCGCTTAGCGTGAATGCCGGGCATTCAATCAAAGAAGCAGAGCGGCGCGGTCTCGACGCCCGGTTAGGCAGGTCCTGTAGTCCGTCCGCCACCGCCGCTTCCGTTCCGCCCGGACCCGACCCGCGCCCAGGCCAACTGCTATCACTCGGAGCCAAACCTCGCATTAATCCAAGCAGTACTAGTCTGGGGTGCTACACCTACTCTAACGTGGAACAGAGACAACAACTGGCTAAAATCGCGAATATAGCGAAGGTGTACACCGACATCGGCGGTGATACATATCGTGTATGGCAAGACGTCCGGGGGAGTGTCGAAGGAAGGGAACAGCTAAGGTCAGAGAGGCGGGCGACCGATGATGGCGAAACATCTCGGTTTATTCTTCCATATCCCGCGTCACCTCGACCTCAACTCCAGCCCCGCCCTCCTCCTGCGTCTTCGTCTTCTTTTTTGATGTATCCTCGGCCCCAACATCCGTTTCTTCTCGCTCCATCACATTCTCGTCCGTCTCTGGATTCCAGTTCGCCAACGTGAGCGACAACCGAGATGGCCGTCTCTCGCTTCTTGGCCTCAACACGGGCGAGACCCTCTCCTCCTCTTCTCCGGCCATACGCGGCCACGACACCCGCCCTTGCTGACGCTGCTGCTGGTACTGCTGCAGCGAGGGCGGGTACCACGACGCGGGCGTCGACGACCGCAACGACGACGCCATGCTCGGCCCAGGCGTCAAAGCAGTCGCTATCCCGGGCGGCGTTCCCACCGACGCGTTGGGCAGGTATGCCGACGGGGGCGGAGTGGTGCTGCTCGTCGGACGGGAGTGCGATTGCGAAGGGGAATGCGGCGGAGACTGAGCGCCCGGCAAACTCGTCGTCGACCCTACAGACTTTGGGCGACCGAGGGCGCCATATTGGTACGGCAAGGGCTCAGGTGCGGGGGTGCTGGAACGGCGTGGGGAGCGGTATCCCGAGAACTGCGAAGAGAAGCGCGAGGAGCGGCGGTCGAGATGCTCGGGAATCTTGGGATCAGTCTCGGGGAACGCTGGTGTCGGATCGACCGGCTGACGTCCGCCACAGATGTCATGCCTTCGACGCCTGAGTTTGCGCCATGTTCAGTATATGTTCGGTACTAAACCCCTTATAGAAAAGGCAGAATATCGTACCATGTACACCACAATAGAATTCCTATTACCATCAATCCAAAGAATCCGCCCAATAGACCACCCAATAACGGGCCTAGTGCGCTGTTCACACTGCCCTGTGAGTGGGCCGCCTGAGAGGTCGCGGTCGACGACGCGCCGGACGAGACCGTCGTCAACACCACAACAACTGAGCTGTTAGGCAGCGTGGTCGTGAACGACGAATAATAATAGATCGAACGCGAAGTTGAGCCGGGCGCATCAGTCTCGAGGAAGACCGTAGTCGGGGAGTTTCGCGCTAGGACGATCAGCGGCGTGGTCTGGGCTGGAAAATCAGAAATTGGTGCCGGTGCAGGAAACAGACCGAGGCTGTGGTCCGCATTTTGACGAGGACCGAGGCTGATGCTCGTTTGGCGTGTCACCATCAGAGGCATTTGCACGGTGGTGTCCCCGCCGCCTGGCAAAAAAAGAACGACGGCAATTTGAGAACTACATGGGACCGACGGGACATCTGGGTAGGCAGAAACTGTTGAAATTCGCTCTGGTATGCAGTTCTGGCGGAGGGACTCAGAGTAAAGCCCGTACATCGCAGGGATATCCGAGCTTCACTATGACTTTCATCCGTACGCAACATACGCTGAAAAGACCTCTTGGCGAGGCCTGCCTCCCGCGAGAGGCGGCAACTCTACCAGCTCCGGATAACCACGACAAATAGGCAATCCGACGTGCTCCGTCTGCCAAGACTTTGGATGCGAGCGCACGGTCCAGCTGCACGTCCGACTCGATGTCACGGTATGCATACAGCCCTCCGGCAAGTTGTATGCGCGGGTCGAACGACGAAGAGAGATAAATGCGAAGACCATCTCACTCACCTTCCGACTCACTGTCCAGAGGGCTGTCTGGCACAGAGGGATATGTCGAATTCCAAATGCTCGTCGTTGCCAAACATGCACAATAGTCCAGCTCCTGCCAGACGGGAGACGGCTGCGATGCGGGGCTCACAGACATGCCGAGATCTGGCTCGCTAAGTGTGGTTACAGCAGCATGTCGTTCCACCGACGGAGCGGGTGTGCTGGCCATGCACGAGAGGCGGGGTGGCCGGGGAAGAGAAAGGGAGTCGAAAGTATTGGCGTCTGCCAGAGACGGGCGTCGCCAGCGAGTGTGAGAGTCGCGGGCCCGCGATGGCAGGCTGCAAGCTATTTGAATAAGCCCATACCCTCTGAGGGTGGTGCATCAGCCTCGTGGGTATGGAGTATCAGGAATGTGAGCGATAAGAGCGAGCCATGTTCCCTCGGGGCAGCAGCGAGATTGCGAGCTTGAGCGTCGAAGAGGACCGCTGAGCGTTGCCGAGGTCGCTGCACGGAAAGTCGGAATCGTCGCGCACGGGTCACTCCTTGGTCACGTCCTCAACACCCTCCTCGTACCATCATCCGGTGGACTCATCACCAGCATGTGGTTAGTCTCTAAAATCTGTTCTATATTACGATCGGTCTGCTTCAGGCTCTCGGACACACCCCGTGTAGGCTCTAGGAGCAAGCAGACCCCTCACCTTTACCGCCACTGAAATGACGAGATACCGACCAGATGACTCTTTTCTCCCTCCAGCAAACACATCCTGAATGCCCAAGTCGCGATCCGCGCGCCCTGCTGCAAGCAGTGGTTCGATTGCGCTGAATGTCATGCCGAGACGCAGGACCACCGCCTGGCGAAGACGGCCGAGATGACGCTCATGTGCAAGAAGTGCAGGAAGGCGTTCAGGAAGGACATGTCCAACTACGAGGAGAGCGACGAGTACTGCCCGCACTGCGACAACCATTATGTACGCACCCCGTCTTCCTCCCTTACGTCTCTTGTTTGACGCGTTTACTTCGTTCATTTTTTCGTGTTCAGGTCCTTGAGGCTAAGACGCCTCAAGCAGTCCTTGGAGTGGAAGGCGACGACCCAAGGATCAACGCACGGTCGGTGACATGTAGATTCGCGTATCATCGCCACTAATCCTGCTATTCCGTTCAGGATGCTGAAAGACGAACGCGTCAAACGAGATCCCTCCCGTTCTCTGTTCGGCCAGGACCTGTCAGATCGGGTGGGGTGATTTCTCTGACTTTCCTGCTCTCGCCCGCATACCCTGCTCTCGCTGCATCACCGAAGTCGTCGTACAACCTGCATATGCATTTCTTTGAAATGATCTAGGATTCTGATGAACGAAGTACACCCCTGTGGAGGTGAAATAATCACGATTTAAGCTACAAAGTGGACGCACACCGAAACAATGTGCGTGACCGCGGAACATATCGTACAACCACCTCGCTCCATTCCATCCCAGCTCCAGGATTCACCGATCACACATTAGCATATGCCCGCTGACTCGCGTATCTCGCGATTCCCTGGTAGCTGTCGCCGTGCATCAGATCTGCCAACGGGTACGGATCAGTATCAGCGGGGTCCATGAGAACGAAGGCGAACGTACCGATGGGTGAAGTGAAATTGTGTACGAACGGGTGCACGTTCACCGACTGATTATGTCGTGCAAGGTTGCGTTCCGTGAGCGTGGTCACTGCCACCGCACCCTCCACCGTCACGCCCGAGTCGAGGCGGCGGTTCGGGGAGAATGTGAGCTTCCGCGTGACAGGCGTGTCGAGCATCATGGCCTTTGTGGGCTTGTCGTCTAGCTCGTAGGCGACGTTCTCCGCGTACGGGGTGTACTGCGGCACGGCGGGCGACACGGGGGGGAAGGAGTCGCGATCGGAGAACGGTGTTGAGCGGAGGCTGCGCAATTTCGACTTCACACGCGACGCCTCCTTCGCCCGAAGCTCGTTCTGTACGGATCGAGGGAAGAAGATCTACGTAACGCATGTTAGATTACTTTTACAGGAGACCTCAGTTGTGCCTCTCACCACAAGGGTGATTCCTGAGGAGATTGTGCAACCGATGGCAGCCAAGAAAGACAGACATTCGGTCCAGAACCTAGTAGAATTGTGAGTAAAATTGAGAAGACCATTATCAATGACCTACTCGCTCGTATTGACGTGGTGATGCGTCAGAATTCCATCGACACCCAAAACCAACAACGGAACCACGAAAAGCACCCGGAAAACTACTCGAATGTTCTATGGAGGATAACACCGGTCAAGATTGTTCCCTTCAAAAAAACAATAACATACTTACGTTCAACTCGTTAAATGCGGTGAGTCGCACGACTGTATTGGCATCTACTCCTTCGCTCTTCTGTAAAGCGGAAGTGAACAATCAAGGGGCTTGTGTACCGTTACCAGAGACACTCACCAGGTGGGCCAGGAATTTGGGGAACGTCCAGCTGTGAATGTGACAAGTTCGATCGTGCCACCGATAAGTCCGGAAATCCGACTTACAGGACGGGCATGAACCACAACGTCAACGACAGGTCGCCCAAACTTCCTGCCAAGAAAGTATACGCCTCGCTCTAGCACGTGCAGACAATTATAACTAAGACAATTCAATGATGGATTAGTAAATGAAACTTACTTTCAAAGGGTCAGCACGTGTGAATATCGTCACCAGAGGCATGTAGACAGCAGCAATGACAGATCCGACAATCCATGCTTTAAAATACAAGCTACGGAACCAGTCCTGCTGTGCTGAGTTTGCATTGATGAGGAACAACCAGAACAATAATTCTGCCATTGCTCCGATAAGCCGCATTCCGAGAGTATGGAGAATACAGTACCTTCGAGGTGTGTGATCCTGCGATAAATTAACTCAGGAGATGCCAGATAAACGCTCGACCATGAAGCACGAACATTTCAAGACTCCACGCTATTGAAAACAGCATTTGTAGTGGAAAAATGGAGCGTTGATACTTGGCCGGCCATAGTTCGTAAGGCGTCGGGACGACTGAGGGTGAAGCTGTGTCACCAACTAATTTTGGTAACATGAGAAGCTCACTTACTCCCTTCTCCAGCAATGAAGGTATAGCTCATTTTGTACTTGATCACGGTGTACCCAATTGAATATGCCATAAATAGCGGTATAGTCAAGAGATACGTGTACTGGCGGACAATCAGTAAGTCCCACTTTTACTGCTCAAGGAGAGGGCACTCACTGTCATGACCCGCTTGAAAGCCCCAGAGTAAGGGCCGTTGTTCCACCTGCAGAGCCCTAATCAGCATGCAAATGGGGTGACGAAGAAGGGAATTTGCAACTGCCAATTCCAAGAAACGTACTTCAGGCATCTGAACCTGTCGAACTTCCAGAGGTGAAAGATGAGGAACGTGCCAAGCTGGACACGCGCACTATGAACCAATTCTGCGTCGCTCGAGGGTGAGAGAAAGGCGTACCAGCGTGGACATAACTGCCTAGCTAAGGAAGGTTGGAGGGGAAGAATGGCACATCTTGCCAGGAAATACGGGGTACGGGAAGGACGATGCAGGAAGAAGGCATCGCAAAGTAAACGGTGGGGAGATGGGGTGCGTCCTGGATATAGCTGATGGCCTGTGGCGCGCAGTGATCTATCTAGCACATGGGACACAATTCAGTTGATGGTGGGATCAGTATAAATTTTGAATCACGGCGACGTTTTTGATGGTGAGGGGATGCAGTGATGAGTCGCCGAGAATAACCTGTGAGCTGTTCAACTGAAGTGATAAGACCGCGTGGGTGCTCTGATTTCGTTGGGCATCCCTGTCATCCTTCGAGCAGGGGGGATTAAGAGACCTGCGAGTACTTCATCATGAAATAGAACTGATAGACGAGCTAAATCTGAGACTTGTGTAGTGTCGGTAAACTGAATGTTTTGTTAGGAGACTGCATCGGTCGAAAATATAGCATCATTGCATAGTACAGCGAAACACGTCACGGTCGCGTTGCGGCTAAGGGCGCCTACACTAGCGGGCCGGGCTCGCGACATGGCAGACTGAAAGTTTCCAAGTTACCACCATGTCCGTCTCTTCACCCTCCGACGTTGATCTCGACGACCTTTTGATTTCCTGCCGCTATGGCGATCTCGACGATATTCACCAGTTTGTCGAGCAGTTTGGACCCGATGCGCTGAACGATATCCGCGATGAGAATGGCAACACCGTCCTGCATATGGTTTGCGGGAACGGACACACAGGTATAACCATCCCGACCTTACCGCAACCAACTGCAATCTCATTCATGCAAGATGTTTAACAGAAGCGCTAGAATACCTCCTCCGGTTGGTCTCGCCTTCTCTGCTGTCAGCGCAGAACGACGCAAAGTCTACCGCGTTACACTGGGCTGCCCTCAATTCACACCTACCTTGCGCGAAAGCCCTGGTGAACTTTCCCTCTGGGCCTGGGACAGACTTGATTGACATCAAGAATTCCGCCGGGAGGTCACCGTTGGGAGAGGCGGAGAATGTAGGATGGGACGAAGGTGCGAAGTGGTTCGTGGAGGTTATGAACCTAGACGAAGGGGGAAGGAGGAAGGAAGAGCTGCAGACGGCGGAGAATCCTAGCGATATTGAGGTGGAAATTCAGGATGCAGAGGGTCAAATTGCAAAAATGAAGATAGGGCAGATTTCTACTGCGGGAGATGCAGTGAAAACTTAGACTGTATGCTCATCTTCAGGGTTTATGCCATCTCCCGACTGTAATAGAGTGGTCCATCATGCTAATTGCCTTCGGTAGCATATCGCTATCCCTTCGTCAGAAGTCAACTTCCGCAGCTGGCTAACAGTGTCTGCCTCTGTCTGAGATCTGATCTTTTGATGGGGAAACTTTTGCTGCACATTCAGTAACCCTCTCTGCCCATCAAAATTGGCTGGAATGTCGACCACCATCGTACCGATAGAACGGGGCCACTTTCTGTTCAAATGTTCTCCATGGACAGGTGTGCATAAAATACATTGCAAGTGTACAAACAAATAAATAGTCACAGTGGAATCCATCAGACGAACGCCCTACTCGCTGGCTCGCTTCCTCCACCACTCTTACGAGAGTAGAGTCAGACGAACCAAACGTCCTCGAACCCGCACGAAGCGGGCATGTTCTCAGTGTAACGAGTGGGCGCGATTGTCATCGACTGGATTTGAAGGATGTGGCACGTATAAACATGCGAGACTCGAGTTAGAAACTATAAAATAGATCCTAGCTGAGTATGTTCTGAGGAAACACAATGTCCAGCGCGTCCTTATATACTGCGGTCATTTAGGGCAGGACATGTGGGTGGTCCGTGCGCGTCACTTGGTGTCTTCCTAGGAAGGACAGAAGTTGTACAATCGCGAGGACTATCAAATAGTAATGTATTCACCAACGTTCAAATGTAGAGACAGCGAGAAGAGATCTGTAATGATCTCTCACCGGTACCAGCATGCAGTGCAGTCTATATACAAAATCGTAAAAGTCATACCCAGTAACGAAGGGTCGGGTTGGTCGTGATGGTAGCGAGGAGGAACTAGCGATACAGAAATAATCGAACAGAACCGTGAGCACGTATATGTACAGTGTCCATAAAGCACACCAAATTGACATCCGTAGTGGAACTCGAAAATAAATGGACAAGATGTCCCAGGCGTACCTCCAGACGGCGATTAAGATCACGGCATGCAGCCGTGGAGGTCATCAGCAGACTCGCCATGAATCGCAGGTTCGTGAGCCGCTATCGCACGTCCACTTCTATATTGTGTGACGCCCCGCACATGGCGGATCTCGTCCCGCATTTCCTTCCGCCGCACTCGCCCCGCCTGCCACGCCTCACGGAACTCGCGTCGATGCGCTCGCTCCATGTCCGCTAGTGCACGCGCTGAACTGTGCTCCTGGACGTACCGGCTTCGCAGGGCGAGTAAGCGGAACTTTTCATGCGAGAGCTGTCACAGGAGCCATGCGTCAAGCTAGAAGTGAATGGAAGACGGGGGTATACGTACGGTAAGCCTCCGTTCCAGATCGGTGAACTTGAGATGGTACGCATGCAGCTTGTCGACGTGGCTTGCGAGCCGATGGATGCGTGGAGGTCGCTGTCGGATCTGGTTGGCAAACAGGTAGAAAAGGTCGAGGTTCCTGCCCTCATGCTCGAGTCAGCATCGGCGCGGCACCCATAGTAGAAGAAGATATTTACCGGTCAAGAGAGGAGACGATCTGCCAATGTTTGTGCTGCCAATTATGCTCCGCATTATCGTTGATGACGTCTAGCTGCTCGGGAGTGTCGTCAAGAGCCTTCTGGATAGACTCGAGGTCTGCTTGGAGAGTGTCGCAGATCTTCGTGATTCCCTCTGGGTCTCTGAGCATGCTGCTTGAGCCTAGTGACTTCCCGCACAAATCGGTCAGCACACTCACTCGCATCGGGGAATCGTGAATGAACTCACTAAAGCTGCCTGCGCTACCGCCTCCGCGCATCTGTCCGCACGGACCATGAAGTTGTCGATGGCCAAGGCCTGACGGATATCCAGCACCAGCGGCGAGAGCAAAGGCGAACTCTCCACCCGCACTGGATCTTCGTACGTTACTGGAGGCAACGCCGCCCAGGCGGCGCGCTGGAGCGGCGGAGGTACAAGATTTGAAGTGACTGGCGAATCCAAAACCGAGTCGATCATGGAACGCAGGTGGGGCTGCTCGTTGAAGAGCACGGACGGGGGTTCGCGCGATGACGGCAGATTTCGTGAGTATATTGGTGGTTGTTCTTGATACACGAAGACAGATGGTCCTAGTGCGAGTGTAGCGCCGGGGATCACCACATGTTGCGCCCGCGATGGCTGGTGGGCGTGTGACGCGCCTTCGCGATATTCAGCGCTGCTCGGCTGCTCGAGAGAAATAGGTGTAGGAAACATGCCCTCTGCGATGCCAGACACCGCGTTGGGCAGAGCTGCTGATGGTGAACACGCTCCCGAAGTCTTGAGCGGCACGTCGTCGAAAGTATCTGGAGCACAAACGAGAGGGGGAGGGGAGGGGGACTGGGTGAGCGTGATGGCGAGGTGGTTTGTGACGGATACGAAGCGCAGAGGTGGAGGCGCCATTCTACGTAATCTATGCGAGTAGCGGGACTGTGGAGGGTCCGGCGTAGTGCATGAGGGGCTCAAGGTTCCGGGGGAGAGCCCAAGGACAGCACTGCTTTTGCCTGCATGTCTGCTGGGACCGGTGCGAGAGTCTGAACGCGGGCAAGAGTCCGTGGGAGATTGACGCCGCATCGTCCTGCCTCTCGACATATCTAGCGATGCCTGCTGCACTGGGACCGTGAAGGCAATGTGGGGAGGACGGAGCATCGTGTTGTCAATGCTCTGGATGTCGGATAGCGGTGTGCAAACGGAGAGAGGCGCACGGAAAGGGTCAGAGCAGTGCAGGAGCGACGACAGTGTACCGGTCTTGGATGCTTCTGCAGGCAGTGTGACATCCGCACGAATGTCCAGGATCTGTTCGAGCGACCGCTGAGATTCGCATAGCGAAACCTCGCTGGAAGAAAGCTCAGCGGCTGATACGAGGGAAGGTTGGAGTTCGCATTCAAAGTCGGGAGTGGAGAAGGTGGCGGTAAGGAGGGTTAACGGAGGAGAAGGCGGTAAGACTAGCGTCGAGCAGTGGGAAAGTTGGCCTGCCATATTTATTAAAATAAGTATAAGGGTTGAGCACGGCTGCTGAGGAGGACCAGGTAGGAAGAAACCGTAATAAGCGCACAGCGCGGAATGACGGTCCTCAATTCAATACAGGGCGTATTATAGACCTTCGAGTAGGTCCACAGCGGTCCCTTGGTAGACCAGTCCTAAGACATAAACAAAAGGACCATCGTCAAGGACGACGACTCACCCAACGCGGTCCAAACTCGGAGGAGTAGAATACAATACCACCGAGCTAAGCGATTTATTGGGCCACGCTAATGCACTCAGCTGAGTCCGAACGCTCTTGTCCACGAATCACGATTCCTGCGCCGAACTGGCCATCACGAGCTCTCGAACTTCAGTCTTGTTCCGGGCCGCCCATGCCAAAAGATTGGAGATGAGGTTTTGTGCTGTTGTTTGCTGGCTAGCCTGAGAACACCATTCCGGTATGTTTTGCCTGTCGAAGAGACAATTGGCAGGTGCTGAGCTAGCGCCGCACGTCGGGGAACACAGTCTGTGGCTTAGCAATAAGTCTAAGACGGTCATTCGCATCGCGATTTCGAGCTGAGCCCGCGATTTTATATCCTGAGGAAGGGGAGAAAGCTTGCACCAAGAAGAAACACGAGGACAAAGCACGACATGACACTTAGCCCCATACTCTTCGCACGCTCAGACCGTGCGCGTGCGGTAGAGGTGTGAAATCAGACTTTTCAGACTGCAAGTTCATATGTTCCTAATGTATCTCTAGCGTGATAGCAGTGTTGAGGTATGTGCGACCCACTTTCACCTCAGAAGATCGAGGCTAGTAGAGTTCTTGTGTCGACGTCGGATCTGCGCCTCAACAGTGTTTCCAGTGGTGTCCTCGCACCCGGTCATAGATTGCCTATGGACTAGCTAGGGGGTCGCATGCAACTAAATAGAAAGCGAAAGCAAACGATGGGACAGCGAACTGGAAGGTCTTGGAGGTGCGTGGTGGGAACTACGAAGACTCATCCAAGATGGCCTGGTGTTGCGCGGTAAATGTGGTCGAGCTAATCGGGCAGCCACGGCCGGAACTGTTGAAGTTCTGTAGGGTGACGGAGGCCGCGTTCAGGCGCGCGAGTTGCGACGCCGTCGAATTGTCGCTCGGGAAGGTGAGGTTCACGCTCGGATTGGTGATCACTTTGCCGACAGCAACATTGGCACTCAGTTTCTGAAGTACGTTACAGTTAGGTGGTGAAAGTAGGCAACATACTAACGAAGACTTACTTGGATGAACTGGGTCCTGTCTGGTGGGCAAGCGCAAGGGATTAAGATAGGCTTGCTATTAGAGCCTGGTCATACACAGTCAGTGAAGCCCGATGAAATGCACGATGTCACCCTCACCGTCGACACCATCGCAGTTGCTGCAGCGGGAGCAAAAGTGAGACATCACGGATCATCCTGAATGTAAAACTAGACATACCCAGTACCATCGGGGTTTACACCTGCTTCAACGCCAAACTGCGGCACCAAGTTGGGGTCAACTCCACCGGAAGAAGAGCCAGTGGCAGTGGCGGCGGCTGAACTAGACACGGAAGAGGCGGCAACTGAGGGCGAAGCGGCAGAGGCAGCGACCGAGGAAGATACGGCAGGGGCGGCAGCCGAACTTGCTGCAGGAACACTACCGCACACATCAGTAGGGGCGGCAGCTACGCTACTAGCGACAGCAGCTTGGCTAGTAGCAACAGCAGCCTGACTAGTCGCAACTGAAGATGCGGAAGACGGTGCTGGGGAAGAGCCCTCCTCCGAGATGGAGTGCTGAAGTGCAACCCAGGTGGTGGAGGAGGCCGGGCAACCGACACCGCTGCTGTTGAAGTTCTGCAGAGTCACCAGGCACGCGAAAACGCGGGCTAGCTGGGACGCTGTTGAGTTATCTGAGGGGAAGCTCAACTGCACGCTCGGGTTCTGGAGCACGTGGCCGGCGGCAACGTTCGCATTCAATTTCTGCAGAAGTTGAGGAATGAGAAAGAACCACGTCGGTCACCGACCAAATTGCACTCACCGAGATGAACTCGTTGCGATCTGGCGGGCATTGGCAAGGAATGAGAACGGGTTTGCCATTCGAACCTGAGGAAGTCTTTGGAATCAAACATCAAGGACGCGTCTCGATGCCCCATACCGGCAATGCCATCACAATTGCTACCGAGGAGAGTCAGCTACATCATTCAAGCCAGGCCAGGAATGCCACTCACTTTCCATCGGGATTTATCCCTTGCTGGACTCCATACTGGGGTACGAGGCTGACATCGACATCTCTCTTCACGGGTAGGGACGTGACAGACAAAAGAGTGACAGCAGCGGACAGCAAGAAAGTTGTGAAAAGCATCGCGTTCTTGGAGGCTAGACACGAGAAAGGATCTAAAGACTGTTAGAGAAAGTGGTGGCTCGGCCGCTGAAGAAATGAATTATATGCTGCGCCTAGCACCTGTGAGAGAAGTACGCCCGGCGTAGGGAACGATGTCAAGGGATGAAAGAGGCCTGTTGGATATGTGGCCATCCTTATATGTTGCTGGTCCATGTTCAATTTCGAACAAAAGGAAGCTAATCAGACAAGTCCACAATGGCGACTTTCTTTAGTCCATAAGCGCTAAGCACACGCCTAGTCACGGTATCACTTCTATCGCCACTTTCAACCGTTTGTTAAGTACTACGTACTTGACACAACAATGAACGTTGCTATTACGACTTCCAGCGCGCGCATGTACAGTAATTCTATAATTCTGGTAATATTTAGAATTGAAGGCCGTCACTCTCCGGACATCGTCAGGATCGAACACGTTTATCCCGCCAGATCTGCCCCCGGCCGTTCCGTTGCAGCGACCGTGTCTTCACTGCAAGCCAAAGCCTTACGGACCACGTTGCCCCAGACCGGTTGGGCATTCAGCTCGTGGATTTGTTGATCGACGCTGTTCTCGACGTAAGTATGGGGTTATCGCTTACAGTATCGCGCGCGGTTGTTCATCTTGATTCCGACTCTTGAGGTGGCCCGACACTGAAGTGGGTCGTCGCACCCTGATGGTAAGCATGCAAGCCTGAGGCACCTGCCGGCGACACTCTCGATTGGCAACACTGCTGATCGTTGTTTCCTTTAAGGAGGAAGCACGAGTACATGAGAGGGCGCAACGGTCACAAATGCTACCGAGGAGCCTCAATACAAGTCTCTCGCTCTTCAAACCAAGGGTTCGCTCTCTGTTCAAATCTGTTACTCAACGAACGCAGTCAGAACCGACGTTCGTGATTGCCAACTTCCTCTATAATACTCTAAGCCGGTCCTCGATGTTACTAACGCCAGACTCGTCGAGGACGAGCGCGTGGTGCGTCGCGACACGGTCACATGTTCGGACATGGTCACATGCTTGGACACGAGGATATCTTGGTAGTATCTTGGTCCCTGGCATAGCCCAACACACTAGAAAAAGTTGAGTGCAGCATCCGCTGCAAGTGGATGCCTTCCCGTAGCCGTTTAGAAACGTTCTAAACTAAATTTCGTCTCTAAATCAGGCCGGCACGTCGGCAAATTGATCTCCGCATACCGTGAGAGCAAAGTGAGCTCTTTCTAAACCTTATATCTGGAAGGGGGGGGGGTCGCCCCCCCCTTCCAGATTCTAAACGTCTCTCTAAACGATGATTTCGATCTCCGCCCACTCGCAATGCCCATCTTTGCCTATATTTGGTGCTGCATATTGCTTACATCATGCTGCCGCTCGTCCTCCGACCCTGTAGAACTTGGTTTGATCATCATCATGTTGCGACGCTACAGTTTCACAAATCCTGCTGTTCCGACACAGTGGGGTGTTTCGCAGTCCGCTTTGTGATTTAGAAGTGCTCCAAATCCTACGGGAAGGCATCCAGTTTCCGCTACACTGTGGTTTTGCCATTATGTAATGTCTAGAAATGGTGCCACATGTGACAGGGTGTGGCACAACCTCCGAGCCTACTCCCGATCAGTTCGTTGATTAGGTCACTTAGAAAAAACAACAACAACCACCATCACCGACCCCGCTCGCGGGAGACTCAAATCACTATTCCACTTTAATTCTCTACTTTCTTCTATCCTGTACTGCTCTCAAGACCCTCAAAGTCAGCTGTGAGAGGCCTTGAATCGCGTCCTCAAATTTGCGTTCAACAAGTTTGCGACTACTTTTGGCTTGCGCACGCAAAACGAACCAAATTTTGCTGGTGGATGTCGAGCGCCTTCGATCGAACGAGGCCCCCACCATTCACTTCACGCAGACCCTCTCCAAAGCCAGGACCTTTCCACCCATCATCCATATCCTCCTCCGCAAAACCCGCCAAGCAGAATGCGCCGCTCGCGTTCAGCGTGACATTGTCGCTGACCGCATCCGGCAGCTTCTTTCTGACGTCCGCGAGCTCGAGAATCAAATCAGCGCCTTCGGTGCTCGACTCCACGATCGCAGCATTGCACTGCTAATTGCTCACCAGGGTCGTGATGAGCTGACCATTCGTGCTCTGGCTGCGGATGGGAGTGAGGAAGCATGGGACGAGTTGATGCAGAGGTACCAAGGGACGATGAACATGGCCGCGCTTTTGCAGGCCGCTTCACCTCCTGGCAATGCGTCGCCTCCTGCACATCATCATACTTCCACCGTGAGCTTCGTGCAAGCTCCACAAGCTCCCGCCTCGCCACCGACACTCATTCAGATGCAGACAATCCTGAAACCCTCTGTCGCCATCATCGCCATCGTCACCATCGTCCTTCCCATTATCGTTGCGGCATGGCTGAAGGCAGTGTCAATGTGTTTCGTTGTGCCGCTGCCAGCAATGTCTTGCATTGATGATCTCATCATCACCATCCATTACAAATGTCACCGTGATACATACGAGGAAACTGAGCCAGAGGTGTGCGGAATTGGATGATGGTACGAGTCTGCCATTGCCCGATGACCGCAATTATGTGTTTCTTCTTCTTCGTCTGCTCACCCCTTCTTCTGTTCGCACCATCCCATTCGCCTACTATGTCATACCATCGGTGGTCTCAGGTTGTGGAGTGCTAGTCCGATGAACGTCCCGCTCATGAGATGGTAGTTCCCGCAGATTCATATGTCTTACTTATCGGGTTCGTCGAGGCATGTCTAGTACATGTCCTAAGCCTTTCAAGGCGAAGGCGAATATCATATCATAAACATCGTAAACAAACCGAACTCATCTGGAACTTCTGGCCAACTTCGGGTAGAATCACTAGGAAAAATCCCATTGTGCCGCCGAGTTGACATGCAGGTGCATCTCTCGGAGGTAAGTCGGGGACTTCAGCGATCGCTGTGATTGTGCTGATGGGACCATCCTTGTGAGTACTACAGAATTCCGGAGGGGGCTGCAAAACACTTCTGACAGTGAATTATCCATTCAAACGAAGCAAAGATGTGACTTGGCCATCCGTTGAAAACAGAGCACATACAAGATCGTCTTCCCACCATCGTCAGGCGAATTTCACAACGGTCGCCGAGATAAGGCGAAAGGTAATAATTGATAATTGATAATTGAAGGAGTCGCAGTGGCTAGAACAGTAGGCTCTGCTGTCCGCTGTCCATAGAGACAATCTGCGTGGAAAACCAAAGTAATTCTCACAAATCAGGTACGGAAATGCGCCTCCCGGCCTCTCACTGGTCAACCATCAGCCTGTCCGAACTCTGGGCTCCACGGTCTGTGTAGGCAGGACCATGACGGTTCCCGACGCACTTCAGGCTGAGCCTGGTAGAAGCAGCATCCACCGCATCGCGCAGGATGCCTGGGATCCTTAGACAAGTAGGTCAATGAGCGCAGAGCGTACGAGCAACTTCTCGCAATAGAAGACACTGCAAGGCAGGATCTGGAACGCAACCGACTAGTATCATGCGGGATATGACGATGTCCCTTGTATTAGTGCCCTGAAACGTCTAACTTTCGCTGCACAGAAAGTCTCACGTCAGAAAAACCTACCAGAGCTGTCTTCATCCTTTCGCACGCACCGTAAAGTTCTCCCGCAACTCTCCATACTGTTGCCTGTCTCCGCAGAGTCTCTTCGACCATCTCCAGGTCACTACGAAGCTCCAGGTCACGCCATGACGATACCTCCTCTCCATTGGACACCAATCCGAGCAGGAGACCGTATGCGCTGATAACTTGCGAACAGGCGAAGAACGGTGAGTGGCTCGGACGGTGTCGATTTGTAGGGCATGGAATAGAGGGGATCCCAGGAGAAGAACGAGATGATGGTGAGGATGTGCCAATATTGGTTTTAGAGGAACCGGATGTAGACACGGCCAACGAACGTAGCCGCTGATGCTCATAGTCCTCGCGAACAATAGCCATTATAGACTGAGCAGCAGCCACAGACGCCGCAACATGAGAAGCAGGAACGCGCGACAGCAGTGCTGCAGCAACGGGCGGGGGAGTAGTCATTTGTCTGAATTCAAAGTTCGGCGCCAAAGGAGTAAGAACCCCAAAATCGAAGTCGACCATAGGAGGAGTGGGGGCCAGTGGAGAATTTATTGGGTACGGAGAACTGCTAAGCGAACATGCGTCCAAGTCTCTAGTAAGCTGTAAAAGGACGTTGTTGTGTTGGTGGTACAGATGAATCATTGCACTGCGGAGAGGTCAGCAAATGACTGCCTTAGATAGAATTGACTTACGCGTAGTTCATCATGAGTGCCATGAAAGCTGCCTCACGATTCGCTCGCCACTTGACGGCGTCCTCCCCCTCGGTATTCATCTCTCGCGCAGAGCAACAATCATAGCTTTCACGGGAAAGGACGAGAACTTGACGTCAATAAGAGTGCATTAGAACAGGAAGCACTGACGTGAGTAAGCGACACCTACGGTTAGCAAGGGCAGTCATAATCGCTCTTGCCCGTTCCTCCTGAACAGCTTGTGATAGTTCCGTAGTAGCCGGAGATGAGACTGCCAACAGGAGGGAGATTGTGCGAGCACGCAGCGCAAATGCCGATGGCTTGCATGTACCGCAATAATTACTCAGTGTCAGACAAACGTTACGGTAAGAGAACTGCTGACCTGCTGCTCTGGGCCAGATGATAGCCACGTGTACGGGAGATTCACAGCAGCTGAAATACCCCCTAAGACACTGCGATGTAGGCCGCTTACAACTTGAAGCATGCCGTCGAGCGTCCATAGCTCCCACCACACTCTGCGCTCAGCTTCTGCATCTGCAGACGACCCTCCGGCCTGCACAAGGTCACGCTGGTGCATGCTGCTAGATACAGCGAGTCGAACAGCAGTCGCGAGACGTTCTCGTGCGATATCGATCGTCCCGGAGCCATATTCAACATGTACAAGCATAATGAGAGCTTGTATATGCTGTAGTAAAGGTGTGGTGGTGTCAGTGGATAGCAAGGTGGTGGTGAGTGTGGCGTAGTCGGTCGAAGGTGGTACCGGTGCAAATGGGGAGACAAGCGCGCCCATAGCAGAGAGAATCACCAGGCTCGCCGGTGGAGATGAGGCTATGAAGATGGAATACGGAGGGAGTATGTAGCAGAAGTGGTGTACGTGTGTGTAATAGAGGGAGATACTATGCAGAGAAAAAAGTGAGCGTTCTGACTGAGACATAGGAATGGTTGACCGTACATCTCTTGGACTTCATTTGGTGGTATTATGTCCACACTGGGTGCAGAACCGACCACAGTAAAGAAGTCTTGCATCTCATGGTCGCTGAGATGCATTGTCGGGTCGAGAAATGACAGAGGTGATGTGATTTCCGATGGAGAGAGCAGCTCACTGAGAGTCGTCTGAAATTCCTGGGAAGACCGCACAAGAAGCGATGGCGGTGTCACGAACGGTTGCGAAGAAGCGTCTGGCACATTGACTTAGAATAGAAGTATAAAGCGAGTGGTGAACTCACCTGAAACATCTTCCGCTGGTGCAGACGTTTCCGTGAGGTGTGAATCCTCCCTTTGCGAGCTGGCATCACCACTCGACTCTTCCGCGAGCCTCCGCTTTGAGCCTATCCTCCGAGAAGGTAACCATGTGCACTCGGAGCCGTTCTTCAGACACCTGGTGCACGGCTCCGATGACGGCTTGGGGCCCACATCATATCGAGTTGTCGGCTGCATGGGTGCCTTGCCGTCACATTTGACTTTGGCGCGGCGACAGGGGAGACAGGCAAGAGAGATGCGTGAACGAGGTCCATTGTGAGCTGGGAGTGGACGAGTCATAATGGTCAAGTCGCGGTTCAGACGAGAGAGTGGCGCTCCCCGGCTATGTTGCTGCAAAAGGAGACATTACCGCCTGCCCGACTTCCGAGCCCTTTTTCAATTACCGCAACTGCACGTTCTTTGCAACAGAGGCAGCAAGTACTGGCCGAAGAGCTGAATGCGTTTGATCGACGACGACAGCGGTAAAACATTTCGTTTCCGGTCCCTGATCGTTCTGTAGCTCAAAAACACTGCCGCCGGCTTGTGGCAGACTACAGCACCTTCCGTTTCCGGACAACCGGCTATGCTCGGCATCTCATGCTTCTTCCTACTGATCGCCTTCGTCACCCCAGACGGCCGCTTATTCAGAGTCACCGTGACACAGCTGGTCGCAGTTGTTGACAGCCAGATTCGCGCTTGAAATATACATCTCTACGCGCTCGTTGACCCGGGTACTGTCTGCAGATATAAGATGGCGCCAGCTATTCGTATGGTTTCCTTAAGTTCATCATGCCTACCGTGTTTCACCGCGAGGTGGCCCACAAGGTCTCTGATCTCGAAGTGAGGCCGCTTTGTCGTCGTCTGTGTTTTCTCCCCTGATGCCTCAATTATATCTTCCAGAGCCAGCAGACGGTGTCCTCAATTGCCGAGAACCGTGCAGAGCACCATGCGTTAGTGTGGAAAAATGTCAGCTTCGAAGTCTCCAAGAAGGGCGTCAAGAAGACGATCCTCTCAAATCTCTCGGGATACGTCTCCTCTGGAGAAATGATTGCAAGTCAGGTCCTTTATTTCACTGCCATCTCATTCGCGCTCATTGGTCCTCACTTATTCCATACAAAACCACCCAGTCATGGGACCGTCTGGTGCGGGAAAAAGTACCTTCCTCGACCTGATTGCTCAACGGACGCAGCCTTCTTCGGGCGCGGTGCGTTTTTCACTTTGAGGCATGCTGTTTGGCGTAAATTGACGGTGCTATCGTTTATAGATCGAACTGGATAGTACAGCAAAGTTTCGGATGCGTGATTATTCTTCATATGTCGAACAAGATGACGCTCTACTTGGTGTCCTCACAGTGCGAGAGACAGTCGAGTTTGCCGCAAAACTGAGGTACGTATCCTTTACTCCGTTGATTCTCTTAATTTCTGTAATATCCTAATCTGTTGTCTTAGCATGCCGGCTTCTACCCCTCCCGAAGTCGTGCGGCAACGCGTGGATTCGACCCTCACCATGCTGGGTATTTCGCATGTAGCAGACAATATCATTGGCACAGCAATTCAACGCGGAGTCAGTGGCGGGCAAAAGCGCCGAGTCACGATTGCGTGCGCGGTGGTGGCTCGTCCAGACTTCCTCATCCTCGATGAGCCCACTTCAGGACTTGACTCGGCTACTTCTACCGAGGTAGTTCGAGCAGGTGAGTCGTTCAGTGTTAGTGGATTTTAGTCACAACGTACTAACAGCATTGTGGTCGATGTGGCATAACAGTACAGCGGCTTACGCAGACCACTAATTCTGTAACACTTTGCACGATCCATCAGCCATCTTACGAGACGATTTCGCATTTCGACAAGGTCCTGCTCCTTGCTAACGGACGAACACTCTTCTTTGGAAGCGTCAGTACGTAGCTCGTTCTCTATGCCTCCATATGTGATTCGAATTACTCTCTAACTCCAGCTGCAATGGAGGAGCACTTTTCCGTTCTTGGCTATCCTACTCCCACCCACTTCAACCCAACTGATCACGCCATGACTCTTATCAACACCGACTTTACCTCGTTGTCTACTTTAGACTCAGACCTACGAGAGACGAAGGAGAACGTCATTGCGCGTTACGATACGTTCGTCAATGCCTGGCAGATATGCGAAAGAAGCGACCCGTCCATTGTATCACCACTATGCGGTGTCCCGAACACCCTAAGCCCTCCAAAAGAGGGCGGGAAGATTAACAGCGTGCCGCAGGATATGTACCGCACGTGGGTCCTTGCTCAGAGGACGTTCCTGAACTACCGGCGAAATATCTTGAACCATGGTAAGTTTTTTAAACGTTAAATCGGTTTGGACGTTGACGATCGTTTGATTCTTCAGGCATTCGTCTGGCTATGTATATCGGGATGAGTCTCATGTTAGCGGTTATCTGGATCAGGTTGCCAAAGGATGACCGTAAGTACTATATGCCTCATGGGGGCTGGGTCATGGAGTGATATCTCCTAACACAGAACGTATCAACGACCGTCTCTCTGTTCACTTTTATGGTGTCGCATTCTTGAGTTTCATGAGGTATGTCACGGATATCCATGATCGGTTAATTTTGCAATATGAATTTAGGGGCATATCTTTTTAAGCGTCGCTGGTATCCCATCCTTCCTGGAAGAACGCTCGCTCTTCATCCGCGAGCGCGACAACGGACTTGTTGGCCCAGGTGCATTCATCATCTCCAACACGCTTGTCACCCTTCCGTTCATGTTCATTTGTGCAATATCCTTCTCTCTGATCTGGTAATATCCTCACTGACCCTGTTTCATCTTCGTGCTGATATCGTGGTGTCTGGCGTTAGTTATTGGGCAATTGGCTTGCATCCGGGTGCGACAGCGTTCTGGCGCTTCACGTTCTTTCTTTTCCTCGCAACAATAGCTGCAGAGAGTCAGAGCGTGCTTGTTGCTGCGATTCTTCCCATCTTCGTGGCGTCCCTTGCAGTGGCCAGCTTCATGAACGGCTTCTGGATGAGGTACGTGTCTGATCTGTTACACGAGTTCGATGACAACTTGCTAACGACCGTCCAACTTCTCTTTGAAAGCGTCGGCGGATACTTCATGCAGACTGTGAGTCGCCGTCGGTTTTTTCTGAGAACTATCTTGACTAACGTCTACGGCAGCGCAATTTACCGGCTTTCTGGCGTGACTGGGCTCATTGGTTAGCTCAGATTCCCCCGTTTGCACAATTGAATTCATATAATATGCTTTTAACAGGATTGACTACCAGAACTTTGCCTTCGCAAACTTGGTGAAGAATGATTTTACAGGCTTGGTCTTCACTTGCCAAACACTCGCGGATGGCTCATGCCAGTGCTCATACGCGAGCTCGCTCATTGCCCAGGGTCAATGTGCCGTATCAGGCCAGGACGTGCTCGACGTACGTACCGTCTACCTCAGGCATGCGGGTTGTGCTCATATTTTGTCCGACAGCAACTGGAGATTGCTGGCATTGACATCGGGCTGTACACTGGTATACTCATCTGCATCATCGCGGTGTACCGGGTGATGCTGTATCTCGCACTCGTGCTGCGCAGGAAGTAGATGCCTATGTTTTATCTCTGCGACGGTGTTTCTTTCACTGCACGGACAGTCGACTGGATCCCCGTACTATCGTTCTTGTGCTTGTAATTGCTTGCGTTTATTTACTTCTCCCATGCCAGTGCGACCTTGAAGCTTTAGGTAATACATACAGTCTACACACTCTACAATGTCTGTTGCTCGCAACCCACATAGTTTATCAATATTACTTATTTAAATGCATCTCACCGGGCGGACGAGACGCGTCAAGATCACGTGATTGATAATTGAATCTCCGATGATCGTTCCGTGGCACCATTTCGTTGCCCGCTGTGGCGTGTACATTGCTGAGCGTCCAACGTACTACTAACTCCGTTTCGTCTACTATGTCGACAGCACACAGACCGACATGGGATCCTGCGCAGGCGAAGGATGTAAAGGGCGGCTCTCGCCAGTTCTCTGTGCGAGATATGGCAGCGCACACGAAATTGAAGTTCCGGTACGTGGCCAGGGTAGTCGCGTCATGTCGGTTCACGCTCACGATTTGTCAACAAGTCAACCAGGACAGACATCAGTAGCGGAAGTCGGAAAGAAGGACTTACGATCTGAGCTTCTGGCGGCTGAGCAGGAAGCGCGGGAGAAGAAGCGGAAGGCTGAAGGGAAACCTCCACTGGCCGTTGAGAATGGGGCCACTGCCCCGCAAGGACAGAATGAGGAGGCAAACAAGCGTAGGAAGCTGTTGCAGGAGGCGCTAGAACTAGACAGAGATGATGACGTGGATCGCGATGCGAAGGAGAAAGAGGACGATGATGAAGACGAAGATGAAGACGAGTGCGTGACTCTGACTTTCATTGTCGCAGCTATCGACCGAGACTCCAATTTTGAACAGAGAAGATGACGAAGATGAGGAGGATGATACCGCGGAACTCCTGCGCGAACTGGAGAGGATAAAACGCGAACGCGCGGAAGAGAAGGAACGGCAAGAGCGCGAACAATCTGCATCGACAAATGCAGCACGCGAGGCTGAAATCGCGATTGCAAATCCATTACTGAATCTTGCAGCTGCACTTGGTCAGAATCCTCAAGGAGTGAATACCACGGTCCCAGGAACTTTCGCGGTGAAGCGACGTTGGGATGACGGTGCGTTTTTCAGATCGTCGCTATAATCCGAATTCTTGGCTGAATGGATTTTGACAGACTTGATCTTCAAGAACCAGGCTATGAGCTCACGAGACAAGGATAGGTCGGGACAATTTGTAAACGACCTGTTACGGACAGAGTTCCATAAGTCAGTCCCTCAGTCATGGGATACTCGCTGCTTCTAACGCTGATTGTGCTACATAGAAAGTTCATGGCGAAGTTCATCAAGGTACATCGTCATGTCACGGCCATTTTCAGTCGCGCTAATCATTTCTTACCCCAGTAATTATACCGTAGTAGCGTTTATTCTCTCGTTGTCTGCTTCCCTTTGTTCCTGGTCAATCGACGTGGTCCTGTGAGCTCTATTGATGCAAGTGAGTCGTCATGTCCTTCCAAAATACATTTACAACCACTGGAGCGAATAGTACTATGTTTGGTACCAGTATTGATTTGATGGAAATGCCTTGTCGCTGCCCCACATCTGAAGACAATCTCATTAAATGCCGAGAATTTGAACTGGCTCCGTGGACTCCGCGACGCCGTATGGCGTGCGCGCTCGGTGCTTGCTCAATGACGTGCTCGCGGATGGGATGTCGCCATAGCCTCGCTTGCCAAGTCTCCGTGCTGGGATTTGTTGCCGGCGTACAAGATCTTGTTCTGCCACCGGACATTAGATCTAGATGACTTTCCACTGTTCAACCTTGGTTAATCTGACGCGATCTTCAGATAGAGCGATCGAACGGTGAACTCATCTCGGGAGGGTTGCAGTAACCGATTCAGCATTGTGGCGTTCCGTTCTCTACCCTGATGACCCTGTCCCAAAAATCCACCACTGCATCGATATACGGCTTCTCCGAAGCCCCATGGTGTTCAGACTTCTTCCGATCTTCTCGGATTCTGCAAAACTGGTTTACGTCGGAATGTACGTCCCCCGTTCAATTTATCATTATGTCGGGCCCGAGTGTTCTACAAAGCACTTCTAGCTGCACGCAATAGCCTGAAAACATCTGAAAATATACACTCCATTGCTAGATCCTTTAAATACGAGATGATCCAAGTACAAATCCAAGCTAGCATGTGTCGATACAGATCCCAGGATAGCCGCGCTCGCTCTGGCATTCACGCCAACTCTTCTGTCTTCGTATCCAACCAATCCTGCCAAAGCGGACCAGTGATGCCCGCTCCAGCGAACATCCCCGCAAATCGTATGACCCGATACACATCTCGGAAATCGCTGGCGAGTCCCAAACTGATGCGCACGAGACCGATCTCGTACCCCAAGTGCCGCTCTATCCCGTGCTTGGTTGTTCCTTCAGTTACGAGGTCCATAGTTCCATCGAGGCCAAGCATGGCCGCGGCCGCGCCAAGGTTGCACATGCATCCGGTGCGCAATGAGATGTTGTGTCTGGAGGCAGCGTACTCCACGAATGAGATTGGAATCTTCTCACCGGAGGGCTATTCACAGAAAAAAATAGGTCAATGTATGTCTAGGTCAGATAAGGGAGACCTACGAAGAGGAAGACGACCGAGACGGTTGACCCTGTGTCAGACTGCTCCCCGATTGCTGTGAGCTGTCGCGAAGGTACGCGAGATAGGACCCGCACGACCGGCGTGCCTGTTGATTCATGTCGTAGTTGTGATAGCGATGAGACGAGGTAGCTCGTCAGAGAGGAAAGACGCAGTGGAAGGAATGGAAGGTAAGCAGAAAGAAAACGGAGACCCTCCGTGATCACGGACAGATTAAGGTAGTTGATGGTTCCATCCTGAAGAAGAAAATTAGCCGGTTGAAAAGCGGTTGGCAGACTCACTGGTCTCACCTCGAAACGTTCGTGCTGGTGGGAGCTCATGGTCACGTTCATACCAGGGACCTGCACGACATCTACAGTACCGCCTGCGAACCAGGGACGATCCAGTTGCGCCAGGAACTCTTCCTTGGCAATTAAGGCGCCGATTCCTGTCGGGTAACCGAACATCTTATAGAAACTGACGGCCATCGCATCGACAGGATGGTCCGTCAGAGAAAACATAGATGTCGGTGCGAGAGCTGCGGCATCAAGGAGTGTGTAATATCCTTGTGACGCTGCATGATGGATAAGGGAAAGTGGGTTTTTAGTGTTGGAAATGTTTGACTGCCCGGTAAGTGCGAAAAGACTTGGGAAAGAGCGCCTGTTCTGCGGGTGATTCCGTTCCAAAATCCCCTACCATAACTGGTCAACGTGAAGGCCCATCTGATGAAGAGTGAGCTCGGGTACCTTGGCATCATTGATCTCTAATCCTCCGTGCTCGGTAGAAGCGATATAATGTACTTGTGCACCACGTTGCGCTGCGAAGTTCCGGATGCCGTGTACGCTATTGTGCGCATCGACGCCGAGGACAAACACACTTCCCTTTGTGAAAGGGAAGGATTCGCCCACGAGCTTCAGAGCACCCGTAGCGTTCGCCGTAAACACTACGGTGTAACCAGGCGGGGCTCTGAAGAATGAAAGCACTGCTTTCCGAGCGTCGTTCGCGCAAGTCGACGATAACTTGGATCTACAAGTTCGGCGAATAACTGCAGTCAGTTATGAGAATATGCGAGAGGCGGCGAGAGATACATACGAATTACTGACGGAGTGCGTGTTGCCTAGAATATTGCGGTGGAGAAAGTCTGTCTGGGCTCGTAACAAACTCTCTGGATAGAGCGAGCCCCCCATGTAGTCCACATATGTCTCTCCGGTGCGGTCCAAGCGTGCGAAGTCGCTGCGTCTCAATGCATCAAGGGTCCAAGTAAGCTGATACTGTGGATGTTGTTTCAGGAAAAGCTTGTAGGCTCCAGAGGCACTGTCCTCGAGGATGTCGACGGTGAAGGACGCATACAGAGGTGGAGGATCGAATGAGGCCTTCTCGTCGCTGCGGTAGCGTTCTGTGACGGCGGTGATCGAGCCATAAGTCTCAGGGGAAAAGCTAGCAGGGCTATTAGCACAACCAAGAGTTAGGGCAGAGAATGCGGCCTTGGACTGCTTCCGCACGATGGACCGCGGGGGGTGCTGGGCCTGCGCATCCACTATCGAAGAATGAGTGTGTCCCATGGTTTAGGAAAGAAATTCAGAGACGTTTAGCCTGAAGCACTGAAAGCGTAGCCTGGGTACAGAGAGATACAGAACACAGAGGTTTTATACAAAATCGTCCAGCGGCACTTGGGAACAAGGAACGGAGCTATCCAGAGCTCATCAGCAGACTTTGGTTGCTGCGAACGGTAGGCTGTGCGAGCAGACGGGGGAGCGGATAACTCCCGAGAATTGCATCGAGTTCCCTGAACCTGACTCAAGTCAACTGCCGCATATGGGTTGTCACCCCGAGAAGCGCTGAGACTTGCAGGGCCCCAGCAGTTGGTAAGCTCTCCAGCCGGTGTCAACTGTGGGATTAACACCTCACCACACCGTCCTCTTCGTGGAGCCCATCATCATGTAACGAGGCATCTTTTCCTGCCGAGGACGTTGTTGCTATCGGTCTGGTAGACCGACACACTGAGCGTCGCGCTCATCAAACGATGTTCAGAAATTTACATATGATTATACGCGAATTTCAAGACATACTATCTATCCATCCCCCGAAGATGTCAATGTCGCCGGCGTTCGGCCCCCGGCACAATCTACTCACAGATCCAATGCTGCTATCCGGTAACGGGCATTGTTCTCCAATCGAACGGCATAGCCTAGAAGCTGTGCGGATGAGCGGCAGGAGCCGCGCCGTACTTGGTATCGAGAGTGATCTACTCAGAGCCCGGATATCAATGAGCCTGCACCATATCGTAGCGCTTGGTCTTCACGCTCAGACGTTACCCCGAGACCGGGCTGCGCATCCGACAGATAGTGATCGACTGCATACCACGAAGAACGGCTCCCAGAATCAGAAGAACATAGGAAGGCCAGCATTGTCAGCCTGAATAGCCAGAAGCAAGAAGGTGTGCACGCTGAGACCGGTAGTCAACTTCCTCTCCACAGCAGATGATTTTCGACGAATACAGCGTTCCTCATGCAGCGTAGGAGGATTAGCACAAAGCCATCTAGCCGCGAACCGGCAGCCGACTTCTCTTTAGTCACAATGACAAAGCTTAGGCAATATCTAGTAAAGCGAAGGAGTCAGCGCAGAGTCACCAGGGGATTACGACAAAGAAGTTCAACGACTAAATTGGGCGCAGACAAATTCGCACCTTCTAAGTCAACACACACAGTCTAAATGATGCGCTCGGAGATCCGGTCCTTCTGAGATCATGCGCATCACCGTTCTGTACGGGACGGGAACTGGCGCAGAAGGTACCACAACTGGAGGGCGACGAGACTACTCACGGCGGCCAACGATCCATGAGAATGCCTGAATGTCAGAGGACCCAGACGCTGTCCAATTTCCAACCAGTATTCATCAGAGCAGTTCAATGAGCGCTCTGTCGGTACGAAACACCACTCGCTTGCCGGCAGGAAACAACAGCGGAGCCCCGCAGCCCCGAGGAGACGGACCACATAACAAACCAAGGCACAGTGTCCATGGGTGTGTTCACGTTGCGCAAAACATTCGAGAGAGAAAGAAGTCTAGGGACAATGCGTACCTGCGAAAAACAAAGTAATAGCGTGAGATCAACGAAAGCCGCCAAGAACATATTGACATAAGATTCGATGTCCTGAGCTCACTGATGTTGGACCGTGAAACTTGTACGATTCTGAATTTGCAGCCACATCTGTACAATGGTGAGGTACTGCGGTACGTGACACTGGTTACTTAAACTCTATAGATACCCTGGAAGTGACGGACCATCACTAGATATCCAATTGTCAAATGTACGAGATCAGTATTATGACGCTCAAACCATACCTTAGAGGAAGACGTATCTGTGGTTTCCGCCACGTACGTAGGACTAATATGACGCATGCGACATTGGCCGACGGGTCACCATTAAGTAGTCGACAAAGGTCCGGTAACGAAGGGATTTAGACTTCACGGAATTATCGGCGGAAGCACTTTACCATGCGAAGGTATGAACGACAAAAGACGGCCAAGTCCGTTCGTGGTGCGCTAAATATTGAAATAGAATTTTCTGTGATTTAGATAAACCGCCTATGACACCGACAGAGGTCGAGGCCAATATGAAGCGCGGAAAGATTGCACCGTATGATCCAACGAGTACCGACTATCAGAGCTGTCCGTCACAATATGCCGTCCTGCTGAACTGATGAACACCGCAGATCCGGAGCATCTAAATCTCACAGAACAGTGAATCCATGCGAACAGGCGGACAGCTCGTAGACACGATGACCGCCCGGCCGACGGACGGTGAGAGACCTCTACTCAAGGTTTTCTCGGTACCGTCATACAAAGTAACCTCGTTCTTCGACCAAGAAACATCGATATTTGGGCCGCATGTGTAAGTGGAACATCCCCAATTGAATAGCCGGACGCAAAGAGGATATCTTTCTCATCGCTTTCGTGGAAGCAGACACAAGACAAGCGACGATCAGAGTCACCAACGTAAGACGCAGGAACAGATAGGTAAGCCAACAGTCATGCGATCGTTCGGTAAGATTCTTCAGTGAGAATTCATGAGCAGGACGGTGGGTGGACACAAGGAGGATCAGCGGACTCTCGACACGCTGGAAGACATTGAGCTCGAAGCTGAGAGCATGGGGCCCATATCGGCTGTCGACGCACGATATCCCAGCGTAGGGCGACTGCTGCATCAGTAAGGTGTGTGAAGATGAGAGACATACCTGCAGGACCTGGACCATCGCGGACAGAACTCTGCCAAGCGACAAATCGGCACGCGGCAGCCATGTGAGGTCTCTTTCCTTTTCAAAACAACGAGAAGATAACAACGTAGACTCAAGAGTTCTGTCAGCTGGAGCTTTTCCGACCGAGGAATACCGAGTGCCTGCTCAGTGGTAGCAAGTTGCTCCGAACGAGCGGAGCCGTCGCGAAGGTGCTGATTTATCACGTGACACGCGTTACGGCCTGCGGGCAAGGCAGAGCGCCTACTAGCAGCGCTTCAGGCGGAAGAGGTAGTTCATACCAGGTCGTTCGACAAGAACAAGTCTTCTGCTGGTTAATCCAGGTCAGCATTCCGTGACAAGAGGTGAGTCTCCTGCCCTGTATTGGAAATCCATGCAGCTCACAGTACCATGTGCGCGGGGGCATTGAACACAAACAGTCAATCAGGCAGATTGGACTACGGAGGGCTTGTCTGATCGTTCAAGTCTCGGGACTCCGCGCAGATTCTTCGTTCTTACTTCTGGCAGCATATGGAATTTCTCTCTCAGACATACATTGCCCTTCGGGGCCCAACCGGAGCCCCTCAGTCCCCAGCAGATACCATTGGCCGTCTCGCAGACCGTTTGTCACCTTCCACTCTCCTCGCAGATCGTCGCGCAGCCGTCCTTACCCTCAAGGGTCTTTCTCGTGACCACGGAGCAGACATTGGCGAGCGTGCTCTTCTTGGACTGATAGACGTACTGCAGAATGATGCAGAGATTGATGCAGATATCGGCAAAGCTGTCCTTGAGACCCTCAATATCTTGTGTGAGGTGGACTACAATGCTGGAGCTCAAGCGCAAGCCCGCGAGATTGGTTTCAAGCACACGGATGTTGTCTTAGCTGACGAGAAAGTAGCTCACAAACTCTTCGCTCTTCTGGGCGACCAATCGTTCTACCTTCGTCTCTCTGTGCTTCAGTTCTTGTCCACTCTCTTGCAGAACCGGCCACAAGTAGTGCAGGGCTACTTCTTGAAAGCACCTGTCGGTCCTACCAGTTTTGTTGCCGTACTGGAAGAAAAAAGGGAGATTATTCGGCACGGTACGTGCCATCTTCTATCCCGTATGTTGAAGGGTCCAGGTATTCCTCCCACAAGCGCGTCTGTCGTTCCGATAATATCCAGGCTTTCACTGACATATTCCGAATTGCTCGTGAACGCTTGTTGCTACTCTGTAACTGCCGAGGATGCCGTTGATTTAGGCACAGTGCACAGCCGTAACTTGAGCAAAACTGCTTGTTCGTTGCATCCTGGTAAACTCTCTGCCCTATCTAAAGCTCGTGTGTTACTTCGACACCTATCAGTGTTGCGTGCTGTCACAGTTCTCTGTTTCTACGTGACAGATGCAGTTTGCTACGTTCTATTATAGTGACAGGGCGCGTCGTTTAGAACGAGTCCATTCACAGTCCATGCTACCCTCTTCTGTCTGCCTCCATTTGTTCTGACATGTCCATCGCATTTACAGAAGCGATCTTCGTTCTCCAGTCCCTCATATCTCAAAGCCCGGAAATCCAGAAGATACTGGCATTCGAGGGAGCATTTGAACGACTTTTCAACATCGTGGCAACAGAAGGTGGGATCGAGGGTGGAACAGTGGTCCACGAAGCACTAGCGTGCATCGACGGATTGTTGAGGTTCAACCAATCCAACCAGGTGAGCACCCTGTCTTGTTATGAATGACTCGTGTCCGATTCCTTCTCAAGATGTCTTTGCCTTTGTGTTAACATGACTGATAACCTCCCTCAGAGCTATCTCCGTGCAACATCACTTCCTCCTCTCCTTCTATCCCTCCTTGGCTTCCCTCCAAATCTTCCACACGATGCTCCCCCGCCACAGGGCTTTGCCCTCCAGCTATGGGATGACGCGAAGAAACGTCCCAACGCAATCCTCGTGGTTGCCATTATTGGCCTGCTTGCAAAGGGTAGCAGTAGTGTGAGTGTTGGTGACCTAGCAGGCCTCAAGCTCTCACCCACCATTAATTGGACTAACCGCGTCATGTGGATTGACATGTGCTGCAGTCGCAAGACCCGCTTACCTTTCCCTTCAATCGATGTCTTCTTGAGCTCGGATTAGCTTCCAATGCTCCTACATCGGTGAAGGCCGCAGTAAGTGTCCATCCGCGATCTGAAGTGCACCCATTGGCGCCTAATGCGCCTGTTGATGCACCTAGGCTCTCCGCCGCCTTCCTTCAAATTTATCCAGCCTGCCGCTCGCACAGATGACTGTTACGCCGTACATGCCTGTGCCCGATACGAATGGCGAAGAGTGGGACCGTCTCGAACCTTCGTCGGCGTTAGATGTGCTAGTTGAACTTGTCCTTCACGGAGAATACAATGGCATGCTCGAAGGAGAGCGCCGTTCGAAGATCGGCATGGAACTTAGAGGCGTCGCGCTGGGAGTGTTCCAGGTAAGTGGGTCCAGTCAAGAAACTTTAGCTGAGAATCTGGATCATGTTGCCTCCGGTAGAACTTCGTACAAAATGAAGAGATTGCGGAGGCAATTGTGGGGGCGATGGTAACACCGCAAGGTTCTCATTGTTTTCTCCATTTCTGCGCCATAACCTAACGTTGGATGAACTGCTTAGGCTCTGCACAAGCAGCACCAGTGACTCCTCTCCTTTATGCGCTGATCGCGCCACCTAGTTCACCGCTCAATATACCTGCAGTGACTTCCACGCATCTCGCCGCACTCCTGTTCTCCCATCTACTCCGTGCATCTCCGCGCGCAAAAGCCGTCGCACGCTCTATCGTTCCTCCTACTGCCTCATCCCAGTCTGCGCAAGCATCCAGTTTCTTTGTTCCAGCAGACGGCGGTCCCCCTCCTGCGGATACACACGAAGAGGCCGCGGACGTTGATGAGCCGCAGACGCTCCTGCAAATTCTCAGCGAGCATCTCTCGCTGGCGTTCCTAGCTCGTGGACGCCCGGATACCCCAGATCGGGAGGCACGGGAGTGGGACAGGTTACTGGTTGGCTATCTGACTTTACTGGTACAATGGTTGTGGGAAGACCCTCGCGCCGTGCGAGAGTTTCTAGAGGCCGGTGCGCTGAGCGTGGTACGTAGAAGTCACTGGCAGATTCGCTCACTTGTTCACGTGTTAAGTCGCTCACCGACATAGCTGGTTGAGCCAATCAACCAGACAACAGACACCGACGCTGTCATCCCAGGCCTTTGCGTATTCTTACTCGGCGTATGTTACGAGTTCAACCGCGAACCAGGAGAGATCACCCGGTATGTACTGTCTTTCTCATCACGTCTGCTCGCAACTGAAGCAGTATCCAGAACTACGATATACCCCATTCTTACTCGCCTCGGCGTGGATATGCTCGTAGGGCGTATTACACACCTACGGGACGACGTCCGGTTCAAGGCCGTCGGACCCGACGTGCTCGTCCTTCCGTCGCCAAATGTCCCGCATCTTCGTCCGCCCCCGGGTCCCACAGGGAAACCCGAGGTCGGAGAAGCCGAGATCTGGTTCGACTGGGCATTTGTCGACTTCTGGAAATCCAATTACTGTGAGATTCGCACCCAATCTCTTCCGAAAGCTATTCGCGTGGGGGAAAGCTGAATCGTCGATCGTGTCATTCGCAGATACGGTGCAGAAGGGGATCGCAGCGGACCCGAAGTCACTGTCCTCTGCCGCCGGTAAGTGCAAAACCTGTCGCGTCTGCTGTGAACGACTGAAGGGCGCTGTTGCCACAGGACAAGGCGCTGAGACCGCGATGCTGGTCGCCTCTTTGCGGGACGTCATTCGGAACCAGGCGACAGAGATCGAGGCATTGCGCACGCAGCTGAAGGGACTCTCTCCCGCGGCACCGCCAACAAATGATGTATGTCTTTCGTGCACATTCGACAGTTTTGTCGCTCATGCTGAATTGGTGATTTCCAGCGCGAGGAGCTACTGGCCGAGATCTCGTCACTGAAAGAGGCGGTGCAGGTCGCGGAGGATAAGAGACGGGAGGGTGAGAAGGAGCAGGAGGACCTCCTGGTGCTGCTCGACGAGCTGAACAGCAAGCGCCGCAGAGATAAGGTGCGCATGCGTGAGGCTGGGATGGAAGTGTCGGAGGATGAGGATGAGGGCGAGGGCGCAGGGGATGAAGAGGAGGACGAGTGACGAACTTACAACGGTATTGTCTTTCATACCACAAACTAGTGTTTCTTTCGAACACTCGCAGGAGATGTAGTTACTGCTGTCGGATCCTCAGACTTGCCTATTTTTTTGTGATACATTTTTTTTGACATGCTGATTCGTTCAAGACGTCATCAGCGGCAAGTTGGTCATAGGTTAAAATACGGAGGACAAGAAACCAAACACCGTCGACCGCACTCAGCCGTCAAACATGCTGCCGTCCATGCGCACACCCATGGACTGTTTGATATCCATTCCTAACAGCTTCATCTTCCCAGCCTGTTCAAAGGAAACGAGGAACAGCCGCATCAGCATGACGTAGTGGGTAGGTGCAGGTGTAATCACGACGTACCTCTATGCGCTCGTTCTGCACGCGGCGAAGCTCCTGCAGCTGATCCTTGTTCATGTACGTTTCGCGCTCGATGGCACGGCGCTTGTGCGTGCTCTCGAGGGCCCGCATGTCCGCTGCGGGATCATACGCGTCGTCTGGAGGTGGGACGAATTCACCCGAGCGCAACGCCGTCATGCGCCGCTCGTATGCTTCCATGTGGTAGAACTTCTCGTGTGGAAGCGTTGCTACGGATAGCTACATAGTTAGCGACATGCGTTGGTCAGCCGAGAGGAAACAGACCAGTGTTATAATCCTCCACGAACTGGGCGAATTCTTTCTTCGTCTGCTCCTTGGAGATTGTCTCTGGGTTGATCTTGCGCTCCTCAACGAGCCAGGCGCGGAACTCCTGCTCCTTAGTGTACAAACTGGAAGGTAGATGAGCATTTATGCACATGTTCGCGCCTCAATGATGTACGTACTCGGTTTCGTTGATTATTCCATACTTTCCCCACTGGTGGCTCACAGCACCACTCTTCTTTTTCTGCGAGACCATTCATGGTTAAGATAGAAAAACATGAGGTAGACAGCGAGAACGCGCCTTCTTCTCTTTCTTCTCCTTCTTCCGCTCCTTCTTCTCCCGCTCCCGACTCCTGCTCCTACGCTTCGTGTGCTTGTCTCTCCTTCGTTTGTGGCGCCTGTGCTCAGAGGAGCTCGACGCCTCACTCGAGACCGAGCGTGACCGTCTACGCTTATCTGACGAGGGCGACGGCGAACGTGAGGCGGACCGTCCTCGTTTTCGGCTCCTGTGATCAGGCCTGTCCTCCCGCGAGCGAGAAGGGGAGCGCGAGTCCGGCCGCCGTCGCTTCGGACTGCGTGAACGCGAGCGGCGCCGTGACCTTGAGCGACTTGCCCGCCGTGTCGCATGTGGGGAGTGAGAGTATGGGTGGTCGCGTCCGCGGTCTGTGTCCCTCACCCTCCCGTTTTCCCTCACCCTCTCCTCCCTCTCTCGCGAGTGGCTCCTCGCTGTACGCGTGTGCTGTCGATATCGGTCGTCCGCCCTGGATGACATGACGATGTAAATGAGCTAGACGTCGTGTGGGGTCGTCGGTGCAGCTGAGATGGCGGTGAGAGCACTAGTAGACGGGCCCAGCGCGCCGGCCGATCGCGCGTCTGTTTGCACGAGGAGCTGGTGTCCTCGGCGCTTCCAATTGCAACCTCGTCGCTCAACGTTGCATCACCGTAGGAAAAATATGACTGTGCACTGGATACGGTGAATGCATGCAGAGTTTTTTGTAAGGCAGTGCGCGACCTCGAACGTCGAGAGGAAATGAAGACCCGGACTGCGCGAGAGCCGCCGGGATGACACGTCGCTCGTTATGTGGCCCGCAGGCTGCTGCAGAGCGCAATGACGCTATGAAGTAACACTCTTCTCCTCTCCACTCATGCCATGGCCGTCGCAGACATTCTCCTCCTCGGTGCTACAGGTAGCGTTGGCGTCGTCTCAACCAGCGTTCATGCACAACTCACGAAGCTTCACCAGGTTACACAGGCCGCCTCATAGCCCGATACCTCTGCAACCATCCCCAACGTGCGACCTTCACCCTCGCCGTCGCCGGGCGTTCCAAAGTCAAACTAGAGTCCCTCAAGACCTCTGTCGCACTCGACGACCGCGTCGAGCTCCTACAAATCGATGTCGCAAAACCCGAAGAGCTCGACGCGGCCGTGGAGGGCGTGAAGGTCGTCATCAACGCCGTGGGCCCGTACTGGCGTTGGGGCACAGAAGTTGTCAGGTGCGCTAGGCTTATCGTGTGTTCCCGCGACCTCTCGTAAAGTTATGGGTCTGCAGAGCGTGCACGAGGCATGGTGTGCACTACGTCGACCTCGCCGCAGAGACGCCGTGGATACAGAAGATCATATTCAAGTGAGTTTCCAGATGCTTGTGGCCCTATAATGTCCTCACGCAGTCGCAGGTTTGACTACTTTGCGTCCAAGACCAATACAATCATCATCCCCTCATGCGGCCTTGTGTCCGCGCCCGCCGACCTCCTCGTCCACCTTGCGAACAAAACGCTCAAGGATACACTCGGCCCTGATGTCTCGCTCGGCGAGTCCCTCACTGTCTACGACATGCCGGGCCTCGCGTCGGGCGGGACGTACGCGTCTGCGCTGTCATTGTTCGAAGACGTCCCTCGTGCGAGGCTCACCGCAGCAATGCAGGATTATTCTCTCAGCTCCGGTACGTGCCCCTCCCATCCTAGATACGCTCCGGGACGCTCATTCCCTTTCGCAGCCATCCACGGCGCGCCCAGCGAGTCGCTTCAGCTCGCCCGCCCCGTCCCCTTCACGCGCTCGGGCAAGCACGCGACGTTCCACCCAATCTCGTTCCCGGACCGTGCGGTCGTACAGCGCACGTGGGGCCTGCATGCCCTCGCCGCGCAGTCAGTGGGGCTCGCGCCCGAGGACACTGACAGCGCGCGTCGGCGGACGTACGGCCCCCGCTTCACGTACGACGAGGGCGCGCTGTCCCCGGTTCCCTGGAGCGTTCCGTCGGCGCTGATTAGCGCAGGGTGGCTGGTTGGGCTTACGCTGCTGATGATCTTCCCACCTGTAGGTCACCCTTATGTCCGCTTAGAGGGAATACGTCATTGATGCATGATACTGAGCGTAGGTGCGATGGATCTTCAAGGCATTCGTACCCTCGCCCGGGGAGGGCCCGTCAGACAAGTGCGTCTTTACTTGGGTCGGTTCTATGCAATTATCTAAATGTTGTCAACAGGGTGTTGGAGGCAGGATTTATAGAGGCGACGAACTACACCACATCTGCTCCAAGCCCAGACCTGCCAGAAACACACGTCAAGACCGTGCTGCGCGGGCGAGGAGACCCTGGGTATCTCTTGTCGTCCAGTACGTGCATGATCACCTTCATCTCTTTCTCCACTCGATCACTGAATGCCCGACCCCTGTCAGTGATAATATCAGAGTGTGCGCTTGCCCTCCTGCTCGACAAGTCGTTACTGCCCCCGCTCGCGCGCGTCGGCGGGGTACTTACGCCCGCGAGCGCACTTGGGGACGTACTCATCAATCGCCTGGAGGCGTGCGGACGCTTCGAGTTTGAGAGCGTGGTCGTTCCGCCGGAGGAGTAGTCGGGGAAAACTCGGTGGTGTCGGCGCCGAACCACGGTTGGTGCCGTCAACATGTTATATGACTCATTGCTAGTGCTAGGATCTTTAGCCGGGTGATATCTTAAGCAATCTATCGTAATACACTTGGAATTGCTGTGGCCCCCCAGGTGTGTCTTCGAGTATATGTGGTCTCCTGTCGACATGGAATCATGAAGGATTTTGATCAGAGGCGGCAGCGGGGATTCGTACACCTACTAACTGATTGTCGTCGCTTCCATCCTTCACCCTGGATTAAACGCAGGTACATATCGCCTATCAGAGACTCGACGCGTACCACGAGCAAGCACGCAACATGACCGTATGTGAGTTAGATGATGACACGGCAAGAAGGTCAGATGCTATCGAAGCTCCTCCGCGGTCCGGAGAAAAGGGGGGGAACACGCTCAAATACGCTGGAGCGGGCTAAGGAAGAGGCGTATTCGCGATGTTTCTCCGCTGCAGCAGACCCCCATTCCGAGCAAAACCACCCTTGCACCTGCCCCTCGCGCGCCCGCGCCCGTACGCGACGACCAGCGCCCCCGTGGGCCCGAGCACCACCTCTGTGTCCATCGATGTCCCTGGAACGCCTCGCCGCGCTGCAAAGAGGGAGGGCACAATCATGGACGTGTTTGGCACGCTCTCGGGCGAGGCGGTCGTCCTACCTATGCGGTTCGCCGCGCTAAAGCGCGAGATCTGTGCAAACCCGGAGAAGATGGTGTACAGCTGGCAAGGCGTTTTGAAGGAGCTCGAGAGCACTGCGGAGGAGATTGCGGCGAGAGGTGCAGATGTGAGTAACCGACGCGACCGTCCCATTCAAATCGCGCCCGACAGGGCGGCGCGATCGCGTCCACCCGCTTGTTCATTTACCCAGTCATTGGCACCGCTCTGGCACCGTCAGCGACTCTCCGATCCCTTCAATCGTATTCGCGAAAACCCATTGCGCAGAGATAGGCAGCTCATCGTATTTTTTTTTCAGGTCATTCCGCAGGTACTGTATGGAGATGTCGTGCGGGGACTTTCAACAGAGCAAATAAAAAATGTCACGAAGGCGGGTGTGATCATTGTCAAAGGCGGTGTCCCTGAGCAAGCAAGTAATGGTGTCGTTCCGTTTTTCCTGAAGGTCTGAAGGCTGGTCATTATAGGAAGCTCTGTCATGGAAGCAGTCCATCAGAGAATACGCGAGAGTAAACGCAGACGGAGTCAAAGGTGAGTGCGCCGTCGTAGAGGATGCTCACATTTGCTGTTCATCTGAAGCATGAACGCGTCATTCGACAGGAGGTCCTCCGGGCAACATCGTCTTCTACGAGCTGTACAATTCTCGCCCGCAGATATACGCCCGTACGCATCCTGCGGTGATCGCGACGCAGCGCGCGCTGCTCGCGCTCTGGCACACCTCGTCCCCGTCCACAGCGGTCAGCCTTCACACGCCAGTCGCGTACTTCGACCGCCTGCGCATCCGCCCGCCGGGCCCGAGCGTGTTCACGTTGGGCCCGCACATCGACGGCGGCGGCGTCGAGCGCTGGGAAGACCCCGGCTTTCGCGCGTGCTTCGGCACTATCTTGAATTCGGATGCCGGTGCGGACTGGCGGGCACACAACCCGTTCGACGTGACGCCCCGCCTGCATGCGAAGCAGGATCTGTACAACGCCCCGTGAGCACGCCCGTGGTTATGGCCGCGACGCGTCGCACTCACTCGTTATCGCGAACAGCAACCAGTGCTCGGTATTCCGCCCGTGGCAGGGCTGGACCTCCCTGTCCCACACGGGGCCGGGCGAGGGCACGCTGCGCGTCCTGCCGATGCTCAGCCTTGCCACTGCGTACATCATGCTCCGCCCCTTCTTCCGTCTGCGCTCCAGCGCCACGGCGTCGTCTCTGAAGACAGCGGATTGGGAGCTCGACCTCGATGGGACGGCATTCCCGGGCAGCTCGCCTGGAAAGACCCAGGAACTGAACGCCGAAACGCACCCGCATCTGCGACTGGACCGAACCATGGTTTCGATGCCCCGCATCGCGCCTGGTGACCAAGTTTACTGTGAGTCCTCGCGGTGCATATTGTTGATAATCGGCGTGGATAAAGCAACTTTTACATGAAGGGCACTGCGATCTGGTGCATTCCGTGGAAACCGACCACAACGGACTGGGTGACTCTTCGGTACTCTACATCCCGGCGGTGCCGCTCACCGAGCACAAGTCGGTATCGTCAGGCTTCGGGCATATGTACCGGTTACTAAATCCTCGTGTGATCGTAGTGCAACGTATTTGCGCGAGCAGCGCTTGGCCTTCAAGGGCGGTCTCCCCCCTCCGTACGTGGCCTCCTTACGCGATCTTCAATCACTCATCGAGTATTGGGTATATGTTGCAGTGACTTTCCAGGCGGAGACGGTGAATCGCGGTTCTTTGGCTGTGCTACGACCGAGGACGTGGAGGGTGTGGAGGGCCGTCGTTTGCTGGGTCTTGAGCCGTTCGAAGTCCCAAGTGGTGCCACCGCTGCGGAGGTGAAGCTGATCCACGCAGCGAATTCCATTCTGGCCTGAATACATGAACACGACAACGCCGCAGGCAGGCTCGGATGTATGCGGTGGCAGAGCCTCATACTGTAGGATACATTGTAGACGTAGATGTGCTGTAGCGAGTAGCGTGTGTACAAGCTAACGATACGTGTTTGTTTTACTTCCCTGCTCCCTCGCCGTACAGTCTAGCTTGGGGTGCTGCCACTAGGCGGCAGGACTAACGTCCACTCCTGCTTCGCTAGGTCTGGTTTCGCCACCTTCTCCAGCGGGTCAGTCTGTCGCTGCCTCTCGTGCTCCTGCATCCGAGATGCCCAAGTATCTCCCGGCGCCCCATCCCCGCCCTCGCCGGTATCTTCGGGCCCAGGAGGCTTGGCCCAGATCTCGTCCACAGCCGCCTTCAACTCTTTCTCGAAGTCTGCCACCTCCTTCCGCAGAGCCATACCCTCAGCGCGGTGCTCCTCCGTGAACTGGAAGAGGTGCGGAAGCACATTTGCCGCATCGACTGCCAGCAGAACAGTCAGGTCGTGAAATACAGCCGTGGACGGAACGCACCTTGGACAGTGTTGAATCGCCCAACGAGCTTCGTGACCGATTTGAGCAAATACTCTTCTTCGTCCACTGTCCCCTTCCGCCCGGACCCGACTTTGCGTTCCATCTTCCTCTTCGAACGCGAGCTGCGTCTGTAGAGAGACCATCGTGAGAACTAAGTTTACCACCTTGGTGAGTAAAGGCTCACTTGGACGTCGTACGCGAGACAGCTGAGGGAGCCACTGTATATCGGGTGAACGTGGTTGCAGCCATAGAGACGTCGGTCATCACGTCAACATTGTGCAGGTCCATATCCTCCACGCCGTAGAAGGCATCTACACCATTCTCCATAAGCAAGCACGATTTACACCAGCACGACTAGGCAAAGGGACATACCGGGCTCTTCGACCTTGCGCACCCGCAACTCATGAACGCGCTGGACCTGTTTTCGCAGCTGGTCCTGCATCTCACCAATCTCCTCCGCGATCTGTGCGCGACTTTCAAGAACGCCTGGGTAGACGAGGTCTTCCAAGAACTCTGGATATGCGCGGAGGGTAATCTATACTCGACGGTCAGAGGCGGTAGAAGCCAGATACTGAGACAACTTACTATTCGCCGTGCTTCAGAAAAGTGGCTTCCTCGCACAAGCACGCCGACGGTCTCACGCACGTCCTCCGCATAATCGAGCAACACGCGCGCCGCATCCATATGCCGCTTCTTCGACGACAGATCTTCTGCTCAGATGGGTTAGGATCGGTAACTCAAGGTAGCCCGAGAGACGGACCTGCGACACGATACGCCATGGATGCTAAGTCATCTTTCGACGTCTCTACTTGTATCGCGAGCTCGAACAATTCTTGCCATTCAAGGGCCTTTTCATAAGCGACCAAAGCTTTGGAATTCTTGTTGGCCTGGCGGAATACTGTAACAGAGTTTAGTCGATTTTCCGACAGACATTCGGACTACTGACCAAACGCCGCTTCCCTGAAGTCTCGACGCTCAAAGAGCCAATTGCCGTATACATTGAGAACAGACTGCAATGACATGAACTTCAACGGGCTCATGCACGAAAGAAGATCGCGTACATCGTACTGCTCAGTCGCTTGCCACAACGACAGGGCGTAGTCATAGAGTTTGTGTTTCTCAACATAGAGCATGGCCTCATCAAATCGCTCTGACCCTGTTCGGCGTCAGCAGCTACGCAATTGAGTTCAACAGAAGTCCTACCAGCGAGGGACAAATCTGTGAGAGCCTTCTGATACCTCTTAAGATGGTCATCAATCTTGAAGCGTTGGTAATGATGATCCAAAGCGCGGAGCTCGCGTAGGAACGGAAGGTATTCTCTAGGATCCTGCAGTATATGAGATTGACGACACGGCCCAAGGACCTGTTAAACGTTCGCACCTTCTGCGCATGCTGAGCGATCATCAAAACGAGAGAAAAATCATACATTCCGAGGGCAATGTCGAAGAGTCTGTCAGCGTCGACAAGGAAAATAATGTACTTGACTGCATCCTCGACTAGTTGCGGCTCAGAGCCTGCGCGTCTACGTCAGCTCACGAGCTGCAGCAGAACAAGGTAAGCGTTCTCACCTCGGAGACGAAGTAGCAGTGCCAATCCAGCTTCGTGATCTGGTGGCGTCTTGACGACGTGAGCAGTCAAAATTGAGTTAATATATCTATTCAGATCTTTCTTCTCCAATTCAGCACGGATGCTATCGCATAAGTCAGCGATATCATTCGCCGGGAGAGGGCCTTGCCTGAGATACGTCAACATGGCTAACCAGCGATGTGGAACACACGTACCCCAGGTTAGTCAAAAACAAGTTGATATAGTCCACATCATCTATTTGTTCGATAAATGAAGGTATTCGCTCCTTGAATGCTGCTTGATTATGTTGAACTAGTACGTTCAAGTCAACACGATGCTTGCGACATGCCAAGAATGCTTTCCCATAATTGCCGCTGTAAAGCTACATCAGGAAACATTGTGCTGCTGAGGGGTGGCTGCTTACTCGTCAATTTCGTGCCGCACGATATTCATGACGAACGGCCTGGGATTGATGGTTTCAAGGTTGCCTCTTGGCATTTGCAATATCAGGCTCATTGTACTCGGGACAGCGGTGACAATCCTTGACCCTCTCTCAACTCTCCGTGTTTCCCATTCTGGCAGCGCAGGGACCGTCTCAGCGATATGGGGATGTAGCACAGTGGTAAGCTGGTCGATAGGAGCAAACTGGACATTGTGAGCAGTGGTTGTGAAGGTCAAGAACCCTGAAGCAACAGTAAAAGAGTTCACGTTACTGGACAGGGTCCGAACCGCTCCCGTGTCGTCAGCAACCTGCAGTTTTCCACCGTTGGACAGGCCTATGAACAAGGAGGAAGGGTTTGTCGCAGCGGCATCCTCGTCGACAATGCTTCTACTTCCTCTTACCGGTTGAATGGGTTCTTGTACTGCTGAGAAGCAGAATTCGGGGAAGCGGGCCTTGGATATAGGTGTATGTGTGGATTGATCAACTGAACAGAAGTATTAGAGCGGCTCGTTTCAGGACGGATGCAGCATCAGAGATTTACCAACAAAGAGTTCACCGTTTGGTGACTGCCATGTGATTCCTGTAAACGCTGGGACCAGCCTTCCATTCGATGAGGGCATCGGCGCTATGCTCTCCTCTACAACCTCTCCGCCTTTGACCGCTACACAGCAAACAACATCATGCGCATCCTCGTTCGTTTCTGCGCCCAGTACGGCTACATGTACGACTTCCGCATCGCCTTCACTCTTGTTGTGTAACTCCCCCCCAGGGATCCACAAGGCAATTTGTCGGCATGACGAAATTCCCAGTGCTCTGTTGATAATACCGGCCCATATCTTGAGAGTATCCATGACCCTCCCGCGACTACCGTTAATGCGCGTCCGCAGGTCTGTCAGCTCAACCAGCCCAGACTCCCACAAAACGGCGAGGAGGTCACGAGAGGAGGAGAACGATACGTGGATGGGCATCGGGATTCGTGAGAGCTGAAGTGTCTGTTGCATTGCCGGTAAGTGGGGTGTGTGAACGAAGGACGACATGGGAGGGGGCACATTTTGCGTGCGGAAGGGAGTGAGCAGAATGTCAACTGTCCAATGGAGATGGGTCACTCAAATTGCGAGAAGACGCAGGACGAAATCGTACCACCATCCATGACTGCGACGGAGCCAGTGTCTACGGGTGACTTAGCACTTGAAGCGAACGTCTCCCATGCATATGTACGCTGCATAATCTCCGCTTACGGTAGCAGACGCACGGCAAGTGAATGAGACTGTCCAAAAAATGATTTGAGAGGATATACTCACAGGACGTTGTCAGGATAATTCGTAGCGCATCTTCAGGATGCCAAGTTACTGAAGTAAAGCGTCCCGGACCAACAAGAGTGGGTGGGGCTGATATTTCTTGTTTCAAGTACCTGCCTTGCAATAATCATTGAACACGCCAGCTTTTGAAGTGATCGGAAACCAAGAAACACAAACCAGTGATAGTTCCCTATTGTCCACAATTGCACTAATAACATCAGGTAAATGACAACCTCAGAACACCGGTTATCACCTTAAGAGAATATACGCACCAACGTCCCCGCCATCTCCTTCAATCCATACACTCAGTACATTGGAGTCCGCACTCCAACCAACATCTCGCACACTATAGCCCCATCTTCGAACAACGCTATCATTGGCGTCATTCATCTCCTTTCTCCTTGAATGTCCGTCTCTCCACTCTTTCAGCTGGAATTCTCCGTGACGAAGCCCGTTGCGCTCGAAGAACACGACATCATGCCTCCCTTCCTTGCCCTTCCCCAAGCCCGCTTCGTCTGCATTTCCCGAACCCGGGCCAAAACGTTGAGTTCCTGCTATTAGGTTGCCCGAGGGACGCCAGCTAAGTGCATGTTCAAGGCCAGGAACAGGCTCTGCAGTACTCTGTAAGGCACCTTCACGCGAATAAATGCGCAGTATACGCAGACGACGAGTACTAATGGCTTGATACTAGATTATTTGGAAGGAAACAGACAGTTAAATATGTGATGTCGCCTGATGAATACGCGACCTACAGATGATGGCGACAGCACCGATACCGAGAAGAATGCACCATCTCCGCGCCAGCTGATGTGGGGAAGCCCGTCATCGTCTGGACTAGTACCGACTTCTGAGAGATCAAGCGCTGCTTGCGCTGCAGTTTTTCCCAATGAACCGTGGAACTGGGTTTGCTTGGTACCCCACCCAAGTGTAATTGGCGCATCTGAACAGTTAATGAATTAAAGATCCCAAGTGTAACACATCAGGAATCCAAGTTGTCCATACCTTCTCCAAATTCAGTAGGATGCAGTGCGTTCTCGCACAGGACATCGAACGTGGAAGTCATCAGAATTAATTTGTCATCGCCTGACAGTGAGACAAAAATATCGGATATCATTGCATGGAGCAAATATACGAGGGAAGACGAGCACGTTCAGTGGAAGCAAGGACCGATAAACGAAGATGAACCGACCAGTAACCAAGGCTAGTAATGAATCATCGGATCCCCAAGACGAAGCGAGGATTCCAGCAGATATAGAACCGACAACTTCGACCTGAATTGCAGCCATCACAATTAATTCAACCAGAGCCTGCCAAGGTCGCACGTACCTCTCTCATATCCTCGTCCACCATGAGAGTCGCAATGTCTCCTCCTCGAGTAATCAAAGCGAGAGTACGCGTATCGGCGAGAAGTCTCAACGAGATAATCTCATTCATATGATTGGAGGATGTTGGTACTGGAGATGTCCAGGGGTTGCTTGCTGCGGATGGCGGCGTAGTAAAAGTCGCTATCCGACTTGCATTTGGAATATCGTTCTACAATAGTACAAAAATCAGTGACGACATGAGTACAATGTGCAATGCTCATATGGGCAATAATTGCAACCTACTTGACTTTCCGCTTGCGTACTATCTCCTCCGGTAATTCTCCAGATTTCGAGAGTAACGTCCCCGCCGTCCTTGAAGAAATCTGATGCAACGTATAGAGCATCCTGATCTGTGTCAACAGCAACAGCACATATTCTGGTGTTCTCATTCAGAAAATTGAAGTCGGCGGGCCTCTCTAGAGAAGTGCATATGGACTTGTAGAGCGCGAGGTTGCGCATGCCGAAAGGAGGGTTCGAGAGAGATGATGGTGTAACTAACCCAGCGTTTACCCAGCGTTATACTCCGCGATGTAGACGACAGAGGATAAACCAATCCAGTCAAGAACAGTCGAAAGTCTGTACCCTAGTCACGGTTCTCTGCTTCAGATCTCGTACAGAATCTCGGTCGCGTTTATCACGTGCCTATAATATACCTTTAGCGCCTTAGCTTGAAGTTTCGCGAAGGTTTCACCGACGGCTCGAATCTGTTCATTTGCTGGGATGCTTGCAGGTATCATTTGATATGGGACCCACGCGAACACAGAAAACGCAACATCTCCATACCCCTTCCTCGTCGACTCCAACCGCCGGACCTTCTAATCCCAAGGTGAAACACGGGTCGAAACCGCGTCACAAAGAGGCTCACCCGACCGATAACGATGCTATCCCTGGAGTCCAGAAGATAAAAGCAGCATTGAGACAAACCCGCCGGCTGTTGTCCAAGGTGAGTGCGTGCTGTTTATGTATGGTCACGACATTAACATTCGCGTTGGAATGTAGGATAAACTTGCGGCGGATGTACGCGTCGCGACAGAACGCCGGCAACGTGCTCTAGAGGCTGATCTTAAACAAGCTGGACATGCTCGGAAAGAACGCACTCTGGCAACTCGGTACCATAAAATCAAGTTCTTCGGTGAGCTGAACATGCATCTGGTAACATAGCACCATTTTTGACAAAGATACAGAACGGCAAAAGGTGACACGCAAGATCCAGCAGGTGAAACGCCAGCTGGCCAATGCTGACGGAAAGACCAAACTTGCGAAGAGTGAGCGGAGGACCCTTGAGGAGCGTCTGCGGGAATTGAGAGTCGATCTCAATTACATTCTGGTGCGTCTAATCAATCTTACCGGTTTGCACAGTCCTGATCGTGAGGTCCTTCGACTCATGTGAGCTCAGCATTACCCCAAGATGAAGAAATATATTTCTCTGTTCCCTCCTGAGGTACGAGTGCAAGGAGCCCCGACCACAGAAGGGACCATGAAGGAGAACCAAAGCGCGACGGAGACGGACGCGCAGCGTGAAGAGGTGCGGGCGTCGATGAGGGCACAGATGGAGCGCGGTGAACTGAGCTGGGAGCCAGAGGTCGAGAAGAATTATCCACGCAACGCAAGCGAAGGGGCAGTGACAGGAAAGCGACAGAACAGCAGTGGAGCAGGCGGAACTGGAAAGGTGCCTATAGCATGGCACAGGGACAGGGATGGTGGGAAGAAAGGCAAGGATAGCGATGATGCGGAGGGCGGTCTCGTATCAGGAGATGCTTTCTTTGGAGATGACGACGAGGAAGACGAGAACGAAGCAAGCCAGAGCGAGGAAAGTGAAGATGATGATATGCCAGATGATTCGCAACACTGAGGACATGATGCTGATCGTAATTTACGTCCTGCTGTCTTCACCAGAGTTCTGGGAGCGACATCGCATTGAATATGGATACCTGACTGTCCATTGGTATGTACGAGACAGCAATGATACACAACAACTAGCATTTATCAACATGAGTGCGAAAGCCAAGCAAAGGCAAGAACAAAATTCAAACAAGACTTCAACTGTGCGCTATCTGAACAAATTCAAGGCGATGGCGGTTCATGACTGAACGGCTCCACAGGCTGGCCATCCTTATTAGTGGGCCAAAAATTGTGTCTGAACACGTTATCCGGGTCGTATTTGCGCTTCAGCTCAGCCAAACGAGACCAGTTCTTGCCGTAACATGCCATTGTGCGCGATGCAGGCTCGTGCCGGCCAAGGAACTGCCAACCATGATTGTCAGAGGCCTCTGAATGCCAGTAATTGGAGGTAGAGAATCTCACTATGGGATAGGGTCCGCCTAGCGCAACCATACTAATCGTATTTTTCATCCACTGGGCAAGCTGAAGTCAGACCCGACATGACACAGACAAGTTAGGTGGGACCAACGAACATCTTCTGCGGTGGTGATGCAGCGAGGATCATCAATACCCATCTCCCACTGATGAAATGCAGCTACGGTCCAGGTGGCTTCGCGCTGCTCTTTCGGGATGCAGGTATCTTCGAAGTCCGCTATGGCACCCCCTGCGAGCTCAAATAACCACGCTGGGGAGAAGATGATGAGCCCACTCTCGACGACAGAATAGTATTCGTGAGGGGTACCCACTGCATCCTATCGGTGTATTAGCGAATTGCAGAACAGTCTGGTGTATTACTTCGTCCGGAAGAGTGCTGATCAGTGCCGAGCGCGTGAACCATTGTCTTCCGGCTGTAGGCCAAGTCAGAAATGCACTTATTGAGAACGTCATACGTCCTTCACAACTTACGTTTCCCTCGCAAGATCTGCGCGACACTATATTGTTGGTTGAGGAAGCTCTTCTCGTTCACCTCATTCAACAGACAACGCTCGCCATCCCAACTGGAGATTGCCTGCAAATACTCCATGCCTTTCTCCTTGGGCCCAACATAGCACATTTGAATGACGATCAGAGAGTCTTTGTCCGCAGGCCCTGCTGTAAGCAGTACGTTCGCATAGAGCTCACGCGGGGCGCCCTTGATGCAGTCACGAAAGTGCTTGATCAGAGAAGGCGCAGTGGCGCGGTGAAATCGGCTGTGAAAAATTAATGAAAAATGCACACAAGTTTACCATCGCACACGTACTAGATCAGGTTACCAGCAAAGACGACAGGAACCGGGTGTGCTCGGGCCTTGTATCGCGTCGCAATCCCGAAAGCTGGGCCAGCACCCCGCATTGCCCACCAAAGATCTGAAATCCAGAATCATGTAAACGTAACTTCGGAATTGTGATACAAATGGGAGGAACCCACCAGGATCGTCCTCCGCGTTCACGACAACAACGCGACCGTCCGCAAGGACCATTTCTATCTCTACCACGTTATCGACGCTCAGACCGTACATGCGACTCAGGAATCCGAAACCACCGAGAATCATGATGGAGGAACCGACCGGATGGGCTGAACTGTACATTCAATCACGGTCAGCACCGTATACGAGAAGAGACAAATTATGCGTGCTCACGAGGGAATATGGTACGGCATGAGCCTGTCTTCTTGCGCTCCGGTGACGCCACTGATGCCTTCCAATGGGTGATCCGCTGTGTACATGTCCAATTCCTTCTGAAGCATTCCTGCACCGAAGGTGAGATACGCATGCGGATGCACCGGTCGCGCAGGTGTCAAGTTGCCTAAGTGCCTTGTTGCACCAGAAGGAAAGGCAAATGCGGACGGAATCGAGCCAAGACCGCGCGTTGAGACGGACGGAATTACGCCGACGCCACCCCACTGTCCACTTGAGCGCCATGCAGTTACATTTGATACACCAGAGCTCAATCCAGACACGAAGCCGAGTGGGTGAGCGCTGCTGTATACCGGTGGTCGCTCGGTGAAAGTGAAACCAGAAGTGATATAGCCAAAGGGCTCTGCCCCCCTAAAAGTTGGCGTATTCGTTGAGGGCAGATCAGGGCTGCCGCTGGGTGGCGTTGTAGCTGCTGTGCCGATGCTACTCCGCGAGGGAGAAGTGTGATCCGCCCCAGACTCAGACCCAGTGCTCGACGATAAGGTGGTCGACACCTGCCTGGAGTTAGCGTCAAGCACGGGCAAATGCGGTTCATCTTCTTTCTCTGGCTCCGCAGGTATGCCCGGCTCTACAGAGGCCGGCCCATGCAACATTCCACGATCCACCGGAGGATCCCTGGGTTTCTCTCCAGCTTCATACGGAAGTGGCGGACCACGGAGAAAAGATGCGACGGCCTGTGATGCAGCATCGTAAGAACCGAGGCGGTTACGTTTGCGTTCCTCATCCATATCGGGAGGAGTATCGTCATGAGCTCCGCGACGACGTTTCACCGCGGTTGCAGTCGAGATCTGCATCGCCTTTGTGTCCTGACTTGCCGACGGCAGGGGGGCAGCAGTCGACGCAATGTCGACTCCAGAAAACTTGATAGGCACCGCATCGACATGTCCCTTCCCTTTACTTCCAGGAGGTGGCATATCTGCGAGCCTGGTCCAATCCTTTCCTCCTTCGGCATCCGCTTTGGGAGCTTCGATGTCAACCTCCTTCAGCATGCTCAGATCGACGATCACGTCTCCCGCCACAGACCATCCAGCAATACCGTAACCTCCGGCCCGTACGGAAAGAGACAACCCATGCTGTGTGCAGAAGCGCACGACTGTACTGACATCCTCGGCGTCGAGAGGAGAGACGACGATGCGGGAAGTAGAGTTGAGTTTGCCATTGAAAGTTCTGGAACGCTCAGCAAACCTGTGAAACATATTCATGAATAACAGTTTGGTCATGGACGAACAGACGTACTCTGAGCTGTAACGACTGCACACCGGTCCTCTAACGGCAACGCTCAGCTCGTTAAAGATATGTTGAGGAAAGTGTGACGGCGGGATGGATAGACTAGGAGGCGCCATTTCTAAACCAAAGGATGGCAGCTAAGACGGATGTCTCATATATAGCTGACCTTGCGAGGCCCTGTCTGTTTTATAATTTAGGGTTACCTGTCCTCGCATGGATAAAAATAGGAGGACGTAATCTGGTGACGGCAGTGTGAGTGGTGCAAGGTATGTCCCATACCAAATACATAGCCAACAATCAAACGTACATGCTGCTCCAGACGACCATGTTAACCTTCAATGGAAGACTATGGCTCGCACACGTGCCTCCAACGGAACGCCCGTTTTCCAAAGACCGCGTCAGGGTAGGCAGTGGTGTTCACTTAGGCTCATGGAGCCTCTAGATTGCAAGGAAGACAGTCGTCCCTTTGTATATAGTATCGTCATACTGCTCGCGGCTCCGACGAGCGCTCAAGCTCAACTTCAACTTGAAAGCTTCAACTTCGAGTCCTTGCAAGCGCCATCTCACTATTCTTCTATCTTGCTCCCGTCCATCTTCCATACCACCTGCTCTGTAGTTTACTCATGGAACGGCGCCGTCGTCCTGTATACAGTATCTTTCAGAATTGACGACAAGTGGTAACCCATCAGACAAACATCCGCGACGTCCTCGATCGCATATCCGAGCGTGTCAAATGTGTCAGGACCCCTGAATATGGTGGCAACGCCGTTTCAGAAATTCCCAAGATAGACCAAAGATGAGCGGTAAAAATTTCCAATAAGTTGGCGGGAGTCCGCCAATGTTTAAAGTGTTACTAATTAGTTCGGATGTCACATGTCACATGCTTCTACCGAACAATGTCGTATTTAGGCGAATTTCCCACGCCTTCCACAGTGGTTGCACTGGATACAATTTCCAATAAGTTGGGGAGACTATGCAAAAGTTATTTGAAAGATAGAGTGGATAAGTTTAGTGGTTGCACTGCTTAGAAGAGACTTATCTGAAAGTTATCCTAGAAATGGAAAACTTATTATGAAGTTATTTCTACTTTGGCATAGGTTTTAAATCTTTCAGATAAGTCTCTTGTAAGCAGTGCCATTTACACTAAACTTATCCACTCTACCTTTCAAATAACATTTGCGTACTCCCACCAACTTATTGGAAATTGCATCCAGTGCTGGTGCAATCTCGTCATAATGGACATAGCATCTGTGATGCAGGTTTTGCCGTGAGTCATGACCCCCTCTATGTAACATGAATGTCGACAATCGCAGTTTCAGCCCATCCGTATTGTGAGTTGTCATTACACGTCGGCCAATGGAAATGACGACCCAATGACGATGCTTATTGAGTAAGGTGGTGTCATGCTCATCAAGCAGCAACAGGAAAAAGGTTGCGAAGGTCGCGAGTAATTCTTGTGACTAGAGAAACTATACTTGCTTCCGGAGTCGGCCATCTCGCACTTCCTAAGTTCCTCTATAAAGTACGGTATCGCCTTCTGCGCTGACATTTATCCTTGAGGTACGTCTGTCCATCCATCTTCTGCTGATGATGCACCTCACCGTCAATATCTAATGGAAATAGTCATCCCGGTAGGATGCACAATTCCAGTCGATTGGAACGATTGCGTCGAGGTACTGTACCGCATGTATTTCGTTCATGCAATCCAGATTTGATCCAGATGCAGCCGGAATGTGAGACGCCTTAAACGGTCATGCGTTATTGGAGTGGGGCAGGACCCTGGATAATCCCCCCAAAGGTCGTCGCCCAAACCCCCCCGATTTACAAAAATCTGTCCGGCCCATTTTTGGCCGATTTGGGGACTTTTTTGTCCGGAATCGGCGACGACCCTCGACTTGGCCAATTTTTTGTCCGGATCGCGCAGACGGCCTAGGCCTGAAAAAAGCGATTTTTTTGTCCGGATCATTGCAGATGGCCTTGAAAAGGTGACTTTTTTGTCCGGATTGCGCAGACGACCTCAGAAATGCATTAATTTCGACAAGAAAAAAGGTCACAGCGGGATTCGAACACAGAGTTATCTACAACGTAAACCGCTACCGCTGACAACACTGTACCATGTTGTACCTACTAGTCACATCGACTCTTTTCCAGGCTCCGGCTATCCAAACTCATGTCCGGACAACAGGATGGCCTAGGATCCTCTACCTATTTTTGTGTCCGGATGCTGCGATGGCCATGGTGGCTTTGGGACCCTCATTTGTCCGGATATGGCGATGACCTCGGGCCAAAATTACCAAAAATTTGTCCGGATTTGGCGACGACCTTTGGGGGGATTATCCAGGGTCCTAGTGGGGCGCGCCTCTAGGTCAGCCCTTGTAGGTCTCCGCGGCCCGGCCCGGGCCACTCCTGAGGGCCGTCACGGTGACGATATCCTGACCTAGGTCGGGAGCTCGCCCATATAAATGCGCGACCAAGTCACTCATGCGTTGGCCGGCGACTCCTCCGAAGCAGATATTCCTCCTAGTGTTCAATCGAGATGTCGCATGGGCAGTTTGTTACCCTGTCTAACGGAGCTAAGGTACCACAGATCGGACTGGGGACATGGCTCTCGAAGCCTAACGAAGTCGAACAAGCGGCAAGTGTTTGTTGGAAATGGCATGTAATAGTCGAGCTAATACTTTCGTCCAGGTTGAGATCGCCGTGCGAAATGGTTACCGCCACCTTGACCTTGCGATGATTTATCAGAACCAAGACGAGGTACGTCTGTTGGTTGGTTTCAAGAGACCAACTAACTGATCATGTCTGGCACGACTTGATTCTGCACAGGTTGGTCGCGCCCTGAAGAAACTGATTCCGTCGGTCGTCAAGCGCGAGGAATTGTTCATCACCTCTAAGCTCTGGAACACCTCGCACAAGGCTGAGCTAGTCGAGAAGGAGCTCGACGAGACACTTTCCCAACTGGGAATCGATTATCTGGACCTTTATCGTGCGTTCAGTATCGGAATCATCATTGCTGCGGTTGATACTGACTACTTGCAGTGGTGCATTGGCCGGTGGCCTTTGTCACCGGAAGGGGTGTCATGCCGGAGCGCGCTGACAAGAAGGAGTGGATCGAGCTGGATACAGATACCACCATTGTGGAGACGTGGAAGAAGATGATTGAACTGCCTAAAACTGGCAAGGTAAGAGTTGCTTGCATAAGGTGTCTGCGGTGTCTAAGAAATCTGCATGGATGTGCAGGTACGGGCCGTCGGCGTCTCCAACTTCACGATCGAGCACATCAAAGGCATCGTGGATGCTACTGGCGTGTGGCCTGTATGTAATGCATGATCTCCAACGGTGATGACTCTCCACTGAATATATAAATTAATCAGGCAATGAACCAAATTGAGGCGCACCCTCTTCTGCCTCAGGACGATCTTGTCGCCTTCTGTAAGGAGCATAACATCTCCATTACGGCTTACAGTCCGTTGGGCAACAACAGTGAGTGTTTTCCCTCCCTCTGCAAGTCTTCGAATCTCATCAGGACTATGACAGTGCTCGGCAAGCCGAAATTGACGGATTTCCCTGAAGTCAAGGAGGTTGCGAAGAAACTCGACGCAACCCCTGCGCAGGTCCTGATTGCGTGGGGTGTCTACAGAGGCTACTGCGTGATTCCCAAGAGTGTCCACAAAGGTGCGTGCATCAGCATCCCTGTCTGGAATCCAAATTGACCATTCGATACGTATTAGATCGCATTATCTCAAACTTCAAGCAGATCACTCTGCCTAAGGAGTACTACGAGAAGATCACGGAGCTGGGGCGCCACCACGCTACGCGTTATAACATGCCCTTCCTGTATGCGCCGCACTGGGATATCAGCATTTTCAATGACGATTTAGAGAAGACCGCCACGCACAAGATCAAGATTGCGTGAAGCTGGGCGGCGGGGGTACTGTTGAGAACCACCAGTACCTCGTTTCACATGTATCCATTCGTACTCGACTTCGTATTTTGTATCAATAGACGTGCTTTTTGACAATGCTCATGAGGTTTGAAGCTTATTGATGAAGTATGAGCGCTCACTTGGGCACGAAAACGCTGGTGATCTTCCCTGTCTCAAAATAGACTACTCCTTACTACCGCCCTGATCATACTGCACAATTGGTTCACACACCATGATTCTGAGGGTGTCTTGGCTATGGATGACTGGTTTCGATCTGAACAAGTGGCGTGCATCGATCATTGGTGGCAGCCAGGATCATCCAGCAGCTCGGGCGGCATTGAGTGCTTTCCAGGCAGCCCGTTTAGAAATATTCCCTTGTATTATATAGACATACTGTAAGCCCAGTAGGGACCACCAACGAAGCGGACAATGATACACTACATAGCGAGAAGCTGCGACATGACAAAATATGTATCAGGCGCGCCCGCTTCGTGTGCTTTCCTGCTCTTCACTCTGGCCTACACACTTCGTGGTGAGACTTTGCTAAACAATGGCTGATACAAAACAATAACGAACCGTACAGACCAAAGAAAGTGTGGATGGCGACACGGAGGGCGTATCCAACGGACAAATAGAGCTGTCCAGAGGTGCAGGATGCTGGGGCTGACAACACCGACGATGATAGAAGTACAAATGATGGGTATCCAGTGTTCGTTAGGAGGGCTCGTGTCTGTTGCGGGTTTGACGCGGCAACAGTTTCGTTTGATCGATACAGAGGGAGTCCGACTCATATCGTTCGGGGATAGTCGACTTCGTCGGGTATACCAATGAGATCTGCGATAAACGAAGAAGTAAGTATTTTGTCAACTACAGTGTGCCGAATTTCATATACCAATGGGAGACGTGAAGGTTATAACCTGCAAACCAGTCAATTGTCAGCGAAAAATCGATACATCCAGGTGACAAGGCATATGCACGTAGGGATGTAATCTCGGTCCCGCCCTATTACTCTGACAGGGCACCGTACTAGTACGCACTGCGTGCTTATAATCGTGTGACTGCGTACTGCGCATCATAGGATGCACCGCGTCCTCAGACGCGCCCACGTTCTGCCGATAGCTCACATAGACCGGCTCCTGAGCGTATCGTACGGGCTGTGGTATCGTGACACGCACTTCGTGTGGTGATGACGGCGCCGAAGGGACTTGTGGACTCGATAGCGAGTGCGGGAAGGGATGGCGCTGGTATAGGTGTGGATATGGTGGGGCGGACTCAGGATCGTATTCGAGCTCATGTTCCTGGTGCATTTCTGCTTCGAAATTCGACTCGCCGGGAGATGCTGGCCCTGCAAGTTCGCTATCCCATGACACGGGTGATAGCATGTTCATAGTCAGATGTGCAGCCTGCGAAGTCGTGGGGGAGAAGAGCGGCGATTGAACATGCGAGCTCATTGCATTGAAGGGCGAGGACAAAGCGGGAGGGGTGATAGGCGCGCTTTTCGGCGAGTTGGCGGCCGTTGATGACGGTTTAGGCTTGTATCCAGCCTCTCGAATAATCGAACGAGGGAAGAAAATCTACACCCATAACATTAGCACAATCCCTACGGTGCAATGAGATACGCTTACAAGGAGCGTGATCGTACTGGATACAAAACATCCAATGCCTGCAATCATCAATAGGAAATCTACAATTGCATGGTCAGAGCGTCAACGAATCAACAAATAATATGAGACTGAAGCTCCATTTACCTGTCCAAAATCTATCAAAATGAATGATCTAAAATCAAATAAACTTAGGTCACAGAAGATGAGACTCACAAGTTCCTGTTTACAATGTGCCGCCGTCCGATGATGCCGTCCAACGCCAAGACGAGCAGCGGGAGCGTAAACATGAACCTGAACACCACCCGAGCTAGCTATTTATAAACAGCGAGCGTCAGTGTACCGCCGTTCCCTTCTCCCCCGATTGCAAATAGGAGAGAATGCAAGGACTCACGTTGAGCTGATAGAACGTCGCCAACCGCACGACAACAGTGGGATCCGCTCCTTCCTCTTTCACATGCTTTATGAAGCGTGGAAAGCGCCACAACACATAAAGGAAGACCAGCGTCGTGCTCGTTGAGCCGCACGAGCCGGTGAGGAAAATATACGCATCAATCTATCATCGGTGTCAGATTATTGGGGTGGTTAATATCGGAGCGCCAGCCCAGAGCAAATTGGCAAACTTACGGTGACAACGTTGTGTCGCGCGATAAACGCAGTGAGAGGCATACCCACAATAGCCACTAGGCTGCCTGGAAACCCAAAGAGCGGGAGAAGAAGTACGGAACAGCCAAGAAGTCAGAAGAGTTGTTTCACGTGCAGATGCTGAAAAGGAATAGCCATGTACGACATGTACATTACCGACTGCGCATTCACGTAGCCGGAGTTAATGTTGGCGAGCCGTATTTACGTCAACCTCACGCATGCTTGTCGCAGGAAAAAAAGAAGGAGGTTTCTTAGCTGTAAGTTATAACTTACCATTATACCACAACCTGTATTCCCAACTTGAGAACCATGGCGCTTTGTCTGGGTTTTGATGTAAGAGGTATAGCCAGAAGGCAAGTTCTAAGAGTGCAAGTAGTCCGGGAGGGCAGGTAATTATGGGTATCCGGAGGACAAGTAATTGAAGCCTAGTCAGAGCGACATCTCAGAATGTGAAGCGGAGATTACGGACCTTCCAGATGTGTCACTCTGCATTATATTACATCATGTCGATGGACGAATTGAGTCGCGAACCACGAAGAGAAGAATAATCCAGGTAATGGATTGAGGCGCAGCAACAAGGTGACACTGCACAAAGAACTTACAGCTCCAGCCCCCAAGCGAAGCTGAATACGAAGTTAATCGGGACGATCCAGCGATGGTTCTGCGTGTTGTACATGTTCAGTGGCGTCGGGATGACTGGAAACCGTTCCAGACGCGGCACGTCAGTTCGTTCGACGTCATCATCAATTAAACCAGGGTCCAGATCGTATCGTATAGTATCGGAATTGAAGCCGAGGAAGCATCAGATCCACCAGCGAATTCGTGACGAGGGAATAAGGCATGAGGTCATCGGTCGAAGCGTTGATATCCAATAGTGAGCGACACGAGGTTTGAGCAATTTCCGAGTCAGCATTCCCAAACGGATAAGCGAAAGATCAGCAGCCACGCAGTTAGCGTCGGGGATGAGCGGATAGCTGGTGTACGTACTCTTCAGTTCTGGGGTGGTAGTGAAGCCTATGTGCAGTAAAAAAAGAACCGTAAAAACGCGTGTAGATAAAAAGGCAGTAGAGGAATGACCAGGACTCGCACCTTCCCTAAACTTAATGACCGTCATCACGACACTGTATATGACGAACATTGGTACTGCGCCTAAGTACGAATACTATATATTATTACATCCAAAATGCACAATTAGCCCCCAAGCACGTCTGAACATTCACCTTTAGATGCGGAGCGTAACTTACCGTCATGACGCGCTTAAACGCGCCGGGCTGCCGCCCCGCCGACCACCGCAGACACTTGAAGCGGTCATAGCTCCAAAGGTGGTAGATAAGAAATGTGAGGAACTGCCATGGTGCGGTGAGCCTTATTTTGTGCACACAAAGAATAAGACACGCACGAGGACGGAGATAATTGCCCACAGAAGGAAGGCAGTGGGGGATGCTGTGCTCATGAGACTGTAGACGAAGTGTGCCGGGTCACGATGAGTAAAAATCTAGATGGCTTTGTCTGTGATAGTCCTCTGGCGCTAGTGTGCTTTCCGCTGCGAGGGCAGGGTGGTAATTGTGTGTTATGTTAGTTGCTAATGTCGCGTGCTGCAATGTGAGTCGTGAAGGGGGTTGAAGGGAAGCGCGCAAGAGGGAGGGGGTAATGTAGAATGCTGTATATGAGTTGGATGGTGGGAGATTGGATGGGAACGTGAGGAGGACGCGGGTTGGCAACTTTGGCCAACCGTCACCAGAAACCTTATTTCGAAATATATTTATTCCTATCATCACACTTGCTTCATAAGGCAAGCGCTACTGCTTCCTTACTCCAAACTTACCCTTTTCTGGACAAGTAATCATTTCATCATTTCATCTTCGTTCTTCCTTCGTCCTTTCATTGTGTTTTGCGCGACTATACTGCCTGCTTCGCCATCTCTTCTCCTCAATGTGCGCGACCTCAGTACCATAGCCGTGCCATCAGGAGCTGCAAGAGGCCGCCCGCCGCGTCTGACGTCTTCCAGAACAGCCGGACGCTAGATCGCTTCAACCAAAGAGGGCCAGCCTGCCACTACTTGGTTATATCCGTCCGCCTGTCGTCCCGTGTCCTCAATGACTCCAACGTCCAGGATTCCTTACTCTCTGCTTGGGTCCTTCTCCGTCACCGGTTTGCAGGCTGCGCGTCTTCATCTATTCATGCACGGCGACGCGCCAAAGTCAGGCCCTGCAGCTTGGCTAGATCTCTCCGTGGGCGCTATCAACTTATCGTATTTGCTTCCGGGCGGGACAATTCCTGAGACATCTCTCATCCGCTCGGATCTCAACTGTGAGTTTCTCTGCTCCCTCGTCTCGCAGCAACTTTTCTGTCTGTGTGGAGCGATGTGCACACTCGGCTGAAGATGCTCACATCAGGAACGCGAGCGTGGAAAAGCACAGATCCCATCGCCAGGTACACTGGCACGTTCCGCCGGCAATGTGCGGTCTCTTCTCACGTGAAACGCGGAAGCATTTCTTGTGCCTTATCGTCGGATCGTGCTTTGCTGGTTATTGCCTTTGGCCTGTGAGTCCTGTATTGGTTGTAGTTTGAGGCTAAGATGAGCAGGCGTTGTTCTGGCCAAGCTACCGCGCACTTGGTCCGGGAAGAAGAAGCAAAGCGAAACGGCAATCATTTTTTCTAAGTAAGAGATTTGTTGTCTGCGTTGCTACTTAACATATCACCATGCAACTAAAGAGTTGGAAAGATGACAGTTGCGGGAAATGGGGGGTAGACGTTCTGCCCTTCAAATATTGACCGCACCACCTGTTGTAATGGATCATACCTTGCAGCAAAATTCAACCTCGCGCTCGACAGCTTGCATCGTTTTCCGTTCGAGGCCGCGCATGCCATGAACCCCATGCCGGAGACTGACGTTCGCGTCGAGGAACAATGTATCGACAACATCTTCAGTACAAACACAACTTTACCTCCTGTTCCGTTGACCTGCCATCTGGATTCGGTGCGAGTTGGTTCTGCCGGTGGGAAGTGACGAGAATGCGGTGCATACACCTCACGGTCAATCGAATACAGAATTCTATGTAGAAGCAGCAGGACAGTGTAGATGCGCAGAGGCGTTGAATGGATAGGGTAGGGCAACTGGGTAGCTGCCGAGGCCACCAAAGCACTCTGCTGTAAGAGCACAGATCAGCAACTGGAAGTCTGGAGATGATATCCGGGAAAATGGTGTCGGTGTGGGCGGAGCGTGTGGATCACGAGTGGTTCACGTGTACGCATCTTGCTCCGTCCCACCGCACTGCTTGTTCACGGATCGCGGCTGTAAAGTAAAACTGGGTGTTCTTTTCCTCTCGCCAGCTTCGGAGGCGCGGAGCAGGCTGCAGCGTTGTGTGGTAAGTTGACCTGGGTAGAAGAGGCTCGGGAGAATTGGATGCAGGGCTGGAGAATATATCGAAGAAGATGACCGTGAGCGAGCCTCGTTCCCGCCGCGTGGGCATAATGGATCCACCGTCCACCTTCCACCGTGGTACTACTCGTTCCACCGACGCTCTCAGCTCACCCTCTGCTCCTCCAGCTCCTCCAGCCGTTCCAGACACGGCGCCCTCGCTGCCCCCTCTTCCCCCTCGGTCCCCCCTCAGACCCCCCGCCAACTCCGCAGGCTCTACTCACAGCTCGTCCCAGCCAGATTCGCTCAGCATGCCTTTGTTGCACTCCCGCAGCTTCGCTTCCTTCACCGGTCTCTCAGAAACTACTCGAGTTCGCTCAAAAACCCCTGACAAGCCTCTACCCATCACACCGGATCCTTCGACATCCAGTTGCTTGTCTCCGATCGAGGACGACGACCGCGAAGCTGACGCAGAATCCACCGCGTCGTCACTCCTCCATGCACCCGTAACAGTCACCAAGCGCACCCACGCCCTCCTCGAGCTTCTCTCCTCCGAGCGCGCGTATGCCTCTGATCTCGCTTTGATCCGCGACATACACATCCCATTAGCACTAGGTATGACATGCTCGCCTTACTGCTGGCGCTCACTTATCCGTGTTCAGGCCAACCTGCGCCGTTCCAAGCGTCCTCGGTCTCGCCTCCGACATCATCAAGCTCATCCTCGCGCACCCTTTCCACAGCATCCGACTCTAGTAGCGGCTCATCTAATGCGGTCCCTCCCGTTCCTCCGATGACACGGGAAGATTCACGAATTATTTTCACTAATGTCTCCGAAATTGCCGTCTTTGCGGATACATTCTCCGAGCAGCTTGAAGAGGCCCTTGGGGCTGCCCTTGACGGCGGCACGGGTGAGGACCATGTCGGCGCACTTTTCCTCGAGACGGTGGGCTCCCTTCCTCACGCGGTCTTATGTGTGCACTGACGATCCGTAGATCCCCACGCTGGAGCCTCTCTACAAGGCCTACATCACCAAGCACCCGTCCGCACTCGAGCATCTCAATAACCTGCCGCAGACGCGCGCCCTGATCGCGTACCTCGCGCACACGCGTACGCTCGCGTCGAGCCTCACACACGCGTGGGACCTCCCATCGCTCCTCATCAAGCCCGTGCAGCGGCTGCTGAAATACTCGCTCCTGCTCGGCGCGATCATCGACGAGACCCCCGATTCCCATGGCGATAAGACGAATTTAAAGCTGGCGCGGGAGAAAATGGAGGAGGTCGCGCGCGACGTGAACGAGGGACAGCGGAGACGCGAGGTCGTCAAGGAGGTATTGACGGGTGTTGCGTCTGGCTCGCCGACCAAGAAAGGGAGCGAGCCGAAGCCGAAGAAGAAGGGCCTGAATCTGGGCGTCGCAACCTCTGTCAGTCTTGGGCGGATGAAGAGCTTGCGGAGCTCTTCGCAGAAAACGAAGGAGGGGGCTGAGGCAAATCAAGAGGCGGAGCAGGTCGTGCAGATGGGCGAGGAGCTGAAGCGGTACGAGGTGTTCATCCAGAAGCTCGCCAAGGAAACAGTGGACTGGACTGCTTCGGTGCGTGGGGTGATGCAGCACCTGTTTGAGTGGGCAGAGTGCTTCGGGCGTATCATCTGGATGTCGCGGGACATCAAGTCCGAGGCTTTCGATGCGTTCATCACCGTCATCAGCAGCCAGCTCTTACCTACATGCAACGACCTCGCGGGTGTGATCAAAAACAAGCTACTCAGGCAGCTGTCAGCTCTTATGGACACTACACTTGCGCCGTTCCGTCTGCTTGAGGCGATGCACACGCTTGAGCCACTCCATTACGGCTTGCTCAACCTCAATGTGTCAAAGTCACGTCCACCCCCGCAGCTCCTCGAAGCCTCGCAGTCTTACGTGGCTCTCCGTGCGCAGCTCTTCGCGGAATTGCCGCAATATATCGCATTGCTGAATAAGGGGATGACACACTGCATCTTGCAGCTCGCCAACTGGCAGGCGATGTTCTGGCGCGATGTGCGCGACCGCTGGGCCGAGCTGTGGGATGCGCTCAAGGCCGAGGGTGAGATGAACGCGGGCGCGGCGGAGACGGTCAGCGTCTGGTGGAATCGCTTTGCTCAGGTCGAGGGCGCCGTCGGTGGGCTGAACATTGTGCGACCGCCACGCCGCCAGGCAACTCCGGAGAAGCGCAAGGACCGCCCGCGCTCGCTCGAGATGTGGAGTGAGTCGGGCTCGACTGTCGTCGTATCATCCGTGCTTTCCGCGCTGGAGCCCATACATATACCACACAGCCCGTCGCACAACTCGTTCGCTGCATCCCCCGCTAGCATGAAGAGCCGCAGCACGCATTCTATCGATCTTGGGCGGCGGCAGCTTGAGCGCCGCCCGTCGAACGAGAGTCTACGGTCGAAGAAGTCAGGCAAATCGACTAGATCGCTCAAGCTCACGCCAGAGATAGCCCCAGATGAGGCCAATTACGTATACGGTGCATCAACGGTCTCCTTGCACAAGCCTGCGTACTCACGCACCAGAAGCATGCCCATATCCTCTCCGACAGCGCTCAAAAAGTCGACCTCACATGGACGCATAATCGATACGTTGGAGAGCACCAGCGTCAGTGCGAGCAGCAGCTTGCATAATGTGACATCAACAATCTATTCAGTCACTGAGACGTTGCTAGATGACGACCGCGGCCGGCCGTCACGAAAACCAAGCTTTCGGCGGCGATTGACCGACACCCTCCGCCCAAGCCCCGCGTCATCCATCAACTCACGGCATCGCCGCTCGCCCTCGCTGCCCGTCATAAGTGTCACCAACATATCCCCCTCGCCCTCTCCCAAAGCCGCTACGTTCACCAACGGGAGTAAGGCACCCGCTATGTACTCCTGCCGGGTGGTGCATCCCTGCTTACCGCCGCCGGGTATCTCGTACAAAGGCCTGCCGTTCTTCACTCTCCGTGAGGACGATGAATTTGAGGTGCTTCGGGAAGCAGGTCATCCCTCGACACATCCAGAACTTCCACTGTACGTGGACGATGGCGAGGACTGTCTTCTACTGGTACGCCTGCGCACGGGCGACATCGGTTGGGCACTTGCCAGTTTTCTTGTTCCTGTGGACTAGCCTGGTCGCGGAATGGTCGATGTTCCTCTGCATTTGTGTCTTTTCGTCTCTGCTGTGTCGGTCGGACGGTTTGCTGTATATCCATATCACCCCATCTTTTGCGCATGTACGGTATGTGGATCCATCTCGGTAGATAGAGTTTTTCTTGCGTGTATGTCTAGTTTTGATGCTTAGTCCATGCTATGTATGTTGTACCAGCAGACAGTCTATCTTCACCAGCAGTAGTAGATACAAGCATCACAATAATGAGACACTTGGAGGATGGAGTAGAAATATGACTTTGGGATCGCCAGTTAGAAGTCAACTAGTACTGTATTCTTTCTTAGATCTGTTTTTATGCTGAGAGGGGTCGTGCTTTGGATTGTGTCGTGGTCCGAGCGTCTAACCGTTCCAACTCACCTGCCATTCTTAGCAAAGATGTTACTGAACGCCCGGGCGGCTCACTCTGTCTCAGATCACGACATCTGTCCGTAGTTCGAATCAATCACTCTCTGGCTTCGAACCTGGTTGTATGCACCCTCACCTATTTCCCTGCTTTTGGATATTGACCGGGAACCCATGTCTTTTATGTCTTTTATGCAGCTTGTTAGAAAAGACAATTTGAAGTGCGAGCCATTTAGGTCGCGTTTGACGCAATCTGTGATCACGATGCATCAGACAGGTACATATCTCTTTCCTTTGGCAAGAAATGTGCGCAGATTCAATCGACGCTGTTGCAGGAGACGTTGAGTCGACCATGGTGTCTCAATAAACCAGCGCACGAAGATTACCTCTAGAAATATGGGACGAGATCATTGGATATATTTGTAACGATCCTCGCGCACTTTCAGGCTGTAGCTTGACGTGCAATGACTGGCTCCATACGGCACGTACTAATCGATTCCGCACGCTCTTCGTCGAATCTGGACCAGAGTGGGCGCTTCTCGAATGCCGTCTTGAACAGTTCCCGGGATTTGCGCCTTACGTTCGAAAACTCGTCGTTTACCGGAAAAGCGGAGACGCGGAGAATCACGAGCACCTTGCGTTGTTGCAGAAGTTCGTTCGAGTTGAAGACCTCACATTCCGGTGTTGGTATACTGGAGAGATGACCGAGCAGGTGATACCGGACCTTCCGAGGAAATTCTTTCCAAATGTCAAAACCCTCCACCTCTGCCAGTGCTCGTTTCGTATGGCGGAGCATCTTTACGCCATAGTCTGCTCGTTTCCGAAGCTATCCGCTCTTCACGTAACCCGCGGGCTACTAGTCGAACGGTACTCCGAGTCTTTCAATATCCCTCCAAACTCTGTGGGCGAGGAAAGCATCACCATCGATACCCTCATGGGCACACACCTCACTGCTGATGACAGATTGGCCATCGCGCGGGCCCTTCGTGTTGCACCTTCGCCGGCTCGAGGTTGCATGGCTGAGCGTCTACGAAGGAGCAGCGGCACATGTCCAGGGCCTCCTACGGACGGCTGGGCGCAACATGGAACACCTAGCACTGACCATCGACGAAGTGCCGCCGCACAGGAAGGACTTATACGCAGACATTCTGGATCTCTCATGCAATCCTCGACTGGTCTCTCTGCACCTGAAGAGTGTTCTCATCAGTCAGGAGAATTCGATGGATTGGGTAACCACCATCCTGTCGAAGATCACTTCCGTGCACTCTCGGCTGCAGCGTATCCACTTCAGCGTCCGCATGCAGCGTATCGAACCAAGTGTCCACATGCAACCGGAGCAACTCGACAGGCAACTGGCCCGGGTGGCGGAGGGGCGACCGCACCTGGTGGTTACGTTCATACTCCGGTGGAGAAGTCAGAATTTGACAGGCTGGGATCCGTAGTGGCAAAATGGTTGCCGCAACTCCAGGGGAAGAGGGTTTGACTGAGAGTGGAAGCTGTATCCGGCCGGGAGTCCAATGCCCACGACACTGCCCCTGGAGGGCCAGTGATTTCCGACATACAGGATCTCGATTGGGGTTACTGAATGCTGCTCAATGAATGCTGCTCAAAGGGCGTCTGCCATGTACATATATTTTCTCCTACTTTAAGATTCGTACTTGAGCACCTTAGCTCCTGCCGCTGGCAAGTTGTCCTAGTCTCCGAAGGGCAGATCGTTGATACTCTGCCACTGCACATGCATCTCGCTTCGCAAATATTGTGCTGTGTAGTGAGCTTTGCTTGTCCAATGAACTGTGTGCTTTCGCTCTCGAGATCTCATCGTTAGAGCCCTTCACCGTTTGCAGCTCGTACACATATCGTGAGACCCAAATGCACGCATGCTCTCGGTGAGTGTTTGATGACTTCCGGATCCCGCAATGGAATGAGCATAAATATCGTCACATGTAAGTTACGCCATCTCCTCTGCTACATTGGCGTACGTGAGCGAGGCATTCAGAGACCGCTCATATCTCCGCCGAGCGTCATGCAGACCCATTGATACTGCTGCTAAACCTAGCAGCGTCGCCAGATCCACTATACCCAGAGCCTCTGTCTGGAAGATGCTCTGCATGAAGGGCACATAGATGAGTGCCAACTGGACCAGGAACGATACAGAGACAGTCGCGACGAGCATCCGGTTCTGAATGATCCCGCACGAGAGTCCCCGGTTTTGCACGGCAGAAACCAGGTCAAGGAAGACGAAGCATGTAAAGGTCTGACGATCATGTCAGTACCGACGGCAGACGATTTCGAACTGCCACAACCTACCATGCTTTGCTCTCGTCTTGACACGTGGTCGTCAGACAACGCGTACATGTAGACAGACATCGTCCCAGTGACGATGATGGTTGCCGAAAAAATAATGCGATACAGCAAGCGCTTGCTGATGATTGGTTCGTCTTTTCTTCTTGGCGGTCTGCGCATTATCTGAGGATCGACAGGGTCTACTCCCAGCGATTGACTTGGCGGACCTGATAGCTTGTCAGCTAGAGGTGGCGAGCATGTAGATGGAGAAAAACGGACCATCCATCAAAATATTAATGAATAAGATCTGCATGGCGTTCAGAGGATTGCTCAAGCCGAACATTGTGCTGAGCGTGATTAGTGTCAATGCGGCGGCGGCGGTGCTCAGCTGAAATGAGAGGAAATTCTGAATGTTGTGGAAGATAGATTTCCCTATGATGACGAACCACGAACGGGCATTAGCCCCCCGTGCTTCGAGGAAGGAACAAAGACAACACACCTTCCTCAACGGCTGGTAAGATAGTACTGAAATTATCGTCCACGAGGATAACATCTGCTGCTTCTTTCGCAACATCGGTGCCGCTCTTCCCCATTGAGACACCGATTTCTGCCATTTTCAGCGCAGGCGCATCATTCACTGCACCAGTACCGTGAGACTTCACCCTAAGACACTAGGAAGGAAACATACATACCACCGTCACCAGTCATAGCTACAATCGCTCCTCTCGCTTGGAATGCTTCCACGATAGCCATCTTGTGCCTCGGTGTTGTCCGTGCGAACACACTGACACCGCCAACACGCTCTTTCAATTGCTGCTTCGTCATGCGGTCAATCACTTGGCCTGTCAAACAACCAGAGCTACCGGAGCCGACACGCAGGCCAAGCGCACGAGCGATCGACAGCGCAGTCTCTTCTGCATCTCCGGTGATCATGACAATCTGGACGCCACCAGACTGGAGAAGCGCGATGGAGTCAGCGACGCCCTTGCGTGGGGGGTCGAGCATTGCCTGGAAGCCGACGAATACGAGATTGTTCTTCGACTTCTCTCTATCTATGGTAGGTAGAGGCGTCGACGGAGGAGTCGCCTGGGTGGCAGGTAACATAGATGACCGGCTACTAGATCGGCTGGCTGCCTCGACAGTTCCGAAGCCATATGCAACTGCGATGACACGAAGACCGCGGGAGGCTGTTTTCTGCGCTTGAGACAGCACGACGTTCCTCGTGTTAGCGTCCAGCGCAGGAGTAGATTCGTCAGATACATAGTAGAATTTACATCGTTCAAGGATGGCATCGATAGAACCCTTGATGTAGTACATCTCGCGATTCGTTTCCTTGATCGTTGTGCCATTGGGAGCAGTTGTGGAGGATACATGAACGCCACTGACTGCCATGTACTTCCTCTCGGAATTAAATGATAGCTCAGACTGACGCATGAAATCCTGTTGCACCAAAGCTATGTATCAGCCGAACAGATGCTGGAGGTGGGACATACCTGACGATGATCCACCATCCCAAACACAGAAAGCACATTCAGCAAAGCCACGTCCGTAGCATGCCCGACATATATTCCTTCCTCGTTCTGTAATGCATTATTACATAGGCATCCGATGGAAAGCGTTTTCCTCGTGGCATGGGAGATACCTGCTGGCGCAACAGGTGCGGAAGGATCAATCTGTACCGTCTCGTCAACGGCGTAGAGCTCAATCACAGTTTGCTCGTTCTTTGTCAAAGTACCTGCAGAAGTACAAGTGTATTAATAAAATTCTGCCTACCGGTGCATGTTGCTAAGTGCATGATGTGCACTGACCAGTCTTATCCGAGCAGATAACTGAGACCGAGCCAAGCGACTCCACGGAGTGCAGCTTCTTGACGATGGCTTTGCGTTTTGCCATCCGAAGCACGCCGAGTGCAAGAGTGACTGTCGTGACGATGGGAAGACCTTCGGGTATCGCAGCCACTGCGAGAGATACTGTGCTTCGATAACGCTGTTAATATATCGACTCTGCAGAGCCAAGTGCGGAACGTACCTCCGATGGTGAACATGTCAAGCCATGGCCGTTTCTGAAGCACTCCAATGATGCAAATGACCCCAATAATACCGAATGAAATGAGAGAGAGCTTCTTCGCTAGTTCATCCATGCTACGCTGCAAAGGTGTGCGCTTTTCTTCTACCTAGTGACAGGCGTTCGATCAGGAATGACTCTACGGCTAAGGTGCATGACCACATACATCTTGCACCATAGAAAAAATAACACCGAACTCGGTCTCCGTGCCCGTTGCAATGACGACACCCGAACCTCTACCTGCAGGACAACAGATGAGCAACACGCAATACAAGTCTCTACGGTACACACCGTTTCGGACCAACGTGCCCATATACGCAATGCACGACCTCTCTGCCAATGCGACCGGCTCACTTGCATGCGTGATTGCATTTCCGTTTGCATACCCGTTACCGGAAGCACCGTATACAGGTATGCAGGGGTCGACATCCTTACGGCGAGCATCTGTCTCTCCAGTCAGACTGCTCTCGTCTATCTCGAGGTCCTGTGCACTGAGCAGTCGCACGTCGCCTGGTATACGGTCGCCCGTTCCAAAGGTGACAATATCGCCAGGGACAAGTTCGTTGGCAAGCACGTGGAGCGTGCTGCCATCACTGCGATGATGTCAATGGGAGAAAAAGTTAGGACAACATGTTCGGCCATACCGGACGAGGTGACAATGGTGAGGAACAAGCTTGTTAAGAGCCTCTAAGCTTTTCTCCGATCTTTGTTCCTGTACGAATCCAACTATAATGCTGTGAGCTTGACGCCACCATGTCACGATTGTGAGATCACACACTGCATATGCTTGAGGGAAGCGACTGCAGGCATCACATAGCAATGCCTTGCAGCCCACATCCACAAACGTAGCAGTGCGCACATCAATAGAAGATGGTGGACTTACCGGTCAACACAATAATGATAGCTATGATTATGCTCACGGCGTCGTCGGTATTTCCCATGAAAACGCTCACACATGCACTTCCACATAGAAGTAATATAAGAGGGTTTTCATATATCGTCTTTGCAAACTTGAGAATAAGTGGCTCTGGCGTAGATACAACAAACTCGTTGTATCCGTGAGTCGCAAGTAGGCCAGCAATGCTGGCAGACGAAAGACCCGTTGAGGGAGAAGTGCCGAAGTGAGCGAGGGTATCCTGTACAATGGTTGGAACTACTTCGCACGAGAAACCAATTTGCTCACTTGTGCAGTGTAGTGTGCAAAACGAGAGGATGCTGTCGCCTTCGTCTCTTCCTTCGATACTGGCAGCGCTTCGTAACCCTCTCTCCCTTGGGAAAACCACGAGGAAATAGTTCCAACAGTGCGGTGCCAGAGTCCTGCGGCACCTTCCGTAGCGGCTACGGAGCGCAACTCGTCCAACGACGGGAAACCAGTAGCAGTTCCTGGAGTTGGGATGCCTTCAACATGGTGTCTGCGAAGGGTTGTACTGTACGCAAAGTGTGCACTAGCTTCTGCAGTGGTTGGCTCAAGGTCCTGGTGGTGGTCTCCCGAGAATTGCGGAAAGTACGCGGAAGCTGGAGGTGAGGAACTACGATTGGGTGGGTAAACTACACCTCTAGCACTGAAGGCTTGACGCGGTAGGGCAGAGGAATTAGAGGTCGCCGTGGCGAAGGAAGAGCTAGGAAGCATGGGGACATCCTGAGAATGAGACCGCTTTCGCTCGAGGACCATCTTGGCGCCAGAATGACAATTTTACAGCCCTTGATAGCGGTTGGGTATGAGAAGGGCGCAGCCTGAATCTGCCAGCAGTTCTGGCTGGTGGCAATCAGAGTCGGTGGTTTTATGGAGAGTTCGAAAATTGGATGCTCACCCGTCAAACGTAAATGTAATACAACGACACCGATTTTCTGCGTAAAGTCTAGCCTAGATACGGGGGAATCTCTGAAGAGAAACAGTGTGCAGCCCGCAGCAGGGAGTTAGTATTTGAGACGCACCGTTCCGTCCGTTCGCCGGCAATATCAACGAGGCTGTATCCTCCCAATGCAGTAGTTCGCTCCCACAGTTGCTATCTGTTGTCGTGACCCAAGATAATCGCTCCATCCCTCAGGCTGCCGCTAGCTTCCTCTTCCATAAAAACCAACATGCTGACTTGCTTCCGTCGGTATCTTTCTGACGCTGATAATGCCACGGCCCACCGTGCCCAGGGTCGAGCTCAGCGGTTCGCCGTACGAGGTACTGTCGTCGCTCTTGCTCGGTTTCTGGCGCCAGAAACTAAATCATTTCTCAGATTGGGCTGGCGCACGGCCGTCTTCTCGCACCCCAAATCCATAGTCAATTGGAGATATACCGTGATATTTTCCTAGAAAACTGCAAGTTTGAATGGCCGAAAGTACTGGGTTTAGCCGCGCAATACCGGTCGATCATCGCTGCGCTTGCACCGGAACTCCTTGAGGAGATGCGTGGAATTGCGGACGGTGTCGGTGGCACCGACGTCGGCCTTCTGGATATTGTCGCCCTTAATTCCAGAAGTGAGATTGCTCTGGGACTATGGGATGACGGCTGCACGAGCCTCGCGTGGAATATGAGAGGTTCTGGGAAGCAGTTGCTCGCGCAGAACTGGGACTGGAGGACGTCAGTCGGTGAAAACCTCGCCTTGGCACACATCACGCAGGTTGGAAAGCCCTCCATCTGGATGGTGATTGAGGTGATTGGCGCGCGAACCTGTTCCGTAATACTATTGCTGATTACCCTCCGAATCTCACCAGCCTGGCATCGTTGGAAAGATCGGGTTCAATTCCGCATCCGTCGGTGTGTGTTTGAACGCCATTCGTGCATCTCCGACTTCGACTTCCCTTCTTCCCATTCATTTACTCTTGCGCATAGCTCTTGAGCATGACTCCGTTGACTCAGCTATCGCGGCCATCGAACGCCTTGGCGGTGCGGCATCGAGCCAACATATCCTCATAGCAGATGCCAATGGAGGACGTGGGCTTGAGCTATCCCCCCGTGGAGGTGTTTATCTCAAGGAAGACAGGAACGGTATCATCGTGCACACGAACCACTTCCTCGAGAATAACCTCGTGGACGAGCCCCCATGGCTATCAGGTTCACCTATGAGATTGAAAAGAGCGCGCTCTCTTTGCGGGAATATAATGCAAGACTTAGGATGCGAAGGTCTACCTCAGGGTGTAAATCCGGCTCTTCTTCGTGATCGAGTTTTCTCGGATTCGGTCAACTCCCCGCAGGCAATATGTTGTGTGCCCGATATTGCCAAGGGTGGTCTGGCTCGTATTGCAACCTTATTCAATATTGTGATGATGTTCGAGCCGAGGGAGAAGCCTTGCGCAGAAGTGGTGTTTGGAAAACCTGGCAGTAGTGAACAAAGCGAGGTATACGAGCTGCCATGGTAGCTTATTACCTGTCTATGCTCAGATGTGTATTATCAGTACGTCGTTTCGATATCGTCCTGTACAGCATGATGCATAGCTCCGAAGACATTTGTAGCTATTCATCACAGCTTCAGCAGCCTCCTGCCATGAGAACGAGAAGAGGTGCGAGATCCAGGAGCTACTTTCCAACAATACCTTCTGCTTGCAATCGCGCCAGCTCATATTCCTCTAACCCCAATTCTTGTAAGAACACCTCCCGATTGTGCTGACCCAAGTGGGGACCAGCCCAGCGCGTCTTCGGCTGGCAGCCCTCCAAAATTGGGGCAACCTTTGGAACCTTCACATTCCACCCGCTCTCCTGATCGCCCACCCAAACATCTTCCACCACACCTCTAGCCTTCGTGTGCGGACTCTCCACAATTTCCTTCACGCTCAGAACGCGTCCCGCAGGTACACCGACAGCGTGTAGTGCCTCCTCGACCTCTTCAGCGGTGCGTGATCGTGTCCAAGCACTGATGGCCTCTTCTATTTCCGCCTGGCGGGCTACCCGATGGTGGTTGTGCGCGAACTCGGGGCCGGTCAAGTCGAGACGATCGATGACGGTCATCAAACGGCTGTACATCGTGTCTGCATTGGCGCCGATGACCACGTAGGAGGGAACCTCCGGTGAGATCAGCGATTGCTTGCAAGGGTATGCACCGGTGGGCACGATGCCGGTCACGGAGGAGCCTGATGGACCACGTATCTTGAAATGAGCGGTCAATGCAAATCTACGGGGTAACAATGTAATAGAGCTCGGTTACCTTGCCTTTGCGGTCATATTCGGGTATGATTCCCTCCATCATGTTGATCATACTGTCCTTTAAAGTCAGTATACGGCAGGGCAACATCCAGTTAGGTAGTTGTACCTCTCAAATATGCTGACATCTACCGTTTGCCCTCCAGGTTCACCCTTGTCAAGCTTTGCCCGTCTCGACAAGAGTGCCAAAACCTACGCAACCAACAAGGACGTCTTAGAGTTCTCATCCCACTTGCATTTCTTGTTCCACTCACCGTACCGAACGCTGCATGCAGCCCAGCGACCGAGTCACCCAGGCTGATATTTGGTCGTACAGGAGGTCCCGATAGTGCGCCTGTCTGGGGATCGGGCATTCCATTGATGTACCGGAACCCAGATTCTGCTTCGCACACCGACGCATATCCTGGGCGGGACGACCAAGGACCAGTTTGCCCGTATCCACTGACACGAGTGAAGATGAGAGACGGGTTGTGTGGATGCAAGTCGGCAGGACCAAGGCTCCACTTCTCCAGAGCTGAGGGAGGGGCAATCAGGATATCTAGTACTGCATATGCTCGTGCAGGAGAAGACCGGGACTTACTCCCAGGTTTAAAGTTCTCCACTACGACATCGCTCTTGATGGCGAGCCTTTTGACGAGCCTGGTAAGGATGCAGTCGTAGGATTACTACCTTAGGAATAGCTAGATGCGAGAAAGTCCTCACTCTCTGCCTTCTTCCTTGCGCAAGTCGATTGTCACGCTCTTCTTGTTGCGCCCGATGCTGCGCCACCACGGACTCACGCCGTCGACGTCAAGTTCTCTCCACACACGGAGGGGATCCCCGACGTGCGGCGGTTCAACTTTGATGACTTCGGCACCGAAGTGACTGAAGGTTCCACCATTCATACTCAGCTCTACTGTGCAGCAGCATGATGTTGATCGCCTCACCCCAATAGCTGTCCGCAGAATGGCCCTGCGATCAGTTGTCCGAGTTCAAGGACGCGGATCCCTGACAGTGGGAGGCCCTGCGGAGTAATGGGCGCCCCGGTAGATGATCTGGTGTTATAATGCAAGTCATCATGTAGAATTCAGCGTGTGCATTCCCAGGTGGGGAGGGTGGGAAGGTTATCACTCACCGACGCTTTGTGAAACATTGACATGCAAAATAGTCGGAACGCAAAGTCGACCTTTGGATGCCTGCAATCCGCCGAGTTAACAAACAACGACAGAAGGTCATGGTCTGGACGCCCCGACATCAGCGAAATGACGTGGTCAAGGTGTGGTGTTTAGTACGTCTCGCACTGACCATGGGGAAGGAGGATTCGTACCTTCGAGTCCCCGTCGCAATATTGCTACCCGTCGAGGAGAGAAGTATCCGCCGTCTCGACATGACTTGAGCACTCGTGACGCTCGACGGGCCTGTGTGCAAGGGCGTCGGCGATTCGGACGGTCATATTCAATGCAGGTGATCGCGATCATGAGCATGATGACCCCACCACTAGCAGCGCACAGGCCTGGTAACAGCGACGTTAACTGCAACAGAGTCCGAGAAGAATCAATCGTTCAAAGACCGTAAAGTACACCTTGTTGTACAGTTACTTGACAAGAGCTACACCGAGCTACAGCATACAATCCATGAGAGTTCTACAACGGTGTCAGTACAGTATCACCACTTTGTCCTTATAGCCCCTCACGCCCACAAGAAACCAGTAGGTGCCTCCAGGAAAATGGAAGCGATTACCTTCAGACCCTTTCCTCCATCAACGCGCTCAAAAACCTTCACACCTCCACCGTGCACACCGCCAGCGACAAGAAACTTGTCGTAGGGACCGCCAAAGACCATTCCGCGTAGGTGCTTCAGACCTGATCTGACCTCCGTAACCAGCTCGAGCTTCTCCCGATCCGCGACGGAGTAAACGGAGATAGAGTCGCCCTCCGGAGACGGGTCGTTTCTATTGGAAACGTACAGGTAGGGTGTAGGGAACGTCGCGTTTGGTGTCGGGAGCAGGATCTCTGCGGCAAGCATGTTTAAGACAGTGGTCGGCGGTGGATTGCGCATGGTCGGAAGGGTCGCAATGAGGATAGGGTCCGCTGGAAGCTGGGGAAATCGGTGGGCAGTGACTTCGTTCGTCAACTCTAATACGGTATATAGTACATCGTCTGACGGAACGGTCAACGAGAAGTAAAGGCAGACCAGATGACGATAAATTGCTCACTATAAACGGCGACATGCCTCGGACCGCCACCTGCCTTGTAGTGGACTGCTCCAACAGGCTCCCAAGTGCCCTTGGAGCTTCTCGCAAATCTGTGGACAACGTCGGCGCCCAGGTCAGGAACCAGGAGTTCCTCGCGCTTGGGGTGTAGGACAACCTGGTGGATATGTGAACATTCTTGGCGCTCCTTGTTGGGGCCTGTTCCATGGAAGGACAGGACCGATATCTGCGATCCCTGCAGATAAGGCGGCTCTGCCGACAGAGGGACGGTAGCAAATGTGCCGGATGTGTACTTAAAAATCGGACATGAATGTCACCATATATTCTGCATCTAATGTGAATTGTATGCGTACATTTCCGACGAGAAGCTGATTTCTAACAGCGAGCAGGGAGCAAGGATCAACTCCACCGCTGGGAGCTTCTCCGAGTAACGTCCCTCGGCCCTCCTTGTCAAGTTCTACCGAGACGACTTTCCCATCTTGTTGTTCAAGACCCGCATACACGATAGATGTATCTATTGGGTTGAAGGTGAGCCAGGACGGATGATACCCGGCGTCCACCGACGAGGTGAGTGTGAGAGACGGAGTATCAGGTTCGAAATTCAAGGTGTAGATATCGTTGGTGTATGACCCGACCAAAATTCGATAGGCCATGGCGGTATGGCGGATCGCAGTGAAGGATACTTGTAAACATGCTGTCTGGACATAAATATGGACGGCTGAGATATGTGCGGAACACGGAACGATTTTTGCAGTCGCTCACGTTGTCATGTCCGACAAATGGCCTATCGGCCCTCGATGATGAGGACTCGGAAAGCCGTATCTAGACGGCGTCGAATGCTGCAATGCGGCAACACAGCCATCGCACTGGTCGGTCACAGGTGTGGACTGTAGAGCAGAGAAACGGTCAAGCGCAGTGGACAGGCGCTGCGGTGATGGTGATTGAAGCTCGTCCGCGGGACCGACAGAGTATACAAGTCACCTCGGCTCCTACGCCCACCGCATTCCATTATCGACCCTTCATTGCCCTCAGCTCAGGATGATCGTAATAAAGGATCCCCTCCCTTACATCGGCGAGGCTGAGCTGGCCGCAGAGGCACCGCCGGCGTACGAGGATGGGGACTTCGACCAGTGGGCAGCAGCGACCTCAGAGGCATATGCTCATCTGCAGGAGACAAAGGCCGGTCCACCCACCGCACGTCCTTTCGGTCGAATCCTGCGGACCTTTGCTTCGACTCCACGCACTTCGCCCGTCTCCACTCCATCATCTCCCTCTCCCTCGACTCCAATATCGCCTACTCTTTCCTCCACTCTATCGTCGTTGCAGAGCAAGAAACCAGGGGCCCGTTCTTCCACCTGGTTCGCCCGTACATTCGGGTCCAGTTCTCGCACAGCGAAAGAAGTTAAGGAGTCTGTTACAGGTCTTTTGCGGGAGATTGTCAAACAGCCCGAGACGACGGCGTCTGTCCTCATTATCGACAGCTGCGCCGAAGCATGTCGTACGCATAACCTCTCGCTACCTTCCATACTCCAAGAGCCCTCTCTCGAGGGCCGCAGTACCATATATTGGGCAGTCATAAAGCACCCATTACAGCCTCCCAGCCCCCACGAGCGTGACCTTATCTCAACCCTTCTCGATCTCGCTGCGCCTTTGACTGAGGCCACCATCTCGGAGATCCGCCTCGCGTGCCTGCAGAATTCCAACCAACCGCTGTTTCAATGGCTGAGGCAGATGCCAGTCTTCTCTCCACTGAATGGCAAAGACGAGATCTTGTTAGGTAGCTCCACTCCTCGAGACGAGATTGCGGTCGAAAACGTCCCTGGAGACGAGGGTGCATTCATTGTACGGTTCCGCGTCATGCTGTTTCAGAAGCGGATGAGAGTGTCCAAACAAGTGAAGTTAGAGTTCATAGCTAGAGGTGCGTGTTATTCGCGTGCTCGGTTTCATCTTCATTTGCTGAAGACTGCGGCAGGCAGGATGTGGTCATTGAAATTCCTCATTGTGACTGACGGCGACAAACGTCTGAGTCACAGACGCGAGAGGCCAGGTACATGGGCCGTCACATTAGCTCTCGTAGAACACAGTCCCCCCACGTGGATTGACTCTCGTCTCATAATCGAGGAGGCGCCCTCGACTTCACCTGAATCAGCCTCCACTTCACAGTCCTTGGTGGATGTTGTGCGTCCCTTCTCGCCATCGAAGGGAGGCGAGGCGAGAGCGAACTCCAAACCCACAATTTCACTGCGATTAAAGTCAGGCTCCTCACAGTTGGCCCCAGCAGGGCCGAACTATCCTAATGACATGATTGTGGCATCTCTTGGGGAGAGCCTCATGGCGAACAGCCTCCAATACGAGTAAGTGTTATTCTCCCTGATTTTCGATCCTCCGTCAGTGTTGTTGCATATCACTATGTCACTAATTCTGTTCTTTTGTCGTCAGTGGCAGCTCGTACATTGGCAGCGACGAATCCCTACAGGCCAGACTCGAGGCGCGGCTGGGCAAGCCAGATGCGCAGTGCATTATTTGTTAGAAGGCTTCCTTCGTTTCTTAACTTTGCTTTCATGTGTGCCGTCGCTATTTCCGATCTGAATTTCTATTTATGCTATCTGTGTTTCACGATGGACTTTGCTGTACTGGAGGATCCAAATTGTCTTGTACCACCACCATTCCGTGCGATGTCCTGTAATGACCAACAATTATATGTATTTCATCCGTCCGAAAACATGCAAAACGACGCTATAGCTACAAAGTACATGTAGGTACACATTACCACCGCATCACGACGAGCCCTTCTAGTGCGCTCCTTGCAAAGTTCGGCGTGCTGGTAAAAGGACGCCGAAGAAGGTTCGCACTAGCAGCGACTGTGAGATACGGGGGTGGTATACGAGCGGGCGGGCGACCCACCCGCAGGGGTGTACTCGCGATGCATGATGCGAGACTCGGAGCTGCGATGGATGACTGTCGGCCTAGGCACGGGCTCGGCTGAGACGCCGTGGACCCGTGCGAGAGGAGAAGGGGTCGTGCTATACGACTACAGCACGAGGCGGCAGCGCAGCAGCAGAGCACGAGGGCGCGCAGGGCGCAGGGAGCCGCGGCGACTTGAGCGGGAGCGCGGCGTGGCTGCGGTACAACTATGAGATGGTACGGTCGAAACGCCGGAGTACTCACTCGAGGAAGACATCAAGCTCCATCTCGCCGTTCAGCTTGTCGCCGACGGCGGACGGACCAGGTGATAATATGACGCTGTGGGATCTGGTTGCGCTTTCGGGCGGAGTCGCGGGGCTCGGCTTCTCGCGTCTCGCTTGCAAACTGAACTTTACGATGATTAAACGGTTGCAGGTGACGAAGCTGGAACACCCACGTATTCAAAAGATAAAACAAACAAGACGAGTGGACATCACCTTGGCGGGAAAGCGTCTTGAATGTATGGCAAGCGCACATGATCCTGGACAAACAGACCGGATATGAGCACGAAATCAAGGTGAAGAGTATAAGCACGAACGTTGCAATGACTACATAGGGAATATGTCCGTTGGTGTATCATCAGACGCATAAGTGCATATCACTCACATGCGGCGTAGTCAATTGTCTAACATGTCAACAAGAATAAGTCATTAGATTATCCATATGTCCAGACAAGCGCACCCGTCTAAGATTCGCACTCGGGTCAAGTGCAATGAGATGAAATACCTAAGGCGAGAGATGCTTCAGTTGGCTCACAGACATCAAGTGAGCATGGCGGACAAACCGTAGCAACCGTCCGAATCATACACACGAGAACAAAATCGAAGGCTGCCTCCCTGATAAGCTGATCGAACAGAGCTGACCAATCTCTCCTCAGATTTGTGTTGCTGCGAGAGTCCTGCCACTCGGATGGATACGCGTGACGGCGATGAGCGCGAAGCAAGAAGCAGATCGCCAGGCCGAGGAAGATTGCCGATACAAAGGCAACTGATAGCGAATCACGAGGTCAAGAAGATTGCGAAGGTGAGGGACGGCATGCGGGACAGCATACGTACGGTAAACCCAGTAGAAATGTCGAAATACGTCTGAATGCCATCTTCGTCCGACCTGCGATATACCTGGAAGACCAGGATGTTAGACCCATGCGACCGCTGCAAAGAGAAAGTGTACTCCATACCAATTATCATGCATATGCATAGTCCTATCTGAAGGGCAGTCACACAGTACGTTACTACGTTGCACTTGCTCAGAGAAATGCTGAATCATCAAGGTAATTACGAGTGAATGTGGCGACGAGAGTTGGGTCGCAGATTTTTACATACATGCGAATTGCAAATATTTGGTATGCAAATGCCAGAGAAATGCAGTAGGTAATCTTTTGGGCAAGGGTTCGAAGTCTAGCTGATCATACACAGATTTAGGTGAAGGAACACACCTGGCATATATAAAGGAGAGCCTGATACAAAGAAAATGATGAACTGTATATCGTAGGCAGAGACGGAAGAAGCTACCTCGTAGTTATGAAACTTCAGTGCACAAACGTAGGCGACCTTGCACACCACCGACACAAACGAGATGTACCGACAGCCAGCGTAGACAAAGAAGATATGACGGGCATGCACACGCTTCCCTCGCCAGAAGGAAATGTCAAAGGGTAAACATTGTATGAGATCCCAACTATAACGGAGTGGTTAGTTCCATTCGAGGCAGACGTGGCGTGGAGAAAAACTGACGTGCACAAGCCACTGAAAAGCTGCACGATTACTGAGAGAACACCTGGAAAAGACTTTAGTCACTCAGTGTCATAAGAGACGTGAAGCAAGGCTCACAATATTGCTTGTCAATGGCACCGTCAGATGTCTCTGTCCAGAAACTCATGGTTAAACAATACGAGGCTGTAGCCCTATTCTGAAATAAAGGGAATCTGCGCAGCGCTGGACCCAAGAGCTCCAGGGAGACGCTACGAGGGAGGGGAGCGTGGAAGTGCGGGAACGGCTACTTAAGTACAGCCTGAAAACGCGATTGGCCGATTGCCAAAACGGTAGATCAGATCAACCGAATCTCGTCACGTCAATATCTAATCTGCAGATTTACCTCCGCGCTTTCCGTGAACCGTTCGGGGCCCTTGTTAGTCTCAGGCTCCAGCCACCTACATGTGCAGTAGAAGCCTCACCACGTCGCTGTTGTGCTCTTCTCCGTGTCTGCAACCATGGATCACAACACCGAGGAACACCTCACACCCCACGCGACACAATCTACACGTTACTTTTATGTACTATTTCCCTCTCGAGATACACACGCCATACCTCGACCCCACCTGGACGTTCTCCTAGTCATACAGTAGACACCCATGTATCGACCGGAGAACACCGCGTCTATAAGTGCTGAATTCATCATCATCATCATCAACCATGGATCACATTTTTGCCGCCATTTTCACCGAGTAGACAAGCAGATATATCGTGGTTCCAAACTCTCACAGGATTTAAATAACTGGGTCAACGGAGCATAAAGAAAATCATACATGTACCGCAAATAAACAGCTATTCTAATCTCGAGCAGCCAACGACACTCTCAACGGCATTTGCACACCCTTCTCAACCTCTCCCTCCAAGGTAGGAACCATTAGTAAAGAATTCTCCCTCCGGAGGCGCTTGATATCATCCGTGAGTGCAAACTCAAAGTTTGATATGAGCTCAATCAGGAATGCTTGCAATTCGTACAGCCTGTGTCGCGGTTGAATCTCGATCAATCACCAAGAATATGGTATTCGACTCACGCGAATCGCCATCCAATGCAACCTCGGATGCCGCCACCAAATGTTAGACTGTTCGCAACACATCAGCATATTTGCCACCACAGTTTTATGAAATACGCACATGTTGCTAACCACGCCGACAGATGGGCCGCGTTTGCCATAAACTTCTAACCATCGCTCGGGATTGAAAACATGTGCGTCTTTGCCCCATACATCGGTGTCGCTTTACAAGGTTTATGCCGTCAATTATCATGATGAGACGCACCAACACTCACCGATTGTAAGCCGCTATGGACAAGACGACTCTCATCCCTTTCGGGATAGGCACCTTGTCTATCACCTTTCCAGACAACGTCGTGATCGGTTTGGACAAAGGAATGACATCGTCCTTCGCCGATTGCCTATAATTGTGAGGAACCACAGGATGGAAACGCAGTACTTCTCGCAACACACAGCTTGCAGGTACGGCATCGCTTCCATGTCTGGTACGGTGAAGTCGCTGTCTCCACGCTCGTGTACTACGCGCTCCTTTGCTCTGATTTCTTCGCGGAGACGCGTTTGCATGTCAGGGTGTCTCGCGAGCTCGAGGAACGCGAAAGACAAAGTGTTTGAGGTAGTTTCTTGGCCAGCTAGCATGATCGTCCTATGATCCCCTCTGTTAACTAACGCGCGAAAGAGCACACAAGCTGATATACCTCATCTGCGAAACCATCTCTTCGTGATCGAGCCTTGCCTTCTCGTTCTCCGATGCATTTGCCTTGACTGCACGGTAGGAACTTCAGACACGTTCATCCAGAGCCATCCAACGACAGACGTACCTAGGATACTCATTACGTCCCGGCTTCCTTTACCTAAGTTGAGAGCTTCTGTTTTCATCTCTAGCAACTCGTTCGCAACTTTATGGGCAATCGCTCGGTTGTGCCGCGCCTTGTCAAGCCCCCGCCCTGGAAGGTAGTTGTATATGGCTTCCTGTACAGGCATCGGAATGTAGTGCCCGAGGTTAGAAAGAAAAAGGTGCGCCTTCGTAGGGGACGAGAATATAGTTGCGCTGTTACTCCTTTTGAGGCGCCTTCCACAACAGCTTTTCGAAGCAGAACTTACGCCAGATTCTTGTATGCCAGCCCCAGCTCATTATTGCCGTCATTCAGGAGTCCAAATTTGTAGTCGAACGCGGCTGAACGCACAATGCTTCAAACAGATAGGAACAGAGATCGACGACATACTAACCTTCGCCAATGGAATCGAGAGTGGCGGGAGTGATTTGGGCAGACACATTGAGTGTACAGGCCTGCTCAGGCAGACTCAGCAGAAGGTCCTTCCACTTCAAGGATATCTATTACAATGCGTTAGAGCGTTTGTAAATCACTAAAGTAGTTCTTCACGCACTTGCTCGGCATAGTGGCTGAAGATTGGCAAAAGGGCCTTGGACTCAGGCGTACCGAATGCAGGGAGCATCACCTTCCGCTGACGCCGATGCCTTTCGCCTATAAATCGTAATTGAAATCAATAAGAGTAGCGGCCAATGAAGGATGCTATTACTATCTTACCGTCAGCCCAAGTCAAACCGTGGTCGGATGTGAGGTATGACAGAGTTCGACGTTCAGGCTGCTTCGGAAAGTTGTAACCTGACGTGTGATAGATGTATTGCAGAGCTTTAGGGTCTGATATCCACAGGTAGTCCTCCTGTGAATTGTGCATGAGCTGGAATCAAAATAGCTTCAGCACGGCGATACCAATACGAAACTTACTCCTAGAGGTGCCTTGATGCGGGCGATGCCTCCGAACCGGCTCTGCCAGTCGAAGTCTATGGCCCCTGCTTGCGTCTGAAATAGTTCAGGGAAATTGCCTGCGAAATAGTGAATTTAACGTTGGGATGACCCACAAGCCGGTGTGTTCACGACTCACCTAGCAGGAATGACTGCGACTCTGGCCCCGGAATATCTGCGATGGACACACGAGTGTAGATGCGGTACAGACGATACAAGAGAGCAACTGCTCCCAACAAGACGATACTGGAAAGATACCCCATGGTTGGACGGTCGAAGTGAATGACCCTCCTAAGGTACGAGAAGCCACACTTTTATGCTAGGTGGCAGTCATACCGGCAATATAATGCCAAGGTGTCTCATGACAACGTCGAGATAGAAGTACTGCTGGAATCTGATCCATGGCTGGGGGCTCTGTGCCGGAAGACTTCTCGTGAGTACGCGCATAGGCGAACCAATAGTTGGAACCTACGTTATTAATGCCCGTGTGAATAGAAGATGGCAGCTTGATAGGCTCGGCTGTCACGCACAGTGGGGTAGACCGTGGCGTAACGATTGCCAGACAGTCGAAGGAGTAGTCATCGGGCCTTTAATGAGCGAACCCATGGTCCCAAGTCATCGTGACAGCTTCACGAAGAGACTCGCGGGTTCCAGTAGAAGCTCGGACTAATTTCGTCATCCCTGTGTTTAGTGAGGCACCGTGTCATGACACCACTGTCAATAGGGCATCGAGACAGACTCAGCTATGTAGGAGCCTACAAGGTCATCTGGAAGGGTAATTCGTCGGTTGATAATTCTGTGGATCTCAGTACGCGAATGAGCAACGTTGGCACAACTGTGTATGCACCTGACATCCACCTGTGGTCAAGCTGCTACAGTAGCGCAGAGATTAATATGTCTTACACGCTGCATTCGAAACCAAACAGTCTGTCACGCGGAATTAGCTACAACATTCTGTACCCAGTACATCTCCTGGTCCAAAATTCGCGTGAAGGCTCGAGCATGGTTCCACTTCAACGTCACTACGAACCTCGTAGATATCGATGAGGCCACAGTGTGAGGGCAGTTTCCGGCTGGAACAACATTGGGACACTGCATTGCGGAGCGCCGGCTCCTAGGATCGATATCGTCCATCATAGATGGGTACAAAAGACTGCGTGGACCGCTCTGCATAGGTCCGCCTGAGCGTTAGTACTAGTCAGTACTACGTGTGCGGTGGAATTCACGAGCCCCCCTTGCAGCTGGTTGAGCGCTGCCTTTTCGAGGACCACCACTGATAAGGAGACACACCAAACGTCAGAGCATCACATATATGTCTAAGAGCTCGAGACCAAGACTTTGGAACTCGAAGTGTACATAAAACGCGAACCCTAATAGAGATCATGAGCTATGTGACTCCCACAAAAAACCGAAAGGGAGTGAAACAACAATTGACGAAGCAACACGTCCGAACGCACATTGTGACACAGCGACAAGGCGAAGTGAGGGAAAAAACAATCCGGGTACATTACATAGCAATAAGCGTACGCTACCCGTTTTGGTGGGCAGCGAGGGTGGAAGACGTGGAGATCGTGGTGCATTTGTGCGTAGGGACGATGCTGCGAATGTCGATGACTAGTAGATGGTAGCGGACGAACATGAACACGGGTGAACATGTTCCAGGAGCATGTGTAGGGTGTGAGCGTGGCATCTTGTACGGAATGGGTGGTGCGAGAACGGTGTCAACTTGAATGCAGTGGAGAGAGACGACGTGCAGGTGGGAAGAGAGGTGCTGGAGCTCGGAGAGCAGAAGATATGCAACAAATAAAGATAACAGTAGCAATTATCATCGAATCAGTCGTCCATAGTCGAGTCGACTCTCCCGCTTTGCTTCATGGTTATCCTTCTTCGGGAACGCATTCCAGAACCGGAGTGTCTCGTCGCCAGCGCCAGTGACGATCGTCTCGCCGTCCGGGCTCATAGCGAGATAGAGCACTCGATGCGTGTGGCCTGTCAATGATGCAACCATGTCCAATGAGGGATATTTCCATATGCAGATCTGGTTTTGGGCAGTAGTCGACGAGAACCCGTGTGTTGACACAAGCTCATGAGACGTCAAGGACCATGTGAGGTTACACACCTGCATACATACCGTGAGTCGATTGTGGGGACCTGTCACTTAGTATGAAGACACACCTGACTGCCAGTATCTAGCTCATTCAACATACTCCCGTTGAATACATTCCAAAAACGGATATGCTTGTCCGCTGTTCCTCCTCCCGTTGCCAGAATGCCCGACACATGCGGATCCCATGCAAGGGCCTTCACCGCCGCTGTGTGCTCATGGAACTTCCACAACGGCACCTCCCCTGAATCCTCTCCTGCACTGCTGCTTGCTTGTGCGCTTGCAGTGCTACTCCTGCCAGCAGCTGCCAATCCCGGTCTCTTAGACCCACGTAGATCCCATATGCAGACCTTGTTATCGTTGCCCCCGCTGGCAAGCGTGGCAGCCTGTGGTCCACTATCCGAACTCCATCGTAAGCCACATACTTCCTGCCGGTGCCCTTGACACCGCTTGAATGGCCGTGAGGTTTGCTCTCGTACATCCCGGTGGTGTACTTGACGATCCCTGGAGCCTGAGCTGAGCACATGCGAATTCCACGAAAGGGCGCCAATCCGCTGCGTATGCGCCTGCTGATACGTCCGTTGTAGTTGAAGCGTGCTTGCATCGTATATACGCAGTCGCCCAGAAAGTGTGCCAACGGCAAGCATGGAGCCCTAAGGCATAAGTTTTCAGTCTCCAAAGGTGAGGGGAAAGAATAAAGGTCACCTTCTGTACCCATGATACAGAGCTGATTGTATCGTTCTCGTTACTGATGTCACACAGTTTCGAAACAGCCGCATTGTGCGCCGTCCACAAATAAACGCACGAGCCCAATCCAACACCCAAAACGTTCGTACTTGACCAATCCACCAAGTTCAGGTAGAAGTCATCGGCCAACTCTGGAGCATCCAGCACCCGGTATGGGGTCTTGCAGACACTACGGAGCTGCCGCCGAGGACTCTCCAGTAGCTGTCTGCTCTCCGCACGCACTGGACTCATTGAGTATGCTTCGTCTGTCGGTGTGTCGAGACGCCGCGTGGGTGTAGCTGGATTGGATCTGGATGGAGAGTTGTATGCGAAAAGTCGACGTCGTGTCGGCGTCGATGGCGGGGCTACAGCCGAGCCCGAGCGGGTGGGTGAGACGGCTCTGCGAGGGGACGGTGGTGTGACTTCTGTGTGGAGGATAGAGGTGAAGATAGCATTGGCCTGTTCTTTCAGAGCGTCTGATTCGGTAGGGATGATCTTGTTTTTAGACGGCGTGGATGGAGCGCTCTCGTCCATAAGATGGTAGGATGTGCGCATGTCGCCTGTATCTCTTGTAGGTACGAACCGGTCTCCATAATCTCGGGGACCTCGCTGTTCTGCTGGCGACTCGGGACCGCCACTTTCGCTCGTTGTTGGTCGCGAGTCCAGGGAGGGCGTCGACGCGGATGCGACACCGAATAACGGGGCTACGCGTGGACGGTTTCTTCGGGGACCATCCTCGTCTTGATCTTGATGTGAAGCGCGAAGACGCTTGCCAAAGGGCGAATTCTTGAGGCCAGACATGGTCACGGCGCGAGGTTTGTTAATTGTGTCGACTGTTGGATAGATGAATTGGATGAGGTTTTGATAACACAGCAAAATATGAGCAGAAATCAGTCGAAACCTAGCATCAATGTGGTAGTAGCAGACAAAAAGCCCAGAAGACGGCGACGGAGGGTGGAGGACGAAGGAAACAACCCCAGTCGCTCAGTCTGGCTGACTATGCCGCGACGCGTCTTATGTCAGCGACTGTGGCACAACGCCGCAACCCAGATTTCTTCGCCGACCGGTCGAATATCGAGGATTCCTGAAGGACTGTAGCAGCGCGGCACATCGTGCAGAGTATCTATGGCAAGTGAGCAAGAGTTGGTGAAGTCGGTAGGATTTCGGAGCAAGAACAGACCATGGAGGGAATTGTGGTCCTTCGGCGTGTGGCGCTCTATTCTAGACGGAGCTGGCGGAGCTTGTAGTCCCGCTTTGTTTCACTACCGCCACCGCGTGCCACTTCCGGATGGAGTGAGGATGAATGTGAGTGCAGCCCGCGCAGAGTCTCTCTCCGTCCATCCATCTAATGTCGACGCTTGAACCGCAACCGTCATGCAGAATCTCCTCAGGACATTAACCGCAAGCCAGCTCAAGTCCTCTCTACCCGAGACCGATCTCAAGTTACTCTTAAGCGCCGTAAAGGAAAGCCGCGTGAGTATCCACCTACTATGCCATGACTTGCACATAACAAACTTGTCGCAGCGACAAAGCAGCGATGTGGCCAAGCTTGGAGATGCGTTCTATGATTCCCTGGAAGGTCTACTCCTCGACCTCCGCACGATAACACCGGTACGTTCGCGTCGCGTTTTGGCCTCACGCCTACTCACGTCGCACGTGCAGGACAACCATGACGCGGAGGCCTTCCTCAAACCGGTGTCCAAGACAGATGTGCCAGATTATTACGATGGTATGTGGGCACGCTGCGCACTGCGCATATTCGCCCGATACTGATGGAAACTCAGTTATCGCGAATCCCATGGACTTGCAGACTATGCTCAGGAAGGTCAAGCAGAAGCAATATAAATCCAAGAGAGAGTTCAAGGATGACTTAGACCTGATATGGTCCAATTGTTTCACCTACAACGCCACCGAAGTGAGAAACCCTGGTATGACCGTTATCATGTTATTCACGGGTACTGCAGAACCATCCGTTGCGCATGTGCGCCAGGCGCCTCAAGGTCAAAGCTGAGAAGCTCCTGAAGAACATCACTGATTGGAAGGAACGCGCCGATCCTGTCATCCCCGCTGATATCTCCATTCGCTGTGTTACCCCGCTGTTGAATGGTGTGACTGTCAACGGCCATGGTCCCCCATATACTCCCGCATTGATGAAGTCCCCTAGTCCGGTAAAGCAGCCGTCCGTCGTCGTCACGAGTAGAAAAGCCCGCCGAGACTTGCCCTTCCAAGATTCTCCTGCCATCGTTCGCACGCCTGCTGGAATGGCAACGTTCTTGAGTCTGGATGGGGATTTTACTCAGGAAGCTGGGAAGCCAGCTATACCCAACGGTGTCGAATATTCGACGGCTGACCTGGCCACACGGTTGGGCGAGTACGCATTACTGTCTGATGATGAAGGCGAATCTAGTGGATGCAAATATCCGGAAGTTTCGTTAAAGACCATTGAAGGGGAAGTAGGAACGAAGCGGAAGTTGTGCGTCATGGCGACTCAAAGATGTCTGTAATCACTGACGTGGCGTGCATTGTGTAGGAACGGCTATGTTGACAACCGTCCTCGGAAACGCGCCCGGACGCATACTCCGGTCGAGAAGGAGGTGGTCGAATTGTGGTGGGACGCCATGCAGTCCGACGAACTGCTGGGAAATGGTCTCCCCACTCTCGCGCACGCATCGTCAGAACCGATACCCAGTCCTTCACCGCTCAAGCCTATAACTGACCAACCTCGAGAAGCTACTCGTCGGAAGAAAAAGAGGAAGAAGGACGAGCTAGCTCAAAGCAGCCTCTTGTTCCACATGAACAACAATATTCGAACGTTGAAGCGGGTGCGGACAACTCATGCCAAGTTCTCTGCTCTAAAGCAGTCCACCGAAGAGGGAAATTCCCTAGCAGTTCCGCCTGATCTTGCGGTGGAGGACGTCGAGGATGTTGTAGATGAACGGCCCTGGAGGCCAATGGGTTCTGGCATCGACATTGGCGAGGAAAATGCGGACGATTGTTTGCATTGGATGGGGAGCAAGGTTCTCGAACATGCCGGCTTCCAAGGTATCATCATGTTCCCAGCTGAATGACAATGTGACTCATATGTCATTGTCTTCAGGGACGTCTAAAGCAGCCTTAGACGTTTTGGCGAGCGTTACATCGGAATATCTCTTGAACGTTGGACGGACCATTCATTTTCTATGCGATAAGTATGCAGACAAGATGACTTCGGAGGTATGTGACATGTCCTTGATTTGGTCACCTCTTTTCAGAATTACCCGTAGGAAATTATTTTGCATACCTTATTTGAGAGCGGGACAACTAGAATCAACGAACTTGAACGGTATATTAACGATGATATCATTCGGTACGGGGGCAGATTGGCCGAGTTGGAGAAGAAGCTTGGCAATGCCTATCGAGAAGCTGTATGTCATCGTCCCCGAGGCTTCGTTCATCTTGCTGATCCTTCCTTCTGCAGACCACAGAGGAGGCTTGGGACGATGATGCGTTGTTCCACAATGCGGAGGATGAAGCGGAAGAGGGAGAGTTTGTCATGTATGTATTCATTTATGCCTTCCGGATGAACTGTTGATGCTGATGTTCTTTTGTAGGGGCAATTTCGCAGATTCGTTCGGCGAAGACTTCCTTGGTCTCCGCGAGTTAGGTATCGCTGCCGAGTTCGGTTTGTCAAGTCTTACGATCCCGAAGAGGTTGCTCAAAGGCAAGGGCAACCAAGGGAACAAAGAGGGACCTTCTGCGTATGTTCTAGTCTTCCATAACTGCTCCTCCAACGCTAATGATGTCGCCAACAGCGCCAAGCCTTCAGAGCCTCCACCACCTTTCCCACCACCACCACCATTTGTACCTTTCAACTCTCAGATGATTGATCACCAGATTGGACTTCTCAAGCCGTACTATCAGCAGCGTTTCTCTTCTCTATCTACGGCTATCGCCCCATCTCAGTCAGCTCTACCTAGTCAGCCACTTGTTCCCGCCCCGACTGTCCTCCCCTCAGCTATGCTTGTTCTTCCTGACGACGCCCCCACTCCGTCACACGCGAAGGTAGGACCTCTAGGTCAGATTCTCAAGGCGGCCCCCTCCGGCGCGTCAAAGAAGAAGCCCAAGGGGAAGGCATCTGGGGCACCGACGAACCAAGCCTCAGAGGCGGACCTTTCCGAATCTCTCGCTCCCAGAGTCTCGGCCGCCGACTCGCCGAAGAAGACGAAGAGCTCGGCTTCTACGAGCAAGAAGAAGTCGAAGCCTTCGGAGTCCTTGCCGCCTGTGGTCATGGCGAGTGCGTGAGCGGGTCGCCGGCGTCCTTCCTGATTATTGTTGTGCGGATGTAAATTATGTTGATTGTGTTGCTGTATCCTTGGGACATCATTTATATTGTGGATCGTAATCGTACTAATACTGTAGCAATATCATTATCACTCAGCTGGTGGTGGCTCCCCGTTACGTGGACCGCAGTCTGGACACAAGACCCTCGTTGTTGTGGACCCACTTCTTAGTAAGGGTCACTCCAGTGAGTGACTGTGACTGTCGTACAGACACCAAGTTTGTGAGTCTCCTCGATTATTTACACTCCAAGATGTGCGATTGAGTATTCTCTCGTAGGACGCAATGGATTGAACTTTGACTAATTATCATGTTTCATAGCTACGGTGAATAGATGGAGTTGCGTAGAGTAGAAATTAGTACACATGTGAGTATGGGAGGTTTTTTCTGGTGACTCGCTATGACTCGTAGCCGCCCTGATCCAGTCATCGATTAAATATTCTCTCGACTTCAGAGAGTATCAAACAGACAGTCACATTCAGACCTTGCTATGTCTTTCGCTCTGCATGACAGTAAGTTGCGAACAATTGCTACATCTTCACACAGTGACTTATCTTTTCTCCAGCTGCAGCTCCTTTCGATTTTCCGAAGGAAGAGGAGAAGGTAATCGCCTATTGGAAGGCTATCGATGCCTTCAAGACAAGCTTGAAGCTGTCTGAAGGTAGGCCTGAATATTCTTTCTACGACGGTCCGCCGTTTGCTACTGGCCTGCCCCACTATGGACACTTGCTCGCGGGGACGATTAAAGTACGTATCTGAATCAAAGAGTACGACGTGGATCTATCATCACATGAGTGCTTATGACCCTCAGGATATCGTTACCAGACACGCTCATGCAAACGGATTTCATGTATCACGACGCTTTGGCTGGGATACACACGGTCTTCCGGTCGAGCATGAGATCGACAAAAAGTTGGGCATCACGGGCAAACAGGACGTATTGGCTATGGGTATCGACAAGTACAACGCCGAGTGTCGAAGTATTGTCATGCGGTATTCGTCTGAGTGGCGACGCACGGTCGAGCGCATGGGACGCTGGATTGACTTCGATAATGACTACAAGACGCTGAATCCATCGTTCATGGAGTCTGTCTGGTGGGCCTTTAGCCAGCTCTTCGAGAAGAATATGGTTTATCGTGGAATGAGAGTGATGCCTTATTCTACGGGTTGCACCACACCGTTGTCCCATTTCGAAGCGGAGCAGAATTATCAAGTGGTCAGCGATCCCGCTAGTCAGTCCACATTCTTCCGCATATTGCAGTCATTGTCATGCCTTAAACAATGGTGTACAGTTACGGTTGCTTTTCCCCTGGTGAATGATCCTGGTACCTCGTTGTTGGCCTGGACTACTACGCCGTACACCTTACCATCAAATTTGGCCCTCTGCGTGAACCCTGAATTTACTTATGTGAAGATCCACGATCAGGAGCGTGACATATATTTCATCCTGCATGAAGGTTTGCTCAGAGCACTGTACAAGGACCTCAAGAAAGCCAAGTATAAGAGGGTCGGCCAGTACCGAGGGTCAGACATGTACGGTTGGAGATATGTCCCATTATTTGAATATTTCACTGACAAGGTAACCTGATGCATATATCTCTTTTTTCCTTCCATCCCGTGTCTAATATTTTCAGTTCCAAGATAGGGCGTTCAGAGTCGTCGTAGACCCCTACGTGACAGATGTTGACGGTACGGGTATCGTTCATCAAGCGCCCGGTTTTGGAGCAGAAGACCTCCGAGTTGCTATAGCCAATGGGATTGTTCAGCAGGATGAAATGCCACCCTGCCCCATTGATGAATCTGGCAAATTCACCAAAGAAATACCGGACCTAGAGGGACGCTATGTTAAGGTATGTGGCGCGGTCGACCTCAACGCTCGTAAGAATATATTCTTTATTTTTAGGATGCAGACAAAGAAATCCAGAAAATTGTCAGGGCGAAGGGCCGGCTGATAGTACAGTCGACCATTCAACACCGATATCCATTCTGTTGGAGGTGCATTAGGGTATTTCTGCTCATTTTATCTATTTGATCAACGTTCCAATAAAGGTCGGGTACCCCACTAATCTACCGGACTGTGCCTGCATGGTTCGTTCGCGTCCAGCCTATTATCGATCATTTGGTAGCGAACAATCGAGAGACAAGATGGTTCGTATTATGCAGGTTACCTCTTAGTGCTATCCAGAGTAATACTGCCATCTTTGCAGGGTGCCACAAGCGATCGGAGAGGGCAGGTTTGGAAACTGGCTCGCCAACGCTAGGGACTGGAACGTATCGAGGAATCGCTATTGGGGCACGCCCATCCCGCTGTGGGCGAGTGATGACATGGAGGAGGTTCGTCATGCATTTGGGAGATCGATCAGTGTCCTGAGGAGGCGATCACATCTAGATTGTTTGCGTTGGTTCTATTGAAGCGTTGGAACGACTTTCCGGGACCAGAAATATCAATGACCTTCACCGAGACAAAATCGACCACATCACAATTCCTTCGCAGAAAGGCAAGGGCACTCTGAGACGTATTGAAGAGGTTTTCGATTGCTGGTTCGAGTCTGGAAGGTAGGTCTGGGCACGTCGGACCGGCAAGGTCTCATCGTTTATGCCTTTTGTCCCGCAGTATGCCGTATGCTCAGGTTCATTATCCCTTCGAGAACAAGGAGTTATTTGAAAAGACTTTCCCTGGCGATTTTGTCTCTGAGGGCATTGACCAAACCCGAGGATGGTTTTACACCTTGCTCGTACTGTCTACTCACCTGTTTGGTCGGGCGCCCTGGAAGAATTTGATAGTTACTGGCCTCGTTCTCGCAGAGTGAGTCGCCAGTCGCTGTACACTCTCCTTTACATGACCTGATGGTTGTGCAGGAACGGCAAGAAGATGAGCAAGAGTGCAAGGAATTATCCGGATCCTAACCTCATGTTCGATAAATATGGCGCTGACGCTACAAGGTATAAGCCAGTGCCAATACCTCCCTGAAGCTTCTAAATGGCTTGCACTTATACGGTTGCACTTGTCACAGGATGTTCCTCGTGAACTCTCCCGTTGTACGCGGCGACAACCTCCGCTTCCGAGAGGATGGGGTCCGCGAAGTAGTGTCCCGCGTTCTTCTACCTTGGTTAAACTCCTTCCGTTTCTTCCTAGGACAAGTAGCGTTATTGAAGAAGACTAGTGGAATAGATTTCAGATACGACCCGCACGCGCCAGTCTCTGGCAATGTCATGGACAGGTGGATTTTGGCTCGCTGTCAGTCTCTAATTTACCTTGTCCGTGAAGAGATGGCAGCGTATAGGTTATATACCATCATTCCTAGTCTCCTTGAGTTGATAGATGATCTCACCAATTGGTATATTCGTCTCAATCGCAAACGGCTGAAGGGAGAAGACGGAAAACAGGACACGATGGCTGCCCTGAACACCCTGTTCGAGACTCTCCTCACCCTTTGCAAAACAATGGTGCGCATTGTCTCATTAAATCAGCTTCGATCATACTGACAAAATACTGGCGAATCGCGGCCTTCAGTCGTCCTACACACCCTTCTTGACTGAACACATGTATCAGTCGTTGCGATCGTTCATCCCGGAGGATCCCGCTGCAGGCGATCAACGATCGATTCACTTCCTCAGCTTTCCTGAAGTCAAGCAAGAGTACTTCGACTCCGAGATCGAGCAGCGAGTGCGTAGGATGCAAGCAGTCATCGAGTTGACTCGCAACATCAGAGAACGGCATGGTCTATCACTGAAGGTCAGTCCCGTGCTGAACCTGACTGGACAGTTCACCGATCCCCTCTACAGACGCCGCTCAAAGAGCTGCTGGTCTTTCATGCGGACATGCGCTACCTTAGTGATGTGCGCTCTCTGCAGCGCTACATTCAGTCTGAACTTAATGTCCGCAACGTTATCTTCACATCCGATGAGACCGTTTCAGGCGTGCGCTACCGAGCTGTCGCGGACTGGAGCGTTCTGGGAAGGAAGCTGAGAAAAGACCTTGGGCGGGTGAAGAAGGCTTTGCCTGATGTCTCGAGCGACGAGATCAAAGTCTATCTCAAGGCAGGGCAAATTACGGTAGATGGAATTCAGCTCATCGCTGGCGATCTGGTGGTCCAACGCTATATCAAATTACCTCCTACCTCGGAGCAGCAATATGACACTCATACCGACAATGATGTCGTAGTCAGACTTGACATCCAAGTCCATCCTGAACTGACGGGAGAATGGCTTGTTAGGGAGCTCATCAACAGGATCCAAAGGCTGCGGAAGAAGGCCAGTCTGCAAGCTACGGACAATGTGGACATATTTTACTGCTTCACGGAGGGGAAGGCTGTGGAGCTAGTGGAAGCAATGGCGGAGAATGCGGAACTCATCACAAGAACGGTAGGTGCAATGCCCGCTGATACCAGAGAGATGAAGGAGAAGAAAGAAAGTATTGTCGAGGAGGAGCAGGAGGTAGCTGACATGAGGTTCATGCTGTCTCTGGCATGGCCTTAGAGCACACACTGGTCGACAAGAGGTGGCCCGAGCGTCCTGTATGTGATATGTGGACTTGGTTGTACAGAGCTCGTTCGTTGTGTCTCCATGATATGGGATTCTCGCCGAATTGTTATCTGTTTCCACCCACAATGGCAGAGAGGGTTAGATAGACAAGTGGTCTATGTAGGACAATTCAATTGCCTGGTGTTTCGTGGAGCAACCACCACCTATTATTGGCAATTGTTGGACGTGCCAGCCGCTGCCAGTGCGTTGCACGTGAATGTTTCAACCTCAATACAACACCTGCCATAAGTGGACAAGCACTCGATTTCGACGTTCAGTGAGCGCCTGCGCCAAGAGTAGCGGCTAAGAACTTGACTCTTTTCTATCTCAATCTGTGGCTCACGGCCGGTGTGCTGAGCCACCATGGTACACGTCAAACGCGTGGAGCTCCACATGTACGTCGCATCTGTGCGCGGTGGGAAAGAGGAGAGTTTCGAGGTGAGTGCGTACCGCGTCGTCGTCTCCCTGGTCTGAACTAATGGACCCTACGAGCGTTAGGAGCTCCGCGTCGAAGACTATATCCATGCATACGAAAAGACTGGGAAACCCCCAGCACCGTGCCCTCAAGTGCCAACCGACGACGCTGAGCGCGCCACGCTTGGTCTGCCACCTTTGTTCAAGCCTCGGACGGTCGTGCCACCCGAATTCCCAGAAACGCATGTCTTCCGGCCGACGGCTGACCCGTATGACAAGCATAACGTGTTTCATTCCATCGTCTTCCAGCCCGATTTCTGCAATTGGTCTTTCGAGGTGAGTCTCTGTCGTCATAATGCGATTCAGTACTCGATTCTGACGCCACTCGTCAATGTTGCCCCTATCTGTGGCGGACTCAAGGAATTGCGGTGCTCGGCATATGCAGACGATAAGAAGTACATGCCCGTGCCCGTCGTACACAAAGTATCACCCGGTGCGTAACAGTTCGCCACGCATTTAACAGCAACGCGCTCAACATCTTATATCACAGCTGTCATAATAGATGGCGAAAAGAACTCAGATTTCCTGGACTGCATCTCTAGCATGCCGGCGTACCAGAAGCACAGCTTCGAGGTGAGCCCCTTGTTACTATTTTACGCTGGCTGGCAGCGCATATTTAATCGCTTTTGCAGGAGTTGCGACTAGCATACATTCGCTATGGCCGACAACTCACCTCTGCGGAGATCTTCTCACGAGCACAGAAGCGCATCAGACCTGCTTGATTACTCCCTTCTCTTCACCCATAGTGCTCATTTATACCTCCACTGTATCATCAGGTCCCTTCTTGTCATCGAATAGCAAAGTACTGTCTTCATGATATATAACAATAGTACATTATTTGCGTTGGAATGCTACAGCTGTGCCGTATGATACGGTCAGGACGCTCCAGGCGTGCCGAAGTGTTCACCGTCTAACGCTCGACAGCCACGACCATAGCCTAGCGATGCGCTCCGCCCTCTCAGCTTCGTCCTCGGACACCTCGCCCTTCCAGACACTAAGTACACTCTCCTCCTCATCGATGTAGCGGAGAACCGTCTCAACGCTCTTGCCCGACACAAAGGCTAGATAACAGCCGGCGATGCACATTGCATCCGTGGTCCGAAGGCTGGGGGTGGCGACGAGGATACGCACGTCCCCGCCCGATGTTTGGCTTGCGGACGCATAGGGGAGCGTCTGCCCCAGGAAGTCTCTAGAGGCGCGCAGCTGCTGGTCGGTGAGCGCGAGACCCGCTCGCTGGGAGATATCGTCGACGCGTGCGGACGACGGAAGGGTGAGACACAGCCTCTGCAGTCGGCCCTCGAGCGCATGCTCGATCGAGCCCGCGACGAACTCGTGGGCGTCATCAGCGGGGTAGCAGACGTCGACGACGTGGGTATAGCCCTCTGCGAGGAGCTGCGTCGCATCGCTCCTCAAACCCGTATTGAAGGCGATGGATAGGCCGGGGATGATGTCTTGCACACATCTGTCGACGACTTTCGGCGGCTCCCTCGTGGGGGCCACGACGGCAGCTTCTGCGACATGCTCTTCCTCGTGGAAGATGGTACGCTTGGCGCCCTTGCGTCTGCGAGGAAGATTGTTACGATGCGGCTGAATGTGGCCCTTCTGCGATCGCGGAGCGGTGTGCTCTGGTTGAGTGAAGGTGGTCTTGATCCTCAGGTTGAAGCCGCAACGCTCCCTGAGCGGACGGCGCAGACTGGGGAGCGGCGGGGGAAATTGGACGAGGGGTGTCGATGGATAGTGGTGGATCGGGGGTACGGAAGACGAGGACACGGGAGTGAGGGACAGTGTCAAAGTCGCGGCAGCCATTGCGGTAAGATAGTGGAATGAGTGGTGTATGTGATTTATCTTGACGAGTTGCTGTATCAGGCGATATATTCAAGTCGCAGACTCGAGGTGTGTTCTTCTGAGGGGCAAGAGATCGCGCGGAAGAAGTTTATATATGGCTTTGGAACAGATGGCACGAGGGTGCCACGAACAAACAGATTAGCAACACGAGGTGAGGTGTCGGCAGGAGGCGGTTCCTGAAAAAGGGTGTGTTTGAACGAAGGGGCGATAAGTGAGTGCCGGTGGGATGGGGCTTGATAATTAGGTGGGCACTTGCCACGATACATACCGCCTTTATAGCACGAGCGGCGTGCGGACGAGAGCATTGCACATCCGTGTCGGAGACGGATGTGCATCCTGCCGCCCGTAAGTTGTATCCGTGCACCCTCGCTGTTGGGACACTGAAGAGTACTTGCCCGGCGTCGCTGGTCAGAACTCAAATCTCCGAGCCTGCCTCGGAGATTTGAGCTGGGACCAGCGACACTTGCCCATAGCAGTCCTCCAGTGGTGGCCGTAGAACACCAAACCCTTGTTCTCGATGATTATATTGCACGTTTTGCGTATTTAGGAGCAGCTAGACCAGAGCTGCAGTCTGTGTCGGCGTGGACGGGTTTGAACCTATGATTGGCGTTGTGTGCGCGTCCCGATTTAGGCAGCGCTCACCTTTGATGGCCCATAGTGGCCAAGTATTACACGACTGCGCTCCTCTGATTCTGAATCTTATCCAGGCGGTGCACTCAGCTAGGCTGTGCTCCACGGCGGCTATATAACAAGAGTCGTTGCAATTCGACTCTCTTTATCTCATACCCATCTGTCCTCACTCCAAATCAGATCTTGAATTAACATGTCGTACGGGGTGCGTCTGCTCAACTTGTCGTGTGCTAGGTATGTTGCTCACATGTGCTAGCAGCCTGGACGTGGATACGGAGGCGGTGGATACGCACCTCCTCCTGGTGGCCCCCCAGCTGGATATGCGCCTCCCTCTGGCGCGCCTCCCCCAGGAGCCCCGCCGGCATATGGCGGAGGGTATGGTGGCGGATACGGGGGCGCTCCCGCCAGTGGCTACGGACGATACGGCGGAGAGCCTGGAGGATTTGCCCCAGCGATGACCGCAGGACCTCCTGCCGGTGCTGATCCCCAGTGAGTGTCCGATCTCGACGCGATACACTCCTGTGCACTGATTCGTCTCTGCAGACTATGGAGCTGGTTCACTGCCGTAGATACAGACAGATCAGGCCAGATCAGCCCACATGAGCTTCGTGGGTGCCGCTCTACTTACCTGTGTATTATGTCCTTCTCATTCTCGAACCACAGAGAAGGCGCTGATCAACGGAGATTGGACGCGTGAGTCGTCCAAGATCGCTCAGACTTTGCGGTCAGCTTAAATCGCACCAGCATTTGACCTTGACACTGTGAAACTCCTGATGACTATCTTCGTAAGATCCCAATTCCTTCCTCAGTTGCCTTTCCCCTAATGCATAGACAGGATACGGATCGGAGTGGTTCCGTTGGTTACAACGAGGTTAGTCGATTGTTTTTCTGTGTAATTTCAAGAGTGTGACAGATAATGTCGGCAAAGTTTGCTGGTCTCTGGAAATACATTAAGGTATGGGTCCATTGAAGAACTTTTCCGTATTTTTTCGAATCTCCGGTTTCAGGACTGGCAGCATGTTTTCAAGCACTTCGACCGTGACCGCTCCGGATCCATCGACAAGCGCGAGCTCCAAGATGCGCTGAGGCAGTTCGGTTACAACCTATCTCCCCCGCTACTCGGGCTCGTCGAGCGAAAATACGGTGAGCATCCCCCATCCGAGCTCCCGCTCGCTCTCCTCCTCCCTCTCCTGTGCAATGGTGTGTGTGTAATGTTCACTGACTGTTCTACCCCGTGGGGTAGATGTGAAAGCAGGCTCCGGCGCCGGAGGCCGCGACGACGGGATCACGTTCGACCGCTTCGTGCGCGCGTGCGTCGTCATCAAGCAGCTCACCGAGGCGTTCCAGAAGCTGGACGCCGACCGAGATGGGTGGATCCAGATCAACTACGACCAGTTCATGCAGACGGTGCTCAGCGCGCCGTAGAGCTGGGTCTGGATGAAGCGTGTGTGGACAAAGATCTGTGCATATTTGAATAGTAGGTAGTACTACACTGTTGATTATAGCTGTATTCGTACATGTTCCTTCTCGCGATTGATACTTCTTCGCTCAAAGCTTACGCGTCATTACGCGTACCACGTGATCTGCGCGTCTGATGGTGGCTACGCGATTGTGCTTCTTCAGTTGAACTTGTTTCTCCTTCACGCTTTCCTCATGTTGTTCCAGTCATCGTACGATCCGACTTTAAAGTCGACACAGCAGCTAATCGTTTTCTGTCATGCTGACCAGAGATGCTTGCTACCGCTTCCCCAGAGCTTCGAGGCAAATGTTTTCCGACCCTGCGGTTGACGCGTTTTGACGTCCTTATTGTCACTTCAGGATGCACTCGAGATTGTAAGGGACGAATTTGGCTTGAAGGGTGTGCTGCAATTGGAGACGCAAGATCTTTCCGGCTGGGACGGACAAAGGGTGAAAATCCACGGCGGTGCCTGGAAGGGCATCGCCGAGTTGCTGCGGTCCGTCTCAGTGCGGGAAGTGAAAAACGACATGTCTGAGAGCGTTCTGCAAGGTAAGTGGCCCGCCAGAGCCTTCCAGTCGACGTAATCGACGCGTCCATGTACAATATTCAATAACTTGCGATAGGCCACATCATCTCGAGGCTCTCTAAGGCCTCCGCGTCGCGCAGGTTATCTTCGCGCGTCATCTCTCGGAAGTCGGTCGGTTCAAATGTACAGCAGCAGCTCACACCGTCGTCCTCCGTCTCCTCCCGCGGTGGCCGCAACTCCCCCGTGCCGCGCGTTCATGAAGGTGACAACGCGGAGAGCGGAGACGAGCCAGACTCGGCCACTGAGAAAGGGAGGAGAAGCCCCACACACATGTCTTCCGACGAGGAAAATGTGGACGAAGATATGGACAAAGCCGTCCCTAAGAACGAAGAGGGAGATGCTGAGAACTACCCTGATGCTCCGCAAGGCGGGGCGGCGGATATTCCGCAGCCACCCGCCGAGGAAGAGCGTGAACTCACTCCCCTGCCTGTCGAACACGTTTCTCGGGTATTCCAACGGGAGGACAGAGCGGGCCCGAGCCACTCACGCAGCTCCGTTTCGAGCCAAAGTTTGCCCCCCGTTCGTGTGTCATTCGCTAACAGACGATGATATCATCTGCCAGGTCGTCCGCAGGAAAAGCCACTCAAATCTAGTGCTGAAGACGTGAAGGACAAAGCAGAGAACGTTAAGATGAAGGCGGAAGACGCTAGGGTGAAGGCCAAGGTGAAGACGGAAAAAGCGTCTGTGGCGCTTGCACAGGCGCAGTCGCAGTCACAATCCGAAAGCCAATCGCAGGATGGTACGGGAACCATTTTGCTCATGAGAATACTGACGCGAGCGCAGTGCCAGGCCCATCTGCAGACGACCGTTTCTTGATCTCAGTTGTGTATGGCGACGGCGAAGAGTCCTTGTTCAAAACACGCGGCAGGCACTTGGTATCCAAGGTCCTGATGCAAGCCTGCCGCACGTTCGGGATCGAACATCTCTACAACAGGTGCGTTGATCAGTACAGTGTTTGGGCAGGACTACCGATGAATGTTTCTCCATACACTACAGAGCACATATGGTGTTGATAGTAGAGACCGAAGAAGACGGAGAAACGATAGAGCACCGGTTCTTGTGCTCCAACGAGGATACGATGGCCAGGGCTGGTGCGGAGTCGCACTCCAGGTTTGTCATCCATATCGATGAGGACGTCGAATGAGCCCGTCACCTTGCGGGCGAGGAAAGGACCTTCTCGTCCAATTTTCGTCCCAAAAATATTTTTTTGGATGCTTTGTATTCTCCGCCGCAACCAATGTATCTTGGCATATAGAATGTCTGCATAAGTCTTCAACAAGAACGTTCAAGCTGAGAGTGGCCACTCCGCGTCGCGTCGCGATCACGTGACTTGTTGTACTCCGCAAGACCAAGCCGCTGGTTCTGGCCACCCTTGTCTGCACGCCACTCGTTCAACGATCAACCAAATAATTGCCCTATAACAGACATGTCCTTGTTCCCTATACGTGAATACTTGGCTTATGGTGCAACGTCGTCTTGGAAGCCTTGTTGCGTCACTTCTAGCTCGGCGAGAAGTCCCGCCGCTAAGCAACGTTCAGCTTTGAACTTTTTGAGCCGGTGGCCACCCAGCTCCAAACGGTATTTAAAGGAGCGGCTGCGAAGGAGTCACTTCGACTGAAAAGTCATGCCTTCAACAATCTCCCGACCTGCAACTTACGGTGACCCCTTCGACTTGCTCGGACTCCAGCCTCCCAAGGAGCGTGATATTGATGGAACGCCGGAGTACCTCCGCACGTACTGCGATGCCGTCAGTCGCTGGGTTCCCGGCTTCTCCGATTGGGCAGAGAAATCTCGAACTTTTCATCTTTTGGCGTTGCCACTTGACTATATGCTTTCCGTTCCGCGCATTTTGCAGAAGACGCCATTGGAGTTCGCGGCCGAGGCATACGAATACAGCCGGCCATACCGCAAGCCATCTAAGAGCAATTGGAGTGCACCTCACCAGGTGCCATACAGGCCGCCGCCGCCGCCTTGGTACCATCTCCGTCGGAATGCCTTCTAACGAACACTCTTTCTAACCTCTTGTGTTCGATCCCAACAGCATGGTGCGCGTGAGGTGGTACCACTCCATCGAACACATGGTACCTGATCTGTTCGAGGACTCAGATCTGTTCGAGGACCCAGATCTGTTTGCGGACATTCCGTTGGAGAGCAATGGCGATCTCGACATGCGCATAATCAGGAGATTGTGGAACCTTGAGAATTGTTACGTGAGTCAACGGCCTACAGTTCCTCCGGCGTCGCCGTTGACGTCCATGATCCACAGCCAGTAGATTGGACACGCTTGAAAGTGATGGTCCCGGGCGACCCGGACAGGTTGTCCAGTCTCGCCGTAGAGGTGATGACGAGGGACTTCGACCGCTGCCTCCGCGTCATCGGTATGATTTCCTCTACGCCACGACAGGAGAGCGCTCAACCCCGTATTTCTCCGTATTTCAGAAAGACCAGGCCCCGCGACTCTCCTCGCCCGGGAGAGGAGGGTAATCTTCATCGACAAGTGGCGAACGACAAGGGGAGTATGCGGAGACATGAGCTGGAAGCTCCGCCACTCTCCACGTGCCCGGTTTGAGCTGCTCTCGATGCTAGTAACGCTTGTCGTGGCATACCTTGCGCTGCGGTATGCGATCAAGATGGCGGTCCGTGCCGTTGTCGGTATCCCTCATACCATAGCAGTCACAGCCAAAGCTGCGTGGCATTATGGGATACAGAACCACAAGGTCGTGTTACTTGGCGTCGTGCTCGCATTTGTGATGCTAGATCTCATGAAGCAACGGAGGCCAATATCCGCAGAGGCTATTGTATTGCGTATTGCGCCTGTCGTGATTGCTAGCTTCATTGGATGCTGGTGTTGAGGAGAAGGCGAAGGGGTGAGGGTGAGGAAGGAAAAGTATGCCATCCTGTACGTTATTCCCGGTGTTGCGATATGGTGCTGTCCTTTTGGACATGGACTCATTATGACCTATATGCTCTATGTCTTATGCCTTACCACCAATATGCTTTGTCCTTCCAGAAAATTGCGCTGAGTGAACGAGCTGGTCGGATGCGAAAGCGAACATTCACAACGAAGAGTAATGGGTCTTGCTGTATCTGGTTTGCAGTCTTCTGAATCCTCCATCTCTAGATGACATGTAAACTTGCAGCATACTGCTAACGACACGTCAAAGACACAGGCCTCACCGTGGACGCCAAGATTGAATTCAGGATAAACAAAGTTGCATGATCCCCCCCGTTTAATTCACTTCTTGCCCCTCGCCATCTTCCAGTAGGTATCTCTGCACGCCGTCCTCGCGAGTCCATGGCACCTCATCCTCCCAATGACTGATGACCACACACGCTTGAGTTGACGACAGTCCTCCTCCGCCGTCCTTCAGGTATCGCTTCGCCGCCGTCACCATATTCTCGTCCATCCCGGACCACACCTCGTCCAGCAGCACGAGCGGCGGCTGACCGACCAGAGCGCGCATGAGTAGCACAATGCCCTGCTCGCCCGGCGAGAGGTCGACGAACATGCACTTGGAAAATTCCTTGTCCTCGTCGGCTTCGTACGAACCGTCAGGTATCTGGCCCTTCCACGCTCTCGGCCCAAGCCCTTCCAGCACCTGCCACATCCGCCTCAGTCTGTAATGCTCCAACGCGGACCCAGGCACGATCGCAGAGCTGTCCTCGTTCGTGCCAATGCGCAGGCGGCCCTGCGGTACAAAGTTGCCACTGAAGCCCGTGCCGATCACGTCCCAGACGGTCATGCCCCGCCTACGCGGGAACGCGTTGTGCAGCTCTGGCGATACGCGCCCGATGCGCAGGGCGAGGTTCGCGGCGGGCCATTGGTCGCGCTCCCGCCCGAAGAGCTGCAGGTGCTCGGACTGCGTGTACGACTGCGGGTGCTCGCCCGTGAGCATTGCGAGGAGCGTCGTTTTGCCCGAGCCATTGGCGCCCATGAGGTGCCACCGCGAATTCTCGCGGATGGCCCAGTTGATATTGCGGAGGACGTGGCGCGCGCCATAGCTCACGTTCAGGTGTGCCATGCGAACTACTTCGGTGCAAACCTGTCTGGCGTGGAGTGATTTGCTCGCAGTGGGTACAACGGGGTGAGCATGGCCTCCTCTAATCATATCCTCTCTCGTGCAAGTCTTGACCGTGCGGTGGGGGCTTATTAGGGCAACATGCGATATCCACTCTGGAAGCAAATCCTGATGACGCATGCCGAGGATGATGTGAGGGGAATGCGGACAGTCGGAGAAATGTAAGGATTTCAGGAAATCGAGCAGCAAACGTCTTGTACCCACATCCAGACCGGCTGGTGGGTGGATGCGAGTGAATACGTGCGGGAATCGTAGGGATAAGCGCTCGACTCACTTAGCGGTTCGTCCAATATTAACACAGATGGTCTATTGAGAATATGCTGAACAATTCGCGCTTTACGCGTCTGGCCATTACTCAGCGCGATAACCGGTAGGTCGAGCAGGTCTGTCAGTTCTAGTTGGGTAGTTAGTTGTTCGAACAACTCGTGCTTCATCTTCCGTTCATGTTCATCTAACGACACTGTACCGGTTGCATTTTTGAATAGCTCTGGACGAGCAAGATGCTCCGGAGGACGGGCTGTTTCGGGAAAATACACTTCGCGTAACGTTCTTTTGTGTTCCTGGCGTAGTGCACCATACCGTGCAGTGTAATCTTGGAAACCCGTTCCTGCGGAGTGATCCCTATGCGCGAAGGAGACAAGACGCACATGATGATGTGGATCTTTGTCACTGAGGAAAGGATAAAGGCCCTTCACTGGGAAGGGATGTAACCTGCGGTGACCAAGAAGTGCTTCGAGGATATCTCTTTTACTTGCACCAAACCCAGAGTTGATGACAGCCCATGCCTCATTGGAACGAATTGTCCACGATACGTTGTGCAAAACAGGTTCCGCTTCGTCGGAAGCTCCGTGGGCATAAACGGAAGTATTGGGCATGTGCAAGATGAGGGGAGATGACTCGGCCGAGGCTGAGCGAGAAGACTTGCTATAGAGTCGAGATGCGCATGGCCTGTGTGAGAGGGGGCGGAACGCACAACCAGGAGTCGCCCGGAAGGTAGGCCATTGCATACCGATGTTGAAGAGCCTTGAACGATCCGGTGGCTGTCGAAGATGGTCTCTGCACGTAAAGTTAGTATGAGAATTACGTAAGCCAGCCGTATGTTTAAATCTCATTTCTGGATCTCACCAGGTTCATCCCTCACACGGCCTCGGTGATCGCAGCCGAGGCACCAGCGCGCGGCCCTCTGAAAAAAAACATCAAGCAGGACGATGTGCAATTCGATTGACAAATCCCTAATGAATCGGCATATACCCTTCTGCTCTTGATAATCCCCTCGATCGGCGAAGTTCGTCTCCACCAGAGTGGTTACAGGTGTGGCTGCTGTTTTAGGCTCAGACGTCATGGCATACTGGGTTGTGGTATATAAGGAGGGCCAACATTGCCACTGTCTCCTCAGTTCCAGCCTCGACTTTCCAGCTCTTTAGTAAGCCTCGTAACATAAACCCCTATTCTCATACATCATGCCTTCCTACGTCGTCACTGGTGCCTCTCGTGGTCTCGGGGTATGTTCGTCCTTGTGTCGCAGCGAACTACTTCACTCTGACGTATCTGCCCTTCAGCTCGAATTTGTTCGTCAGCTGGTACGGCGAAATCCATTAGCCTTGGTGGAACGCAACGCTGATTCTACTGCTGATATACAGAGCGCCAACAGGGAGAACACAGTTTTCGGACTGGTTCGCAACCTTGCTGGCTCTCCCGCCCTGCTCGAGCTCCAGAAAAGCAGGAGCAACCTTCACGTTCTCAAGGCCGACATTCTGGACCTTCCCGCACTCGAGGTAATTAACAACGAGGATTTTCTGTGGCTGTTAGGGACGTTTCTCACCTCGCTGCAGGCTGCTGCCGCTGATATTGCAAAAATTACCGGAGGCTCGTTGGACTATCTGATCAACAACGCTGCATACGTCGATGACGAGACGAGGGAAATCTCTCTTGACGCCTTGTAAGTTTTTCCACCGCATGTTTAACTTCGGTGCCTTATAATATGTGATTTCAGCCCTGACGAAAAGACGCTTGCAGAGGGCATGCAGAAGTCGGTAAGGCTCTCCTTTTCCCGGTCCCTTGACCATGTATTCATGGTTGTCCCCACGCACAGTTCAACGTTAACGTCATCGGGGTACTCCACACTACCAACACGTTCCTGCCGCTCCTGAAGAAGGGCTCGGTCAAGAAGGTCGTCTCCTTGAGCACCGGCCTCGCCGACCTCGAGTTCACACGCGCCTCCGGGAGTGCCGTGCACGTCCCGTACTCCGTCTCGAAGGCTGCCCTCAACATGGTGGTCGTGAAGTACGGTGCGCGCTTCAAGGACGAGGGGTTCACCTTCCTTGCGATCTCCCCTGGCCTCGTCAACACCAGTCTGCGCCCTCGTATGTTGTTGGTCCTTTTTCGTCTGTCTCTATGGCTCTCACTTCTTCGTATTCGCCTTCAACGCCGATTTACAGCCACCCCGGAGGAGCTCGTAGGTATCAAGCAGATGGTCACGCAGTTCATGTCGGCAGCTCCGGGCTGGAATGGCCAGCCGATCACGCCGGAGGTTTCTGTTAAGCACATGCTCGACACGATCCGTAAGACGACTGTCGCCGACACCGGCGCCTTCATCTCGCACTTCGGTAACAAGCAATGGCTGTAGGCTTTGAGGCGTCCGTGTCATTACTGAGTCCGAGTCGAGTGTATCTGTAGATTCTGTACGTACTCGTGAAATTCGCAGTGTGTTTTAGTGTCTGTCCTAGACGTGACGTTGTGCCATTCACGACTGCATGGAAGGATGTTGACATCGCAGCGGATGCAAAAAACGAAATCATGACACAAAGCGGGAGGCCGGTCGCGAGATCTAGGCAGAGGTTCCGGATACAGGGGAAACATCCCGTACTGGTATTAACACTGAGACAGATAGGTGCAATAAGTCACAATTAGGCAGGCAAGTCCGTCATCTAGCATCTTGCGGATATGGTATCATGAAGCTCTCGCCTAGAAGTCCGAGCCACTCGCAAGCAGCGAGTATGTAACAGGATAACACAGCACAGTACCGACGCAAAGAGAGGAGGCTTAGAGAGAGCGTGAAGTCCGTGAGCACAAGGCGTAGGATACATATAGGGTACGCAGAAATGACAGAACGGGAAGGGAAAGACTGATACTATGACGATACAGGGAATGGGAATGTCAGTGGGTTGCTGAGTTCTGCGTCGAGGACGGGAGGATCCAATGGTATGCTGTCTTTCTCAGGAGGGTCTGGGACTATGTCCATATCTTCATCCTCCTCTGGGATGGGCTCTTCGAAATCATACTCGTCTTGATCATGATCAAGCTCAGCTTCGTGATCTTGATCGACATCGGTGTCGAAAATCATATGGAACTATTGGGTGATGGGTGGTCAGTTGAAAACATATACGACGGTGCACGACAACTGACATGTGCTATGAGCAATTTCGTGACGCGATGCGCAGCACTCATGTTTGCAAAAAATGCCCCCAGGTCGTTGTTAGGTGAACGTAAGAAGTTGGGACTGAACACAGTCGCAAGGGATTCGGCGGTCATTTGGTTGTTCTCTTCGAAATCAGTCACCCTATCCCCAGAGTGAGCTCCAATTATGATCGATAAGCAAGGGTCAGCCATACTTCTCTAGATGTTCAACAATCCGCCTGAGAAGGTCGAAATTCGGATCAGGAAGTCCATGCACAACTTTGCGGATATGTGACAGTCGTGTATCGAGGTCGACACCGTCGAGCGCTAGTTTCCCAGAGCACAATTATCAGCACACAAAACCGCCAGTGAAGGGTGGCAATACTCACCGGCAGCTGACAGAATCTCGCTGTAGGAGGCTGATGGAAAGACCCCACCAGGGAGAACCCGGAACCACGATTTGACAAGATCGCACACAGCGTGAACGTCCGTAGATTCACTGATGGGCCATTCGCCTGCAAGTCAACGAATTTGAGCATGCCAAGTAGAATCTCAGATTATAGCGGCAGTTTCATACCTCTGTTCAAGGCGTCTCTGCAAGCATTGACTTCAGAATGGGCACCAGCGATACGATCTATCAAAGCTTATGAGACCCGTTGGGAACTTATCCACCCACGAGACTTACATATGCCTATCTCGGTAAGACCCCGGCTTTCCACTTCACAGATCAGACGCTCGATGACAGATGGGATAGCACCAGGCTGTACTTCACAGTCTGGAGCTTCTCGCTCGAGCAGAAACTCGAGTTCGACTCCAAATACTGCAGTAAAGGTTAGTTGGAGGACATTGTCGTAACAAGGACTACGCACCAGCCACAGGATCTCTAGACGCTGTTGCAGGTTTACTTAAGAGATGATCCGAAAGTTGCATCTTAGAATTTTGCCCTAAGTAAGTCAAGCGACGCTTGGCAGCCGTCTTCGATACATGCTGGATGGTGTCCATCCACTTCTTCATCTCTGGTTTACCAATAGCTTGCAGCAAGCAGTGCCCTCCATCGTCGGTGTCGAGTTGGAACGTAAACGAGCGCTCATTGTTGACGAAGTGAGATACTCGTGCATCAACAACGCTCAATACCAACGAAGGCTTCTGCGCTGGAGTGAAGTCTAGCTCGGCTGGTGTTCGTTTGGACATGGCCGACACGCTCTCAGACGAGAATGCACTCGAAATTGGCCGCATCAGTTGGAAGAACGCAGATGACATACTCTTCTTGTTCCGGTGTTGCTTTTGGACCGATGTAAATTGTCGTCTAGTGTTCATCGCCTTGTTGAGATATTCTTCCCGCTTGTCGTTCCGCTGCTGTTCTAGTCGTTTCTCTCTGCTTAGTCGATCTTTCAGGTACCTGTCTCGCTTGTTCTTCTCTTGTTGAAGAGAAACCAAACCATGGAAGGGACGTTGAATTCGTTTTGGGATCGACGATCCAGGAGGGCCAGCTTGCGTAGCTTCACGATGGGCCTCTTCGCGGATGACCCGGAAGTCAAAATGCGTGGAATTCATCTCTTTCTCGATGCGATTCAAGCGTTCAAAGTCGTGCCGGTCCACATTGTGTCGCCGATTCCTGCGTTTTGCTATAGGTCCTGCAGTAGTCTTGATGAGAGTATGCAGAGACCTTGTCAGAGAATGAATAGTCTGGTTAGTTAGCGACACGCGTGCCTGATATTGCGCGCACCTGCGTTTGTCAAAGTTTACCAGACCCACGGACTCCTGGTTCGTGGACTCTAAGATATCGGGGGTGCTGATGATTTCCAGCATCTTGTCCAAGACCCATCCTACGTCCACGACAAGGCTACCTCGTGATGTAATAGACGTGATAGCCGGTTTATTCAACAAAGCGTACAACGTGTCGCATGAAGTGCCGCGTGCAGAGGCAACAATTTGCCACGCACGTTGATACATGCGACTCTCAACGCTGAGGACGGCTGACGTGAGGATTGCTTCCACGAAGGTTCGGGTGCAAGGACGGTCCGGAAGCGGGAGATGTGATGGGCCAGACTCGCTACGGAGGCGACAGACCTCAATGGCTTGCATTATCAATTCCATCCTTGCATGTCTCGCGCGAAGACCCAACTTGGGGGTTATCAGTTTGGACAGTAGCCATTTACGGAGTATACCGAATGCTCTGATGCAACTTCGGATGGAAGGGGGAAGCAAGCGGTAAAGGCAATCTTGAGACATCTCAGAGATGAGTGACGATGGTTCTATCTCCATGATGTAGGCGTCCATGAACTGAATCTCCACTTCGTCTGCGATAGAACTGGGATCACGAGGAAGGAACCATCCAGTGCGGTCTGCAGACTGAATCTCGAGCAGATCGGCAGTAACAAACAGGTCCTACGGAAAAAAGCCGTTCAAATGGAAATACTGGAATAGGTTCATACAAACGTACCTCTTCGCTAACGTTACGAAAAGCAGCTGATACCATCGCATCCAGGTTGTTGACCAATTCTTCCGGGTCGATTTGATCAATCTCCGGAGGTTCAGAACTGAAACTTCGGATACCCAGGCCATTCATAGAACTCTCGGATATGGGGAGGATGGAAGCCAATGGTCTCATGGTTTGGGAAGTGAAAGATAGTTGCACATTCTTCCTGATCTGGTCAAGGAAGTTGAGCGCTTGCGGAAAGTTGGGAACATTAGTCGAGCTTGGGAGAGCATGATCTGGGGAGTGCCTGAAGAAACTGTCAAACGAATTGAAAAGGTGGACGTCATCCAAGGCATCTTGAGCTCCACCGCCCCGGTTGATCCATTCGTTCATGGTCTCCAGTATCTCCGAACGAATTTTCACAACGCGAGATACTTCCGCAGCTGAAGGGGTGGCACCGAGATGCGCACCAATATATTGCTTTCGCAACAACTGGCAATTGACAGTGAGGAAAGATCATACCGAATCGTGGTTTAAACGTATGCGTACCTCGAATAAGACCTGTGGCGTCACAAAGCTGCGAAACACGTTCCACCAGACTTGGAAGAAGTCGTCCATATCGACTTTAACTTCCCTTACCTTCTTGTCATTTAGCGGCATCTCGCCATTATCATCTGCGACAGAGACGGATATGCCTTGAAGACCATGTGCAAGTACGTCCACAAGACGATCAAGGGTACCAGCCTGCACTACGACACGAAGAGGTCTTTCGGAGCTTACTTCGCTAACCACAAGGCTTGTTCTCTGAGACATTGAAGGCAGAGAATTGCGACGGATGACACTTGGTTTCCGTTCCAATACATGAGAGGAGCCAGGTGTCACTCTCATCGACGGTGTACGCCCAATTGTCTTCTCCGGGGGCGCATGATCTACGACGGAGCTGGGAGGACGCGACGCAGTTCGTGAACCAGGGCGCGAACATGGTACGGTATCTGCACCTGGTTGAACAAGGAGAAGAAGTTCGCCATTGAAGACAGGTAGAATAGTGCCGCCGAGATCGAGGCTGTTCGGCTTAGCGGGCTCCACGCTATCATTGCAGGACTTCAGTCGTACTTCGCGCAGATACTGTAAATCCTGTACGTTGAGAGTGGACGCATTGCTCTCCAAGCGGCCACGTGAGGCGAGTTCTCGGTTGATGAGGGATGACGTCGGCAACGGCTCGGGAAATAGCAATGCAGCCAACGAATGATTCAGTTGCTGAGCGGCAGGTCGTGTCCAGTAGTACGGCTCGAAGAGACCCTTACGCCGGGGTTCAGCGGCGAGAGACAGCGACATGAACTGGTCAATTCTGGATAGCTTGGATGAGCTGCAGAATTAACGGAGAAAAAGAACGCATACCTGATGAACTTCGAAGCCACAGATCTAACGGCCTCAGTATCACATGAGTTCTTCCACTGCTCCACCAATGCTTCGACGTCATCCGTGTCCTCGACTGGCCCTGGTTCAGCGTTGCCCCCGCCGCACAACGAAAATTCCGTCCGAAATGCTTCGAATCTCTCGCGGGCCTCAATGAGCGGGTCGACTTGCCATTCGCTGCAATCAGCAGTCCTGGATCTCTCTAGACACTCCTTCAGGAGGCGTCTGACGTCACCAGCCCATGGCACCACCTTTGGCTCCTCAACATGCATAGTTTCGCCTGTTTCACAAGGCCGCACCCATGACTGCACTAGGGAAAAAGCTTCAACATCTACGCGCTTCCACACTTTCTCCAATCGAGCGACAGGGCGAGAGCATAACGCAGCCATGATTGCACGCCAAGAACATTCGTTTCCGGACCGACGGCACGCCTCGCCAATTCTCGCCCACGCGGAAACAAGTTCGGAACGAGAGTGCGTACGAGAGGTTGGCATATCGGGCACATGCGACACAGTGCCGCCATAGGAAGTTGAGCTTGCATGAGATTCCGGGACAAGAATTTGGATCAATATCAGTCTAGTAAGCCAGTGTGGCAGTTCTTCACTTCCATAAAATGGTGCAAGGCTTGGAGTTGGGTCAGAAGTGACGGTGCCCTGAACATCAATCTCTTCAGGCCCAAGACAAAGATCAGCAGTGAAGTTATCGGGTATATTCCTGAGCAGTCTCTTCTGGTACAGTAAGAGACTGCGTGAGACCAAGTGGGGATCTAGGCCAATAAGCACATCCCTGGACAAACCGTCACGCTCCAGGATATTCCACAACGTTTTCGTCGATTGAGTTGTGGGATGGGTTGTCGTCACAGAGTGACTAGTAGCAGATTGAGGAGGCTCAGCCAGCGCGTCCACAAGAGACATCAGCCTGCTGTCTCCTTCTGGCCGGGGCGAGAACATTCCTACGTTCGGTGAGAACTCTTGGCCTTTAGTCTGCGGTGAAGTGAACATTTGAGGCGACAGCGCATACAACCCTTGCATGGACGAAGACTGCGGAAGACCTGAAATGCGAGGGCCGTCATCCACTTCGGAGTCGGACATCGTGTCAGCCCGCCACTTCTCCCAGGCATCGGCGTCGAGAGGCTTTCCATAGTACTTCAGGTAAGTGGTCGCTAACCAGCGCACCCTGGCGCATTCTTCCACCTTTGCATCATCGTTAGTTCCGCTCACGAGATACGCGCAACAACGCATGAACTCTGTCTCAAAGGCCTGCCGATCTACAAGAGCCGGAAGGCAGAGCAGGGCCGCTGACGAGTAATTTCGCCACTCCGGTCTGTATCGCGAAGTATTCTGTGGTTTTTCCACAGCATCTTCCCAGTCTGCATCTGGTTCCGTCTCCCGATGTTCAGCAGAAGATTGGGATGCTTGCTGGGAGGGGTTTGCAAACGTCGTCGCAAAGACGGCCTCGTGAATAAGCGCTTCAAAGGTCCCCCGTTCAATCGTCGCGCCAACAACCAAGGATGGGTGAGTACTGCGACCCCAGTAGGCTCTTCTCCTTCTCGTTTCCTCTCTCTCCTTTCCCTTTCCACCTCTTTCTTGATCCTCGACATCGACATCGTTCGGTTCCGCCTCCGTGTCAGTCAACGTCTCGTCTTCTAACACGGCGACTAGCTCCGTCGGAAATAACTCCTTCACAGCGGCACTACGATCGCTCGGAGGTTTATAGAAATATAACTTGGATCCCTTCAGCACTAACTTGAACGGTTTCCAACCCCTTGAAAATGACGGGGTTACACCGCCGGCCATGTACGCATGATTGGCGCGTGCATTCATTCCAGATGGCGAGAAGTCTACCAGGCGGTTCACGAATCCGGAATGATACACCACTTGAGACGTACGTTTCCTCTTCGGATCCAATCCGTCATTTTCTGGCTCGACAATTGTGGGTGGAGCCAGAGATTTAGAAGAGGATGGTGGGTGACCAAAAGAATCCGCGTTGGTGGGATTGAAGGGAGAAGTGGCCTTGTAGGCATTTCCACCGCCGCTGAGACTGAAAGGGAAAGGGGATCTGCTGGGAGAGCTGATGGCTGCTCCACCAGATGTCGTTTTGTCGCGTTCTCTATCCGATTCACGGTCAGAAGACGACGATCCTTTCCTCTTCGGACTAGGTGGGACTAGAGCGATCTTTGGAGCCGACAGCTTCGACGGAAGGCGTGGTGTAAATGAGTGAGAGCGTACATGGACATGGGAACCAGTATTGGGACCGATGGGTGTCAGTGATCCACTGCTGGAGCCACCAGGTGACGGCGCTGGAGGTGGCATAGCGGATCGTGAAGGTGGAGATGAGGAAAGCGATTCAGAAGCTGCGATAACAGGAAACGGGAAGTGCTTCTGCGACGAGGCTGCTGGAGGGCCGGCTGGCGAGGGTATGGTGTTCATGCTTCCGAAGCTGTCTGAGCGATTGTTCCTATATTGCTTAATTCTGCCCTGGAAAGATGTATCAATGGGAGTAAGGGGAGGAGTCGAGAGTTGGGAGGTGAATTTTCCGAGATCATCTGCAGACTTAGACCAGGGTTTGCGTGAAACATTGCGCAAGTCGCCGAGACCTCGAGAAAGAACAGGATGTGATGGGGAGGATGGGGTTCGAGTCGATACTCTGGAAAAATCTGCTGCGGTCATTTCGCGGGTCAGAGACAAGTCAAGGACGGATCTGTGAGCTGGTAGTTAGTCCCGTGTTACATCTCTCGTTCCAACGGCTATAGTCGACGGGCATAGATGAAACGACTGGTATGGAAAGATCGCCGCTTATGCAAGTCATACTTGGAAGAATTCAAACTGTACAGTAGATTGAGAATCTCTGTCGACACTAAGAGTGATTCGAGAAGGTACTTGGACACTCTCGACCATGAGACAGCTCTTACTCAAATATTGAACAGTTCGTAAATTTTCTCTCGGATCTGCAACAGAAAAGCAATTGGGAAACATGGACCAAGATTCGCCTTAAACAATAGAAGTAATATACTGAGACCGACCGTGGAGACGTAGCGGTGCTGGAGAACCCGAAATAGCAAGTTTGGAACGCTACAATAACTTCGCACCATAAGCCAACCAGATGCTCACCTGCTTGCCCCGCTTCCAATCAGACCTTTTTCTGCCGCAATATGATCGAGAATGGGGCGAGGATCCGTCGGGTGGGATATCTTGGGCTTCCTGCCGACCGAGCTGGTGCTCGACCTCGGCTCGCTTGAGCTCATGGACGAACGTGAGCCACTTCCAGGCGTAGAGCGATGGAACCATTTCGTCGGACGCGAGAGAAACGACGCGAAGCTACCCGAGGGTGAAACTGAACGCGACGAGGGAGACGGGGTACCTCCGGGAGACAGGCCAAAGCCCAACTGAACCGGATCCGGAGGGCTCAGTGAGCTAGCAGGAGGTACACCACGGCGAGGGGCCATGGAATGAGTTGGGGATAAGAGAGCAGTGTGGGACAAAGGAGGGATTGATCGAATGTTTCGTGCCGGAAGGTCGGATGACTTTCGCACTGAGAGCTGTCGGTGCAGCAGGTATATATTTCTGGAGTCGTAGCGATGACTGTATGGAATAATAAAGACTTCTGAGTGAAACGAGGTGGTATATCCAAAGGAGAGGAGTGAGCAGACGACGTAGTAATCGTCGTGGTCGTTGGTGCTGCAAGTGCTCACTGGAATGATATGGCATTACCCCGAGCGCACCAAATATGGTAATACATTGCTTAGTTATCATTATACTCTCCAACTCAGTACCGACGGCCGACTGCCTGCACTGTTCGCTCATTCAGCCTACGTGGAAGCGCTGTTTCTGATAGTCTGAGCCTCCTTGCACAGAGGGAAAGCGTTAGGAAACAAATGTTTTCTGTATGACGCTCAAAGAACTCCATCGTTTCTGACATCTGGTCCACGGATTGTACTTGAAACTGCCCGCTGTAGTTGTCCAGATACCCCTGCCTTTTTGGTTGTCTTTGTTCTATTCTACTGTGAGCAACATTCTCGTATATCCAAGTTCCCCGGTGCTCATCTCTGTCTGGTTAAACAAATGGCGCCTGGTCACACTACATCGCGCAAACTGTTGTCCATGTCGTCCATGTGATGGTGCCCGACGGTAATATAACTTAGCGAGCTGGACATTCTCAAGCAGTCGAAGCGAGCATTTTGGACGCGGGAAAGCTGCAAACTGGAGCTCATACGTATATTAGACGCGTGCCACTCAATGGCAGCGACCATCTCCACCGATTCTTGGGATTCACCGCCGCAAGAACACATGTCTCTGAATACCCTTCCGTACGATCTATTATTGAATGTAGCTCAACACCTCGATCTGCGGGATATCTACGCTGTTCAGCTGGTGAGCTGGCCTTCCATTGTAACGATATTCAGCTAATGCAAGTGTACTTAAGACGTGCAAGTCTCTTCATGACTTTGCAACTACCAGGCCTGTTTTCCGCAACCTCGCGGTGGACCTTCTGCGCCGCTGTCGGGCGTTGCCTCTGTCCGGTTTTCAACGCTTATCGGACCTCAGCACGGATCAGCTCATTGCAGCCGTCAAGAAGGCCACCCGTCTCGAGACAGCTTGGTCGATCCGTGCGCCACGTCCGTCGCACTCATCGCCATACGCCGAAGAAACTACAGACTCCAGTTCGACGCCCAAGTGGTACAGAGTAATTAGCGCCCCGCCTTACGAAGAGGTTGACTGGCTCTCCCCGATTACCTCGAGTTATAGCTTGTGTGCTACGAAAAGCGGGAAAGTCGTGTGCTGGGATGTCCACCGTGACATTTGTCTTGCGGAGTGGGACCCGAATGGGCGATGGGAGCTGTGGAAATGCCGCGTGGAGTTCGATATCCGCACGGTGTTCTTTACAATGGCCAAAGTTCTGCACAAGACGTGGGTGGCTTACATTTCCATTCCTTCTTGTTGACTACAACGTGATTGCTACAGATACGACGACAGACTCATGGAGTTTGTGCTCATGAAGCTGCATTTTCCTGATAGCGGGACAGAGAATGGCACTGATGCAGATGGTGATGCGTCTGTGGCACCTGTATTCTCCCATTTAGCAACGTTCAGGACGATCGGGGTGGTGATGAATGTGTTTCTGCTTGATCCTGCATCTCGGTTACTATCTGCATTTGTGTGGGTGTCGGCCTTGAACACCATTGGGTTATACGCACTCTTGGACTGGGACAAGAATGAATTCGTATTTATAGATACCGGTATTGAATGCGTGAGTTTCCCTCCTCCGTGGCCGTGTCACAACTGACATTCTCTTTCTAAGTCGCTGTCCTCAAATTGGTCATGTATTCTCCACAAGGAACAGATTGTAATTCACTCAGAGGAGAGCGATCGCGCATATCAATACTTTTACCCAATTTCTCTCTTGCAGCAGCATGTCAAGCCGTCGTCCTCCGCCAAGGGGTTCTTCCCGACCATCTCCGACCGTGTATGCCCTGCGTACACCATGTCTGCACCGTTCGTTTTTCCCTCGCCCCCTCCTGCATCTGCAACAACTTCGCTTTCGAACAACGGACAGGGACACGACAATACTGGTGGCCCACGTCACCCAGCCGCTGCATCCGTGACGCCAAACCCCTTCCCGTTCCCTCCTTGGTACCCCGAGAGCGCGCATTTTGTGCGGCAATGGTGGCCTACCTTGTCTGCAGTCCCCAGACTGAGCTGCACGGTAGTTCTATTGGCTGATCACGACCCAGATACACACAGGACGCGATATGTCCTTGCACAACATTACTTCAAGGTACCTCTGGCTGAGCCAGATGCTCATCATTCTCTTGGCGCGTTAACAGCTGCCGTAGAAGCTGGTGGGCAACTACATGGGCGGGCGGGGTCCTCGGATTCGCCAAGTGGAGTAGAAGTGCCCCACAGTGCCAACTCCGGCCCGGCGAATAACACACAGGGACGGCCTCGACGACTTGAGGACGCAATGATGCGGATATGGTACGTCAGTGAACCATTCGAGGTGGTGTGCGTAATCGACGGTGTGGACGAGGAGGGCGACGACGGGGCGGGGACGGTGGAGCGCCCTCGACCGCTCATGGCAGTTGACTTTGGACATGCGGTATGGATCGAATTCGTGGACACCGATAGGAAAGACTGGGGGCCGGAACCCAAGCGGTTGCGTTTCGTGTCATTCCCGCCTATCACCAGCGACGCAGACGAGCATGAGACGTTGTACGGGAAGACCGGGGGTGCGTCGAAGGAGCCTGCTGACGGATATAACACGGAGGGAGCGGTGAGGACTTTGGAGATACCGCAGGAACTGGACCTAGATGCCGTGGAGACGATTAACATTGACCAATCGCAGGGCGCGGTTATCATATCGGTCAAGGAGGGCAGAATATTTATTCTGTGCTATGAGTAGCGGCCGTCGAGTCGGGATCCGGATGCGCCAGCTACTTGGACTATGCTTATCCTAACTCACAGCTGGATTTACCTGGTACTAACACATACGTAAACCCCTGCAAGATTACTACTGCATGTAACGCTAACTGCTTAATGTATGAAAAAGATGGTATACCCACTGTCTCATTTCTGCGGTGTTTGTGACTTGTTTCGATGGATCCACATATAGTTGGATTGGGTGAGTTCCTTCGTCAACCTTAGACTGACAGAAATTTTTTCCACGAGCGGCTGCATTACAGAATGTGTAGGCGGTATTCCCCCAGGCAGAGTGGACATTAGGGTATTTCAGAGTAGGGTTTTCGACCGGGTTTCGAGCTGGTTTTCGATGCGGTTTTCGAGGCCGGAGAAATCCGAAAACGACTTTGGTTTTGAGATGACGGCCCAAAGCCGGTTTTCGGCTTCTTCGGCATCAACTTCGGACTCTGAAAGTGAGCTATGCAAGATGCCGATCATCGACGACGGGCACGTCGTCGCTGTCGTCGACGACAGTGACAGGGTCTTCCGGTGGAGAAATTAATTTTTCTGCTCACTTATTCTGGAAGGGTGATACTCATGGAAATTATGAAAGACCTCTTAAACATGGCAGACAATAAGTGCTTAGGTCGGGGGATGCATTTCGAGACAGCGGCGCTGTCGCGCACGATGAGCACAGCTACTTTGGCGTCGCCGACAGCTCGGTAGGCATGCCCGAGGTTCTCCCGTAGAGCGGCTTATTTGAAGTCCGCCTCCGAACAGTGTCGCCCGCGCCTAGCCGAAAACCGTTTTCGGCGGGTTGTTCAAGGTTGAAAACAGTTTTCGGGCTTCTCGAAACCTCTACTCTGAACTACCCTATTGTGTTTTCGTGCCCCAGGCTTCTGGTTAACGTTATGAGCTGGCGCAACTGGTAGTAACGCTGCCGTCGCCGACGAGATACGAGTACTCTGAATCAACGAACCGCTGTTGCTGATTTATTACCATCGCGTAGCGTCTTTCAAACAACTTATTCGTCACAATCTCGCATGTCAGCGCCTCAGCGCTCAGCTTTCCAGCCGTACAAGGTTTTGAACACGCGTGTGCTCGGCCGCTTCTTCACTGGATCTTCCCTGCCCTTCTACAGCCTCTAAGCGTCGTTACTTTCTGCTATGGCTTCACCCCCCGCCATGAGCGAGACTATCGTGCAAGAACTTCCGAGCAGGTTGACTGCTGAAAGGCTTAGTGGTCGTCCAGAACATCATCTGGACGACACCAAGTCCAGCTTTCGTAATCCGTGGCCTTCATTCCGGTAACTACTCTATCGTTGTTACAAGACTCAGTGCTTAATGTTCTCGGCCCAAGGTTTCCAGCCCTCTGGCAATGGGTCTCAGTGCGTCTTCTATACATACGGCACCTTGGATACGGCTCACTTGTGTTGCCTCACCAGTTCTTTACTCGTCAAGCTACATCCCGGCCTAGGGTGCCTGATGATTTATCCGACCGGATTCCAACGCATGAGCCGACGTGGGGTAAGGATTCAGATGGTGCTGCAATCAAGGCAACATGGTTGGGGTAAGCAAGGAGTTGGTTCTATCCAAAGCTTCTGCGCCGACAGTTCTTCCAATAGACATGCGTGTTATTTGATAGAACTTCCAACCCCACCGGGTGGCTCGAGGGGACCGCGGATATTGACAGACCCTGTGATGTCACAACGCTGCGCGCCTGTACAATGGGCTGGACCTGAAAGGCTTGTTCGTGAGTAAGCTCGAATTTCACAGTTGCCATGTCTGATGTAGCTGGTTATCAGCGGCCCCTTGTTCTGCGAACAATATCCCTGTTGTAGATGCAATCGTTATTTCGGCAAGTATCGGCCAATTATCTCTATCAAAGGTCCTGTGCTAACTTATCTGGCTAGCACAACCATTACGATCAGTAAGAATTTGTATCGCCACCTGACTAGCTTCGTGCAGCTTGTTAACTTGACATGTAGCATGGATGCGTCCACACTTCGGGTCCTATATGAACGCCACCACCCGCATGTCTTCGCTCCTCTCGGCAACCTCCAAACCCTCAGAGAAATGGGCATTTCGCGCAAGCATATCCACATTTTGGACTGGTGGGATGCGCGATCCGTGACTGTTCCACTTTCTCCATCTTCTTCTGCTGGGAACACGGATGTAGGGCAAGGCGGAGAGCGCCGCGTTGATGCAACGTTCAGAATAACATGCACACCGTCGCAGCATACCGCCAACCGCTCTTTATTTGACCGATGGCGCTCATTATGGTCGTCGTGGGCGATTGAAGAGCTGAAAGGAAAGGACGAATTGGCCGACACTGGCAAGAAGGTCTATTTCGGAGGTGATACTGGGTACCGGACGGTACGAGATGGAGAAGACGAGGAGAAAGTGCCTGTTTGTCCGGCCTTCTCTGAAATTGGAGAACGATTCGGCAGCTTCGACCTTGCACTTCTTCCAATAGGGTATGTTGTGCAGTTTCCTTTTCACTATGACTATGTGCTGAAAACTGTTTCAGTGCTTATGCACCACGGACATTGTTCTCCAATCTGCACGTGAATCCTTACGACAGCGTCAGGATTTTCCAGGACATCAGGGCTAAGAAGGCTTTGGCGATGCACTGGGGGTGAGCCTACATACGTTTGCGACGTCGGCGTTATTAACATTGAAGCCAGAACGTGGATATTAACTACCGAGCCAATCATGGAACCACCCCTGCTCTTGCGAAAGGCCTGTGCGGAAGCCGGGCTGAAGGACAGCCAGTTCGATATCTGTGGGCTGGGCGAGACGCGTGTAATTTGAATCCAGTTTACTGTCTTTCTAATCTCCGTCATTCCCTTTCATAGTAGGTGTGCTACGTAGCAGATGTGTCAATGAAATGAGCGGTGCGCATTTGCAGGAATCCTACCTTGCCATTTCATCCCCAATCTGCCTGGAAAGTTTACTTGGAAGACTTTCAACATGTGGCATTGAAACATCGTCAATAGTGATCGAACGAAAAGCCCTGGGCCGGCAACGCTTCAGGACATGCGCCGAATTTGAGCGTGCCATCTCCTACGCCCGGTATTGGAGGCAGACGAGAATAGCAGATATATTTGCAAAATAAGTGCTCGCCTCTCTCGCTCCATGTTGAATGTTTGATGGTAGAGCAGTGTTCTCAACGGCTCAAGTCCCCACTCAGATTTACAGCGGTTTCGGAAAACCTCAACGTGTGCCATTTTTTAATGGCATGATCTCCTCGCTTGAGAAGGTCCGTGGCCTCCACCAGAGTCCCGACCCTCCGAGCCCTGATTTAGCATTATGGCTGATAGCCAGTATTTGCACTACAGCTTGCGCGTGAATAAATGCGCTATTTTTGTCAATGTACAATGCGCACCAGGATGACCAAAATGTGTCCCACGGGCCCCCGCACATGGGAGCAGATGAGGATACTACTGACGAAATATTTCTCAATCTGACGCAAGGATCTTGCCTCGTCGTAGCGGAGCGCGGGACGTGTTTCCCGACCGCCTGCGCTCAATGTTCAACCTACAAGAGCAAGACGTCTCGCCAGAAGACAAAAGTGCACGTCAAGGATTTCCGAAGACGCTGTAATCGATGGGCGTCAGAGACCACGGAATCGCCAAAGACTGTAGCGGCCTATGATATCTCAACCGTGTTTCATTTCTTCTGGTTTCGGTCGGGTGCTATGCCTACACTGCAAGAATGGCCATAGTGCTGTGCGGGTACGACCTGTCATGTATGCAAATATATAGTACGGTAGAATGCCTATTAATTGTATAAGGGATTTGCTAGCGTGAAAGTCGTAGGCCTGAGAAACTCCGTATTTCGGAGAGGTATCGTGTACAGTACGCGGTAGTGAAGAAGTACTTGCATTCAGCACGTCGGTGGCACCGGAAGGGGTCGCGACAATGAGTAGTAGTCCGCCGTCGAGCTGCTCAGATACGTGTACCCACTGAACCCAATCATACCGGACGACATCGGCGGTTCGTCCTCGGCTTCTAGCATCTCGGGAGTCGAATGAAGGGCAGCCAAGCTGCGCACCTGCACAGACGACTCGGGAGTTTCGAGCACAGGCACAGGCATGGACATGACGCTCCCAGCCGGCGCTCGCCAAGGCAAGTTCCTCTGAACGATATTAGGCAGCCAGCTATACCGTGGCGAGGCCATTGAGGTCGGAGATATCTCGAAAGTGGGGAATGAGAGTTCGTCCTCTGCTAGTTCGAGCTCCAGCCTGGACTCTGGGATGGTGTGCAAGGAGGTCACAGATATAGAGCGTTCGGAGGACATGGATAGGAAGGACTCTTGTCGTATAAGTGGTATTCTTGAATCGGTGTCTGAAGAGCTCCGCGATGATTCTGTATGCGAAGGCAAACTGAAAGAAAAAATGTCAGTGAGCAAGTTCGTGTATCGCTGCATCTGACTCACGTGGGCAGCTCTTTATCGCGACGAGAAGCACGGGAAGCAGTTGGGGTGCCTCGACTGAATAATACTGGCAGCACTGCGCGATGTTGAACCCCCCCGCTCTGAAGAGACGGAGGTGGAGCAGAAAGGGGAAGAGGAAAACCAACTCTGGAGTCACTCTTCGGCGAAAAAAAGCGGGGAAAGCGCAAACGACGGGTATCCAACGATGAGGGTTGGCTCTCGGACACTGTGTACCGGTTGGGAGTTAACGGCGGAAGTGATAGCGTATGTGAGTGAGAGACAACGTGTGCAGGATCCTGCAAAAGACTCGATTGCTCTTCGCAAGCGTTTTTCATCGCTTCTTGCTGTGACAGAAGTCCTTGGGAGGTCGAAGCTGATGTGAGTGGGGATAAGGCTCTGCGCGATTCCCCGCCTTCAAAATTCCTGGCGATCCGCCCTAGCCAACCAGGCTGATCTTCTAGTATACCATCATCCCCTGACTTTTGCCGCATCCGGCGACAATACAGGAGGTATAGCAAGCCAGCAATGAGAGCGAGTCCCATGAGAATGGAAAGCGCTATCACAGCGGTGATCCACGAATTTGACATCACTAGGCGGAAGGGTCAGATTCACTATAAATCCTGTAAGGTAATTGAGATACCACTCAACTACTCACCGGCGACGGTACGCACCAAGTCTGCAACATAGAGATGGTAGAAGATACAGTACTAACCTAGAAATAGAACGAGAGCATGTCTCGCTTTCGGGGCTATGAATGATGGTCATGAATGGGCGCCTGCCGGATTTAGTTCAGCCGAGGTTTCACATCCACTGTGGCGATACTTGAGTATGATATGTGTTATCCCATCCGGGATGTACGCCGACCGTTTGTCCTGCTGGCCCCGACATAGAGCAGTAGTAAAATGGAAGACCGCCGGTGACATCTTCAAACAATCTGAACCAGTGCAGATTCAGAGATCCGGTGTTTTCGGGATAACCACGTGCCATGACTTTGACGTAGTTTTCTCCATCCTTGTTTCCTCGCTTTAAGTTTCTGCACTCTGCACAGCAAGGACTGGAATGCTAGGCACTATCTGTACCATACTTCTTACCTTCCACCGACACCTGTTCAACCTTTGACGAAAATCGCCTCTTTGCGTGCGAAAACTCCCAATTACTCGACTCGTTCAGTGAGGCGCGGGGCGCAAGACCTGTGCCTTGATGCCGGAGGTATAGAAAGCTTTAAATCCCGAAGTCGATGCGCACAGTTGACTCTTGTATCCTTCAGTCATCTGTTGAGCCCCAATGTCAGGCCGAAGGTTTGTTCATCGCGTTATCATGCAGTTTCAGGCTCAGCCAATCATAGCTTGCGCACTGCAAACATGCCTGAACAAAAATATGTACAGCCCAGAAAAATGCGATGATCATCTTCGCAAGCTGTACAAGTGCTGCCAGGCTATGTACGACGACACCGACGATAAGGGAGAATCGACAGCGTGTCCCATGCCGAATGTTGTACGGAAATGGCTGAAGAATCATGGGGAGAATATATCATGACGGTGCATCCCCACACTTTCCGACCTACACTGCATTGATTCCAGATGATACAAGGGACCAGTCCCTTCTACACAGTGATCGTAAGCAGTATCCCGGAGCAATGTAGGTAACATAGATATAAAAGTGGCTATTTTCAAGACGAGAAGGGGCGTTCAAGAAAGCTTGGTACAGTGATCGCAGGTTCAGATAACTGCGTGCCAGGAGATCGATATAAAGCAACGCGATGCGCGACGACAACATTGCGACGACTGAGCTAGTACAACAAGAAAAGAAGGAAGGAAGGAGACTTTCAATCGAGATATTGGGTCTGTGTTCTATGATCTCAAAGTCAACGAGCCGAAATAAAATCAAAATGGCACGCACCTCATTGCATTGACATTGTTGAAACGTGATATGATTCAGAATTACCATGGATCTGGGACTGCGTCGCCCCACCCGCCGGAAGTAACAGACCGACAATCATCCATCGTCTCTTCTACCTCGTCAGCCCAACTCTTCTTTCCTACGGTAGGCCACGGATCGTTTATTGAGCCCCAGCCACTCGCCGAGCTCGCTGCCACCGAACGAGTATCGTCGGCAGCTTGCTTGGAAGTGACGCCTGAGTTACAGACGTTGCCCCAGCCAGATCCCGACGCGACATCGCCTTTAGCAGAGCCCGTCACCGACGTAACATTCTGCGCCCGTTTCGCCTCGCTACCGTTCACCGTGCGTGATTTGTCTCGAACGGTGCCAGCAGTGCTAGGAGCTTTGGGTGCGGAACATTTCGTCGGCGGAGTGGGCTCTGAGGGAGAGGGAGAGGGAGAAGGAGAAGTGCTGCTATTCTCTGCACCAAGCCCGAGATGAAGAGGCTTGGCCCGGACATTGTCATTGGCGTTGCCACCAGGGCGTCCGGTGCGTCTCACATTACCGGGATGATTGCCGAAAGACACACCTGCGAAACACAGAAAGGTCGATACTTACGCCCATGACCACGAAACAGGGCCCGAATACAGGCACCAAGCTGAAGCGTGAACACGCACCACTTGCTGCACTATCTCTGCTCTGACCCCGACTCCTCCACGGACCTCTATCGGCCGGGCTGCGCTCCTTCTCCACCACTCCACCCTTGAGTTTATTCTTCTTCAGAAATGCCTTGTACTCATTGCAAATTCCCTTGGAGCATCGGCCCCTCTCGTGGTGAACAGTGCATCGGAATTCCTCCTGCTTCGTCTCCGAATTGTCTTCCTCTGGCCACAATGAATCGTGCACCATCACTAGACTAGGACCCTTGCTGGGTTGCGTAATCGGCTCCCCGGTGTAATCGCCCGTGCCCGCGCCCTCACATACGCCCCAGTCGCTTTCTGAGTTGGCGGGCGCGGAGCCTTCGATGGTGAGACTCTCCATAACACGTTCGATCTTCTCCTGGGCCGGCGGAACGTTTGTCCCGACGTCCGCATCCACGGGCGAGTTGGGCCAGTCTGTGTTCTCGCCATCTACGGAAGTAGCCGCGGAGGAATTGCGGCCGCCGCCCTCGAGAACGGGAAGCCCAAAATCGCTCGTGCACGGAGAGGCTGAGCCATACGATGAGGCATAGTAGAGGTTGAGCCCGGGGGGAAAGCGAAGTGTTCCCGGAGGAGCTGGCGAGTTCGATTGGTTCGGAAGCGGCAGAGACGCAGCGTGCGCGACTTCGCATGAGTGTTGTTAATATGACATTTCATTGCGCGGGAAGGGAAAACTCACACTCTGAGGCATTAGTTGGACCTCTGTCGGCATCGGAAGGGGGGGAGCTACCATCGGACCAATCTCCAGCAGTGTGGTGAATTGGGACGGGAGTAGCCACAGGAACGGCCTTTGACTCGGTCCATTCTGCCGACCCAACTGGAGGTACGACCTATATCAGCCAGTATGATACGCTGTCAGAGTAGATGGGTACGTACCGGGAGGAGCAGGGGAGGGCGGCGGCTTAGGAAAGCGGTTCGAAGGAAGATCCCGACAGAGTGAGTACGAGGTCTGATCCTCCGACGGAAGCTCGCAGAAATGGGTCTCCGGGTACGGGAACTTGAACACACTGAAAAATATCCACATTCATTGTGGCCGAAGAAGTGCAAGGAATAGTTTCGACTGACTTATCCTGCGGCCTCCTACTCTTGAACCAAGCTTCCTTAACCGAAACGCGTTTCCATCCTGACCACGTTGTCTTAGTGTCGCCTCTGAACGGATCTGACCAAGACTCACCATACTTCTGCACCTCCCATCCCGTGCTGTACCGACAGTAGAAAACCCTGGAGACGTTTTTTGCCTCTTCCAAGGTGGGGCATTGGAGAAAGTCTGACCAAAGGTGCCCACCGAGCAATTTGTGTGGTTCAGGATATTTTCTCGGTATTTCTATGATAATCATGTTGCGAGACTAGAGAACAATGAGGTTGATCAGACTGACATCTGAGAGAGTGTGACGTACGAGAGGTTTGTGAAAGAACGCCAGGATGTTCTCCTGGCCGATGCAAGCCGCGATCCAGTAAGTGAAGTTCTTGCGGGCGTCCTCCAGCTCCATGTTCGCGTGGGCGGGGTACGGGTGTACGACGGTCAAAAAACGAGACTCTTCCTTCGCCTGTACAGGAGGAGGGCGTTTAGGCATGTTGCCAGAAATGTGCGCCGCCCACTGGTGTCGCCTGTGGTTAGCCTGAGAGCGATTATATATGTGGACGGTAACAAAGTAACTGAAAGCGACCCGGAAGTGGCAGACTATGGATCTTCAGACCACAATCTGCATTCCTTGAAGAGTTTCCGAAGCAGAGTTATCGCGGCTACAGAAAACAATGGAAGGAGGCAGTGGTCGCAATGTGGCGGAGGTGCCGGCACCGCCTGTCAAACGCGTGGCTGAGCGTCAATGTGCATAGCGATTCGCAGGTGTTCGACGACGACGAGGAGGAGATAAGAACAGTCGCTGATCACGGCGTGGTCAATTTGCCTCAGAATAACCGGAAACACGTCGCCCGTTCGACGACGAGCTTGTAGTCGGGCAACTCTGGCCACCGTAACTCGCCAGCTTCTGAGATTGGTATGGAGAAACTTACGGCAAGCTCAATCTGCATTAGCGAAGGTACGAGAAGTGGGTATGTACGCTAAGCTTTTGTATGTTATCGTATAGTCTGCCGTTCGCCCATGTTGGCATAGTTCGTGTAGCCATCTAGTGAGCAACTGGTAAGTGTAGTGGCGCCGTACAGCCGGAATATGTTTTGGTGGGCTGACTGGGTGAAAGTGATATCTATACACGTTCACATAATAAGCAATAAAAGAATGGATAGCTTTACGCCAACATACAGCCACTGGGGTCGGCCTGTGCGTCGAGGCTGGAGAAGTTTGCCGCTGGCGGACGCGACGCGTTCGCGCCACCATCACGTGTTGGTGACATAGGTGACGTGACCGGCGCGCATTCCAAGTCTGGTCACCGACTCTCCCAGCCTTAGGGTCCGGATTTTACGACGGTCCTCCTTCCCCATCTCTTCAGTCTGAACTTTACGGGAGCTACAATTTATGAACACAGTACCTGAGGTATACCACTGCAATTGGAACTGGTGTAGGGAGACTTTCCGAGATGGACGCGACCTGGTGCATCACCTGGAACACCAGCACTTCACCGACATTTTGACTGTCAAAATGCAGGACTGGAATCTCTATCTCCGGTCAACAGAGGGAACAAGTGGGGCAACAGGTGAGTTCGTGCCCATTTCGTGCGATAACGATTAGGCCAACTCAACCGTTGACCGACATTAGATAGTTTGCTGGCCACAAACTTGTCGACCACCTCCCAACAGGGCTCGACGCATAGCTCTCCTCTAGTACTACCCTCACAGAACGGCCTTCCACGAAAGCGGTCTTCCCCGCTCGCCGTGCCGCCCCTCCCTAGGAATCTTAAAAAGCGGCGTTCTCCGACACCCCCTCACTCCCCGTCGCCTTCTCCGCCGGGTTTCCCTACCACTCCCCTTCCGCGAAACAGCTTTGCCCGATACGCCGCACAATCCTCGGTGACACCCAACATCGCCTCTGTCCCGCCCTCACCCGCTCTCTCCAATATGGTGACGGACGCGATCAATATCGCCAGTCAGCTCAATGGTTCCCCCCGTGGAACAGCCAATGGCGAACGCCTGAAGATGAAGCGCCCTTCCCCTCTGCCCTTACCCCGGCGGATCCCGCCAGGTGCCCCGCGCGCTGAGCGCCCTTCTCAGCCTCTGTCGCATGTGCAGAGGAACAGTAGTTCGGAGTCGTCCACATCCGCCCAGGATGTCGAGACTCAGTTGACTCAGGACATGGGCATATCTCCCTCCGTGTCACAGCAATCACAGTCACAGCCGCAATTGCAATCTCAGTCTCAATCGCAGTTGCAATCTCAGTCTCAGTCCCAGGAAGCACCTCAACATTCCCAATCCACCGAGTCCGTCGCCTCGCTTCGCAGCCAGGCCGCGTACGATAGCCAACGTGAGTGCGCCCCCACTGCGTCCCGAAGGTGATAGGTTGATGTGCTAAGCCCAGTCCTCTAAATTCTCGTGGGCAGGTATCGTGCACGAGGAGATCAGCGACTTCCTCTCCCAACTCTCTGACCAGAACCAAGGCCCCCCGCCCACGTTCCGCTCCGGGACGCTGCGGATCGGACCGAACAAAGTCGCGCGCGAGGTGAAAATGGACGTTAACGACGTTCCTGAGGGAAACGACCTCTACGCAGGTCGTCCGGGCGCGGTTGCTGCATCACAGAGCAGGCAGGGTGGGGCGATGTCCGTCGACCCTGGAGGCGTACAACCGTTTGGGTACGGCTACTCTAGCATGCCGCTGTACACCCAAGCACCCTATCGTAGTCAGAGCCCGTCCCAGTGAGGAACGCGGGAGCCGCAGGGCCTGTACTTCTCGCGACGATGTTCCGCGTCTTGGCAGTCTGTTTGGTCTTGGTACTTATTCTTATTGTTCGCTGGCTTGGTTGCTTGTTCTCTTGCATATACTCACGTCGAGCTACATATCTAGGACGTTCAGTTGAATAATTTGTTTAAGATCTGATTTTGACAGGGCATGAAGCCCACCAGACACTCTATCAGCCATGTGATACGGGATACATCGACCCGACTACATCTAGCAGTGCGAACCTGTAAAGTAGGAGGAGGGACGACAGTGAGCACGAAGGGACAATAGCGAGCGCTGGGCTCGGAGACACGCCGACTATGTGCAGCGGAAAGTAACCCTGGACGGATGATAGGAGATACCCAATCAGTCAAACGCGAACAGAAGATGGAGAGCAGCGAAGGATACAATGTGGAATATAGGATAACGTGTATATCGTTCCGGATAACAAGTGGGAGCATGCTGCGTGCATGATGCATGTCGTGATCACGCATGGCGCTCAACGCACTCAGTGTTCGTGGCGGCGACGGTGAGCGCCCATGAGGTTGCGTGCGGAGCGGCGCGAGTTGCCGCTAACTGAGGCGAGCGTCTTCGGGGCGGCCAGGTAGCCCTCGATGAGGCTGCGAGTGATGGACGGGGTCGAGTAGTCCCATTCAGTCAACTGCTGGATCGCGATCGAGTCGGTGTCGATGTCGAAGATCGCGGTATAAGTGGAAGCGCTGCTGGGGCGCGCGAACGACTCCCCGCCCGAGCCAGTCGCGCCCATAAACGAATAGAGCTCCGAGATCGCTTGGTTGGGGCTGGAGCCGCTGAGCACCTCGAGGATGTCCAGCTCGCCGCAGCCGCCATTGCCGCCCATGCCGCGGCAATTGCAGCCGTACTGCGCTGCGCGGACGACTTGCGCATTGAGCACCCAGACGGCGGGGACGTCCGCCGCGTTGTCCGAGGCCGGCATGTCGAGCGTGAAGACGAACATCTTGGAGCCTTTCCACCCGTGGTTGGCAGTGCCCCAGGAGTAGCCCGTGCAAGGGCTCTCCTCGCAGGTAGTAGCCGTCATGATATTCTGAGAAATAGGAGATCAATCCGCATAAGAGTCTCGAGGAGAACGACCCTTACGATCTGGTGCGTCTCGTCAAGGTAGCCAGAAGCTACCTCCTCGTTGGGGGTCGCGACGGCGGCGTTCCAAGCACCATTCGCGTAGGCCTGGCTAGATCCACCGCAAACTGTCGCGTCGTGAGCATCTTAAACGTGCACTCTGAGAAGCGACTGCTTACTCGACCAGTTCCCACTGGCTCCACCGCCCATGTTGGCCATGAACACCAAGTTTGTGGGTGGCTGTCCTGCAGTCCAAGAACTTGTCTGAGCCCAAGTAGAACTGGAGCTGTTGCTGGTGGGTTGATATACAGCAATGTTGTATATGTTCGCGGGACCGCGGTACACCATGGTGAGCTCATCGTCAAAGGGCGCGAGGTTGCCTGGAGCAAATGGAGACAATTTGAGGTTGGATTCATGGCACATATTGTGGGAGCGTTCTCACCGCTAACGGAGACTTCCTGCGTGATGCAGGAGGGGTTGATAGTGCAAGACGGGAAAGTGCCAGGGATCATGTCGGTGACCTGGCTGTAGGTACCTGACCCGCCGACATTGGTGTACTTGATGGCGGCGAGAGAGCCAGAGGACGAGGGGACGATGTTCGAGGGCGTCACCTGGGCTGTTGCGCCGAGGAACAATGAGGCTGCAACGAGAGAGAGGGTGAACATTATGCAATATCTCGAACGACGGTGGACTATAGAAGTGAATGTGAGTCTTATGAACGAGCGTGTTAAAAGTCGTCAGGACAGAGTGGGAGCGTGCAGTCGAAGGAAAGAATGGTTCCAGTACAAGGCGCTCGCGGGCGAGACAAGCTTTCCGATCACGCTCCTCGACAACCACATAATACTCAGGCACAGATATGCATAACCTCGCAGTCCATTTTCTTCATGAAGAAAAATTTGACATGAGTACGGTGCGTCTTTGCATTTGGAGAAACTGATGAGCAGGACTATGTACCGCGGCAGTTCTGCGCGCAATTGGCTGCCTTTCAGCGCGGTGCTACTTGCTTCTCGTGTTCTGAACCTGCTTACGCCTCCCTCGAGGCTCGGCTGCTCGACTGCGAGTTAGCAGTGGTATTTGCCTGTCTCAGCAACGACGAGAGCAAGTCCAGAGGACGGTCCCCCAAATTCTCTCCACTCAATCGGTCGTTATTTGTTGTGCTTCCCAGCCCCTGCCAGAAGGAACTGGCCGCTAAGAGAGACGGCACATATGGCATGACAGCTGCTCTCCTCCTCCAGAGATAAGTGACTGTGCCGTGCGCTTACCGTCGCTGTAAATTTCGTTCGTGCGAATGTATCGACATGTTCGCTCGCCCTCAGGCTCCCAGTGTGCATGCAGTAATTCCTCTGCCGGTACTACGCTGATAACGACATACAGTTCAAGAAGAGATGACCATTGTCAAGGTAGCTACCAAGAAGCCTCGCAAGCGGCTAGCTCCTTACTTTCCGCTCTATGTCAGAACATTGGGAATGCGTAGAAAGGTGCGCGTTTGCCTTGAGCTCGCAGGAGGAAGGCGCACACGTTCCGGTGGCTGGGAACTTCAGAATCCATGTTGTACGTTTGCGTCCTACTGTACGCATCCAGTACGGCATACGGAAGGATTGGCCTCGATTTACCGTTTTCATAATGATATCCTTCCGTGGAGCTGCGAGAACATTGTCATAGAGTTTTGTAAAGGGTCTCCACGAGGACGAAGACAAAGCCACTGACACGCATGTCGATGGTTACTTGAAGACAACGTGGCGGCAAAGTCGCAGTAGACCCAGACGTTCGCACTAATAAACACAACGACACGAGCATCAAATCAATTCTCAATTCGCAGATACACTATATAAAGCACTTTGGGACCGTTGAAGGCCCGATGGATCCTTGTCTACACACCACGTCCAAATGCCGCACAAGTTTGTTGAGAAACAAGGGCATGGTACATTCCGTCCAACATTTACCACAGGCGAGTCTCAAGCAGGAGGTCACTGCTGCCCTCCAGCCCGATGCAAGCCTTCAGGAACGCCTCGAGGGCATTGCGCTGCCTATTCAGGCTGTTGATGACATCGGTGCCTGCGGAAACACGGCGATCAGGCTATGGACGCGCAACGTGCGCTACCGTCATGGGGACGTACCAGGCTTTACCAACGGGGCCTTCAGCATGTACGAGAGAAGGGATAGGATCGGGTGCAGCGGCGAGAACTCAGCCTGCTGGCCGGCGACGTCACGGTACTTGACACGCGTGAGGAGCTCCGTGAGGATCGTCAGGTCGAGAATGAGGGGCGTGGCCAAGAGCGAGTCCTGTCATGGATAGTTAGACAGCGCGCGAAGCGCAAAGAGTTGAAAAACGTACCTCGCACTCGTTGAAGATGTTGATAGTGGAACGACCACCGCAGAAAATCTCGGAGTAGTACTCGTCGATAGCCCGCTTGGAATCCCCGACCGCAGGGACGTACTTGATCACAACGATGTGATCGGGATGCTCGCCCTTGGCAGCCTTAGTCCCTTTGACAGGGCCCTCCTGGGGAGGCTTGTACAGCAACGCGTTCGCGCCGACCATATCGTCCACCACACTGCTCTTGCTGATCTCCTTGCTCTTGAATTGCGGCTCCGCTGACAGGTTGTGCCCGTCGTTGTTACCGAGGTGGTTGTACGAAGCGATAGAGAGCGGCTTGATACCCGCATTGACGAGGAACTCGGCGAACACCGACTTCAGCTTCGTCTGGCCGGACTTGAGGTCGTCGCCGCCGATGAACGACTTCTTGCGCTCAGCAAGCTCGATAACACCTGGAACGAAGGTGTTCTGGGGGGCACCGTTGACAAAAGGCTCGCCCTCCAAGATCGCGGCAACAGCGAAGACAGTCGAGGGGGACACCTCGGAGTGGGATGCCTTGATCGAGGCGAGGAGGTGGTCCGCGGTGTCGTTCACACCCGGGATGATTTCGCTGTAGCGCTCCGTGTTAGCCGTCCAGAAGATAACGACGCGATCAAGCGCGTTCTCAGCCTTGAAGCGGCGGATGTCCGCACGGATGCGCTCGAGGTGCGCCTGCTTGTCCTTTCCCGGGATGACGTTGTCAGCGCGCGCCTCCTGGTTCGCAGCGATGAAGTCAGGGTAGTAGATGGACGGCAGGGGTTTCCCGAGCGCAGCCATGTGGGGCGCGACCTGGCGCTGAAGGTCCCAGTCAAGGACCTCCGCGCGCTTCATAGCCTGGTCCAAGGTAGCACCGGAGATATCCCAACCGCCAAAGACGAGATCGTTGGGGTGCACCATCGGGAGCACGTCGGCGACGGGAACGAAAACGTCCTTGCCCGTAGACGGATCGACACCGAGGCGAACAGTGGATGCACGGAGCATAGACCCGATGTAGTTGGGCTGCTGGATACCCGACTTGGTATGCCAAACGATGTTGTGACGGTTGGCGAGGACGGTCGCGGACAAGGTGGAGCCATTGTTACCGCCCCAACCGACCATCATCAGACTATCAATATAAACGCGTTTAAAAGATGGTCCCCATCATTAATAAAAAAAACACATACCCAGTCTTGGAAACCTTCCTGGCAGTCTGGAACTCGTACTGCTTGAAGGAAGGCGTGATGAGGTACTGACCGTCTGTGACGGTGACGCTAGCACCGCGGTTGGTGAACTTAGCGGTGATGAAGTCATCGCTGTAAGAGGTCTGCTCGGACTGTACCACGATTGGATACGGGCGACGCGCAGCTGTAGGGTGAACAGGGAGCACGGACTCCAATTCGGACTCGGGTGTATTCAGTCCAGACGAGTTCGAGTACGGTGCCATGGTATGGAATGTCTAGAGTAAATATACGACAGACAGGGAGAATTTCAGTGTTGATATAACGCGTCGCCGCAGGTGTGCTTGGAACCTCTATGGGGGTTGTGAGGGCTGCCTAGTTGGTTTGAGAACATGCAAGTCGAAGGGTCTCGAAGTGCTATAGCAAATGGGCGATGCCCTTTATACGAAAGAGACGAGCAAGGCGCGGTGTCGTTCGCTGGTGCGCAAGGTGGGTGAAGACAAGGGTCACAACAGAAGTTGGACCTCACGCCGACACTTTATAGGCGGTCTTGGATATCTCACGAGGACGTTCTGATAGTAGCCCATGATCTCGGACTTATCGATGGCGCTATCCCTCGGTAACTACTCTACCCGGCTGTTGATTCGTTTCTCGCTTGATTTTGATTTTGATCGACAAATTCAGAGCCCCACTCGCGCGCGTAAAAAAGGGCGAAAAAGCAAACTTTTCTGCTTCTAGCGATACCACGTCGTACATAGGTCGTCTACATTACATCTGACGATACCGTCTCAAGACGTTGCAATGCGTTGGCAATGCGCACCCTCAAACTCTCAGCGAGACACGTTCTCGTTAAGTGACTTCACGATAAGTTCACGAACCTGTCCCCTCAAGCCGGACACAGACGCACCATGGACTCCAAGAATTCTGATGAACCCGGTACAGAAACGTACCGAGACACATGGTCTTGAGTCGAGTGATGCTGCAGGCATACTGTATGACACATATCAGCACACTTCGAGCAAGAGCAAGACTAATCGAAGCTCACCAATACAAGGCGAAGGGCGGCGTGGGTGTGATAACGCTAACAGGTAATCTCCCCAGTAAGAATTGTTATTACCCATGAGATGGGCCCCCAGCTGGCTTCACGTCGAAGACATTGCTGCAGAGCGGAACCATGCGCCGAAGACTTGATGGAAGAGCGTGGCTAACAGCCTGAGATGGCAGGCCGGTCTACCACGTCGATGAGGATTGGAGAACGCGCGCATCTGCTCTGACACTCGGAGGACATCTCGCATATGCAGAGCCAGTCTAGGAGTGAAACAGACCGGATCAATTGGTCACAGCACGAGTCAAAGGCCGCAGATCAATGAGCTTAAGTTGTCAATCGAAGATTAGCAAGAAGCTTCAATCTCTGAAAGACAACTTAAGCCCATTGACCTGCATAGACGCATGATACTAGGATGGTATGACGGTCACAAGTTGCCCATCGAAAGGCCAAGATAGATCAGATTAAATGTGACGATTGCAGAGAGTGATGGCGCTCTCCTAGACAAACAGAAAATATAACGAGTGTTGCACACCAGGAACCGAAACCTGCTAACACGAGATGACGCAAAGCTCGCGATGCGCGAGTTCTGGCAGCCAGCGGAAAACGCACAGTGAGCGCATTTTGGAAAGCCGAACACGCTCATACCATGCACAGTGCACACGTTGAACCTCGTAACAACGGAGCGTAATCAGTCCACGAGCAGTTGGACCTCGCAAAAGACATGCTCTTTCATTAACCATAGTCCAACCAGTGGACTTACCACGACATCCTGACCAAGCACTAATTCAGCGACGTCACGACAGTGTAGCCGTAGGGACACCTTCAGAGGCCCACAGGACGTGTGTCTTTACGAGAGCAGACTGGGCCTATCACGCAGAGTCAAGGATCCCATGAGCTGCGAGAGTAACAAGAGAGTCAGCTTCAAAAATGATTTCCGGCCGGAAAAGGAAGGCTAGACGCCGGTCCTGGTACCCTTGCAAGCGACTTTGAGAAAGAAATTCTTCGTCAGACATCAGGTTCGGCACCCCTCATAAAATGCACGCCGTTCTGCTGGCACGAACACCCATCGCACGTAGGGTCGTCTCCCAGTCTGTACGATGTCTGGCGTCCAAGCCCCCGCCGCCGCCGAAGGTACCAGCGATGGAACCCCAGCGTCCCCCTCCTCCAGCGCCAGCGCCGTCTCCGTCGCTGCCGAGCTTGGACTTTGCACCATCAACGGAGGAGGAAATGCGACGGGAGAGAACGGGCGCGCGCTCGTCGAAGGATTCTTTGTCGAGCATCGAACGAAGACGGCGGTTCATGGCGCGGGGTGCTATGCTCGTGGCGGTCATTGGTGCTGGCGTGGAAACGTGGTACATGGGCCGGGATTGGGAGGCAGATGAGCTAAAGGCTAAGAAGCTGGTTTGTTGCTCTATAAGATTTGAGACATATGCGCTGACGGACGGCTCAGAGAATAGAAGATGCACCGTCTACACGGTGGGGGAGGACGAAGGAACGATTCACAAGCATGTTTGATGTGCGTGCCGCTTCATTCGACCTGTATAAATGCTAACATGCAGATATTATACATCAGTTCTTCACGGAGCCCCTCTGGCCAGAATTATTGCCCCCTCCACTGCCTGGACAGATGCAGAAGCCGTATACACTACTTGTCTCCGTTGATGACCTCCTCGTAACATCAACTTGGGATGTCAGTCATTGTTACATCGCACTTCCTCACCGCCTTCTGACAAGCAAATTTTCAGCGTCAACATGGCTGGCGAACGGCAAAACGACCAGGTGTAGATTATTTCCTAGCCTATCTATCACAGTTTTATGAGATTGTGATATTCACAACTCAATATCACTACGTATGTCTGCTTCTCATGGCCATGCTTACTGCCAGCTCACGATTGAACACAGACTGCTACTCCTATAATTGAGAAACTAGACCCGTACCAGTTCTACATCAGCTACAGACTCTTCCGCGATGCTACTCGCTCCATTAATGGACAGCCTATCAAGGCGAGATATCAGCGGTTCATTCTTTTCTGAATTAGATACTTAGCAGTCTCATCTAGGATCTGACATACCTCAACCGAGACCTGTCAAAGGTCATCTTACTGGACGCACATCCAGAACATATCTCTGCGCAGCCAGAAAACGCCGTCGTTATTCCCAAGTGGACGGGCGAAGTACGCGACAAGGGTCTTATTGCTATGATCCCATTCCTTGAATGTGAGTACACTCTGGCCCGTATCTTTATTTGTCACATACCAATTCCCCTACAGCGATTGCGATATACAAGCCTCAAGATGTCCGGCCGATTCTCGAAGCGTATCACGGGCAGGACATACCAATAGAGTATGCGAAGAAAGAGGCTGAGGCTACGCGGAAGCATATCGAGGAATGGGAAAATAACCGAAGGGGCTTTTCGACCAGCTCGTTTACCTTGAGCAATCTATTTGGCGGGCCAGGCCAGGTGAGTAACCACGGACGCATGTTTGCTGACACCACATCACTGAATGGTAACCGTAGCCACAGAACACCTCTCCAGTCCCTCCAACCTACCTAGAACAGAAGCGGCGTGAGGCGCAGCTGCAGTACCAAGAGGAGCAGTCATACATCCATGCGAACAAGGACAACTTCGACCGGTTGATCAAGGAGGATCAGGAGGCCATGGCGAAGGAGATGTCAGGCACATTCTGGGGCGTTGCGGAGGCATTCCTGCGCGGTGGACCGCCAAAGAAGGAGGGCGAGGGCGCACAGCCTAAAGCTGGCAAGGGTTCAGAGGTGTCCGTGCCTGTCACCGATGGGAAAACGTCCCCGTAACCAGACTTGTCGAGTTTAGTGTATCCCAATGCTATCTCCACTCTTTGCTTGCAGTGAGCATGGATTACGCGGTTTTCAGGTGCCGGTTTTGTTGGAGAGATCTTCTGTGTGCAGAGGCTCGAGGGAATACCGGGACCGACTCCTGGCCAATATCTGACCATCATTAAGATCGGGACACCTAGTACTGAAAACACAGCAATACTCTGAGACTACTGCAACTCTCTTTTTCAAGTTCTCCTCGGCGAAGAGGACGCAAGCCTTGCTCTACTTCGTCGGTGGCACTGGAATACGATTCTCTTTGCCTTATTTGGGTAAGTACTTTCTAAGATCAAATACATATATCATCGTCACAGATACCATCCGTGAGGGGGCATACTCTGTTTGAATATTGTCCTGAAGCTTGTCGCGAGGCACCATGTGCGCGAGGAAGTTGGTCGTCGCTCAGTACGTACACTCCAATTCGCCCTTCCGGATACTGCGTGCTCAATCGTTTATATCAGTTTCATGGTAGGAAATGCATACGTGAGGGCAGGGTCTCCTCGTATCGCGTTGCGTGTTTGACGATGCTCCGTGCACTAGCCCTATACAGTGGAAGATTGGCTTGATGATATTCGCCTAGCGAGCTCTCATGGAATGTATGTGAAGTGCTGAATGTCAGTGCCTACCACGTAACCCCTGAATTTTTAGTGACGGGTTTGCACTCAATTTTGGCCGAGACGAATGGGAGAAGAGTCGTGTGGCGGATTGCTACCATGCGGCTCTGCAATCAGGTGTGCCTTTCAAGTTGTTTCCAAGCTTCGATATGACGTAGGTTTTAGCTCAGTTTTCTAAGTCGTTGACTCAAGAAAGTGTTGTGATGCCAGGTTGATTCCTGCTAATTGTTCGGACGATGTCCAATCTTTCTGTGACTACGTGACACGCTACCGTGGCCATCCGAACCAGCTCCTTCATCATGGTAAAGTGTTTATCTCGACTTTCGCAGGAGAGAGCAACCTATTTGGTCATACGGATTTGAACCATGCGTGGAAGTTTGTCAAGTCAACCTTAGAGGAGATTGCTCCAGTCTGTAAAACTAGCCTGTGTCATTGGATGCTGCTAACAATGTCTGCACAACAAAGGTACATTTTGTACCCTCGTTTTTCATCGATCCTGCGCGGTATCCACATATAACCGCCATGGACGGTTACTTCAACGTAGGATTTTCCCTCTGTCATCCTCCCTGTTACCTCAGTCTAAGTTCTCTATTCGTCCAAGTGGAATGGTAGCTGGCCCCTTCACCTTCATCCAGGATCACCGCGCGAGGAGGTCAAGTATCCCAGGCTGGACACTGACCGACATCATATTCATCATCTAGGGGGGCGGACTTTCATGGCGGCGGTGTCACCTTGGTTCTTCACAGTAAGAGTTCAGTGCCTTCTGAAGTCTTGGCGTTCATTGAATTGACAGCACTACGGGCCTGATTCCTGGAACAAGAATGTGGGCATCCTTCTGCTATGACTGGAGGACCATGAGACTGTAATTCTCTTATACAGTGGATCCGCCGTGGCGATGACTGGCTCTATGTCCGTAGATGGGAGCAGCTCATCGCTATGCGCGACGAGATCGACATCGTGCAGATCATCTCCTGGAACGGTTTGTTCCATCTTTTGCACATGGCTGAACTGAATCAGATCGTCGCAGACTACGGAGAATCGCACTACATTGGACCGATAAAGGGAGCGCAGCCTAACTCCCAGGCCTGGGTGGACGGCTTCCCACACGAACCTTGGTTGCACTTAACTCGCTACTACGCGGACGCTTTCAAGAACGGGCATTATTCTGCGATTGAAAAAGACCAGATCTACATGTGGTCAAGACCTCATCTGAAAGATGCTGATGCGACTGAGGATACGTTGCCCCGTCCGGAGAACTGGCACCTAGTGAGTCGATTACTGCCAGTGTTTGAGTAAAGGCCGTCTGATATGCTGACATTGAATGCTGCAGACGGACGACGAGTTCTGGGTCGTAATTTTCTCCACCGCGCCTGGTCTGGTCGTCCTCACAAGCACCGACGAGCAGGTTCCTCAGACAGTGGAGGTTGCTGGCGGAGTGACCAAGCTGTCTTCCAAGATGGTCCCTGGTGGAAGCATGAAAGCGCAGCTGTTCCGGAGCCGCGTCCTGGCCGCAGAATGTACGCCGGAACGTGACGGCTTTCGCTTCCAGACACAGCCAAGGGTGTTCAATTTCAACGCGTACGTTACCATGTCGGTATAGTAGTGCAGGTCGATACAATACAGATGGCCCCCCGAATAAATAGTAATGATTTATCACACCCACCCACCCACTGCCCCCCAAAAACAGAATTGGTCAGAGCAGCCGACTATTTTCCACCCTTGATCATCTCCACACCCGTAATGCGATCCTTGCTGGCATCGTCTTCCAAATCCATGGGGTCATGTACCGCTGCGGTCACTGCTCCCACAGGCGCGTCACCGCAGCCGCAGTCGTAAGTCGCGTCCAAGTCGGCGCAGTCAAACTCGGGCTTGTGCAGCCGAGCGTTCACTTGATTATGCACGAAACATAACCTGTTGAACAAGAGGGACAGTCGGCAACCGAAAGAAATCGAAGACACTCATAACGAACCAGGTAGCTGCCGCCCTTCGAGATGAAGTCTATTGAAGAGGATTTAACTTGAGTGCTCTCATATAAACGAATGAACAGCCTTGAGGGACATACCTGTGGCGGGAATTTCTTCAAGAGTGCCTTGAATTCAATGGCACATTCTCCACAAGGGTACAGTCGAGATAACAGATGAAAATAACTGTTGAACGCATCTCTCTCATCCTGGCTTGGATTCTGATAACGGATGTTAGATTCCTTCAAACGCACAAGATATCGCTAAACGAACTTCGGGAAAACGCAGCGTCATGGTATGCCTGTGCACCGACGTGATGTTACCACATAATACCGTTATAATGTGAATACTCACAGCAACTTCCACGTTGCTCTGCCCAATTGAGCCCTGACCGACAGTTGAGTTAGGGCTAATTTTTGGTAAGGTCACCGAAAGGTGCTCACTTAGCTGTAGCGTTCCCCAACTTCGACATAATGACACCACCGTGGACGCCTTCAGCATGCGACGCAGGGTAGATGTGGGGATCCTTCTCAACGCCACCTTCTCCGAACAGGTCTCCGGTCCATGGGTCGATGTACGCCCGTGATGGAGGGTGTAAAAGTGCAAGAGAGCCCAGGAGAAACTAGTAGGTCAATCACACCCACGGCTCAGAACTTCAGCAGCAGCATGGCGAAGAATTGGGTGTGCATACGAGTGCGAATATGATCGACAAGAAAGCTTTGCTGAAGCGAGATATCATCCTGGTGGTCCGAGTGACGAAAGGACGCGCTGGTCGAGAAACAGCTTGAAGTCGTGAGCTCATGCACAACGCGATGTCGAATTCAACAATTGTCCTGCAGGCTGAGGACGACGAGTATTCTCTTGAAAGCCACCAGGTTCATACAGCCGCCTGCTTCCCAGCAGCTCAGGCTGGGCTCTCGTTCTCGTTGCTCGGTCGCTGTTTGAGCAACGGTTACACCGATCAGTTCCTAACGCGAGAAATGTTTCACTTTTGTCTGCATCTCCATCATATTGGCGTACGGTCCCATGGGTAATATTACTCGGCCAAAATAGCGTACTAATTCACAGCTTACACGATGCGGAACAACAGCGTGATATCACATCTAGAAGTCTACAAGGAGGATATTGCAGCTCAAGGTGTTGCACGACCAGGCCACCTAACGGTCAAGGTAGCCGTCAGCACTAAACACATCGGAAACAGAGTACGGCAACATACCTTGGATAAAGCGAACATTCTCTGACAGTATACCTGTTGGCCAGCCATGCCAAGAATCGCTGAAAGATAGATGGTGAACTCTACATTCGATCTCAACGCTGGCTGCAGAAGATCTCACCTCCACACCCAAGCCATAGCCACCATGTTCGGAGGTGCCATATTTACGCTGGTCGGTGAACCAGTAGTATGGAGAAGGTTCGATACCTTCTCGCTTGTAGGCGGCTAGGAGCTCTTCCATGTCAGCTATCCTCATGGAACCACCTATGATATTATCGATTAGTTAGGTACACACGGACTTCTGAGAGATCGACGCACCAACAATCTCGCCCACACCAGGCATGAGCAAATCACAACTCTCTGTGAACACATGCTCTCCAGAGCCTTCCCCGGGGATCTTCTTCATATAGAAGGCCTTGAGTTCCGCGGGGAACCCATACAAGAAGACCGGCGTGCCCAGGATATCTGTCATCCTCCTCTCAGCAGCTTCGGCGATGTCATCGCCAACGGCGTGCTCCACCATCTTCGCGTTACCCTGCTCGTCCTTAATGACGTTGCCCTCCGTGTCCTCGGCCTCGTGCTGGATCCCGTGTTCGTTGAGCCATTTGATAGCGTCGACATATGAGAGGCGGCGGAATGGCCGCGCAGGCTTGGTGAAGTTGGGGTTGAGTTGCTTGATGAGCGCAGCGGAGCTAGGGGACTCTAGGAGGATGTCTACGGTATCGCAGATCTACGTGGACTGTTAAGACGTAGGAACAGTAATAAGGTGCACAGACGCGTACAACACCCTCTATGTGATCCATAAGATCGTTGAAAGTGATGAATGCGAGCTCAGCTTCTAGATGGGTATATTCGCTCAGATGACGGCGAGTGTGGCTATATATTTCAATCAGTAGAGGATTTCCTTCATCAAGAAAATATATCTGTACCTGTTTTCTGCTCTAAAGCTCTCCTGTACACAGAATACATCGCCCAGAGACGGAAGACACGTCTCCAAGTACAACTGGGAACTTTGCGTGAGGAATGCTGGTTGACCATAGTAGTCAAACTTAAACAATGTCGCTCCACCCTCCACTTGCGTCTGCACCATGCACGGCGGCGTAACCTCTAGAAGATCACGCTTCGTAAGGGATGCTCGAAATGAGGTAAGAAGGGCTGCCCGGAGCTTGAGGACAGCAGACGCTGTCTCTCCACGGATAACGAGATGTCTGAGGTCCGCCTGGATAGAGGGATCTGATTTCTAAAGCCAGAGTGAAGTGAAAAAAAAAACAATACGATACTAGACTGCAGCGCACCTCGTTCAATCTGTTGGTAAAGGCATCTTCACCACCTGGAGCAGCACCGATTACTTTCCAGTAGTCAACAGTCAGTTCATGGCCACCTGGAGCGGTCTTTCCGTCCGGAACTGGGTGGAGAGTACCCACGAGCTCAACAGTCGACTCAAGTGTCAACGTAAGCGCTTCATACGTTTGAGCCTGTCGGGCGGACCGCAGTCGAATCAATTCAGAGTACACCAGTCGGGCGAAGACTTACCACGCGACCAGAGAAGACACACTGTAGATAGCCCGTGCCGTCGCGCAGGACGACAAATATGAGGTCTTTCTGTACACGGAGGCGGTGTACCCATCCCGAGACACGGATGCGCTTGGATCTCAAGGGAGTGAGGTTACCGATCTTAGCCTAGAAAGACATCAGTTCGGAGGACAGAGAAGGATGAGTTAAGTGCACGATCACCTTGGTCGCTGCGGGCAAGCTACTATCCTCTGTAAGAACTACCTTCTTACTCTCTTCGAGCACCCTTTCGCGACGTTGTCGCTCTTCCGCCTTCTCCTTCGCCTCCCGCTCGGCCCTCTCGCGCTTCTTCTCGAGACCATCCGCCCCCTTCTTCGCCTTTTTCAAAGCGGATTGTGTAGGTTCTTCGTAGGTACCCGACGGATCCTTGCGACTCAAAATTGGAGATGCGCCATGAGTGAAAATAGCGAAGGCAAGTGTCTGGTAAGGCAGTTCCGGAGTGCCCTTGCCAGATTCATCGGAGCCCGCAGACTCGTCTACATGTATTGTAGCCATGGTGGTGTAAAGACTATACCTTTTTTGCCTCTAATTATGTTGGATAGCCAGAGGCGCACGAGTCAGAAATGCAGTGATGAGACAGACGAGTTTCAAGTTCCGAACCACTAGAGTACTGTCAACTTAAATCGGTGCGTAGATGACTCGATCACTATCTGCCACTGGCATGGCCATCGCCGTACATAGATCGCGTAGATATTCAGGGCGCGCGTATCTTACACGTTAAATATTACCCTTGTGGCTATGTGAAAATTATTGTTCATGTGTGCCATAGGATTCAGCTGGAAACATGTACAAAAGTAAAAATCAGGATTCTAAGGCACACCTGTATACATCTCTCGCGACCCTCTGCCAACTCTCCTTATTTACTGCAAACGCCTGAGCATACTCGACTTCAAGATGATGTAGTCGCTTCCCCACGATAACAAGACTGTGCAGAGGCTCGCCAAATGTACTGTCGGGTTGGTTCAGTAGTTCAGCGAGAGTTCCGCTTACGATGCGCTCCTCGTCGCCCCCTCCCACCTTAGATAGCGCAATAGCTAGAGTCTCATCTGATCTGAGGATACCTGCCTGGCGAACATCTTCTATCTCCGCAATTTGTGAAACTGCCTGCGATATTGACATGTATCGTGGTGGGTCATAGACCTTCCTTCCCCTGGAAAGGACATGTTAATTGAGCATAGTATTAGTTCAGCAGAAAGGAACGCGCCTTGCCAAGTTCTCTTCGCTCTGCTCTTTCACTTTGATATCCAAGAGTACCAGCGTATGCATGCCTAGATCCACATTTTCCTTGATACGGTCGTAAAAGCTATCAGGCTTCCATGTCTCCGTGAAAAATACCAGAGAAACAGTCTGCCCGAAATTGTACAACTGGAGACCGCAAGCCCCGACAGCATTCATGATCGACGCATTGTGGATGACTCTGGTGGGTACGTTCAATGCCCGCGCTCGCAAGATGATATCGGTATGTGTGGTTGCCCTGCATCTCTGTTGGATCGAGGTTATACTTCACAGTTTTACTGTACTACGCACCCAAAGGGATCTCCGACTACGAGGAGAGATATGTCTTCTTTGTCGGCATCTCGTAGAATCTTGTCACTCTCGGTTTCGACCATGTCCCGATCAGCCAGAATCAAGTCTTTCCCATAGAATGCTTCCTTGCGAGGTTCTATCTTAGCTGTATCACGGATATAACCACCGGAATGAACAAACCAATCTTTCCTTCTGTACCATGAGTATGCTAGTATAGGCCTCGAGATACACTCGTGAGGAGCCTTTCACGATCTATCTCAGGTCAGAAAAACATATGTGCAGAGATGTAGCTCCGACGTACGTTCAAGCCACGCACGGTTATATCGCTTTCATCGCACAAACCGAGACCGACTAGATAGAACATAATGGCTGGTTGCAAGCTTTGACTAGAAGCCGAGATTAGATTCTGCAGATTCGTCCGGCTCACCGGGTTCGCAGGAAATCGCGCCGGCGGCGCTGTAGATTCTGCGCAATTTTTGGCATATATCCATGTGCATGCTGAACTTATATTCATGCTAGATCTCGCGCTGCATTCCCACTCCATTGAACCTCCCGCCATGGTCCTCGTTGAGCATGGGAGCCTGAATAGACCTGGGACAGTTTTGCACCGATTTTCAAGGCACCTCAGTAAGGCCCCAAGTAACTATGTTACTATGCGGTCATAGTACGGAAGACTTAGCGGCGTCTTTCCGGATACCAGGCGATAAGTCCGAGCTGCATTACCCGTTCCCCAGACTCAACATATGCTCTACACTACATCTGGGCTGGTCTCCATGGTTGCTGCAAGTCGAGATGACATGCCGACGGACGTTTTGCCTCTCATCTTCGAGCACGCTGATCGGCGAGATTTGCATATCTGTGCCAGCCTTTCGCGATCCTTCCATCGTGCGGCCACCCCCATCCTCTACCGACGTTTAGATTCACGTATCGACACACGATCACAGGTATGACACCATGCATTTCGAGTTATTCGGAATTTATGTCTCACTGATGTTGGTCTTGAGCAATCTGTGGTCTTGCACCCATCTACAACCTTGTTGGAAAAAAGAGACTATGCAAGATATGTGCGACATGTGAGGGAAACAAGTAGGTCCTATGTGGGCATCTCCCGTGCCTCATTATTCACAGCATTGATCAGGCGGGGTCGCATTCTATACGCCTGGCTTATTGCCCGGCTGCCGAGAAGCACTCAATCTGTGCACCAATTTGGTGTCATTCTCTTGGAGCGATGATTCCGCCGGCGTCAAATACGACAAGGTTCTGCTTGATTACTTAGACGTTCTCAAGGGCCTCAACGTCCAGGAACTCACCATTCATACCTACCTCGGTTTTAGCGAAGAAGTCTGGTCAAAACTGAAAGAATTCACAAATCTTCGCAAAGTCGCTCTGTGGTGTATGGAAGGCCCACCGCGGATCATGCAGGGATGGTCGGAAAAACTGGGCAGCTCCCTTACCACACTTGAATTAGGTGTCAGTTGCTATACCAGCTGCTGTCGGAGTCGAAATTTCTCAACGTTCGGTTTACTTGCAGCGTTGTGCTGGTGTTCCTGCGACGATCTTGGTCTCAGTTCTCTCATATCTGCCTTCCCTCCGATCACTGCGACTGAAGGGCGCATCTAGCAGCGCGATACTGGAAATCCTCAGTTTACTTCCGAACTTAACTTCGCTCGACACTGAGTACCTCGGATCCGGCTTGTTGTGGTGTTCGGACGAGCCCTTGGCATCTCTTCAAGAGCTGACTGTTCGCACGAGCTCGATAGACGTCCAGGGTCCCGAGCATTTATGGCCGTGGATTCGCCGACTGTTACCCCGGCCTTCGCTGGAGACCTTCACTCTCAATTCCTTTTCCACTCTGGGCGATGCGTTCATTCCCCGCCGGTTTCTCCTCGATCTCGCCGCTGTGCACCGATCGACGCTGAAGAGTTTCACGGTGTCCTCTGTACAGCTGACCATCAATGACGCCCAGTGTATCTGCACTTTATTTCCTGCGCTTGAAATTCTGACTTTATCCATTCCGCTCCCACCTCAGCCGGTGCGCCCATACGTTGTACTCGATGATGTGGTATTCATTGATCCCACATCTTCCAGCGCCAAATCGAAGCGGCGGTCGCGCACGCGCAGCAACTGCGTCAGCTGCGGTTGTATACAAGCTGGATGCCCTCTCGTGGCATGGTTGGGACGGGCACGTCATTCGGCATAGAGCACGCGCGAAGCTTGATATTGCCGGGCAAAACATTACGCGTTGTGGGTATAGGGCGGGTCTTATACACGGTAATTTTGATACTATTTTGTGCAAGACGGAAAATCCAGCCCTGTCTGATTTTTATTTCCAGGGTCGATGGGTAATCGACGCAACTAACCGTCTGGACTTCGAGGTTGTCTGCGATGTCGTTCGTGACTCGTGGGCGTGACTAATACCATAAAATAGTACTATATCATGCTGTCCTCCGAAGGACTCGGGAAAATGGATTGAAATATTGACAACTTGAATAGGTCTTACAATATGTGGTGAGCTTGTACCGCTACTAGTAGGGTTCATTCTGTATATGTTATGTTGAACCATGGCTATCTATACACGATGTACATATATGCTTAACATGCCCATGTAAACATATCTTCCATTTGGCGAGTGAGTATACCGTTTCATGGCTAAACTACCGTGAATTATGTTCCGTCCTCAGCAAGTCCTGCAACCATGCCCGCGCGCTAAGCAGTACTTGGTGAGGCGCCTTGCTATAAACGGCAGCTCGGCAAGGTGATCTTGAGCGCCAATTGAACCTGCAGCGTTGAACACCTCAACTCAGTCCACAATGGTGAGATCCTCGTTTTCAGAATTTACAGAATGCACTGAAATATCTCATTATCATAAGTTACCGCTGTCCCTTTTGAACGCTGCGCAGAACAAGCCAATGGTGAGCATGCCACTCTCGCCATCTCTGCCATTTCGTCTCTCAACTGAGCAGATTGTCTGCACAGTTAGTCGAACTGAAGAATGGAGAGACGTTCAACGGGCATCTCGTCAACTGTGACAATTTCATGAACATTACCCTCAAAGAAGTGTACCAGACCAGCGCGGAAGGCGACAAGTTCTGGAAACTGAAAGAGTGCTATATTCGAGGTAGCACGGTGCGTGTGCTTTTGATCGCTGTTACACTGGATCATGACCTAGGCTGGTTGATCAGATAAAGTATCTACGAGTACCTGACACCCTACTGGATGCTGTACGTGAGGAACAGACCAAGGCCAGGGAGGCCGGCAGAAGCGCAAGAGGAGCGCATGTGAGTGGCTCAGGCGGCAGAGGTACGTACTGTCGAACCGCGTCTACTCGCGGTACTCAATCCCTGTGTTGTATCAGGTCGTGGAGCGCCGCCAAGAGGTATGTCGTTCTTTCTCTTCTTCATTGCACTTTACTCAGCGGCGGATATCAGGACGCGGAGTTGCACGCGGAATCCCCATGCGCGGAGGAAGGGGCAGAGGGAGAGGAGCATGAACGCTCGGCCTGTGTAAGCCTTATCCTGTTACTCTTTAGCTGTGCTATTCTCTTCCACCTTCCAGTAGACCTCGGTCAACCTGTTGAGTTATGCCACTTATTGTGTGCATGTCATCAACACTCTATTCACAATGAAAACACTGTCAGAGGGAGTCATGAATATTCAGTCCAGAATACGCCCTCTCTTCCACCGTTCTTCCGTGCTTAGTCTCTGCCCTTCCTTCGCTCCATACAAAGCCTTCCATATGGCATCCCTTTTAGCCTGCACCGGCATTTCCTCGCCATTGATAGTCGCGTTATCGAAACCCAACAAGAACACACCGTCAATGTCTTTGCACCGGAGAACCATCTCCTCCGCCCTGCTGGCTTTCTCTAGAGTGCAGTCTTGCGTAAGTTTCAATATACCCTGATCGCGGAAATCAACCGCAGATTGTATGAGAACGCTGCGATCGTTAGGTTGAGCCGCCAGCTTGGGTAACGTGCGAGCGGTCGCTTCGACACTGGGAGAAGAAGCGGGAGAAGGAATGAAGGATATCTTGCGAATGACGCGTGCTTGGGTTCCGTATAGGGCAGCTGCGATGGCGAAGCCCACGAACAGCTGCCCTGCTACGTACAGCGCTCGGTAGTGCCATGGACGAAGGACAAAACCTCCTTCTGTTTGCGCGGTTGCATCTGTCGTGGTATTCGCGGCACCTTCGGAGCGGTTCTCCCCTGAAACCTTGTCGCTAGTCGATGCAGGAGGCTGTACGACCTTGGCCTGGTCGTCTGTTGGGGTAGTGATGGACGATACATCGGCCGGAGCTTCTTCAACCATTGTCCAATGGTTCCATACCAGCTCGCACGATGTAGCACTACAAGAAGAGTCAGACGAGGGCCCGGGCAAGTTTAAAGGGTCGAAAGCTTAGTCGGCACTCACGTCACAACGATGTCGGCGGCTATGATGGCGTAAGTCCACCGTGAGTACCAAGGAAGACGTCGCTCGAACAATACATGTGCCGTCTGCGAGGCCTGAGTGTGCGCCTGACGAGAGAGGAGCGCAAGACGGTGGAATCTGAGGGACCGGAGCAGGTTCATCGACTCGGAGCGGTCGCGGTCAGGCGCCACGATCTGCTTGGTGACTCTGATGTGACCTCTTCCCGGTATGGCAACCAACGTAATGGACGGGATAAGCGCGCCTGCTGGCGGCCTGCAGTCGCGGAACGTGCAGGGCGAGATCGCACGCGAGGTCGGGTCGAAACTATTTATCTCACCCAACATGCGAACAACACGTGTAGCCGGTTGTCTTCGACAATCTCCTGCGCTATATGTTGGGTTCAGCACCGTCCCTCGTCTTGTCTCCCACCGCCCATCAAAATTCTCCAATGGCGCACTACCACAGCTCGACGCCCGTGGACACGGTCATTGAGAAGGTAAAACGGCACCCCAAGTACTTCCTCCAGGGGGGGGACATTCATTTTTTGGTAATGTCCCGATTTCATACATTTCCATATTCCCAGGTGCTGAGATCACCCGTCTCTCAAGGTGGAGACACACCTCTTTCGCGTTCACCGTTACTTTTTTGAACGGGAGTCAGGATGGTTCCGCAAAAACCTGGCAGTACCCGCTCCGGCTGGCCAGAGCCCCAGGGGATCTACGGAGACAAATCCGTTTCCCTTAGATGACATTAGATCTGACGACTTTGAAAGATTTTTATGGGTTTTCTACAATCCGTGAGTGTAGGTCTTCATGAGATGCTGATCGGCCTGATAAGCTGTGAACAGCAAATATTCCATTTACGACGCCCACCTTGACGACTGGAAAGCCATCGTCAAACTGGCTTCCGACTGGTGTTTCACTGAAGTAAAGAAGCTATGCCAACGCGAGTTCGAGAAGTTTGACATTGCCCCGCTAGACAAGATCGAGCTGTACCAGATGTATGAACTTGACAAGAAGCTCCTCATTCCATCCTACATCGAGATCTGTGTCCGCCCCCAGCCTCTGTCGCTCAAGGAGGGCCGTCAGATCGGCCTCGAGACCTCGCTCTTGTTGGCGACCGCACGCGAGTGCGCGCGTGGTATTCTTGACAACGGTGCTCGCAGCCCTGGGCCGGTAAAATGTCAAGATGACGACATGGTAAACGTTGTCAGCGATGTCTTCAGCTTGAATGCCATCGTCTCACCCTCGCTCCTTCCTGTGCGACACTTGTCGAGCCCGACCGCGCCAAGGTTCGACCCTTGCATCTCCCCCTCCAAGTCGCCATACACCTACAGCACCTTGGGCTCCGCATCTGCCACGGCTGTGAAAAGCATTTGCACCGGAGACGTGTTCTCGCCCGCCTCGACTGCGCCGAACGGCGCGGCGGCAACAGGTCAATCTAACTCGAGCCTTTCCCCTCCCCCATCGCTCAGTCGACTGATGTCCACTTTTCAACCGCAGGAGCCGGCGCGGTTAACAACGGAGCTTCCTGCAGAGATCTCGCAGGCAACCACACTGGCAGAGGGAAAGAGAAACTCCTCGACACCGGCGGAGGGAAGGAGAAACCCGTCGACTCCAGCGGTGGAAGCACCGGTGTCACCGGCGAAGCAGACCAACACGGCACAGCCTCAGCCCCAAGCACAACCCGAGCTACCGCCGCCGCCGCCGTCGAAGCAAACGGGAAGGAGAAGGAAGGAGGAGGAAAAGGAGGAAAAGATGCCCCAGGTACTCCTACAGAAACCGCTGGAGACAAAGCGTCCGGGGGAGGGAACGGCGGGAATAATGGCGGGGTCAGAACCGGTAGCCAGAACGGGAGAAAGCGTGGCGGCAGATCGTAGCGATACCAGCCCTTTGCAGTCTCTTAGTCAATCGGACGCCGCGAGCACTCCGGATAATGCTGGCGCTTCTCTCACCACGTCTCAGAGCGACCGAACGACACCTGCAGAACCACTGGCAGAGACGACCAACGAACCTACAGAGACTCTATCGAGCAGCGGAGGCGTTGCGGACGCGGATGCCACGGCGACGGATACGATACAACCACAGGCGTCCGATGACGCATCTATATTCGCTGAGACACCTACAAAGCCGATGACCTCCAAAGCCAGGAGAGCAGCTGCAAAGCAGGCTAAGAAGATGGCCGATGCTGCTCAGAGTAACGCGCCTTCGCCAATAGAGCAGAATGCGCAGGACGCCTCTCCCAGTGACAACAGTGGGAAATCGCCTGTGCAGGACAGAAGCGCAGACATCCCGCCATCTGGCACATCCAACTCATCTACTCCCAAAGGCAAAGAACCTCGTGCATCTGAGTCTCTACAGAACGCGTCGGCTGCGGTTGCGAAGAAGGGTGACAAGAAATCCGCTGGTACGAACAACAAGACAGACGCCTCAGCGGCTGCCCAGTCCCAGTCACCTGCTTCCAAAGTCGGCACGAGCGTTACACCAGCTATTCCGCATGCTTCGGGTAATGCCACGGACGCCTCGTCGACGAATGGCGACAAAAAGGCAGATAATACGGCCAACGATAAGCGCGCAGATGGCTCTGTGGCTGCCCAGTCTATCGATGTGACCGCTGCAGCCGAGACAGCTTCGTCCGCAAAGGATGTGTCATCGGGTGCGCCTTCCAAGGATGGTGACATAAAGACGGACGACCCCACAGTTGCTAAGCCCGACCCATCTGTTCCCACAGTCGACGCGACCACTGCAGTCGGGATAGGCGCGCCTCCGCCTCCTACGAAGGATGGAGACGAGGAAACGCCTGCGGCGAATGACACGAGCCCGGACGCGTCTGTACCTGCCAAATCCGGCCAGTCTGCTCCCAAAGCGGAGGGAACAGTCGCAGCCGAGACAGCAGCGTCTACGCCTACGTCCACTGAAGGAAAGGCGCCGGATGTCCCACCCAAGAGCGATGAGAAGGAAACACTTGTGGCGAAGGAGAAGAACGAGAGCCCAGACGGTGCTGGAACATCGAGCGCTGGGGAGGAAGACAAGGCCGAGGACGATACACCCGAGACAGGAGGGGACGCGCAGAGAGGTGCTGAGTCTTCCGGCGAAACGACCACAGGCGGCCCCACCGGGACCACCCCCGAGCCTCACAAGGGCGTATCGACCGGGACCGGAGCTGGCGCGGGTGCAAGCGCGAAGGCAGCGTCCGTTACACCGCCCGACGCGCCTTCGAATCAGACAAACGCCAAGGCAAACCCGGCAGACAAGAACGAGCAACAGGCGCCAGGAATTGTGCGCGGAGCGTGGGGTAAGCCTCTTAATGCTGGACAACAGTCGACTAGCACTGGCAGGCCGCAGACGCCGGAGAGAGCCAAACTCGCTGTGAACACCAATGCGTGGGGAGTTGGCAGAGGTGCTGGTGCGAGGTCGTCCACGCCGAGTGACAGTCAGAAGCCGGGGGAAGCTGGAGGGAGGGCCAGCGCGAAGACTGCGTCAGCAGGCGGTCGTGGTTGGGGTGGGTTCATGGACGCCCTTCTCGGAGGTGACCGAGAGTAACTACTGCACTTGGAACCCTGGAATACTCTGGACGGCTTTATTCACGCTCGCATCCTTGTTGTCCTGCATTCCGATATTGTTGTGTGTGCTTGTGTCATCACGCGTCATGTACCGTACGTTGATCGTATATGTTCTTCACCCAAGACAGTCTATTACTATTGGAACAGCCGTGTCATCCACATGCTTTGGGCCTGTTCGAGAGGGGTAACGCGGTAACGTGAAAGGGCCTGTATCGCCGAAATACAAATTCAGAAGGTATAATGGATGCGAAGAGCCCAGCCTCGCCTTGCTATATGGTTCTTGCCGGTCAGATAAAGATCATATATGGGACCTCCAAACGTCCACAACGGGCCGTCGAGCCTCCGCAGATCGCACTAGGGAACACAGTGGCACCATGATACAACAGTGATATATACTGTACTGTACGACAATTCTTAGACGCATAGATGAGCGTGTAGTGTCCACAATACAAGCAGCACTTACAAGACGTAGTAGGATGAACGCTCCCATAGCCAAGTGTAGACGTTTCCGTTACAAGCAGTTAGCTCACGAGCGTTTACGTTAGCGGGGTCATGTGTCTTCCACCTCTTTCCGGACTTGAGAGTTGGAGCGAAATCAGAAAAGATGGGGTTGGCGTGCAGTGCCTGCTAGTAACTTTACTCACCCCTTTCCAAGTCCCTGTGTTCCCATTCTTCCATAACAGAAGGCTCGACGTCTTTCCGGCCAAGTAATACCTCCTTCCACCCAATCGCCTCCTTCCCAGCGGCATGGGACGGTTGGGGCTCCTCGTGACTGAACGCGAGCTTCCGAAGCCTTTCATACTCGCGGTCTGGGACGCGCTCTCCGGCTCGCAGGCGCTGGAGGGTGGATTCGAGGATGGATATTTGGGCGCTGATCTGAGCGCGGTCCGCTTCGACCTGTTTGCGCTGCCGGAGGAGGTGCATTCCGAGGGAAGTGATGGCCATGGAGTAGAGGACGTGGGGCAAGTACCGGGTGGAGGCCATCTGTGGCGTCCGGACTAAAGCTGGACCAGCAGGGGAAGGAGCGAGTGGTGTATTCGCGGGTGCAGCAGCTGGCGCAGTAGTGGCGCTTCTACGACCAGAAGAGGCGTTCGGTCAAACGCACAGTTTGCGGAATGGAAGGTGCAATCTGGAGAGGAAAAATTTGATGACTTGCGACGTAAAACGAGAGGTAGCTTCGACGGGTGGTGGTGATGGTGCTCGCGGACTTGGCGAGAGCTGGGAGGGCGCACTCCTGAAACGGGAGTAAGCGCCAGGCTCTTGCCGAAGGCCGTCGCAGGCAGTCCCCGTTCCCCGGGAAATTTCTGTCCAGATCCAGCTGGAAGCAACAACATGCCATCTCGTCCTCCCGCCCTTCTTTTTTCAACCGTATATTTATGGCCAACCCACGCCTCTCCCGTCTCCTCACCACCCTCTGACCTCCTGCTCCCCCCACTGACGACCTTCCCTCCTCGAGATGTCCACCCGCTCTCAACGCATCGAGCAGGTCAGTACCCTCGCGTATTTTCCCCCATCGTGTCCATGACACTGGCCTCCAAATACAGATCTTCCAACGCGTCGAGGAGGAGAGTGAGCGGCGGGCGCAACAGGCTACTCGAGGGAGCACTGTCTTTACCGCGTCCACCGTCTCCGGCCGCCGCAGGGGCGGCAGTATCTCGGTCTCTCGCTTTGGTCAAGTGAGCGCTGTCCTCACTCCCCGTGCCTCTCTCCTGACGTCGAGCTGCAGCCTGTAGAGCCCTCAGACGTCTCCACGGGCCCTCCTTCAACACCTCCGCCGACCATGTCTTCTTACGTCGTCCGCGGTCCCACCTTCTATCAGGTACAACCTCATGTACGTGTCACTCCATGTCAAGACAAAACTCAATTTGAACGGTCACCTGCAGCTGCATATGGGAAGCGCAGATTCTCTGGCATCCACTGAGATTGGCGATGATGATCACGACACGGACGAGGCACTCACTACCCATGTCGCGACCATCGCGGGACGGCAGTCCATCTCCAGGGCCGTGGGCGGTATGCTCAGCCGGAAACTCTCACGCAGCCGCAGACATTCCAAGGACGTGATACCCCTGTCCTCCAGCAACGTGGTCATCGGCGTCTCCGTCGAGGAGGCCACGGTCGAAGCCGAGGCCCACGAAAGCGCCCATCATGAACCTGCTACTTCGGTAGCTTATTCTTCCGCCTCTTCCGCTCTCCGTCACCAGCGTTCTATGGCCGTTGAGAAGAGCTCTGCGAACAACTGGGTTGACAAGGCGAAGGGTGTAACCCAGAAACTGAGGCGAAAAAGCGTGGCCGCGCTCTCTCTCAGTCCCGACAGATAATGCTTCTCGGCAAGGTCTTCCTTTTCTCGTTTACTTACCTGCTGCTCGTCCTTTCCTCCCATGTCACCTCACTCAGCCTGTATCTCCCCTCGTCACATCTCGCTTGCTCGTCTGTCTGTCCATTGCTGTCGCTCGCATCGTCGCTTATCCTGCATTCTCGTTACATCGATCGTCTTACCTCGCATTTTGTTTGTTCTTGTTCAATGGCATTCTTCTCTGATCTCTGACGCTGGATCTCATACGCGTGCGACGCGTCTGAGCAGAATCATGTGACTTTGACGCGTGGGCGTGACTACGGACCGCTTCCGCGCTTATCCTCTTCGGGCGTTCACAATTGGCCTTGGTTAGCGTCTCACAATTAGCACAGTCGTGGTGCCGTGCTAGCATCCACAGATAAATACCTGAGGATTCGGGCCCGCTCTATGTCTGATTGTGCCGTGCTCACACCAGCCCCGAACTTTGGGCAGTGCCCTTATCCGTTGTAACTCCCTGATTGTCCTCTAGGTGAGTGCTTCCAGCGATAGCAGAATGCACGCTTGAAGCTCACTCCTGGGTATCGTGTCTGATCAGAATAGTAGTCAGACGTCCATTCCGTTTCTTCCAGCCCACGGTTACTCAACATCACTCTCGATCATACGGATTGTGAGTCTTTGTCTTCTCCGTGAGATAGGAAGCGCAGACCTGATGTTGCATGGGCTCAGCAGCCCTGCTCAGCTAACGATCTAGTACCATGACCTCCACACAAGACTCAACGTTAGATAGTTCCGTATCCACATCCTATCCTCACTCCTATCCCTCTACGAGTAAAATTGCCGATGTCCCCGGCAACTCCCCCACGAGCATGATGCCGTGGGACGATGATGGGGACGATGACACCCTGCTGGACCTATCGCCACCCGACCTCAAAGACCGTTTGCGTTTGGATCACATTCTATCGCTGGTCTCGTTGGCGTTCGACGTCTCGTGGCTATACGAGCTCGACGACGACGTGCTGGTTTCACCGGTCGATGCGTTCGCTGATCTGTGCTATGCGCAGTGTACTACGACGTGCGACGGCGACGAGTGCGCGAAGGACTCGACAGCGTTGCGCGGGCTCCGGAGCGACTCGGGTCACGGATCGGACACCGCGAGCGACTCCGACTCTGAGATCACCACGCCAACAGAAGTCGACCTGTCCACCGCGCTGCGGTGGAGGAGGTCCGCGTTCGCGTTCGCAAAGTGCGCCGAAGAGCGCAGGCGCGTCACCTTTGTGAGTGGCTGCAGCGTGCGCACTAGTGGCTGCGTGGCTGATCGTGATCGCGCTTGGCAAGGCGCCGCTGCCGCTGTCGCAGTCGATGAGCGAGGCGATCCTGGCGGGACCGGCTTTCTGCGACCCGGAGATGGCGTTCCTTCTCTCCAGCCCTGCTTCCGATCCGAATGACTCGGTGCACTTCTTCCCCACATGGCCCGAGGAGCGGCGAGCGGAGGGGGGCACGCTGAAGACCGCTGTGATGCGGGGGCTGGCTGGCCTCAGGCTGCGTTCCGGTTTGTCTCGATGATGATGATGCGTAGCGCCCGCAGCGCGGATCTGCTATAAACTTGCAGGACTCGATTATATCTCTACCTCCCCCGTTGCTTATTTGTACCTCCCCGGATCCCTCGCTAGTTAGTAGCTCTCGTCGTCGCTCGTTGGGTATATTCAGTAGATGTTGTACTATCTCCGCACGCCACACATATGTAGTTACCCCGCACTGTTGTCTGTATACTGGAGGAGTGCTTCCCGAGCGCCTCTGCTGTCCATCTTGCATCCGCCACGCTCCACGCTCTTTCTCCCTTGGTATGTACCATCTTAGACCGTCATCAAGCTACAGTCATTCCAATGCATGGTTCGGAAAGACCGGACGAGTGCAGGCTGTGCGAAGAACATCGACGGAACGGAAGGGGAGCGGCCGACGGGGCTCGGGAATGCGGGGATGGCCTGGCCATGTCTGGGGTACCTCCGCCAGCCCAGACTAATTCACATGCCCACCCCGCCTCCACCAAGCAGTCACACTCAAAAGCCACCCGCGCCCGCTCGAGTGTAATGTCTTAGCTTCCGTCGTCCCCTTCCCTATACCAATTCCCGCTTTTAATTTTTTTGTGAGCACCAGCGGCCCCTTTTTTGTTGCGACGTGCTGACCGGTGTCGACCGTAGTTTCTCCTCGCTCCCTGCACTGGCCATGTCGCGCTCGGCCGATGGCAAGAAACCCTCGTTTGCGATCCAGTTGACCGCCGGAGGTCTCGCTGGTGCGATGGAGGCAGTAAGTGTCGGCGTCGGAACGATTAACAAACCGTTCACTGTTCTCGCAGCTATGTTGTCAGCCTCTCGACACCATCAAGGTCCGCATGCAGCTCTCGCGGTCGGGCAGAGCCCCTGGAGTACGTCTACCTCCCCCGCACTCGGTGTCACCCGCCATGTTTACATCCCGCTACCCAGACAAAACCGCGCGGCTTCCTGGCTACCGGCGGCATGATCATACGGAGAGAAACCCCGCTCGCCCTCTACAAGGGTCTCGGCGCTGTCCTCTCCGGCATCGTCCCGAAGATGGCCATCCGTTTCGCGAGCTTCGAGACGTACAAGGAGCAGCTGGCGGACAAGAAGACGGGCAAGACGAGTGTCGGAAACATCTTCCTCGGTGCGTCTTTCCCCCGCGTGCGGGTCAATTTTGGTATTTTGACATCGTGATGCAGCGGGGCTCGGAGCGGGATGCACGGAAGCGGTGATGGTCGTCACCCCCATGGAGGTCGTCAAGATCCGGCTGCAGGCGCAGCAGCACTCCCTCGCTGACCCGCTCGAGGTCCCACAATACCGCAATGCCGGACATGCTGTATACCAGATCGTGCGCGAGGAGGGGTTTGGCGCCCTGTACCGGGGGGTCACCCTGACTGCTCTACGGCAGGCGACCAACCAGGGTATGTTTCGTGTCGCTTGCTCTGATCGTCTCTGAATTGTTTCGCCTTAGGCGCCAATTTTACCGCATACCAGGAGCTGAAGAAGCTTGCGCACCGGTTACAGCCTGAACTGACCGATCTGCCTTCGTACCAGCACATGTTCATCGGCCTCATTTCCGGAGCGATGGGTCCCTTCTCCAACGCGCCGATTGACACTATCAAGACCCGTACGTGTCTTCCGGTCCGCGCGTTCTATTTCTTCTTACACGTTTGCGCGTTTTCCGTTCTAGGTCTGCAGAAGGCCACCGCGCCACCCGGCGTCTCCGCGTTCCAGCGCATCGCCGCGATCGCGCGAGACATGTGGCGGCAGGAGGGCGTCAGCTCGTTCTACAAGGGCATCACCCCGCGCGTGCTGCGCGTCGCGCCCGGCCAGGCGATCGTCTTCGCGGTGTACGAGCGCGTGCGCAGGGCGATGGAGACGATGCAGGGCTCCTCGGAGGAGAAAGTGTATAGCGAGTGAGTTTCGGGGCGCGCGGCGGAGGCTCTGCGTGTGCCGCTTCTGTAGGATCTGTACTGCATATATAGGACACGGACATTCTAGACGGAAGCTGTCTGCATATGGTTTTGTATATCTCACCGAGCCAGTCAAATTCGCCAGCGTGTTGTCTGACTTCCGCTGCGGACGGTACGTCATCAAATGCATGCCATGACACGGATATATGCGTGATGAGTACAAGAAATAACGTTGTGACAATCAATCCTACAGACCTAGTCCGTTGCGGAGTATAGTACACACAATATGGATATAAATACTATGGGGTATGTGGTCATCATCATCGTGGTCATGAACTCGCATACTCGAACTCGGGGAACAGGTCACCGTATAGGTCCTCGGTGAACGCGCCATACTGCGCCGCCGTGTTCCCCTCCGGGTATGTTTCGAACCTGTCCAGGCAGAAATCAAAATCACCCACAGAGCAGTCTCGGACGACGGACAACGACGTACGCGCTCGCATCGCCGTCACCGCTGATCTTGGGCAAGTACGGCGCGGTGATCTCGCGATTCCGCAGCTTGTCCCAGTCGACCTCCCGGAACCACGGGTGCGCGAACACGTCGCCGGCGCCGTGCCGCAGGTTGCCAAAGCGTTTTGAGGGGTCGCTCTCCATGAATTTGAGAATGATGTCAGTCGCGTTCGGGTGGAATGCTGGCCACTTGATGCACGAGGGGCCCTGGGTGATCTTCTCGTAGAGCACGACCGCGCTAGTGTCCGGCTCGTGGTATGGTGGGACGCCCGCCAGCATCTCGAAGATGAGTACGCCGAGTGCGTACCAGTCGACGCTCTTGTTGTACCTCGCGTTCCCGATGATCTACACGGTCTAAGGCCAAGCCACTACAACGAGATCGCAAAATTGAATTCGCGTACCTCTGGCGCGAGGTAGTCCGGTGTGCCGCATAACGTCCACACGGTGGTGTTGCAGTACTTCGCGAAACCAAAATCTGCAATTTTGACATGGCCGTCGAAGTTCAGGAGGATGTTCTCCGGCTTGAGGTCGCGGTAGATGATGTCGAGCGAATGGAGGTAGTTGAGGGCGAGCGCGACCTCGGCGGAGTAAAATTTGGCGACTGGGTCTGGGAACCGCTGCGTAGCGAGTGAGCATGTTAGTCGCTGCTCTACAGCACGCAACTCCTGCAGTCCTTACGTTTGATCTTCGCAGAAGAGTGAAAAGCTCCCCACCAGGGACGAAGTCCATGACCATGTAGAGATTCGCCGAGTCTTGGAACGTGCCCCAGAGGTTTACGATGAAGGGATGCTGCACCGCTTGCAGCATCATCTGCTCATTGCGCGTGTGCGAGATCTGCTTCATGCGCACGATCCGCTCCTTGCTGAGCACCTTGATCGCATAGAAGCGTAGATTGTGCTTGCTTCGTACTGCGCATGCACTCAGAAGGGAGATCAAGGTGGACACATGGCGCAAGAGAACAAACCAAGATGCACCCGCCCGAAGCTTCCCGTTCCAAGAGTCCGCTGAATTATGAAGTCGGATAGCCGGTAGGATCCCTTTGGTCTTCGCGGTGGAAGGAGTGGATGACCGACCATCCCAATGTTCTCTTCGATCTCTATCTTCTCCGGCCGCTTGCTTCGACCGCTCACGGAGGTCATCCCCGTAGAGATCGACGAGCGGTATTCATGAGACATAGTTGAGACAGACGGCATCGACGAGACCGATGAAGACGTCGAAGCATGCATGGACTGCTTGTTAGGACCGAGGTGTCCCAGCTTGTCGGCTACTTTCTTAAACATTTGGTCAGCCTAAGCAGCAAGCAGTGAGGGGGGATCAGAGGGGGGATGTGAGTAGAGGAAGACGTGTACGCGACTTTGTTGGCCGTGCCATTGTTCTCCATGTCGGTGGCAACAAATTCGCCGTCTTGTCGGTCTCCCGCCACTAGTACTGTCAGGGGTCCCGCGGTAGTCAGTTCCTCGAAATTATCATCGCACTGACTTGAGCATGCACTTCTATCTTTTCTCAGCCAGATTACTTCAGGATTACCTCAGGACATAGTGAGATGGTCTCCTCAAATTCTGGCGTTGGAAGCTGGCCCGCTGTCCTGGTCTTGGTCTTATTTGTGATCTCCAGTCAGTCCAGTCCGAGCCGGATATTTCATTCTGCTTCCTGAAGTCTATATACTTTCTATGTGGTTCAAGACATTGCTGTGGTCTTCCCTATTCGTGTTCCGATACCACAGACCATCCACCGGGGCATTTTGAACGTCTTGGCAGTATTCCGAATTTTACCTACGTCTTCCCGCCCTCTGAGGAGAATATATGCGCATCTCAACTATATCACGGTCCCCTTATTCTCAGTTCTTCTGTTACTAATGACAGGCGCAATCGATGGAACCGTCATACGTGAAGGAATAGTTGGTGCCAATGGCGTAAAACCTCTGAACATAATGGCTCTGTTCATATCGCTGGTAAATCTCGTTAGAAACCTCGACATGAGGGAACGTCCCAGAAATATATCCTTTTAGGCATACCTGTCAATCTCTTTGGATGCTACAGGATTGTTCCGATTTCTTGCTCTCTGGGTAGTCCGGAAAGGTGGCTCATCTGGCCGTAAGCTATACCTGTATCTCTACTGCTTCTTCCTAGTCTGTGGTGTATTTGTCGGTAATGTGGGTATTCGTGCACTCTTCTGCGGAATTTGCTCAGCGTTAACATTCTCATAGGATCCCGTGATTTTGTCTGGCACTGCTTTTTTGGCATACTTGACGAGAATATCTGGGTGAGTACGTCTACGCATGAATCCATCTCACAGGTCTCATGTGAATGCTTTCAGGATTACGCCCCCCACTGCTTGGATATTTGCTCAGTTTGCTGCTGCTAACATGGGTAAGAGTGCCACCCAGAATAATAATCGAATGTCCTGAGACCCTGCCATTGCAGCATCGGTAGTACTAGTTTCCTCAAACCCTACCAATCTGGTCTTGTCGGGCGCATTCTCCCTGACGTTCTTAACGTACACTGCGCACTGCATCCTACCCTTTCTTGCCGCTGCCGTCTTCGTTTATCCTGTTCTGGTCGTGGGCCTATTTCGCTCACCTGATTTGATCCCTCGCTCCATCGACGTGATATTCGAGGACATTGACACTGGCGTGACCCTCGTTGACCAAAAGGGTGCCGTTTTTGGGAGCATCTTGGTCTTAATCACACTTGGTGTGCTTGTGGGCACGAGCGCCATAGGCATCCCTGTGTGGGAAGTGACTGTCCCTCCTGCGGTGATGATGTTATCGCGGGATCTCCACCACGATTGGACCCGGCACCGACGATTATCTCTCGAGAAACTTCAATCTCGACCAACGTCTCAACCGCCCGTGAATCGTGCAGCTCATGAATCGGAGATTGAGCTGCACCAAATACCGTCACGAGGGCACCAGTCGTCTCTGTTCACAGCACCTCCTGAAACCCTGCTGTCTTGGCTGACCCGTTATTTCGGCGTCGTCTCAGTCACGTTCCGTACGGTCACCACCATCGTAGAGCGTCTTCCCCTTGCCTTACTCCCTTTCGCCTTCTTAATGTTCATTCTTGTACAAGCACTCGCCACTAAAGGCTGGGTGGAGGTTCTCGCCAGGTGGTGGGCTGCATGGATCGACAAGACTGGTGTGCTTGGGGCTATCGGCGGGATGGGGTTTCTGGCATGCATAGCTTGCAATGTGCGTTTTTATTCCTCTGAACTGACATTTCTTCAACTCGGTCGTTTGACATCGTTCTTTGCTGTATAGGTCTGCGGTACTAACATCGGTGCGACAATTCTTCTCGCGCGTGTCATCCAGCTCTGGATCTCGAACTCGAGTAATATCATCGACACTCGCACTCGAGACGGCGCCATATACGCACTTGCATTTGGCTCTAATTATGGTGCATTCACACTGACATTCTCTGCCTCTTTGGCTGGCTTATTATGGCGTAGGATTTTGCGACAGAAAGGCATTCATGTTCGCGCTATGCAGTTCTTGATTATTAACCTACCCATAGCCTTCACCGCCATGCTCGTTTCCTCCCTGATTCTCTTAGCGCAGGTCAGTGTCGTCCAATAACATAAACACTAATCAGTACCCATGTATCGAATACAACAGAACATTATCATACGGCATACAAAAGCATATCATAGATCACGGAAGTACTCCATATCAGCACGGACGAAAGCAACCATATACTCGACGACAGTGCCCCCTTCCTCCTCGACTTCCTCTTCCACAGCCTGTGCATCCTCATCATCCTCAAGCACGACAGTATCATCTGCTTGTTGGGTCTCAGCAGTCTCTGCCTCCGTTTCCGCCGTCTCGATAGCTCTGTTCGCTGTACCGCCATCTTCGAAGTCTGCCTCGTCCGCTCCTTCCAGTGCAAATGCTTCCCTGGCAGCAACGGCTGCAGCATGTGCGTCCTCAGTGTCCTCGACGTCACCCAACGCCTTCGTAAGCGCCACTTCATCCGAGAACAGTGAGCGCCAGTCAAATTCGCCCTTCTGGATGACCAGATCGTCTAGGGAGCGCTTCTGGTTCGCTTTGCGGAGGAGCGCTTCCTCGACTGTATGGCGAGAGACAAACCGGTAGATGTGGACATCGCGGATCTGTCCAATCCGATGCGCCCTAGCAGACAACTTATCGGAGGAAGCAGAATAAAATAATTACAAGATACTTACCTGTCTTCACATTGACGATCCATCTGGGGATTGAAATCGCTGTCATAGAAGATGACAGTATCTGCACCTGTAAGGCTTTAAATGCAAGGGCAGAGTGAACAAAGCTGTCGGTCAATGGGTATATGAAAACACGTACTTGATTCCAACACCACCAGATCGCGAGGAGGATATAAAACAGAAGACTCTTTGATCCGAGTTGAAACGTTCCGTTATGTACTGCCTGTCCTCGATTTTCGTTGCGCCATCGAGGCGCAAGTACAGATAGCCATGCAGATTGAGGAAGGTCTCCAAGATGTCAAGAATTCTGGTCATTTGTGTGAAGATGAGGATTCGGTGACCGCCAGCCTTGCGTTCCCGTAGCAGTTGCGCAAGTTCCTGTAGCTTACCGCAGTCGTATTGTAGTAGGGAAGGATCGGGGAAAGCAATCTGAAGCTTCACGGCAGCCCGGTGGAGAACAACGTCGAAATTCATATCTTGCAAAGTACGCAGAAGAGGCCCCTCGAGTCCAGAGAGGGCAATAGCCGGAAGATCCCGCGCGACAACCGCAGGGGTGGCGAACGCGAACCTGTCAATGATACCAGCCATCTCATCCGCCCGGGAAGCATATGACTTGATAGCGGAGTGAATCCGGTCGACGGTATTCAAGTACGGTGTCACAGTTACTGCCAACGGTGGCAAGGACTCGTGAAGGGGCTTCACACACCTCACCAGTTCTTGACTGTAAATCGGCATACGCTGACAGCGGAGGAGATTGAGATAACCAATATGACTCCACCTGGCAATATTGGCAGCGCGCAGTTGATACGTACGATACCGTTTGTAACCTGCGCTGGTACGTGTATCATAAGGAGGTGGTTCTCCTGGCAATTCTGTAATCATTGGTAGGTGAGGTGTACCATCCAGGCGGCGAGTTTCAACAGCCGCCAAGAGAGAGGTGTTCTGATTGTCAACGAATTGCAATCCCAGAACATCGAGGTTCACTCGATCTTCGTCGCTGGACTTGAGCAATTCGCGACGAACAAAAAGTGCCTTGATTTCGAAATCCGCGATGGCAGATCGCTCCATCGCAAATGACGTCAAGATTGGACGAACTTCGAAGAGATCCGGATGATTTACAACCTTCCTCAGCTGCATCAGGATGTTGGCTATTTTCTGATACACGCCGGATTGTAGATCGTGTCTTGTATCTGCGCGAGCCATAAACTCGTCGTAAAGAAACCGCTGGCGCTTGGATAACGGACACATGACAAGATGTTCAAACTTGCTGGGTAGCTCTTTCTCCACGTCGCGCTTCAGTCGTCGAAGCAGATAAGGCCGAAGCACAGTATGCAGTTTCGAGACGCGTTGCTGAGTCTCTTCGTTAACGTTCCCCATTTCGATCGCCCTCTCCAAAGGATCTAAAGAGCGAGAAGATAGGTCCCCGTGCTGTACCACAACAAGGTCGAAGACGTACTGGAAAACCATTCGCCAAACTCTTTCAAATTAGCAAAGTGAGTGCCTGCCATCAGGAACTGAAGCAAAGCCCACAACTCGGTGAGGTTATTCTGAAGGGGAGTACCAGTCAGCAGCAGGCGACGAAAAGAGCGGAACATCAGCAGCGTGTTCCATCGCTGGGACTTGAAATTCTTGATCATATGAGCTTCATCAAGGATCATGTAGTACCAGTGCTTCCGTTTGAAGACATGGGCGTCTCGACTGGCAAGGGTGTATGATGTAACGCAAACATTGAAGTGGTATTTGTTATTCCACCCCTGTCGCAGTTCCTTCCGACGTTTGGTGTTCCCGTGGTAGCTCAGAATCTTGAAGCCGGGTAAGAACTTCTTAAACTCCATCTCCCAATTTAATAGCACGCTGGTAGGAACAATGATTAAGTGAGGTCCCCATATGCCGCGATCACAAGCAAGATGCGCCAACAGCGCAATGGTTTGAATAGTCTTTCTAAACAGTGATACGTCAGCACCCAACAAATGAACATTCTCAACCAACATACCCTAGACCCATCTCGTCAGCCAAGATACCATTCAGATTATTAGTATGCAAACTGGCCAGCCATTCAAGACCAGCTTGCTGATATGGCCGCAAGGTTCCACGAAGAAGGAATGGCGCTTTGATCTTTGACTGTGTGTCCCACTCGACAGGCGTAACGGCGAACGGTCGAAGATAAAAAGGAATTGACACGTCCTCTTCCATGTCCTCGGCAGCATTGTCTTCATGCGCCGCATGCTCGTCGTGGTCCTCAGCATCTACCTGGGTCTCCATTGCAACATCAGACTGTACAGAAAACCGAGGATTCTTGTTGTAAAGCTCAGTCCCTTCTTCGGGCTGCACTGTTGAGGAGCGAGACGCCTCGTCCAGATGGGTCGGCGTGGACTCCACATCGGGAGACGTAGGGTTTTCGGCATCTTGGCATACGGGCAGTGCTTCTTTGATGGACTCGTCCTGAATCGTGAAGACAATCGACGGCGCAGGCGACTTGGAAGGTAACTGCATCGTAGCAAGAGCACTGTCCGGATGATGCCCCGGAAAAGCTATATCAGAGATATCTTCGAACATGCCAAACGGTGGAACAACGCTAGGAAAGGGCTGTGGGCTGGGAGATCTTCGATATGAGGACAGCATTGCCGACATCGAACGCTCGGACATGTCTTCGGTGTTTGATTCGGTAACCTGCATGTTTGCGGATGCGTCGTCTTCGATGTGACCAAATGACAAACTCGGTGAAGCCGTTCGACTAGTCCCAAGAGCACCCTGACTGCTGGCAGCCCCCTCGCTTCGCATGTCGGCTTCCTCTTGTCCTATCGTCGGCACAGGAGATGGGGACCGACTGCTCGTCACTGACTTGCCGATGGGAGGAGCGTCCTGGGCATCTTGGACAAGATAACTCAAGCCAATACCATCATCGTCTTCACTATCATCCGATTCGTCTTGAGCACTCTCATCCTCGTCTGTTTTAGAAACAGAGTCGCTCGGCTGCGGCTCAGGAGAAGCTGGGTGTCCAAAAGCACCTGATACACTGCTGGAACGACTGCGAGAGACTGCCTTGCTTAAGTCGAGATGTTGTGCCTTGAGTATTGAACCAGACTGGTCAACTAGGGCACTGAGATGTTGATCGCCGCGTTTCTTCTCTTCGGCTTCAAGCTGATGTCGTTCTTCCTCTCTAACATGCTACAGAAATCCATTAGATGAAAAGAGAGGTACAATAGAAGAGTCAGACTTACGTGCACAGCTTTCTTCCACTCTGCGACAACCAATTTGATAGTAGCCTTGGCCAGAGCCCTGAGACGTTTCTCCTCCTGTAGCTTGACCTTGTCCTCTTTCACAGCTTGCCCGTCCCAATACCCTCGAATCTTGCTGGCCACTTGAGAAGCAACCTGCGGGCCAATTACCGGGGATGAACGATATCGTTCTACCACAGCTTCGATCACGCGCGCCCAGATGTCACCAAAACCAGTAGGCTTATTTGGAGTGCCAGCGCCACCAGAAGGCTTGGGTTGACTACCAGACGAAAAATAAAAATCCACGTCCTCGGCGGGAAGAAGTAACCTGCCATGGCGCCGGAGTGCGTCTATTCGACCCCATATCGCAGCGTCGTTCTGTGCCATCCGCTCCAGTTTGTCCAACTCGATGTCTTTGTTGTCCCACATTGAGTAAGAGGATAACAACGATGTGAGGGACTCCCCGTACTGAGGTGGTGAAGGCCGCTGACGAGGGGATGACAATGATGGTGGTGGGCGCCGTACAATCAACTTGATGCGTGGTAACGCAAGTTTTACTGGCCAAGGAGGGTGAGATGAAATGACAGCAGTGGGGAGGTTTGGAGAAGATAAAATCTGTTTGGTCGCTTGCGCATGACGTTCCCGTCCAAACGAACGTTTGGAACGTACAGTAGGCAATGGTTCACTTGGAGGCATGAAAAGCTTGCCATTGTCGGTTATTCTATCGGGCTGCTCCAAGTCGTCAACTGTTTCAGCTGGCAGATACAGATCCACAGCGCTCGAGGAAGATATAGATGGAATGACTTTCCGTTTCTTCCCCAGGGGTGGACGAGGATGTCCATTTGCAGCACTGGAAACGATGTCATCCGCTCTACGTTTGAGAGATCGTCTACCAGAAATCGTCTGAGATGATTCTTGTGAACGCAGCTCCGGCATGCTATGAGCGAATTGATCGGATGACTTCCCCTTCCCGTTGCCCCTTCGGGCACGTTCTGAATGCACAGTGGTTACCAGTCCATCAATATCAGCATTTTGTTTGCCCTTGCCCTTGACTGCAGATAGTGCTGGCCAGACAGAGATGTTGTCGGGCTGTTTCAACGTCTCCGCCTTTCTTAGCTGCCTGCCTTGCGAAGCGGTAGAAGGACCAGGAACTGGTCCCTTGAGAAGCTGTACACGCTCTGTGTGCGCCCGTCGCGTAGTACGGCGAGAGGGACCTGCTTCTGCGGATTGTTCTAAGAGGTCAAACCGAGTCTTGTACTGCGAACCGTTCAAGCGATGCACAAATCTTTTATGAGCAACAAAAGCATACCTCCTGAAAAACAGCAGAATTGTCTTCCTTCGCGACCTAACACACATGGATAAGGAACGGGAAATCGCCTCAAATATTACGAACTTGCGCACCTTCGGATCGTAGCGCACTAAAGACCCGAATTTCTCGAGGTGAAAAGCTTCACGGACCTAGGACAGATTAGATCAAAAGTAAGCCACAGTAAGCTCACGTACCAAGGTGTCGTGACGATCCAACACTTCCTCCAACTCATGCTGCCTCTGCTGAATACGCGCTGCTCGGTCATCCTCTGCGTCTGTGCCACCTGGAATACCAGGTATCCCGTGTCCATCGGCACCAAGCCTACGCCGTGAAGACTTTTTCGGAGCCCTGCTATTAGTGGAAGCGTTACGAAAACTCATTTATGTTCGTTCTCGACTGTGTGCATTGCCGACACGTGGGAGACGAGGCGAACTTAGGTGATCTCTGCAAAAACAGCACGGTTCGACAAGATTCTTGGACCGGTAGATAGGCCGGAAGAGCAGGGTCAAGAATATGGAGATGTGGAGGAGTTTGCGGAAACGCGGACGGTGTATGTGATCGAGGATGTTCGCAGGCCATTTTGCGATTCCAGGAGCCTATTTGTCTCTGACAAACAACGGGCTGGTAGTCAAGTCTCTCCTGCCATATCCGGCAACTTCGAATATTGTTTACAATGTTTACAATACGATATCCGCCTTCGCCCCTGCAGTGGGCTTAGGACATGTCTAATGACAGGCCTCGACGAACCCAGTAATGTGAACTCGCACTTTCAGCAATAAAATAAGTCGTCCTCTCCGCTCGAGCCAATCAATGTTTGCCCCATCTCTGGCAGCACTTCTCAATTCCTGGAACTGAAGCACGAAACAAGCTTAAAATACAGGACGGGGAATCCGGGATGTACGAAATCTCACGAACAGCTCCTCCAGAAAAATTACTCTAGATAAAATCAAGTGCTGGGTCTTTCGTTCGAGTGATATTTAAATACTACCATCCGTAGATAATTTGCAAGCTACACTCAGGTCAGTGTATACAGTAACACAGAGCGACCGTGGCATATTGGAAGCTGACGGAGATGCTCAGAGGCAATTTTGGCTTTGGGTTCCAAGAGTATGCACAATGTCGAACGGGGGAACAATACGGTGAACCACTGTAGTTTCCACTGGCTGCAGGCAGTATCTACGAGCCAAGGGCATTGGTTCTCACCATAACTGTTTCAGAGTCGGAAAGTCCGAGGGTCGAAAGGACCATGGGGCGACAGACGGCAACATTAAGCTTATCGCACGGTGATGCACAGACTCTGAGAGGTGGTGCTGATACAATAGCCACTATGACACGGACGTGTGCGCAAACATCTGAAGGGCTGTCTAAGTATACCTGTCCTGGACGCAGGTGAATGTGGCTGACCAGTGTAACCAAGAGGTATAGGTGTGGAGGGTCGCTTCGAACTACAGCGTACTACAGCGTACTCATGAGGACTTATTTTGTCCTCGGAACGCAGATTGCGCTGCTTCTGCGAGCGCCCGCTCACTCGCTTCGTCCTATCAGAATTGATGCATAACCATGAGATATTGTAAGAGAATGGGCTTCGGCAAAGTGTACCTGCTGTGCTTTCTGTGCGGATGCGGTCGCTTCTTGGAGCGCCAGAGCCTTGTGCGTTCGTATATAGATTAATCCCAGCAGGTCTTGCATTTGTAGGAAGAAACTCACCTCTGAAGACCATTTACTCAACAGATTCACAGATCAACTCACGGTGCACGACGCGAATATGTGCTTACCCTTGCCTTTCTGCAGCGTGTCACGGTGAACGAAGCCCATCATGGCCACCCCCCAGATGCTGATGCCTACTAGCGAGTACACCACTCCACGATGGAGAATATCCCCTATTGACATGCGCAACTTGCTAGCCATCCCGAGGTGAACAGAGGACAGAAGGGCGCAGGGTACAGAAAAGGCAGAGTGTAAGTGACAACTTGAAGTGTGCGAGTCGCACTGAGCGCCCGTAGTTACATAGGCGCTCAAAACCGCGCCCTTTTAAGCATCTAATGCTTTGGGCCTCTGGATATCTTGTGGAACAAGTTCGATTACAACTGCTTGCTACTCGCATCCATCTGACACCGTCCACAACACGTAGACATCCCCTTTAACCGAGTATCGCTAGTGTTGCCGAACCTCAAATGCGTCGTACTCCAGCACCTCTAGGGCGCGCTCGTTGGATATCTCGACATGCCTAATCCTTGCATGCCGCGGTCCCGTGTGGAGCGCACTTCTGCTGGACGGGAGTGAGTCCGTCTTCATTCTACGAACAACGCGGTCATTTGACGTACAAATCTAGGAGAGCGTAATACTCTCCTTGCGCAACACCGATGACATTGCCTTTCTATAGGTCGGAGGAATGCCGGTGAGTTCGTTGCTCGGTGCACTGCGGCCGAATGTTGACTTACATCGTCGTTGCGAACCCATCCTACGATCCCGTATTCGTGGGCGGCATGTCTCGCAAAGGCTCTGAAAGAGACGCCCTGCACTCTGCCACTAATGATGTAGTCGAAGGTAAAGTAGCTCATCGTGCCCTACGAGGCAACTACGAGGTGACCAAGAAGCCAGAGTCTATCGCGGTCTAAGTCCGCTATGACATCATACTTTACTGGTACGAGTGATGATATCTCTAGGTCAATCATTATTGAAGGATGTTCTCCTCTTTACATTATGCATTCACTACTAAGTCCTGCAGCTGAGACTATTGGCATATGCTAGTGAATGCAGCAACACATTGTTAATGTCAATTCAGGTTATTCACTACATAGTGATCATCATCAAGACTCAAAGTTCACTTGCATTATTGGGTATGTCCATCCTCCGTCACCGACGTTTGTGCTCTATTTTGCAGATGGAGAATTATTACAAATATCATCATTCAGCGTAGCTATCTGCTGCGAAGATTGCGACAGTAAACATTTTCGCTTTTCTGGTTGGCTCAGATTCCCGTGTGGATTTCCCTGCTGAGCATCTCCCTTCTACCTGAACGCAAGGTGGGAGGGCCAAGTGGGTTAAGGCGTCAGGCTGGGCATCTCATCGAAATTTGGTGTTTCGCTACTCAGTACTCAGCGCTCTTTTAACAATTCATATGTGGTGTGCTTAGAATCCAGTAGACATCACCAAGCGCTGACTTCAACCGAGCAAGCCTGCAACCCCTAGTAATTGCAATCTGTACCTTGACTTTATCGAGCTTCCGTTAAACAGCAACAGCTATGGCAAATCGCGTCGATGATCCGTAACTAAAGGCTATACAAACATGAACGGTGGGTTACAGAGACCAAAGCAAAGACAGTGGGAGACAGCGAATCCGTGGACTACATAGCGACAGGCGGCGGCATCACGCAGTGGCGTTGTTGAAGATCAACAGGTTAGGCGTATCAGTAGGGATAACGGATAGCGCATCCTCAGTCGCCAACGCCAGCAGAGCGACCTTGAGCTGCTTGGGCGTCATCGTCTTTGGCACCGGCAGCAATGCCTCCTCGACCAACTGTGGAGGCGGGAGGAAAATTGACACCCAACCGGGGAGCGACGCGTGCGTCAACGCATAAATGCTGGAGAAAGAGGTGGATGGGAATCCCTGCAACAGCGGCGACGGCGGAACGAGGTCAGGGGAAACGAATGGGTCGAAGGTCGACGACGGGTAGATCGACAGCAGATATGCAAGCAGGCCGGCTGTGTGCGGAGATGCCATGGAAGTTCCAGACAAGATAGACTCAGCGGTGTCGCTGCCAATATAGGTGGAGCGAATCTGGAGACCTGAATGGCGAAGCAAAAGTCAGTGGTGACGAATCGTCTGAGAAGTCTGTACTAACCAGGGGCGAAGACATCAACGCAAGGCCCGAAGTTAGAGAAGTAGGCCCGTTCATCGCCGAGAGTGGAGGCACCGACAGTAACGGCCTTCTCCGCAGCGGCAGGGGAGTTGTTGCATGCGTCGCGGTTATCGTTACCTGCAGAGAATGTCAACAGTGCGTGAGAGGAAGAATACCACACTACACACCCGCTGCAACGGCGAAGTGCATGCCTTGGTCAACAGCTTTGTTGACAGTATCATCCAACGCCCTCGACTTGCCGCCACCAAGACTCATGTTGGCAACAGAACCTTTGTGTTTCGTCTTACCGGTCAAAGCCAACTCCTTCGCAGCGGCAACAGCCTTTGCTGCAGCTGACTGTGCAGCCCACACTACACCACCAACAACATCGCTCATCGACCCACTGCCGTTGCTGCCGAGGACTTTGACCGCGATAATGTTCGCAGCTTTGGCGACACCATACTTCCGGGAAGCAATAGTACCCGAGCAGTGAGTACCATGCCCGTTGGCATCTTCGTCGGTGTCTCCCTGCGGAATAGTCTTGCCCCAATACGCACGACCCTCGAACTCAACGTGCCTGATGTTGACGCCAGTGTCAATTACGTACACGTCGACGCCTGAACCGCCTTCCTTGCTGAACAAGTACTTGGAGAAGGTGCCAAAAGTGAGCTTGGCGCGATGACTGATCCTCGCCAGACCCTACATGCACATCCTGCATCAGCGAGGGACGAACAACGTACTCAGCAAAATTACTCACCCATGGCGCACTCTTCTGTGTCTCCACCGCGTCTACGTGGGCATCCACGTCAATGTCTAGGGTCCTAACGATCTGATCTGCCTCCACGAAATCCACCTCAGGCATCTGCCTGATCCTCTGGACGGCACCCTCGCTGAACTTGCCAGCGTAACCTTTGACGTGTCCATCATATACTTGGCTCAAACCGTCGACATCGTCCAACAACGGGTGCTCTACGTGCACAGCCTGCAAGAAGTTCCAATGGTTCTGCATGAGAGCAGTGCTAATACCGTCCTTGAACATGACGATATACGAGTTGTTCACCGATCCATGAGGATGGTGAGAGACCATAAGAGGCGCGAATGCAATCGACGACCGTTCGCTGGGGATGTCATACGGGTGAGTCGATAGGGGTGTGGCAAATCCAGATGCCGCCAACGAGACGGCCAGAAGAGATGTCAAAATGAGGGAAGACATGGTCGTCAGACGAGGACGTGGTGAAGAGTCACGCTCCGCTCGCAGTTGATAACGGATACGCGTATTTATTTGGTCCTGTTATTAATGTGGCTGACAACCCCACTTCGCCAGAGACTTCTCTGTAAGTCGTCAGTAGCGCAGGCAGCGATGGCACTATACCTGGCCGTCCAGTACAGTCGGTAATCTCCAGTTGTCGACGTGGTTGTTGTAAGGGGAGGTCCGGGAAGTTAGTGGTTCTGCGGCGGCATCGATGCCACGAAGTTTCCAGATTAATCCTGCATAATAATGGATGACTATGAGGCGATCGAATAGCTCTCGGTCATTTACACTTTATTTGCGAACATTGCAATCCACTAGCTTAGGCTGTGAGATACTTGGTCAATGGCACGCCCCTTGCATGTGTTATGCTGCGCTGTGTGTGCATTGGAGCAGCCTCTGTCGACTCAATCGAAGTACCTTTGCTTTATATAGACTTGGGTTTCGAGCTCTTCTCTTCATCCGAACTCCGTCTGTTGCGGCGGCGGAACCATCGGAATGAATAATCCTCATGGCTCTGACGCGGACTCGGAGGGCACCCCCCCTTATCATACCTTCTCCCAATCCGCGGCCTCGTCTATGAAAGCCATGTATTCTGGTGCAAGCACCCCCAGTGGAACCAAGACTCCTCGAACACCGGGCATGACAGAGGAACGGGTTGCACTACTTGGTGGTGCGGAGGAAGACGTCGAGCAGGCATCGCGAGCCTATGGAACGAGGTCGTCGATAACGGGTGAGTGAATAGTCAGTGCCAACCCGCATGCATTGCGCGATATACGCTGTTTCATTCGGAGTATTCATCGACATCTTCGGGCATGTCAGCGGATACTATCCAAGCTGTTTGCATCTACTCTGTCGCACACCTCTTTACGCCGTCTATTTTTTGTCTTGTCAACAAATTCTCATTTACGAGAGGCGTTTTCAGGCCAGTTATTTCCTCCAACACGAAGGAACTCAACGTGGGCGAAGGTGAAGTATTACGTTCCATCATTTGGCTGGATACCGCAGTACTCGCTCTCGCTGTGAGCCTTGACGCTATTAATCACAAATCTCTGGTTAATGTGTTGACTTGCACAACAGATTCGGCGGGGACTTCCTTGGAGGGCTCACGGTAGCATGTATGCTCATTCCTCAGTCTGTTTCGTATGCTACTTCTCTCGCAAAGCTGAGTCCTGTTACTGGCCTGGTACGTGAAACAGAATCAACTATCTCCAGTCGTGTTTGGAACGCGTCTTGACCATTATTATTACCTGGCCAGTTCTCGGCTTCTATACCCGGGATGGTATACGCTCTTCTTGGTACTTCTCGCCAGCTAAACGTCGCGCCAGAAGCGGCTCTCTCTCTTCTAATCGGTCAAACCGTTGACGAAATCTGCCACTCCGACCCACACTCCCACCATTTAGACCGAAATACGATCGCGCTCGCTGTGACGACGATAATTACGTTCCAGGTGCGACTATGCCTACTTTTTCACATGCTCTTTAATCTCATCATCCTGCTTTCTGTGCTGGAATAGATGGGATTAATCAGCTTCCTTTTGGGTTTTTTCCGACTTGGTTTCTTGGACGTAGTGCTCAGTAGGGCGCTCTTACGTGGGTTTGTCACTGCCGTGGCGCTGGTGATCATGATGTGAGTCATCATTTTGGTGCTGTAAGGACTAGCTCATATTGTGGCAGAGAACAACTCATACCCATGTTGGGTCTTTCTGCAATTCAGCACAATTATGAATTGCACTCAGCCGTGGACAAGGCGTTGTTCATCGTTAACAACGTTTTCACCCATGGTCACCGCGCCACGACTATTATCAGCTTTGGCGCGCTGTTCGTCTTGGTCTTCTTGAGAAATATGAAGGGACCATTCAAGAATTACTGGTTTATATACCGTCTCCCAGAAGTGCTTGTGGTGGTTGTACTCTCAACGAGCAAGTGAATGACCCTATTTCTCTAGGATTTTACGTTAATTGTGATCCAACAGTTTTATCAGACAAGTTCGACTGGGATCAGGCCGGTGTGGAAATCTTAGGGAGTGTCCCAATCAACACAGGGTCGTCACTCTTACAGTTTCCAGTTCACAAGCTCACAATAAAATACATGAAGCGAACCACGTCAACCGCGCTGTAAGCTGCTACACGTTGACGCAACTCTTGTGGGATGCTGAGACTTGACGTTCAGCCTCTGTGCTATCATAGGCTTCCTTGACAGTATAGTCTCTGCCAAGCAGAACGCAGCCCTCTACGGTTACACCATCAGCCCGAACAGGGAGCTCGTCGCACTTGGAACTGGAAATCTTGTCGCATCGTTCATCCCTGGAACCTTGCCTGCTGGTGGCTCCATCACTCGGTGCGTAATGTGTAGGCTGCCACGTCGGGCTATCTGTTAATGAGTTGGCAGATCGAGGGTTAACGGCGATGTTGGGGCAAGAACCCAAATGTCTTCATTAGTGTGCTCCGCGATTGTTCTCCTTGCAATATTCTTTCTCCTCCCTTGGCTATACTACCTGCCGAAATGTGTTCTTGCATCGGTGTAAGTCCGCTCTGCCCGCTCATCAATATTTGCATGACAGTGCTTATGACCCGCTGACCTTAGGATATGCCTCGTCGTCTTTACTCTTTTTGCGGAGGTGCCTCACGACGTCATCTTCTATTGGAGGTGAGTGAATGCGTAGATGCTGCGGGGCGATCGCATAATCTGAATACTTTTGATTGTCCTGTCTCTGTTTCCAGACTGCGCAGTTGGGTCGACTTACTCTTGATGGCTCTCACGTTCGTCTTCACCGTTGTCTGGAATGTCGAGGTTGGGGTCGCGGTCAGCTTGGTCATTTCTCTGTTGCTAGTCGTGCATCGATCATCGAAGACACGGATGACCATTCTGGTACTTACTACATTTCATGGTGCATCTAGTTCGTTTCACTCAGTCTTGGACAGGGCCATATCCCGGGTACGGACAGGTGGAAATCCATTGATGAGAACCCTGATGCTGAAGAGGATGTCGCCGGTGCACTGATTGTGCGCATTCGTGAAAATTTGGACTTCGGTGGGTGCCCCGCACACAACTCGAGTTTAATCAACAAAATCTGATGATAATGTAGCCAACACGGCACAGCTGAAAGGTAACGGCCCAAATTCGCGGCTGTGATTGCTTCCCACACTCAACTCTCTTTGCAAGAGCGCCTTCGTCGATTGGAACTCTATGGCAACGACAAACATCATCCGTCCGATGAGCCGCTTCGGCATAATGCCAGCGTTCTCGTGTTCCATCTTGCAGATGTTGATAGCATAGACGCTTCGTATGTTCCCGAGTGTTACCCGATGCCCTGGCTGACCCCACATTGTGCGACAGTGCAACTCAGATTTTCTACGAACTAGTGGAGACTTACAAAGTACACTTTTCTTTTAGTTCACATCGACCGGGGATGTTCATATCATCTTGTTTCAGAGCCGCGGGGTAGGTCTATATATCACCCATCTCAAGCCGGGGCCCCGCGAATCCTTTGAGCGTGGTGGGATTATTACACTCCTTGGTGACAAGGCTTTCTGCAAGGATGTCGCAAGCGCCATGGCGCGTATCGAGCAGTCCATGCGAGAGCGTTAAATAATGCGCGGGTAGTGACGACTAGGTTTATGACTTTGATGCCCCGTATCTAGAGTACATACAGGATACCGACGATTTTGAGACCCACTGTATGTACTCATCATTCCGCCGGCCCCCATCTGCTTGCCTCATCAACGTAACTCGGTTTGTACAGGCGACAGTGGATCAATGTGGAAGCGATGAAATTCTCGGTGATGCACATGGACTATAACTACTCAGCAACGGAAGGCTCTTGTTAACGGTTAAAGATGCGATATGCGCGGCGTCGGTAAGGAGATAGTGGTACATGCGAGGTATATCGCGAGTAAGGTTGTCAACGGATAAGGAAACCTAGTCATGAAAAGGGCTAACGAAAGTGGAAGGCCCCAGCGAACACTTTGCACACGTCGAAGCAACGCGGAAATCCAACTCGATGTGGGGGTGTGCAGCTGTCCCTGGAAAAGCGCGACTTGGGTCGTGCAAGGACGAGGTCAGCACAAGGTGCGTTAAGATGCACGATAGTATTACCTGCCGAGAACCGAGCAACTTGCTTCCGATTGGATCAACCGGGACATCAGGGAGTGGTTTGCTGAAAACGGGTGCACATGGTACAGTGTCCCACCCTCCTGCCTGCTGCGAAGCGCGTAGCCTCTCAATCGCAGAACCCCAGCATAACGAATCGAACGCCATCCAAGGGTGCAACAACACGTCCTCATCCAGACCCTCGAAACACGTCTTGTCATATGCTTCGTCGGATTCCGAAACGGCGATGGAGCGTCGCATCTCCGTCTCGAACATGTAGAAGGGAACTCGAGGCGGCACGGGTGACTCTTGGTGGATGCTTCTGGACCCATCGACCGCGGAGGTGGGGGCGGTAGAAATAGACTCCTTCCGTTCCTCAATAAATATGTCGTCGGAAGGAAAAGATCTTGAATCAGCAGAGCTGTATGGAGTGTCGGGGGGTGTGCACCGGGTTGATTCGATTCCATGGGACTCTGCATCGATATCGACTGGCACAGGGCTGAACAACACCTTCAGGCTGATGGAGGATGAGGGTTGCTCCTCGGACACGGGCGAGAAGAAAAATTCTCTCTCCGTGGAATCCCATTCCGCCGTGAATGTCAAGGCAGTCTGAGGTGTACGTCCAGGCGTCGCTGGCGGTAAAGGGGAAGGAGGAAGCACAAGGCGCGCGCCACTGATTAATCCCCTTCGGCGGTTCTTCTTAACATTTAAAGGCGAGATAATGCAAGTCGAAAACTAGAGGTGCCAACTCAGTAAGGCTTACAAAGGACGAAAGAGGACAACCAACTGCTTTCAAATTTGGTGAAGGAGAAGGTTCGACAGTCTTCTGAGATACCACGTCAGAGGATCTTGAAGAGGTAAACTCTATCCTGCCAAGTACAGGAGAATCGACAATGCTCCAGGCAATTTCTGTCCTCGAGGTATGTCCAAGGTCCACTGAGAGATTAGGTCGCGCAGCGACCTTTCCCGACTTTTCCGAACGTCGCCGGGGTCCAGCAGGAGCGGCAGAGCGACACCTGGAGAGTGCGGGATTCATAATGTCGAAAAGAGAAAGAAGAAATGTAGAAAATGTACGAAATCCGAAAGTTGGAAGAAAGAAGAGCGAAGAAAAGAGACCGGGACCGAACCAAACCGAAATCCCAGAAGGACGGAAAAGTGGGCGAGCACAAGGAGGAACTCGCGTTGAGCTCTACTTCTATGGAGTTTAGAAGCACAGGAACTGCTCCTGACGTGACGCGACACCTGCCAGTGTGGTGGTAACGCTCGAATGCGAGGGTATCATCCCGCTAGTTAAATACATCGGGAAGCATGATGGTCTGTCAAGGCATGCAGCAAGCGTAGTCATGCGCTAATGATATCTGCAAAGCGTTGAGAGTGGTGGGAGAGCGCATCGCCGTTCACGTATGGGTAACACATTTATCACGTGATCACCACCGAGCCGTGAAGGTGATTGACACCGAAGTCTTGTTGACGCGAAGCAACGCACAGGCTGATCATCAGAGTCAAGTCAGAGTTGCAGAATGCATGCCGCATACAGTGAGGAAACACACCGTCAATAGTTGCTTGGGGCTTGGATACCAGCGCCGCCGGTAGGTAGCCTTTTGAGTCTTGAGGTGTAATCCCCTTCACGCGCCAGACAGTCAAAAGTTTTGACTGTCTGGCGCGTGAAGGGGATTACACCTCAAGCCTCATAGCACTTAACAGCCAGCATAGAATGCGAGTCTGTCAAGGGCATGTCACGCTGGCGTGGGGCGTGGCAAGGGGCAGTGATTCCAACGACATACAGAGTGCAAACGCAAGTGCCAATTCCACGTCAAGAGGTGAATTTCGTGGCCCATACCCCGTATCATGGGAAAAATGACACGGCCCCATCCACTGTTACAGGACTAGAGTTAAAAGAACAGTCATCCCGAATCGAGTATTCCCAGGGAAACACTGCGGATCACTCAAGTTCAGCTTCCTCGGATGCCTGGACATGCTAGTTCAGTCATCCAGCAAACACGACACAAGTGAGACTGACTCCATGGCGATATAGGCCTCCGCTGTATCCAGCCATTTTATCCATGCTCGGGATTCTGCCCAACGAGATACCACTTTTGCCTTCGGCCATCATAATGACTTCTCCAAGCGCGGCCAACACACCGTCATTGAGTTGATCCCTGGAGGCTTTCATATCTGCCTTGTTCTTCGAACGCGTACCGCCTATGTTTCTCACTTGATAATTGCTAGAGTTGGGATCTAATTTTGGATTCCAAAACCTCCGCCAGAGAACTCCTCTAAGTCGCCCGTAACGGAGGTGAGATTGCACCAACGAGTCCATGTTTCGCGTGAGACTATGGGAAAGACCACGATGCTGTGCAGAGATACATAGCAAGGTTAGGGTGTTATCCACTGCATCCCGAGGGTAACGTTGAGATCAAGTAGAAGCCTAAGTTACAGTTATGCTCACCTCTATTCTCCCATGTGGTATACCAGCGTTGTAACCTCTTGCGTTCATTCGGAACCAGGGAATCACTCCGCAAAGCGTGTATCACTCGTGCGGCACCTTCAAACGTCGGTCTCCATAGCATCCTCAGACGGCGGGTGGCGCTGCGATGATTCAGAACCGAGCTCGCGGTGGACCTGAGAAAAAGACGATATAGACTAGTGAATGTTGGTGGAAGTTGGCCTGTAGTGAACGTTGAGATCATGATGTTGTGATGGACAAGCCGTGATTTAGTGGTTTATGGAATGGCAAAGAACATGTAGCTTCGGTCGCGGGACCACCGTGGCACCGCCAGTGGAACTTGAAAGCGTCACACGGTGACAAACTCATCTTGAATCTTTGTTTCGGACTCCGCGCGTACGTTGCGACGACAGATTTGGACGATTCTTCACACGCTGCAGCCTCATGTTAGCAACCTTCCCGACGCCTCAATGGCGATTGCAGCAATCATTGTGGCGAAACCTAGACATGATTTTCTCAGGCTAGTTTACACGACCTTATTGGCTCAGGCTGTGCAATTTTCGGTCCAGTACGCTGAAGTCGTAGACTCGTAGGCACTCAAGGTTTCAATATTGGCTTTGGGCTACCGCTTACTAGGTGCTGTAGGTGCTGCACAAAGCACGGCGGTCATCTTTCTTTATTTGCGCAGGGGCAACCGGGCAAAATGTTGTATACCTGCAAGACATCTTGTGCGGGAATCTGTGGATCGCTTTGTCGTGCGCTTTCCACGCAATGATTGTGTCGATACTCGAGGTGTGTACACTCGAACAGACTTTTGAACTAGCCATTGTGGAGATAGCTACAGCCATGTTATGCGTCCATTGTGCCTTATGGGTCCGCGCAAATCTGAAGCATCCGTCGTCGTTGCTTCTCGTGTGCCACCGTTGTCAGGATTTTCTGTGTCCAGTGGCGTTTGGGTGTGATGACGCAGCTCGATCATAGAAGCATTGCGCAAGACAAAGCCAGACGATTGTCCACGGTTCAGGCAATGTGTGCCACCACGGTATATAAAGGCTCAATCACCCCAGCACTTATTCTCATTCTCTTCCCCATTCTCCACCTCCAAGTATTCCTGAATCAAGTTTCAACATGGCCGAAACACCACGGAAAGCATTTGTAAGTCACATCGTAATTCTTTCGTCTTCGTCGACAACTGACTCGCGTGCAGGAGCTCGACAGACCTAAGGCCCCGAGCGATGATTCTTCTCGCCGAGGCCCTGTAAGTGGCGTCTCCTTGGTGTTGATTTTTGGCCACAACTGACGTGTGTGCAAAAAACCATGCTTCCCAAGATCGACAGTAGTACTGCTGTTGCAGCTACGAAGGCAACACTGACGTCTCCGGGAGTACCCCCCGCACAAGTCGATCCTCCAATGACGAAACCGGGGAATGTTACGCGGACGATCACGTTGGATCTTGGATTCAAGCAAGTCGGGTGCACGGTGGACCGCCCCAAGCGCGCTTTCGATAAAGCCAGTAAGGCATCTCCCAAATCTTCGCCCGCTATGACTTTCATCACCGGGGGCTGTGCGGATGCCAAGCATTTCGAGGAGGACGTGGACATGATGCAGCGCCGAGTGGACAAAATTGCCCCCATATCCCAGTCAGGCGAGACGTCGGCCCAACCGACCCGCAAGTAGCCAGACCGACGACCGGAAACCGATCCTCGACAGCCAATTTCTTCCTTCATTTGCACGTGTTCTAAGTTTCTAAAGCCTGTGGCCTCTTCGATGTTGTATATCTTGCCTGCTGTGACGAATGACTATTATATTGCTACCTCGTGAAGTCTCCGCAGTGACGTGAATCCTCAAATGGAGGGCTACGACAAACCCTTTACATTTCTGCACTCAATCTTACGAGACTGCTCGCACTGAAGAAGCGGAGGTCAAATGAGTAGAGAAGCACAGTAATAATAAGGGGCATCTGAACGGAAGGACATGAATCGGAATAACCTATACAAAAGTCCGTAACAGAGCCGTGTATAGCTACCTAAAACGAGTTACTACAACAGACGTCCGGTGAAAAAAAGGTGCGCAGAATTAAGGAACACAAGCGATCAACCGTCTGCAATCACACATCAGCGACAATCAAACACACAGGAAACAACGCCTACGGCTCGCTCACCAATGAGCATGCATGCTCGCACCCTTGGCGTGGGCCTCGTAAAGCGCGGGCACCGGTTGCAGTGGGTACGGCGGGAGAGCCGTCGGCGGGACGGCATAAGGGGCGTAAGGAGGAAAGACGCCGAGTGCTGGGGAGAACCCTACGTTCGGAGGCGCCACCGGTATCCGCATCTGCCACTGCTGCTGCGCCTGCATGTGCATCGTCATCTGCATGTACGCCGCCATGGCAGGGTTGGTCGGGGAGAGTGTGGGAGCGAAGGGCGCGTACGGGACCTGCGAAGGGTAAAACGTGGACGCCTGTGACGCGGTCGGGCTACAGGGCACATTGAAGTTGTCTAAGGAGGCGGCGGGTGAGAAAGGGCCACCTAAGGTGGATGAAGATGTTGACTGGCTCGCACTGCTCGCAGGCCTCGCGTGGGCGGAAGAGGTCGCTGTAACACCAGACAGGCCTGATATCCACCCATCCTCCGACATAGTGGACTCGAGCCTGCCGTCTTCTTGTACGATGCTAGTAATCCATCCATCAGTGTCGGATAGTACATCAGCCCTGGAGGTGGTGGCCTCGGAGTTATCTTGCTCCGACCCGTCCTCTGAAGACTCCACTGCATCCTTCACGGTAGGTAGGGAACTCCGGTGGCTGCAATCCATCCTTCTGCCCTTGCTCGGTCTCTCTCGTGAGTTTGACGAACGAAGACGGTCCACGAGCTCGCGTGTCTTCGACGAATGGCGTGCACGCTGAGGGCTAGAGCCTTCGGATAGAAAGGCGGGGAGGAAGGCGGCAGATGGTCGTCGGGTAGTCATTCGGGACGCGTGTCCCTGCAACGTGGCAGATGCAAACATGTCTACCTGATTGTAGAATCCATTCTCGTCCTTCTGAAGCGTCGGCGGGAGCGAACGAGACCCAGACCGAGGGGCTGATTTGGAATTCAGTGATGGGAACTCAAATTCATATGACGGGGAGGAATAGTGTGGAGAGCGCGAAGGTGAGGGTGATGAATATGGGTAATGAAGGGGGAAGGAGTTAACCGACGTTGAGAGTAGGGGGATGAATGAAAGAGCGGACGCATCCAGTGGCTTCGATGGCAGGGGAGAAAAGACCTGATCTTTGTCGGGAGACGAGGACTCACGGCCGTCGCTGAAAACTGCATGGGCATACGACTTCTTTGTCGCTTTAGGTGTCGACGGGAGTGGATCGGAATCGACAGAAAGCTCTGAATCCGTGGGGTCCAACAGGTCAGGTGAAGTGCGAGGAACACTGGACAACACGCTTGGACTATCGATGGCGTTCAGATCCCACAGGTTCTTGTCTGGCAGCCCATCCCAAAGCGACAGCGACGGCTGGAGCTCGAGCACGCCGCCCAGGAGCATCCGCACCTGATCGTCCCATATCTTCTGCAGCATCGCGAGCTTGGGCTCCTCCAGCTCACCGTCGAAAAGTTTGGGCACTTCTACATCGACGCGCACCTCGCTCTTGTCAGGAGACATGCCGACGTCCGCTTCATAAGTGCTGATTGCGTCCTCTGCAACTCTGACTCCCACCAACGTCGGATTCAAATCCTGCTCGTCTGGAGAGCGCGGTTCCTCCACGACAGGCCTCCATCTGGTGCGCAAAAGTAAATCATGATAATGCGGTGGCCGTGGGTGGATCGGTGTGGCTGCCGGGATTCGGTCGCGCTCGCCCTTCCTCCTGAGATACGACCACGAGACGCGGCTGTACGGGATTTTCCACTTGGGTGGAGCATGCGGCCTCGGGCGTACATCCTTGTCGACGACGGCCGGTATGCTATCAGAAGACATGGGAAGAGTACGACGAAAGTGAAGCCGCTGCGGAGGTCGTTGAAGAGAAAGAGGAGGAAAAGCGGTGAGCCAGGTTCTGGAACGGAAGTGGCGAGTCCTCAAAGGGGTAGAGTCATACAGTGTGACAGTCCCACGTTGGTTGCTTGAGATGAAAAGCGGACGAACAAAAGCGATTGTCAGGTTATCAGTGCCAATCGTGCATGTGTTCGCGCCAGTGATCTAGTACGCCCTCGCTAGCTGCAAAAGGAGGACGGTGCTCTGGTATCGGCTCGTGCACATTGTAGATCGAACTTGACAGCGCACAGCGCTTGCCTTTTGCGATTGCATAGGCGCATAAGAACGGTTCTTACAACATCACATTATATAGACGATCTATACAATATACAAAGGATGCATGCAACGTGACGCAGTACGGACCGAGGCCGGGAAGAGTCATGCAGTACGGTTACACGCTTCAAAAAGCAACATGTTCAGTGGATGGAATCAATAGAGGCGTCCTTGCACAGCCGATCCGACGAATGAATCAGTTGGCAAAGTCCTCGAGAGAGACGAAAGAAGAAGAGCTCATCCATACATTCGGAACTGTATCGAGCAAGGACGCTTCAGAGAAAAACCTGCCGTATTCCTCTTCGCTATGACTTGCATTTATTCAAGAGGAGGCGACGCATCGTATCTGTGGAGGGCGATCAATGAATGGTCAGAGATGCAGATGCGCGAGCAAGACGAGAAGGAACCGGAGGCGGCACAACATCCTGCTCCACCATCGAGATGTGGGTGTACTGTCATATCAACGTGTAGTCAGTAGGTATTCGCCACGGAGAAGAGTTCAGCTCACACGACGGTCCCTGTGCAACGAGCTCAAACACTGCCACGGCTGGTAACGCATCGACGGGGAACAAGGCTTGGACCGGGCAGGCATACGAGTGCGAAGTGATTTGTCCTCGTCTGTCAAATAAAGATCTCCGAACGCAGTAAGCAGGCATCGTTATCATCCTTCATCTTGACACGCCAAAGAGCCGCTCAGACCTTGTAGACATGGAGCGGCATTAGACATGTCGTATGCGTGCAGTGGCGATATCAATTTGAAGAGGGACGAGTTCTGAAGGGGCATGAACACTCACAATGCAATCTGACATGGTGTAATATCATGCATTGTGAATGTTCATGCCCATGCCGAGTATTGGGAGGACGGCCCACGAAAAAAGCTGGGGACGAAGGAAGGCCAAAGGAAGGCTGTTGTCACTCAGTACTCAGCCCTGGCGCGTGATGCAAACATGGATAAATAACGCGTCGCGACGCGTCCGGTCACGGCAGTTCACTTTCCCGACCCCTGCGACTGCTTCCGCCTTACTCGCTCCCATGGCAGCAGCCCACCGTCTGCTGTACCGAGGGGCGCTTTCTCTTCCCGACTCCCATCTCCTTCTCGACGGCCTCAGCTTCACCGCCACCATTGCCGATGGTGCAGATCTCTTCAATAACCCACTCGCCCTCGCCCTGGAGAGTATGCGAGGAAGGCCAAGTCTGCACTTCTTGGGAACGACCACGCTGAAGAATGTCTATCTGGATTTTGTCGGCAATGTTAGCGTGTGTGTAGCCCATGCTGATCCTCCCGCACGATTTGACCTTTTGTGATTTGCTTCAGAGACATCCATCCTCTGTCTACAATCACTAGAATATGCTTTGAGAACATACTTTGCTCAATACCTATCACATCCGCTAATAGGAAGACCGACCATGGTATCCGTGTCAGCCTGAGCGATAGCAGTGAGTTTCCTCCTGTCCTGCATGCCTTGTCCATCACCTACGTTTCGGCAGGCGATGTAGGAACAACCGACATCCTGATCTATGGGCAACTGAAAGCTGCAGAAGACCCATCCGACGAACCCGTACCATCAACCTCCACCTCAACACCGACGACACTGCACCTCCTCGCGGCGCGCATCCTCCCGACGCCCCCTCCAGCAGTGCGCCCGCCCCGCCCCGACGACCCGACTCCGCGTAAACCACCCCCATTATTTGGCGCGAAGCGGAAACGCGAGCCGTCCGGACTGAGGTTCGAACTTGGAGACTCCGCCAAGCGGAGCAAAGCGTCGCATGCGAAGGGGAAGGGGCCCTCAGACGGGGCCCTGGAAGATGATGAGGATGCGCTGGAGAGGGCACGGGAGGTTATGCTGCATATGCCTAGGTCGGGGCCGAGTCGTGCTGGACCGGGGAAGTCGGTAAGGACGCTCGGGAGGGACGCGCGAGTGGCAAAGAGGGATGGCGAATTTAAGGTGCCGATGCTGCCTGCGAGGTTGACCCCGTTGCCCAGCGAGCCACAAAGCTCGACTGCAGGAAGAAGTGGGCACACGGTGGATGGGAAGCATCGTGCTGGTGGTGTGCTGGAGACGTCGTCTCCTGAGGACGTCGAGAAAGCCAACAAGGCTGTGAGCAATTTCAGTTTCTCTTTCGGCAATTAGCTGGGAACTGAGAGTTTCCGCCTAGACGGTGAAGAGAGCCGCCGTGCGATGTCTCGCCGATCACGGAATAGGCAAAGACCACGACGAGTTCAACGAACTGTTCCAGATGATCTATCGGGGCACCTCTTTTGCTTTGGTGCGTCACCCTTCTCTCTCAGTAGTGGTGTTGTATGTTAATTGCCTTATGCTTTAACAGAGAAGTCTCATGCGTACGGATACTGTTGATATACGAACAATTGACGGGCTCGCGGACGTGCATGCTAAGCTATACCTACAAAGGCCTGATTATATCATTAATACTACTCCAATTTCTGAATAGACTCAGAGTTTGAGATCGTTTCAGTTGTCTATCAACAAGTACTGAGACGTGACGCGTCGCAATCACGTGCATCAGACATCCACGCATGTGACGCAGGGCTTGTTGTGACTTCACCTCAGCTACCACCAAGTGCCTAAGTACTGCGTTATTCTAGTGCTATGTCAGGGCCTCAGGAATATGTAGACCTCTCACAGCCTCTCAATGCAAACGTCCACGTCTACCCCGGCGACCCGCAATACTCCTGCTGCCCTGCCCTCACTCTCTCAAAGGACGGCGTGAACGTCCAGGCGATCTCCATGGGCTCTCACACAGGCACCCACGTCGATGCCCCGTACCACTTCATCGCAGACGGCACGCGCATAGACCAGATCGGCTTAGAGCGGTTCGTCGGGCCTGCGCTCGTCGTGGACCTGACTGCCAAGCGTGCAAAGGAGAAGATCGTATGGGCGGACCTCACGCCGTATGAAAGCGAAATGCGCCGGCGTTCAGGCGAGGGAGGTAGCATAATACTGCTGCTCCGCACGGGGTGGTCGCGCTACTGGGGGACGGAGACGTACTTGGAGCACCCCTTCCTCGATGAGCGTGCCGCACAGGGGATTGTGAACGCTGGCGTACGGGTGCTGGGCGTGGACACGCTCAGTCCGGACGAGACGAGCCATGAGGCGGATTTCGCGGCGCATAGGGTTGTGCTGGGTGCGGGGGGTATTATTGCGGAGAACTTGAATCATCTGGAGGCGATCCAGGAGGGAGAGTGGATCGTTAATCTAGTCCCGCTCAAGCTTGAGGGGTGCGACGGCTCGCCTGTGCGTGCGTTTGCGTGGAGACATGTGCGCTCTTGAGGTGAGGTGTTCGTCTGCTTTTATGTTCGGTGCTGTTCACTGCACGCTGGATTTGTAGATTTTGACCCTTGAGTGTAGTGTGTCCGGATCACAGGAGGCCGGTTTATCGATTTTCCTGAGGTTATGTGGCAAGTTATGTCTCAGTACAAGACTCTGAGGTGTTCAATGAAGAATGTGACATCTCATTGAGAACCTCGTGAACGTGAGTGTTCTTCAAGGAGACTTACCTCGCTTCCTAGCTTTCATCCAAAGGCCCACTAAGTCAATCCTCATCAGATAATACATTCCGCCTACGACACGGGTTCAAAGTCGAGTTGAGGCTGTTCCTCACCGTAGCGTGGGCGATGGCGGGTCCGGACCGGTCAGCCGTGGCATATATGCACGATGAATACCGCCTGATCGATACTCATCGTCTCACCCAAGTAAACCACGCAATATTTGGGAGACCTCAGAGTCGCGCCAGCCCCCGCGTCTGTGCCACCCATGTCCTCCCCAAAGCGCGCGATCATCGACCTCACGCACCCGCTCGTCCCTGCAGGCGTGCCCGCCTGCCCTGGCCACCCAATCTACAACGCAGAGCTCATCTCCTCGCTCTCCGCCGGGGCGTTCGCGAACGTGCACGCGCTCTCGCTCGGCTCGCACACAGGCACGCACCTTGACGCGCCGTACCACTTCTTCATGGACGGCGCGCCCATCCACGCGCTCGACCTCGAGCTCCTTGCCGCAGCGCCCGCGCTCGTCGTAGACCTCCGTGCGAAGCCCGCGCACGCCCCCATCACCTGGGCGGACCTCACTCCGCATGCGCACGCGATGCGCTCCGGCGTCGCGCTCCTCCTCTGCACCGGCTGGTCGCGGTTCTATGGGCAGGAGAACTACAGCGACCATCCGTGGCTCGAACCTGATGCGGCGCGCCGCGTGCTGGAGATGGGCGTGCGCGTCATCGGCATGGACGCGCTCAGTCCGGACGAGTGGGCCGCCGGCGTGGACACGGGGATGGTGCACCGGATCGTGCTCGGGAGCGGGGGAGTGATCGTGGAGAATTTGTGTGGGCTCGGCCGGCTAGTGGAGAGCGGGTGGGAGCGGCCGTTGGTGAGCTTGCTCCCGCTGAATCTGCAGGGGTGCGATGGGAGCCCGATCAGAGCTGTGGCTTGGGAAGGAAAGGAGGAAAGCGGTTCGTCGGTATAACTACGGCAGGACGCGATTGAACCGCTGTTGTCAATCTGCTTCGATATACCCATTCTCAGGGCAGGCAACCAATTTTCAATCTAAGGTGCTTGTATCATTGTCCGATGAGTAGATATACGTCTACACAGATACAATACAGGGTACGTACATCACTTGTCTGAGTCTCAAGTCACGTCGTTTCCCTCGTCAGCGACACCGGGCTCCTGCGCAAGCTTCTCCCTCCCTTCCCGAATCGCCCGCTCCACCACTGCGTTAAACTCCACCGGGCGCTGCATGGCGATCCCATGGCCCGTGCCGTCGAGCACCACGAGTTCCGCGTTGGGCATGTGCTCCGCTATGTAGCGGCTCTCGCTTGTGTCGACGACGTTGTCCTCGTCTCCGACCATGATCACGACCTTGGGGATTGACGTCGCGATCGTGCGGAGTCGCTCCGGCGAGACCGTGTGCGTGACCGCCGCCGCCATTTGTGAGAGTGTGCCCAGCGCTTTTTGCGGGGGGGTCACTTGCATGCGCTTGCGATACACCTGCGGGGAGGGCTTAGTCTGTTCATGGAAGTACCTGTACCGGCGGAGGACTCGCCTCCATTTGGACCTCCCGGTTCGTCCGGCCCTCAGAGTCGTTGGGCGCTGGCGAATCCAGCCACGTTTGGGGGAATAGCATGTTGAGAGTGATTGGGATTTTGTCGTAGGGGTTGCGAGTCATGAAAATTCTGAACTCAGCGTCAGACTGAATGAATCGATGCGACGAGTCATTCCGGGATGTACCTGCTCAACGATAACATGCCCTTGCACTGGAAGCACAGTGAGGAACGCGTCAGCGAGCGCGGTTTGGACACTTACGGAAGGTAAGGTCGCCAGGGACTTCCCGCGCGCTCTTGTTACTGCGAGCGTTAGGGAAATTATGCGGTCAGGTATCCGCGTAGCAAGCTCTGTATGGAATTTGGTCTGGACGGGTGACGAAACGAAGGGATTCGATATCGTACCCTGAGCGATCATGCCTCCCAACGAGGTTCCAACCACATGCACATCCCGCTTGGCGGTCCATCCGACATAATCCAGGAGCACAATCGCATCTTCCGACATCCCACTCGTGCTGCATGAATATGGTTGTTACACGGGGTGACCGCATCGGTGAACAGATTAATAAACGTACTTGTACGGTCCCATCGGAATCCCGCTGTTCCCGATACCTCTGTTGTCGAACACCAGGATAGAGTACTCGGGCTTGCGCCCGAAATATTCGACCTGCTGATAGCCTGTGAAAGACGTCGAATTCAAGCTAATGTTGTATGTATGAGAAGCGATCGACAAGTTTCTAGCATTGCGCACACACCCCATGATGAAGAGCATCTTCTCCGGCCCCGAGCCATGCTGTTCAAAGTACAGCGAATGACTCTCGATTGGGCTTGCACCCTTCTTGAGGAGGGTAACCGGACAGAAGCCGCGCCGTGTGCATGTTGCTGGGTCGAATACCGTCGGGATGGCTTGCACATCAGCGTCTGATTTCGTCGCAGCCATGCTGGAATGGAGGGGTTGGCGAGCGCGAGTTGCTGCCTTTATGTTCCAGCGTTCAGGCAACCGAACATGAGATTGATGTGGCTATCTCTGTCCTCCGCCGGCACGCCACGCCTGAAATCCGCAGCTGCACGGCACGTCGAGAATGTTTTCCTCGCAAAGAGTAGTAGAGGATGTCCGCCTGCGTTTGTTTGACGGGAAAGATGTCGCAGGAGAATGTGCATGGGACCAACACGAGCCCCCGACGCGTCGAAACGCGTGAAACATCCTTCCGTCTTTCGATCGCTAACCGGTGTGGCGGGGTAGATTGCCGGACACGTGCACTCAGCCAGCAATGCTTCCGAGTGAACTGAACGCATTCTCGAGGCTCCCTGTTTCTGTCTCTGTCTGTGTCTGCGTTGACAATATTCCCAAGAGAACAGCTATATACCATGCGGGCATTGGGCTCGTTGCTGCTGTTGCTGATTACCCTGCCCTCCGTGTTGGCCGTTAAGTCACAAGACTTCAAAACATGTTCGCAAGCTGCATTCTGTCGCAGAGGTCGCGCCCTATCCGCTAGAGCAAAAACCTCGTCTACATGGCGCTCTCCTTACTCTGTGGACCCATCTACTATTGCCATTGCACCAGAGGAGGCGTCCTTCACCGCCGGCGTCAAGTCGTCCATCTACCCAGAAGTCAACTTCGGCTTAGACGTCCGTGTACATAAGGACGGCGTAGTCCGCGTTCGCATGGACGAGGTGGGAGGTCTAAGGAAGCGCTACGATGAGGCGGCATCCTGGGCGCTGCTGGCAGAGCCCGAAATTAGTCGGGAAATCAAGTGGACAGCGGGCAAGAATGAAGTTCGAGCTGTGTACGGGGACAAGAAGGAATTCGAAGTTGTGGTCGCGTTTTCGCCTCTCAAAGTTTCGCTTTTGCGGAAAGGCAAGGAGCAGGTAGTCCTGAATGGCCAGGGTCTCCTCCACATGGAGCATTTCCGCACCAAGGAGTCCGTGGAGAAGACCGAAGCCATTGCTGAGGAGGGTGTTGACTCGGATGGCTCTCAAGTTGTTATGCAGCAGGTTAATGCACGCGCATGGTTCGAAGGTGAGACGGAAGATGGCTGGTGGGAAGAAACGTTTTCCTCGTGGACCGACTCCAAGCCCAAAGGTGAGTGCGCTCCGATATGAATCCTTGAGCACTTTTCTAAGATTTGCCTGAGGACCCGAATCATTATCTCTGGATATCTCTTTCCCTAACCACGGGCACGTCTACGGCATTCCCCAACACGCCACGAGTCTTTCGCTCCCCACTACGAGCGGCGAATCGGCCTACTACTCCGACCCCTTCCGGCTCTACAACACAGACGTCTTCGAGTACCTTGCGGATTCTCCCATGTCGTTGTACGGCTCTATCCCGCTGATGCACGCGCACTCCACGGCATCCACCGTGGCCGTCTTCGACGCAATCGCGTCCGAGACGTGGATCGACATCGCGCACGGCTCCCCCGGCGCGACAGAGACACACTGGATATCCGAGTCAGGCATCCTCGACGTGTTCCTCATCCCGGGTCCGACGCCCGCGGACGTGTTCGCCCAATACACAAGGCTCACCGGAACCCCCGCGCTTCCCGCGCACTGGGCGCTCGGCCACCACCAGTGCAGGTGGAACTACATCAGCTCGGACGATGTCCGCGACGTTCAGCGACGCTTCGACCAGGCGGACATACCCGTCGACGTGTTCTGGCTCGACATCGAGTACGCGGAGGAGCACAAGTACTTCATCTGGGACAAGAAGACCTTCCCCGACCCCGTCGAGATGACGAAGGACGTTGAGGCGATAGGCCGTAAGGTGCGTGGGGCGTCTCGAGCTCGAGCATCAGGAAGGTTGGATTCCGACTGATCCTCCGCGCAGATGGTCGTCATCGTCGACCCGCACCTGAAGCGCACGAGCAACTACCCTGTCTACCAGAGTGCGAGCGACCTCGGTTTGCTCGTCAAGCAGAAGAACGGTGAGAGTGAATACGAGGGCTGGTGCTGGAGCGGCGGCAGCGCGTGGATAGACTTTTTCAATCCGGCGAGCTGGGACTGGTGGAAGTCGTTGTTCAAAACCGAGGAAGACCCCAATCATTGGACATGGACAGAAAGTACCGTCAACACTTACATCTGGAACGACATGAATGAGGTCTGGGTGTTCTCCATCCATCGGAGCGATTGCCTGATCTGATGGTTACACCTAATGTTTTAGCCCTCGGTATTTAACGGTCCAGAAATTAGCATGCCCCGAGATAATGTCCACTATGGTGGGTGGGAGCACCGCGACATTCATAACATCAACGGAATGCTCCTCGTTGGTATCTATTAGAATTTTCTCTTCTCCTTGCTGACCTCGATATGTCGCAGCCAAATATCACTTCCCAAGCCCTCATGGCCCGCACGGACCCATCATATAGGCCATTTGTGCTCACTCGCTCCTTCTATGCTGGCTCTCAGCGATTCGGAGCGATGTGGACTGGTGACAACCTCGGAACGTGGGAGCACATGGCAGTCGGTGTCAAGATGGTTCTCGCGAACAACATTGGCGGCTTCAGCTTCGCAGGATGTACGTCTGTATTTTTTTTTCTACCGTTGCTGTCTCTGACGCGACGGGCCAGCCGACGTCGGTGGGTTCTTCGGCAACCCCGAGCCAGAGATGCTCGTGCGGTGGTACCAAGTCGGCGCGTTTTCGCCTTTCTTCCGGGCGCACGCGCACATCGACACGAAGCGGCGGGAGCCGTACCTGCTCGACGAGCCGTACAAGAGCATGCTCCGCAGCATTCTGCGCCTCCGCTACAGCCAGCTGCCGGTGTGGTACACCGCGTTCCGCGAGGCGAGCGTCACCGGCATGCCCGTGCTGCGCCCGCACTACGTCGTGTTTCCGAAGGACGAGGCGGGCTTTGCGGTCGACGACCAGTATTTTGTCGGCTCCTCGGGCCTGCTCGTCAAGCCCATCGTGAAGAAAGGCGTTAAAGAGATCTCGGTGTATCTCCCCGAAGACCAGGCGCGTGTCACTCCGTTCGTGCTTGCCTGAGATGACCTGCTGATATCTGTCGCTAGGTTTATTATGACTACTTCACGCACTACGCGTACCACGGTGCAGCGAAGGGCAAGAACGTCACGATCCCTGCCGAGCTGTACAAAACGCCGCTGCTCATAAGCGGCGGGTCCATCGTCCCGACGCGCGAGCGGCCGCGGCGGTCGTCGCCGCTCATGGCGCATGACCCGTTCACCCTGCGTGTCGCGCTCGACAAGAGCGGTGGGGCGCGTGGCGAGCTGTACCTCGACGACGGCGTGACGTATGCCCACCAGAAAGGCCAATTCGTCTGGCGGGAGTTCGGCGCGCAGAAGGCGGGCAAGGGCGTGCGCATCAGCAGCAGGAACCTCGCCTCTCAGAAGCCTGCGGAGGCGGTCGATGGGGTCGCGCTGGCTACGTATGATAACGCGAATGAGTTTGCGAGGAGTATCGCAGGGGTGAGGGTCGAGCGGGTCGTCGTGTTCGGGCTCGCTGCGAAGCCGATGAGCGTGAAGGTGCAAGGCGGCGCTGAGCTGAGCTTCGAATTTACGCCGGGCGTCGCCGCGGCGGGCAGGGAGGGAGGCGCGAGTGTGCTAGTCATCAAGGACCCTAGCGTGAGCGTGACGAGGGATTGGGAGATTGTCGTCCAAGTGTGATATGTATACTAGAACTGCTGTGAATCATCGTTTTCTCTCTGACAGACGAAATCAGGTTCCTAATATTCTTGCGCATTGTTATTCGCAATGTCAAAGACTGGATACGTAGAGTAGTTGTAGAGTATCCTGCGCCAAGCAGTCCCACACCGCCTCAGAACCACTTCTCGCCCATAATCTTCCACAGCCTTTCCCTCACAGAAAGCATCGTACGCTCCGCTTTCTTCTTCTTTTCTGCCTCCTCCAGCTTCGCTTGCTCCGCCTTTTGCGCCTGTGAGGGCAGTGGCGTGCGAGCGTTTTCACGGGCCTGGGCAAGGATGCGTTCGCGCCGCGAGAGCTGCGGTGGGGCCCTGGGCTCCTCGGTCTTCTCAGCGGTATGCGGAACGGATGTCTCGACGACAGGCGGTACAGTCTCAACTGTGGGAGGGATAACACTAGCAGATTGGACAGGGTCTGACCAGGATGAAGATGTCGCAGCGGGTTGTTCAGGTGGTGGTGTGGCGGGTTTTGCTGGTGGTGCACGCGCTGCCGAACGAGTGAAGGCAAGATTATCCGCTTCAGCTTGTGTATCGAATTCGTGCCCCACATGACCTTCAAGTTGTTGAGGTGACCCAAACGAGTCTACCTTGTGCGTCTCGGCAGGGCTCTCCTCCACCTGCCGCGGCCTGCGGGTCGAGTTGCCTTTAACCTGTCTCATCCAATGGGTCGCCTCGGGTGGAGTATCCGGGGTGGGTTGGAAGAATCCACCCCATGAACGATATGCCTGTTGGAACGCGCCATTGCTCGTCTTGTCAGGCTTCACGGATGTGAGATAAAAACCAAACTCTGGTCGAGCGAATACCGGCGAGACACGAGTAGACGCTCAGTGTGATACGAGGGCGAAGATCGAAAGAGCGTTGTTCACTCACTGGAGAATTCGATCTTCACGTCCACCGTTCTCGTCTTAACCTGCCCTTCCACCTCTCCTACCGCCAACTCCTGCTCCTCTGGACCTTGCCAATCCTCCGACAGGAGTAGATCCTGCAGGTCGTCTAGTCCTACATTACCAGGGCGGTCCGTGTCTACGACAGGAACTTCCAGTTGGGTGATCCTTTTCGCATCCCTGACGCGCTCGTATGATGCGGGGTCCTCAAAGCGAGCCCAGAAAAATGGAGCATATTGCGACCGAAAGTCATAGTCCTGATATAACGCGCCTCAGTGCGTTAGAAACGCCACTGCCGCCTCCCGTAGGAAGGAGACGATGTGCACCGCTCACCCGTGAAATGCTATATTCGCGTATTTTCCCATACTTGCGCTCGATTCCGCGAATGAGTGAAAATACCTCGGGCATTGACTGGATGCCGTCCCATGGGCGCACGATTATGCCAGCTTTGTCCTCGTCGAAAGCTGGCGCCTTTTGCTGGTCAGCGTGGCGATCGGCTTCAGGTACAGGTGGAAAGGAATCGAGAGGTGGTGGCAGCTCTGTAGATATAGATTGGCCCTCCGTCGCGAGGGCGCGTCGGGCGCACTGCCTGAGGCTCGCGCTACAGGAGGGACGTATTCGAGCAAACATGCAGACCGTAGAGGTGCGAAATTGCGAAGTTCGCAGACACTTCGCATGCACGTGATGCGAGCCTCCAATTGGCCCGGGCTTGTCACGGTTGCATGCACTCAGGTTTGCACGCTATCCTCAGTCCAGCGTCCCAGAATAATTGCATTATCGTAAGCTGTGTTGTCCATATGGGCTTCGTCCCTGTGTTTGTGATGGGCTCACTACTCGTGTGATAGGACGTGCGAGGATGCATTCCTTGCGGCTTGCGTTGCCCCCGGAATTGGTCGATCTCATTCTGGACCACTTTTTTGACGACGACCCCACCCTCATAGCATGCAGCCTGACCTGCCGCATGTGGGGTGCGAGAACACGCCGCTGCATCTTCCGCACCGTCACGCTGAAAGATGCTGAAGACTATTTGACTTTTGAGGGGCTGCTAAAAGAATCACCCGACCTGGGTTCTTGCGTTCGTAACCTCGCCATCGGCTCTTGTGACCAGAGTGGGTGATTCAATCAAAAGACGCCACGCATCAAGAACCTTCCGAACGTAAATTACCTCTCTATCAAGAGTTGGTCAGCCACCGACATGTCGCACGATATCAGGGTCAATTTGCCCGTGCTACTTGCGACGGTGAAATTCCTCAGGCTTGACGGTGTCATCATAAGCAAGGAGGATCTATTGCATTTGCTGCGCGCAAGCCCCCGTCTTTCTACTCTGGCTCTAACTCGATTTTTTGCGGTGCGAGACGATCCCGAGCCCGCGACCAGTTCAACTGCCAGAGCGATTGGTGTCGATTCCTTGAAGTGCGACCCAAGCTCAGGGTGTTCATTGATGGCTTGCTTGTCTCGAGCTTCGGTAAGGGTCTGTATCCGCAAGCTTGAAATAAAGGGGCTGGCGTTGGCAGATAGCCTGGTTCTCATAAAGCAGCTGGTGCATGCAGCTGGTGCACATGTGGAAGAATTAACATTCTCACTACTGGGCTCCGTCGAACTATGCCCGTCCGCCTGGCAAGAGTGCACTGACGTCGAGAACTTTCCGCGACTCACATCGCTCCACATTCGGTCTCATTACTTTCCACAAACACGTCACGTAGCAGGTCCTCCCCTAGACAATATTCCCTTCTTGTTATCCCGAATCAAACCTGTGCACACCCGCCTGGAGAAGGTCACCATCAGCATAGAAGCATTCCAGGTATTCGCGGTCCCACCAGCGTTCTACCCAAGCCGCTGTATGGATTGGAGCCGGTTGGACCAAAGCTTGTCTAACAATGCGCAGGACCGTCCACATCTGGAGGTCATCTTCCAGATTTGCTGTCCTGGGGATGTGCCGGACAGAACCTTCGAAGCAATGGTGGAAGTCATCACGGGTTGTCTACCGATGCTTCGAGCTATGAAGACACGACTTGGGGTGGTTTGCGGTACGAGATGGTTCGACTATCCAACGTTCCACGGAGATTTCGTAGATCCAGTTCTGCAGCGGTGGTTCTCATAGTCGACACCGCTGTTGTCCGTGCATCTACGCGTTGCCACTGCATGCGAGAAGGTATGTTGTCTCATGGAAATTGTTCAACATTGTTACATGTTACAATATGTATCTAAAGAATGCGATCCCACACACATATATTCCTCAAAAGCAAAAACCATTGGATATCAATATACTGACAGCTGCCGGCATCTAGCTCCTTTGGTTAGCGTAGCATTCAAGACCCCCGTTCGTCAGAAGACCCCTCCCTCAGGCTCTGCGAACGGAGTATGCCCATCGGCGCATCCTCCGCACGACTCGACGAAGTCACGGCCTTCTCCGGGTCTCTGTCTTCCTCTCGTGCCGCCTTCTCCTGCGCACAATCGTCCATGCGCAACCCCTCCTCGTCGCCCCGTGTCAGTTCCTTGTGGCGGATCATTAGCACGCTCACTAGCGTAGCAGCCGCGGAGAGACTAGCATTCGTGATGAAAACCGCCCGGAAACCACGGGTGTATCTCGCCAGAATCCGCACGGCCATAGCGGGCGTGATGCCCAGCGTGGAGAGGGAGTTGCAGATGTCGTGGAAGACAAACGGGCACCGACAAGTGTGGGGTCGGCGAGTATCTTACCGATTATCGAGGAGGATAGGCCGAGGGGATCATAGAGTGCCTAAGCGAGTTGTTGCTGTGGTGAATTATACAGCTGGAGTATTGTGACAATATTCGACGTACATGATTGTTGAGCAAAGAGCAAGAGACAGTGTGCCGCCAAGTAGACGGATGAACTGTGGTTTCGCCCGCAAATTTCAAAGTAACTAATCAGTAAGACTTATCTCATGAACAGTGAATGGTCGTACATTCTGTACGGCGGTGACGACGGACAAATCCGTCTGGACACTCTGGCTTGTGCAGCCACGGTTGTTGTTTGCAGTGTCTGCAGTTGAAATATAACTGCTTACTCGGTAGACACGCGATTTCACCTACCTGTCCCGGACCCAGTCCAGCGAGGAGCATGAAGAATACAAGCAGCCCCTTAGACGTGCGGTCGGTCACGGTAGAGAGACACCCGCAGCCGACTGCCCAGACAGCGAAGCCTGTGTGGATGATGGTCTAGTATGAGGACGTGTCAATGAGAATCAGGAGCAGAGTCATGTCTTAAGGGGACGGAGGACGTACACGATATCGGCCGGTTCTGCTCACCATCACAATCCAAGCAGTGAGCATCAGTACAAATGCGGCTCAAGAATTATACCCCTTCTTGCTCTGAGTAATCTCGAGGAGTCGTCACCAGCGCCTTGTGGGTGTCGAACGTCTGTACAATCTTGCCCGAGTGCACCTCGAGGCTGTGGTGAGAAGAACGGTCTTGATTGGCCCCGAGGGGCGTGTGGTGTCGTACGCGAGCAGAACTGTTCCCGCACCGAGCAACAGCCGTGTACGCGAGTGGGGATGAAAGGCGCAAGCAGCGATGGCGCCCGTGCCCGCGGACAGCCCGCGAAGCACGGTGTGTGCACCGTGCGTGAGGTTGTGGACATGTGCTGCAGCCGCGGACGTGGTTGCAAGCAGGGAACCGTCGTTGGACAGCGCGCGTCTCAGTACATCTAACCAATTTTTTTGTTAATACAGAACGGTGCACAAACCATCATGCTTGCCGTCTTTACTACAGAATCTCTTATCTGCCTCGATCAACCTGCGCTGAAACGGCCACCGTCCACTGCTCCATCAACTTCTTCATTGCTCTCAGAACCAGTCTGTTGCACTTGGGCGCCAGATAACAGTTCAGTCTTTCTCGCAACGTCCACAGATATCCAACAATACAATGCTGCTGGAACATTCACCAGGTCCGTCCACGTATGCAAATCTGGACCGATAACTGCCCTGGCCAGCAAGGACAAAGGCAACACCATCATCTTCAGCACTGCGCAGCAAGTCCACGGGGCGCGAAGATACGACACGCACAGCGGCGAAACTAGTAGTTGTCTGGTTGACGAGGACGGGAAGGAGAAAGGTACCAGACCGGATGGGCGAGTAGCTAAGGGCGACTTAGAAGAACTGTGGTAGATAGAAAAGCGTGTCATAGAAGATGATACCATTGCATTGTTTGAGAACAACTATGGCATAGAGAGAAATTCGAACTCACTTGATGAACATGGTGATAAAGACCCCGGAAACAGTGACATGTTTAGAAATATACACTGCATGTGTGTCACTATAGGGTTCAGCAAGAATTTATAATCAACGCACTAGGTATAACGGGTAGAGATGCACCTCGCCACTCCCAGACACAGAAAGGAGAAACAATAAGGATGCCGCCGAAAAGAGTTGCAAGCACAACTGCTGAAGCCCATGGGAAGGTCACACCTCCATAGCACGGATAGCACAATCAAGCTCTGAGTTAATCACCAGCATATCGAGCCCCAACGCACCCAAATCAGTGGGAGAAGTTATGAGTATAGCATCCACTACCTCGATGTAGTAACCCTAACCCTACCCTATGCTTACATCCAAGCATTCGAAGAGCTGCTTACCTCTGGAAGTTGCCTTCGATAGGTTTGAGCGGGAGAACAAGGAGAACGATACACATTGCGGTGAAAGAGATGGGGAGAGTAACCCAGAAACACCACTGAGTGATTCAAGTCAGTGGGAGAAGAAACTCGGTGCAATAATCATATCGTCAACTCCAAAGACTAAAGGAATGAGGTTACTAACCCGCCAAGAGACATTTTCTGATAGGACACCACCAATCAAAGGACCGGTGGCATAGCCAAAAGCGACGACCCCACCAATGATGCCCTGATATTTACCCCTACATAGATTCAGAGCAGACGTAGACCAGCACGCGTGAGACAGTATTCTTTAAAATCTTCATGAACTGCAAACACACCGTTCACGTAGAGTCACCACATCAGAGATATCAATTTGTGCAATGCCGACGATGGCACCACCGCCCGCACCTGCAATGCAGCGGAAGATGATGAGGTCGATGATAGTACGCGAAAATCCCGCGGCGAGGTTGCCAAGCATGAAGATAGACATGGCCAGACTAAGGCCGGCCTTACGCCCAAAGATATCGCTGAAGCGACCATCTGGGGAAAAGACAATCAGCTACGGGGATTGAGGGAACATCGTATCTGCTCACAGAGCGGCTGGAAGGCAGTAGAGGTGAGCAGGTACCCGGACGGAACCCACGATACAATAGCGCCAGCGTCGAATGCATCAGATATTGTCGGAAGGGCAGTAGCAACGATGGTGGAGTCGAGACATGAGACGAGAATACAAAGCGAAAGGCCAGAAAATACTGTGATCACTTTCTTGAAGGGAACTAGATTGGTTTGGTCTGTGAGAGAAAGCGTCTCTGAACGGTTGGGAACTCTTGGTTCGTTCGGCTCAGTTGTGGGCAAATTGGACATGGCAAGAGCATCAGATATCGAGGGCATGGTTGGTGTCGATGCGCCGGTAGGCATGAGCGCGGGGGCAGGTTCAACGTCATATTCGTTAACACAAGAGCGGGACATTACTTCGCTGACTGTGGTTGATCGTGCGAAGAGGTTGGAAGAAACCTGACGGCCGACATCTCCGCTATCGAAGGTCGACTGCTCGTACAAAGAACCGATGAATCGGATGACCTGATGTAAATTTAGAAGTACAAGCAATCACGTGTCCGCATCATCATGATCGCAACTTGGACGAACGCGACGCGACGGACATCGTCAACTCAAATTTTTGGTTGAAGTTGAGCCCAAGAGACTAATACCGAACAGCAGCCGTGGAAAGTGTGGAAGGAGAGTTTCGAGGACGCACGCTGTAAGCCCTGCTGGAGGCTACGGGCCTCCCCGTACCACTCCGACTCGAGCAACATTCTCGCGTTCTGTAACTGACTATGCATCACAGGCTGAGCGATATTTCTTCAAAAAAGAAGCTCAGCTTACAGGTAAATATGATGTGGCAGACACGGAGATGTTGGCAGGCTTACCTAGAAAAACACCACATCCTCCCTAAGCTTGAGTCGCCACTACCTTATCGTAACCACGTAAGGAATACCTGATTGAACTGGAGCTGGAGGAGTATTATAATTGCAGTCTGCAAGTCGATGCCGATGGTCATGTCGTACAAGCTTTCATACCATGCAGGAGGTGTTCAAAATGATACACCCCCGACTGGTCCTTCGAGTTAGACGCTGTGTCTCGCGGAACTGAAGTTCAAGCTGTCCGATAATTCCTGCAACTGTGTAGTTTTTGAGTGCTGGAGGAGAGTTGTTGGTAGACGGGAGCGCCAGCGTGATGAACGTGGAAAGCGGGGTGGGAGGCGTAACTCCGCGAAAGTCTCCGCATTGACTCGGCGACGACGAGCCGTGACCGTGTTTTCCCCGGTTCCTCCATATCCTTCCTCAAACCATGAGTGCAACTCCCGCTTTTCGTCTTGTAAATTTTGGTAGCCTCAAGAGATTACCGCATATTCAGCATCAGGCGAAAAGGAGCCTTGCTCTCCCTGTGCAACGATCGTTCTCCTCATCTATCCCTTCGAGGGCCAGTTCAAGTATGTGTTAATTCCTACAGGTGCTCGCCGAATGTGCAGGTCTGTTATCGACCCTTGTCTGATATCTCTGTCTTGCAGAATATGTGGCGTTTGATTGGGAGGTACATCTAATTTTTGCGTCCTTACATTGTAATAACTCCACCATATCCCCTTTCAATTATCTAGGATCCTCTGAGCCTGGAGAGTCTTCTGACGGAAGAGGAGGTTGCTATACGGTATGTCTATTCGGTCAACTAAGTAAGGTTGTAGACACAACCAATTATTGGGATTTCCCAGCGATACTGCTAGAGCATTCTGTCAGGCAAGTTTTGTTCTAGCTGTTGTGCTAGTCGTGTTAAATCTTACCCCAACTAGTAGGAGAACCTCCTACCGCGCGTCCTTGAGGCTCAACGTACTGAAGGTCAGTCTGCGTTGTCTTACTTTCCCTCGGTGGCATGGCGCTGCGCTCTCTCGCGTCTTTCAACATCAACTCTGCTCTAACTTGATAACTGACGGATTCTCCATTTTCTGAATCCGTTCTGACTCTTATTTGGGAACCTCGCCATATGCGATGCATCGGTTGCGAAACTCTGTCCCCCGGCGCGACATAATCCCGAAATTACTACCCCACCACACATCGCCCGACCTTAACAACTCAAGAATTCAATCATGACATCCTTCCCGAGATGGGTAAGCTGGGCTTCCTGGGACCTACTATTCAGGGCTATGGATGCGCAGGTGTGAGCAGCGTGGCGTATGGACTCATTGCACGCGAGGTTGAACGGTCAGTCTTCGTCATTCGAATCGTTGCGTCTCAAACATATTCGAGCGTATCCCTTTGGTGGTGATTGTAACCTTTGCATCCCATAGGGTTGACTCTGGCTACCGCTCAACTTCTTCTGTTCAATCCTCCCTTGTGATGCACCCAATCAACGAGTACGGAAGCGACGCACAGAAGGAAAAGTATTTACCCCGACTTGGTGAGCTCCTTCCAGCTTCATGCAGCTACATATCTTTCAAATGTTTTGTATTCGGATACGACAATCCCGAAGCGATACCCTTACCGATTTGCATGGACTGCATCTCATTTGGTGTCACGAAACTGACGTCCGTGACCATTAGCGAAGGGCGAACTTATTGGATGCTTTGTATGTTCTTATGTTGTTATTTGATTTACTGTTTACCGTTTCATGATACCTTCCATTCGTAGGGCCTCACAGAACCAAACCATGGTTCAGATCCTGCGGGCATGGAGACCACTGCAGATCAAGTAGACGGCGGCTTTGTTCTAAACGGCGCGAAGACTTGGATCTCAAACGCCCCTGTCGCGTGAGCCTACTCTCCCGTCTTATGCCTATGTTCCTCCACAAACCTGCTAACAATTTGCAATATGCATACGCAGTGACGTCTTCGTTATCTGGGCTCGCTGCAAGTGGGACGATAAAGTGCGAGGTTTCCTCCTGGAGAAGGTATACATATTTGCCGCTCGAGGGCGCATGTGGAATAATCTAAAGATCTGCTTGATAGGGTACGAAGGGCCTGACTGCACCTGCAATCAAGCATAAGCTCGCGTTGCGGTGCTCCCTTACGGGCTCAATCTTCTTGGACAGTGTCGAGGTCGGACATGACGCCCTCCTGCCCAAGGCGAAAGGTCTAGGCGCACCCTTCGGTTGTCTGAATAACGCCAGGCATAGTTATCTCGTATTACGACCGTGTCATTCTCGTCTTACATGAAATTCAGGTACGGCATCTCGTGGGGTGCCATCGGTGCCCTAGAGGACTGTATCAACCGAACACGTGCATATGCACTTGAACGCCACCAATTCAACCGACCACTCGCGTCGTTCCAGTTGGTGCAGAAGAAACTCGTGGATGCGCAGACCGAGGCTGTTTTAGGTCTGCATGCGAGCTTGCAGGTGCGTTTATCCGCTATAAAGTTGGTCCTGGTGCGTGTTGAGATGCTGACATCTTTCATACTTTTTAGGTCGGCCGTCTCAAGGATGCTGGGAAGCTGGCCCCAGAGATGATTAGCGTCGTGAAGCGTAACAACTGTGGTAAAGCCCTTGAGCACGCACGCAAGGTGCTGGATATCCTGGGCGGGAACGCGTGCTCGGACGAGTCAGTTACTCGCTTCTATCACGGTGTCTGTGTATCTGATCGCGCATATAGGTACCATGTAGGGCGTCATGTTGCGAATCTGCAAGTCGTCAATACGTACGAAGGTAAGAGTAAAATGTGGTACGCTTGGGTCGGACTGCTAAACATAATGCCGTGACGAACAGGGACATATGTACGTTATTTCATGTGTCCCTGCGGTGGAAATGCTCACTATATTTTCATCAGGATATACACACCCTCATTCTGGGAAAAGCCATGACAGGAATCCAAGCATTCGCAAATTAGGTTGTACAAAAAAGCAATCATATGCTCTGTATGATACAAGGTGGATCGCACAACTTACAAATATGATGAATGGATGCACAAGTTCAGCCCTGGTGAGAGGAAACAACGCAAGATAAAATCATTCGATGACATGGTTCGCCTTACTCGCAAGTCATGCGTCCGCATTTCTCAAAGTTGGATCGATCCATTCAAGCTCAAATACGTCAAACACCTCCTTCTCCGTCTTTGGGAAAATTTGTTTGGAATCGTACCGGCGAGTTCTGCTCGTCGTGTGAGCGATAGTCACTAAATTAAAAAAGCAACACACACATTGCGGAGCTGTCAAATTTCATGGAGCTGTTTATTCGCACGCCCACGTCGGTAAATGTGAGTCTTGACTAGGAATGAAAACGACATACAATTTATCTTTCGCCCATTGCCTGAGATCTCGTTGAAACATGATGGAGCCGCTCCTACACAGAAAACACCGTGAGCTACATACTCCCCAGAAGTACTGACCTGGGTGAGTTCAGTGAGCTTACCATCCGACGACGGCTGTCCAGTAGACTTCGGGGGGTGCGAAGATGAGGTCAAGCCGTCTGCGAACCCCGCGCGCGAAAGGGGAAGACGGTGGGAGGACAAACACGGTCAATGACTTCTCGAGCGAGTCCCAGTGTGTCGTGCGCAGGGGATTGTGCCCATGAAAACCAGATAGGTCTGGACATTAGATATCATGAGGAGCGGATGCGTAGCTACGCAGTCGGAACGTACGCATGACATGAGTGACCATTCCTGACCACGATCATGAGCAGAGCAATCCGAAGATAAACGAAGACCACCTTACCACTTTCGTGCAATCGGCTCACGAACCGCTTGCAGAGTCCCTTCACCCGCCCTGGATCTGGATGGGTAAAGACAATGTCGACATCGTTGTTCTCCGGCTTTCCTCGCCTGTAACTAGAGGTAGATGAACAACGCGTGAGCGATTGCAAGCTGAATCAATGAGGTGAACAGACCCGCCGACAATCGTTGACACGCACCCAGGCTCAAGCTCGTCGAGCTCAGCCATTACAACTTTGCCCATCTCCTCGACCTCGCCTCGGGGAATCCTGGTGATAAAGGAGATAAATAAACCTCGGGACCACATATATGAAAGGACGGGAGAAAAACAAACACGTACTTGAGGCTCAGATCCGCCCTCAATCCCAGGGCGATGCGGGTCCAATTTTCCCCCAGTCCTTCATCGCTCTCGCCTTTCTCGCCGCCGGAGTGACGTCCTTTCGCAGCACTGCGGGTGTCTGTGTGTTCTACCTCCACAAGCTCTGATGTCGGGGAATCGTCGACGCCGTAATATACTTCGAGGTCTTCCAACGACCGCAAGCCGAGATTGTATAAGCGGCGAGCAGTAGTGGGTCCAATGCCATAAATTGAGGAAAAGAGAGATAGTGTTTGGAAGCGCTCGGACGTGAGATGTTTCTCTGAGCGGTCAGAACCCGAGTTAGCGGTATGAGACGACTACAGGGAGTGTGAACGCACGGGCTTCGGTTATTTTCCCGGTCTTCGCGAATTCTTCAACCTTGAGACAGACGGTGGGTTAGCGGATAAAGGGATTAGAGGGTGGGGAAGAACATACCATTGCGCCAATTTTTGTACCGATGAAAGGAAGCTTCTCTACCTGTTTGAGTGATTTGATGGGATGAGGATAGGCTATACAGATAGATGAACAAGATGGGAGTACAACTGTTGGATTGTACACTTGCCCTTGATGACGGACACGGCGCGCTGATAGCTCAACGAGCTGCGTGCTTCTCCTTCCAGAGTTCTAGTGCGGTGCATGATATCCAGTTCTGCAACAAGACCCCCGTTCGGACAGACGAGAGGAGATGCGCGTTGGCATGCATAACGCGAAGCGTAGTTAAGTCGTGAAGTGTTGGTAGGTATCGGCGGAAAGGGCGGTTGAAGATTGGACGGGATCTTGACCGAGGTTAACGGAAGCTTAGGCATAGCTGCGGCTTGAGCAGACAAGGTGGAGGGCCCAGGAGAAGGAATGAGGGGACCGCGAGACTGATTGGCTCGAGATACGTGGTGCGGAGGAGAAAGTGAGTACTTTGGACTGCGCGAGGCGGCAGGAGAGGTGACAGGGGACGGGTAAAAAGAGGAATCTGAACAAGCACAGGGGGCGGCGTTGCACAGTGGGCAGTGGGTGATGATCTCCTCATGCAAGTCCTTTAATGCGACGTAGTCGCCGCAGGGAAGCGGTGAACCGTGTTTGATGGAGTCTCGTAGCCAGTCCAGGGTGACGACAGCTTTTGTTTTCTGGTGGACGATGGCTTCAGTAGAAGCGTTCTTGAGACGGCGTATCACGGCAAGTAGACATTCCAGCGGTACCGAGCGCAGGACTTCTCCAATCTTACGATCTTCACACCTCAAAAGATATCTCAAGAGTAGAGAAGTCCTGCATACAACTTGGAATGCAGAGCCAGCACGACGAAAATACTCACGGCAAGTTCCCAGGGAACGTGTCTCTCCAGCCGTCTGCGCATGCTCACAGCGGTGATAATCACGTCTGCGTCCTCGGCATGTCTGCAGACTGCGGCGGTGTGTCGTTCTGCGAGGAGGAAGAGCTCAGAGATCGTCGCTACATCAAGCTTGGCCTGAACGATGTATATCTTCACTTCAGGGAGAGCCTTATCCGACGGGGAAAGCCGCGCGTGCTTGGATGACCGAAGGATGGAGGAAGAAGACTCGGATTGGGAGTCGTCGTCCTCATGTGGTTGAGGGGCAGGTCGCTTGAAGGGCATGGCAGGTATACTAGTTTAAGTCTGAGTACCAGGACAACTCAACCGGGCCCGACGATAGCAAAGTCACTTTCGTAGAAGCTGTCCGAGGCCATCACGAGATACGACGTCACAGCTATCATTCAGCACCAAGTAGCCTATTATCGCTGCACCGGCCGTCAAATACTGTACAGTAAACGATTCTATCGCTTCAAATAAATCCATCGAACAGCTGCCTGTGAAGGGGGTTCACCATGCAAAACACCCGGTGGGACATCATTCGCCACTCACCCACATGCCGGCGATCATTGCAACTCCAAAGTGACTGCAGAATTGGTGCTCTGCACAGAAGCAGAGCCCAACGGCTGGTCATAAGGTGGGTTTCCCCATGCTACGCTTCCCTCCAGGCCGCTTCTCCAACGGGAAGATGTGACATTCCTACCGCGAGCTCTTCCAGAAGGGTCCTCAGCATGCTCGCTGATATGCAGGACCGGCGCTTTATGCGTGGTGTGGAGGCTGAACGATCCCTCATAGGCACGATGCAAGGACGCCCCGGCGGGTGCATTAGACGTCCTTGCTGAGAAGTCCAGATACGTGTCCACAGGAGAATCGACGAAGTGGACGTGCACTGGGCCATTGGAGGTCTGGGTAGAGACTTTGAATGCGCCGCCGGTCGAGTCGGGTGAGGACATTCGGACGGATGCTGTGATGGCTCTGCCGATTTCCGCTAGCATGAGTAACTCGCACCGGTGAGGGTGTCAAGTAAGTCCCCTTACCCGTTGGTGGTAATCATCGCAGTTTCTGTACTCTCTTCCCTGACGTTATCGTGGGTAAGGTGGGCGTAAACTTGTATTGGCGCGTTTGTTGTGACGAGTGAAAGATGACCAGATGTGCGAAAGTTACCCTGGATAGCGCCATTCGTGGTCTTAATATTTGCACTTTCTGCGTACAATGACTGAAAAAATGCTGTGAGATGCCGGCAGAACGCAAACTCCTGACACAACCTGAACTAACCTCGGCAACAATACGAGCGTTGGTAGATTTAAGATTTAGTGACTTGAAAGCAATCTTGCCGTCCAAACTGCTGATGTGGTGCGAAAATAAAGGAAGATCGGTCTCAAAGGCCGAAACGTTGAGATGTTGTTCAGAAGAGCGCGGAAATCGGACAGTCACGTAGAACTGGAGGGGGTCGTATGGTCCAACCATAGATGGTGTCTGTTAATTCCTAGTCATCATGAGTGTACAGGAGAGTGCTGTGGTCATTAAATACCAGTATTCCAATGCCGGTCTGGCCTTCTTGACGTTCCAGCAAGCACACATTGGTTGCGTCCCGTGGCTCCGTCGGTCCAACGAGTAAAGAGACATCGACATGTACACGATCCGCGTGTGCACCCTCTTCTTCCACGAATGTTATGCTTCCCCTTGCCAGAGATCCACGAGAGAATATGTACAAGACGTCTGCGGAGAGCGGCAACTCAAACGTGACTGTACGAAACGGTTCTGACGGGAACCTCTCCGCAGTCCCGCTGGCGCAGCGTATCACCTTGCCGTACTTTTCACCTGGGACCGGAAGCGGGAGCGGAATCTGAGGTGGGATCTGAGGTGAGTCCTCAGGTGGGCCCTCAGGAAGAGTCGCGGGAACGTTAGGGTCAACCCGATGCAACTACAACGTCTCAAACGGGGACTGGTAACAGACAGACGACTCCACTCACCCTGCGCCTATGGCTCTGTCCTACATCAATGGCGCTGCCGGTGAACACAACCAGAAGGAAATAGATGACCAACGCAACGCCGAACGCCTTGAAGAACCGCTTCCCTGCTGGTTCAGGGAGAGGTTCCGCGTCGATTATTGGGACATATCCTGAGCCACTGGGGACGGGGCCAGGGTAGGCTTGACCCTGCTGATAACCGGTATACGCAGGAGGCGCAGGATTGGTATCGCTGTGGTTCTGATCGCCGGGGAGCGGTTGCGCATTCTTGGAGGGCGAGGGCGGGGTATCATCCGTAATGATCATGGCGGTGGACAAGAGAACACACGCTAGAAGGACGAAATATGCTCTCGAGCGCTAGTACATGACGCGACTTAGCGCGATGACCGTATGATTCGCGCGACTGCAATCAGCTGCGGGTGCTGCGCCGCAACTGTTTCTGACTCCTTCTCCGGACATAACTTCCACTGTGAATAGAAACAAGGCAGGTACTGGACGATAACATATATTGGCAGACATCAATGTTGCTGAGCCTGTGGCCGTAACTGTTTGAGCTTGGAAGAATACCTAGTCACGCGTCGGCGCAGGACCCCCCGCAGTTCCCTATGAGCCCCGATGCCTGAATCCCCGAAATTGGACCCGCCGCAGGCCGGACCTCCGATTTCGGACCCCCGAAAATCGTCCAAAAACCGGTACAACTTATGTGCAGGACATCCCCGAAATTGTCCCCTTCTGCTAGAGGTTCAGTGCGAAACCCCCGAAAAATGGTCCCTGAGAGAAAATTTCCTGGAGACCTGTTGGAAAGTAGCGCCCATAGTAGCGCCCATAAAATTCTGAAGCCTCCAGAATTTTTCCCTTGGGACAGACAAGCCGAGGGCATGATTACAAAGAAAGATAAAGAAGGAAATTTGCTTATATAAAGTGGAGCGTCTAGAACTGTATATATACAGAAATCTATTTTAGGACGCGTAATCACGCACCCCGATGCATCTTGACCCGCCATCACTACCTTCCTATTTGGGAACTAAGGCACAATTTCTAACAGGTTATGAGCCCCGGCTCTAGCCAATAAATACTCGGATAACAACAGCCCCTATTGTGGCTACAAAAATTGTTACCCCCTTACTAGTACGAGAACAAATAATGTCGACCAGTGCTGATAATACGAGCAATAGCAATGCTTACCGAATCCCGCTCCTGAAGGAAGACAATTGGCTCCCGTGGAAGCGCCACGTCGAGGCCATCCTTAATGATAAGGGTCTCCAGGAGTATGTGACCAGAAAGACACCGAAGCCGCAGCCGAGTAATGACCCGGCCAATAGGGCAGCGAGAGAGGCGGAGATTAGCACCTGGGGAGAGAAGGACCTCAAGGCCCAGAATGTAATTGTGCTATCGCTGGGAGATTCCCAGATGGTTCACATTGCTGGAGCCGAGATGGGCCATGTGGGAGCAGCTTCGCACAGTCAAGGAACAGCGTGGACAGCATGGGATTCTCGCGCTGTGCCGGCACTTTTACCGGATGCAAGCCAAGGAAGAAGATAATATCTCCAGTCACATCACACAGCTATGACAGATCCAGGAACAACTCCACCTAATGGGGAAGGTTGTTTCTGACGAGGATTTCCAGCTCATTCTGGCTACCTCATTACCGGAGAGCTGGGACTCTTTCCTCAGCTCTTACTTTGGCGCCATGGGCGACAATGTTGGCGCCGAAGGTGCTGACAACGTGCGCCCTCAGCTTACATCACAAGAATTGATTGCCATCATTCTTGATGAAAATAGGCGAAGGCATGAGCGTGGCGAGCACAGCCAATCCTCGGACCAAGCCATGGTTGCCAAAGGAAAGAAGCGCCCCTTCAGGGAATACAAAAAATGTTTGATCTGCAGAAAGCCTGGACATCTTGGTAATGAGTGTTGGCACCGCGACAAGGTCAAATGTATGAATTGCGGAAAATTCGGGCATAAGGCCATGGATTGTCGGGCTAAAGGCGGCGGTAAAGCCGGACAGGGCCCGCCGATGAAACAGCAGAGGATGTGTTACGCTGGGGCGTACCACTTGTCCGAGGTTTGTCGAGCAAGTACTAAGTCGTTCGACGACTAAGTAAATGCGAGTCAAGAATCGAGAGTCAAGAAGATCACACAAGGACTAGGTGATAATCCCGTGTATTGAGAGGTAAAGTAACCAGATCGAGACTGGGGTTCCAGTCGACGATCTCAGCCTTATATACTAATAGTACATGCTGAGTAATACATGCCAGTAATGGCCGAGTCAGCGAGTACCCTCGCAGTGAGGGATGAGTCAGTGAGTACCCTCACAGTGAGGGATGAGTCAGTACAGGTTCTAGACTATGGTGTCATGGTCTAGAGAGAGAGTCCAGATCGAGTCGAGAGATATCGAGACTCGAAGTCTCGGGTCAACACGTAATCGTACAACGTAATCGAAAGGAAAAAGATAGGTACTCAACATACCATTGTAATATAAGCCCCTTCCTATGCCGCCTTTGCCCTCAAAGGCATTCCTACGTATCTCCTGCTTCCGACGGCATCACACTGTTCATCGGAAACCCTTCAATATTCAAGGAAACCCAGTACTGGCGATATTTGACCCACCAGGCGATACAGCGACTCCCGAATGGCCAACCAGAGGTGGTAATAAACCAGCCTCGGGACCCAGTATAGGGCGAATAACAAGGGATACGCGATCTGGGCGATTTAGTATCGCACAAAACACTTGGCTATGTAACACTGGCATGGACACACTGCTCTATAAGGCTAGCGGAAAATCGCAGGAATTGGTACAAGAGGCAATCCAAAAGGCAGGAGGAGCGAAGAAGGAGCTCGAAGAGCTCATCCCCTCCGACCTAATGGGATACAAAGACGTCTTCGAAAAGAAAGCGGCAGAATGGTTCCCAAGCTCACGGGCATGGGACCATGCTATCAATTTAAAACCCGAATTCGTACCAAAAGACTGCAAGATTTACCCTCTCTCTCCTAAAGAACAAACGGCACTCGATGAATTCCTAGACGAGAATACATGAAAAGGATATATTCAACCATCGATATCACCAATGGCATCCCCTTTCTTCTTCGTAGGAAAGAAGGATGGGAGCCTTAGGCCTTGCCAAGATTATCGATACTTGAATGAAGGAACGATCAAGAATGCCTACCCACTTCCTCTGATCACAGAACTCCTCGACAAACTCAAGGGAGCACGCTATTTTACAAAAATGGACCTTCGATCTGGATATAACAATGTATGGATCAAAGATGGCGATCAGTGGAAAGCAGCGTTCAAGACAAATCGAGGACTATACGAACCAACAGTGATGTTTTTCGGACTTTGCAACTCCCCGGCGACGTTTCAGAAAATGATGAACGAAATCTTTAAAGACCTGATCAATGAAGGGTGGATGATCATCTACATGGACGACATCCTTATCTTCTTGAATGACATGGAAGAACATCGACAACGTACACTTCGAGTCCTAGAACGACTCAAGCAAAATGATTTGTTCGTCAAACCGGAGAAATGCACGTTCGACTCCCAAGAAGTTGAATACTTTGGGATGATTATACGTCCAGATCATATTGGAATGGACCTAATCAAGTTGAAAGGGATCCAGGACTGGCCAGAACCAACAACGGTGAAGGCCGTTCGCGCATTCATTAGTTTTGCGAACTTCTACAGGAAGTTCATCGATCATTATTCCAAAATAGTATGACCGCTCACAGATCTCACGATGACGACAAAGAAACCAATATGAGAATGGACCCCCAACTGCCAACAGGTGTTCGATGTGCTCAAAGAAAAATTTGTCTCTGCGCCCATACTCCTCATGCCAGATAAGACGAAACCGTTTATCATTGAGTCCGATGCCTCACTCGTAGCCACAGGAGCAGTGCTTAGACAAACTAATGTCAATGGAGACCTCCACCCATGTGGATATTTGTTGAAATCATTTAACCCAGCTGAACGAAACTACGAAATCTATGACAGAGAACTATTAGGGATCGTTCGGGCCCTCGAAGAGTGACGTCACTACCTTGATGGCTCTCCCCACCCGATAATAATATGCAGCGATCACAAGAACCTGACCTACTACCGGACAGCCCAGAAGTTGAACAGACGCCAAGCACAATGGAGTCTTTTCTTATCACAATTTGAACTCCAATTGGTGCACGTTCCAGGAATGCAAATGATACAGTCGGACACCCTATCTCGGTTGCTTGGAAAGGGTGACCGAGACCATGATAACGAAGATTGTATCCTTCTCCCAGAAGCATTGCTTGTGCATTCGATATCGACACAATTATACCAAGATATTTGCGCACATTCGATTAAAGATCAAATTGTTCACGATGCGCTCCAAGCCTTGCAGCACAAAGGACCACCACCAATGAAATCTGCCCTCGATGATTGGAAAATCACCGACGGGCTTGTCCAATACCAAGGACGCATATATGTACCCCCAGTACAACCTCTCCGACGTGATATTATCAAGTTGTACCATGACACACCGGCCATGGGACACCCGGGTTCTTACAAAACCCTTGAACTCGTCCGACGTGATTTCTGGTGGCAAGGACTTTACTCTGCAGTGTGCGCCTATATAGAAGGATATGCAGGGTGCCAACAGATGAAGATCAATACGCACCCCACTAAATCTCTTCCAATGCTATACCAGCAACCCCGAACGCATTACCATTTTCCTGTTCATCAGTCGACTTCATCACAGACCTACCATTATCATGTGGTTCTGACTCTCTCATGGTCGTGGTAGACCATGACCTTATGAAGGGGGTAATTCTTTGCCCTTGCTTGAAGACGGTCACGGTGGATCAAACGGCAAAACTTTTCCACGAAAAAGTTTATTCCCGATTCGGACTCCCAGACACACTGATTTGCAATAGAGGAACACAATTCGCATCACACGTATTCCAAGAACTATGCAGGATACTGGGAATCAAGTCCTCAATGAGTACAGCCTACCACCCCCAGTCAGATGGAGAAACGGAGCACATTAACCAGGAACTAGAAGTGTACCTCTGACTCTACTGCGGTAACAACCCCGAGTCATGGGTAGACCGACTACCGGACCTCGAATTCTGCCATAACACACACGAACACTCAGCACGGAAGATGTCGCCATTCCGCATGATGATGGGATATGAACCACGCGGAATCCCGTCGGTACTCCCTAGGACAAATGTACCCTCGGTGGAAACTCGGTTATCTGAACTCCAGAAGATTCGAGATGAGGCCCTAGCCATGCACGAGCTAGCAAGACAGCATTTGGCAGAACAGATCAGGAAAGGCTCACCACACTTCACAAAGGGTCAGAAGGTCTGGCTCAACACAAAGAACCTGAACATTGGGTACCCGACACGGAAAATGGCTCCGAAACGTGAAGGCCCCTTTATTATTGAAGAACGCATAGGCCCCGTGGACTACCGCCTGACCCTACCATGAGGACGGAGAATCCACCCCGTATTCCACGCCAGCCTTCTATCACCTTACAAAGAAACGGAGATTCATGGCCCGAATGATACGAGACCACCACCTGACCTTATCGAAGAGCACGAGGAATACGAAGTCGAAGCAATCCTAAACCACCGACAAAGATACGGTTGGACCCAATACCTGGTCAAGTGGAAAGGATACGCTTCTGCCGAGAACTCATGGGAACCCGAAATGAATCTGACAAATGCCGAGAGACTACTAGGGGAATACAAAAGGCGACAACGCCTGCATCGTATCTCAGCAATCGCCCGCGTAGACCTTCACTACCTCTGAACCTCCACTATGCCATCATCTGGAGTGCAATCCATTATCGATGACTACTTTTCTGAAACTTCTCTGACTCCCTCATTATTCGCCCTATACTGGGTCCCGAGGCTGGTTTATTACCACCTCTGGTTGGCCATTCGGGAGTCGCTGTATCGCCTGGTGAATCAAATATCACCAGTACCGGGTTTCCTTGGATATACGAGATAAGCAATTCGCTATCCTCTAGTTCAATCCTGTAATCAGGAATTCCTAGCTCTGGGTCCCCTGGTTTAACTCGGTTCTCTGGATGTTTTGGATCGTTATTTTCCCAAGATCGTCCGTTATTGTCGATTGGTCTGATGTAGGGGGCGTTTGCCGCCTTTTGTACCTTTGGTTCATTATCTCGGACTGTTTCTACAGTGGGTTTTCTCCAATTGTAATCCAGTTCGCCTGTTTCCCAATTAATCCGGGGGTTCATTGCCTGAAGCCAGGGTAATCTGAGGATAACCTCGTCCTTTCCTAGGTTGGTAACATAGTACTGGAATACTTTCTGTCTTCTTCCAGCCTTTGTACGTTTCCATACGCAATGTGTCGCATATCCTAGCTTGTTTGGAGTACCTTCAGCGTTGAGAATTTTAATTGGTTTTGGAAGTCTCTCCTGGTGGTACTTCATTTGTTCGATGAATGATTTGTCCATGAACATCCCTCCAGCTCCTGAGTCCAGTAGAGCAGAGATATCAGCACTTTCACTCGGCACACCCAAGGTAATAGGAACGTGTATCGATTTTCCCAAGAATTCGCATACAATTACATTTGGGTGGCAAGTCGGCAATGACGGTACTGACGCTGTTACAGCCCGTCGGATCCAAAATCTGATCCTTCTAATTTCTTGATCCAGTCATTACGTTCCTTCTGCATCTTTCGTAACTCCTGGAGTAATTTGGAGACGTTGCTGTCGGAGATGGTCATTCTTTTGACTGACGCGGTGTCTTCTTCGACATCTTCTGTCTTCGAGGTTGAGGGTTCCCTTTCGTATTCCTCAACCTGTATCTCCTTGTGCATTCTGGAAGTGTTTCTGGGGTTCTTCGGCTTCTTCTTAGGACAATCGTGCGAGTGATGTCCTTGTTGATGGCACTCAAAGCAGAGTCCTCCTTTGATGTGCCTGTCACGTTCTTCTTGCGACATGCGGTCGATGTCCATGGCATTAGGGTCTCGTGTGTAGACGGGACCCTTCCTCTGTTGTTGCCCCTGCTTCTGCTGCTGTCTGCTAGGGCAACTGTTCTGGAATTTTGTATACATCTGCATTGACTTGGTTTGGTTGTCAATTTCAACCGCCTTCTTGTACCATCCTTCCATATCGGTGGGGAGTGGGTTGACGTTCATGATTCGCTCGAGAAGTCGGCAGGATAGTCCAATTTTAAAGTAATGGAGGCGTGCTGGGTATTCCGTGATTTTGGCCTTTTTCATAAGTACCAGGAACAAGTTAACGTAATCCTGTACTTCTCCCGTCTGATGAAGGGATTCAAGGTCCTTCATCGCCGATCCCATGGGATCGGTCTCTTGGAATGCCTTGTTGAAGTCGATGACCCATGCATCGAAGGTTCCATAGTCCTTCAGCTTTCCTAGGTTGTCGGTGTGGTCATCGTACCATGTTTCAGCCCATGCTTCAGCCGTTCCTCCTCTCATGAAGGACATCGCGAATGCAATCTTCTTCTTATTGCTGTTATAAATTTCGTCATTGATGTCGACATACGTCTGAACCCTTTGCAGAAATATCTTTGTCTTGCTCATATCTCCCGAGAAAGGTTCAGGTTGGGAGAGTTTGAGCTCGGTTGGCTTTGGTGCTGTCATCGTGGGAAATGGATTCGAGATGATGTGTCTGTGGACCGGGATCGCAGAAAAGGCTGCTGCAGGTATAAGCTGCATGGGGATTGGTGCAGGGGTTGCTGTTTCCGCTTCTGGTCCTGCTTCCGATTCCGCTTCTGATTCTGTTGCTGCCTCTGCTGCTGCTGCTGCTGCTTCTGCTAATGGGTGTCCCGGGGTTATTTCGTCAACTCCTCATTGTATTTCTGCTGGGTCGAGTAGTTGGTTAACATTTCATCTTGCTTCAGTGTAAATCGCGAAGCGCTCTGCTTCGTTTGGATAGTCTCTGGTGAATTCTTCAAAGATTCTTCGGTAGGTTGCTTCGTCCGATGCAAGCCTCCAACCCGGCCTTCCTTCTCTGATAGTCAGGAGGGCTCTGAATTCTCTCGATGACGAGCCTCGGTGGATTGGATGTCCTAGGTTTTCATCCCACCTTATCGACGAAGGTTGAGGGCACAAAAATTCTTCTAGTCCTCAAAAATTTAGTGCGTCAATGTTTTCCTAACCTTTCCGCACCCCGGGTAACTTGCCCTGCTAGGTGTTTATCGGCTAAGGTTCGTCAGGTTTCTGTAAACGTAGTTCTGCTCTAAACCTGAAAAGGTTGAGCGGTATCGGATAGTCTCGATCTTATGTTACGCTGGGGCGTACCACTTGTCCGAGGTTCGTTGAGCAAGTACTAAGTTGTTCGATGACTAAGTAAATGCGAGTCAAGAATCGAGAGTCAAGAAGATCACACAAGGACTAGGTGATAATCCTGTGTATTGAGAGGTAAAGTAACCAGATCGAGACTGGGGTTCCAGTCGACGATCTCAGCCTTATATACTAATAGTACATGCTGAGTAATACATGCCAGTAATGGCCGAGTCAGCGAGTACCCTCGCGGTGAGGGATGAGTCAGTGAGTACCCTCACAGTGAGGGATGAGTCAGTACAGGTTCTAGACTATGGTGTCATGGTCTAGAGAGAGAGTCCAGATCGAGTCGAGAGATATCGAGACTCGAAGTCTCGGGTCAACGCGTAATCGTACAATGTAATCGAAAGGAAAAAGATAGGTACTCAATGTACCATTGTAACAGGATGGAACATGCTTACAAAGCGCGTGAGGTCGAATCAAAAGAGGATGAGGCAAAAATAGCCTACGATAATGATAGCGACACTGTATCTCTCAGATCTGATGGCAAAATCACTTCTTTCTATGAGTGGTTTGCCGACTCTGGGACAACTTTGCACATTACAAATCATCGTGAAGTCTTCGCGACCTATCAGGCACTTGAAGATCACGCGATCACTGGCATCGGACCGCAACCAACACAGGCATTGGGCCGCGGTACGGTTGATGTCGAAAGTGAAGTAGGAGACCGGAAAGTGAAATTCCGTCTCCATGGTGTACTGTATGCGCCGACAGCACCCAATAGCTTCCTCTCCATCACGCGTTTGAACGACGCGGGAGGAAGAGTACTTATGGGTAATAGTTGTGCAATACTAATAGATAAAAATAAACACACTCTTGCTATAGGCAAGAAAAATGGACGACTATATTCGTTGAAATTGCGTCCAATAGTTCCGCAACCTGCACGAACCTATACTGCTAAGGAATATGACCCGCATACCTGGGAAGAGTGGCACAAGATCTATGGCCATATCGGGAAACCAGCGCTTATGCGATTATATCGCGAAGGGCTTGTTGATGGCCTAGAAATATCGCCAAGCCCAGATGAAATTAATTGCGAGGCGTGCATCCAAGCAAAGGCGATGCGGAAGCCATTTCCCAAAGAGACAGATGAATGCAGCAAGGTACCTGGAGAATTAACACACACAGATGTGTGGGGACCTGCGCAGACAGCCGCTCTACAAGGGTGGAAATATTTTATTACATTTACCGACGATTACAGTCGTCGAAGTACAGTACTATTTATGAGGCATAAAGATGAAGTAACTGAAAAGGTAAAGAATTATATTACCTATATTGAAGTGCAAGTTTGGAAACAAACCCTTGCGACTCAGGCTCGACAACAGTCGAGAATACATGAACACCGAATTAATTAACTGGTGTCAAATGAAAGGGATTGAGATGGGTCCGACTGCGCCGTACTCACCATCCCAGAGCGGAGTCTCTGAGAGATTGAATCGCACACTGCTTGGAATAGCATGCACGATGATCTATGCGAGAGATCTACCTCATTATCTTTGGGCTGAAGCAATTGCTCACGCAGTCTATATTAAAAATAGATCGCCTACCCAGGCGTTAAATGGGGCAACTCCCGAAGAAAAATGGAATGGGACGAAACCAAATATCTCGTACCTACAAGAATTTGGTTCCCCCATATGGGTCCTCACAGAGGATGCAACACTATCCAAGCTAGCGCCCCATGCCAACAAATATATTTTTGTTGGATACATGGATGGACCCAAAGCCATCAAATATTATGATGCGCACACACGCTAGATTAAAATCTCGCATAATTTCCAATTTTCTTCAAATTCCCTGGACCATTTGCCCAGCAATGCACCTCACGTGCCACAAGAGCAAATAGGATCCGACATACCTATCCTCACAGCACAGCGTGAGGGGGAGCAAAATATATTTCTGAGCACTTTACCTAGCAATGCGTCAGACGTGCCGCATGTGGAAAGGAGACCCGAAGTCCCAAACCTCACAACAACCGCAGATGTGCAGTGCAAGGGGGAGTTAGGAACTTCCGCGCCACAGTCACCTGCCAAAAATCTGCGAAAGTGCAGACAGGATGATGATCTTGATCAACGCGAGGAAAGCGGGATGGACGCACCAAGCCAGCCCAGACGAACCAGAAGAAAGACAGTTCGGCATGATTACCATCTAATGCATGACCCAGAGGCAGACGAAGATCTGGATAATGATCCAGATCAATCAATTGCCGAATTAGTCTATAATGCGATGAGCGCCCATGGAAATGCGGATGCGGACGAGCCAAAGACGCTCAGTGATGCCAAGAGATCACTTGAGTGGCCCAAATGGGAACAGGCAGTTCAGACGGAACTCAATCAACTACAGAGTATGGAGACTTGGGAGTCAGTGGAACCTCCCGAAGATCGAAAACCCGTAGGAAATAAATGGGTTCTAGTCAAGAAAACAAACAAAGAGGGTGAAATAATTAAATACAAAGCCTGCCTGGTTGCAAAGGGATATTCCCAAATCCCAGGCATGGACTATACCGAGACGTTCGCGCCCGTAGTCTGCCTTGAAACCATTCGAGCCATCCTCGGGCTAGCTGCAATCTTAGATTGGGAGATCGGACAGATGGACGTGAAAGGCGCCTATCTTAACGGAACTCTCAAAGAAGAAGTGTACATGTGGCAACCCGAAGGATACAGTGACGGAACGTATCGTGTATGTAAATTGAAGAAAACCCTTTATGGAATATCGTGCTGAATCGCAAGTTACTAGACGCGGGATTCAAGTGCCTATTCTTGGATCCATGTGCGTACATTCAGATCAAAGGTGATAAGATAGAAATCGTCACTGTTTGGGTAGACGACCTATTAATATTTACCAATGATTGTGCACTGATGGACTAATTGAAGAGTGAACTCCGAAATATGTTCGAAGTTACCGACCTTGGCGAACCCCGGAAAACTGTGGGGATAGAAATTGAGAGAGACTGTTCAAAGCGGACAATTAAAATCTCTCAGACAAAATATATTGAGTCTATCCTACACAAGAATGGGCTTATGAACGCTAACACGGTCGGGATGCCTCTTGATCCAAATACAGTGCTTGAAAAAGAAGAACCCGAAACCGATGACGAATGCAACCAAGACAACGGATATGCATCACTTGTCGGATCACTGATGTACGTGGCAATTGCCACGAGGCCAGACATTGCTCACGCCGTGCAACGGCTTAGCTCATTTACTGCCCATCCCGGAATGGCTCATTGGACTGCTGCTAAATGTGTCCTCCGCTATCTATCCAGAACATAAGAACTTGGAATAATCTACGGGCCAATTGCAGATGTCAAGCCCGAAGATAAAGCCAAATTCGTGGGCTACTCAGATGCAGACTATGTGAATGATATCCGAGATCGAAAATCAATCTCGGGATATTTATTCAAATTAGGAAATGGTACGATCACGTGGAGCTCAAAGAAGCAAACCACAGTCACATCATCTACCATGGAAGCCGAATACATGGCATCCGCCGAAGCGGCAAAAGAAGTCGTGTGGCTCCGAACACTATTCAAAGAAATAGGTTTCGAGCAACAAGATCCTACGATTTTATTCGAGGACAATACGGTGGTGATCTCAATTACATGTGATCTCCAATTCCACGCGAAATCAAAATATTTTGATGTAAAGCATCATTATGTGCACGAGAAATTGAGGGATAAATATATTGATATCCATTACTGTCCCATGGAGGACATGATAGCAGATATCCTAACAAAGTCACTCCCTAAGCCGAGGCACGAGAAGCTTACAAAGAAGCTCGGAATGCCCATCGGCTTGAGGGGGAGTGTTGGAAAGTAGTGCCCATAGTAGCGCCCATAAAATTCTGGAGCCTCCAGAATTTTTCCCTTGGGACAGACAAGCCGAGGGCATGATTACAAAGGAAGGTAAAGAAGGAAATTTGCTTATATAAAGTGGAGCGTCTAGAACTGTATATATACAGAAATCTATTTTAGGACGCGTAATCACGTGCCCTGATGCATCTTGACCCGCCATCACTGCCTTCCTATTTGGGAACTAAGGCGCGATTTCTAACAAGACCCTCAACTTCCGGCGAAAAGTTGTTTTGAACCTGGCGGAAACCCATTTCTCACCGCAGATGTCTGATCTCATTTTTTCCTGAAACCGGCTGGGAGGTCAGGAGCTTGAGTGTGAAACCCCCAAAAATGACTGTCTCCTAACCCCTGAAAATGGCCTCCGGCGGGATCGAAGCTCTAAGCGAGTTATGGGGGTCCTGTTGGCGCGCACCCATCACAAGGTCACAGGTACGTAGGTAGGTACACACCTAGACCTTCAGATGCACCGTGTTCAGCCTGTTACAAAGCTCTTCTCTGTGGAATGCGTGGACAACTTCCGCCT